CTACCTTGGAGGCAAGCAGAAGCAACAGAGGACAGAGCTCATGCACTTTTAATAACTGTGGAGGAGGGGAAATTTCAATGGGTGCAGCTTACATGACAAGCTACACAGGCTCAAATTTCTACACAGCTGCTGAAAGTGCAGGGGCGCTGCCCTCTTTGGCGTCTGGCCAGCCAACAGCTATATGGACACATGCAGCCTCCAGACTGTCAATATTTTGCAGAAAGGATTTATGCACACAGAGTAAATTTAGGTTTGCGCAATTAAAGCAGATTAACATGCTCTGTTGCCCTAACACAACAAATCTAAATTAACAAATAAACAAAAACAAAACAGATTTATTTATTTTTTGCAGTTATGCAAGTCATGGAGGAATGCACTGAAAAGTGTATAAGGAAGAAATGGTGAACTCAAACATGTATATAAAAACCCTGAATGCAAATCAGGCTTAAGAATGGGCAAATCTGTCCATTTTCATTTATCTCCACTTCTCATTTTTGCAATCTTCTGTTCAGTTCTCCTCATTTCCACATTTGCAATATTTTTTTAATGTCTCCATGAAAATTCATCAGCCTTTCAGTGTGCATTTATCCCAATGTACATATCTTTTGTGCACAGTTTTTGCTAAAAGAATGCATTTTTTTCCACTAGTATATGCACACTGTACTCTAGCATTCACATTTTTGTATAGATCTTTTCATTGGAGAACTGCATTGTAAAATCCAAAAAAGTGCAAGATTTGAAGGATGGCTGTGTTTTTGTTTGTGTATTATTTCAGACAGTGCAAATTGGACATAATAACAAATAATAACAAATGCTCAGTACTGTATAGCTTTGATGCAGTCTAACCTTTGCATACGTTTTGTGCAAGTAAATCAGGATAAATGTTAAATGAACAGGAGGAACAGTTTCCAGCAGTCATTTATCGCCACATTTCTATACCCTACTGCAGGCAGTAAAGGTAAATGATTCCTGGACAGTAAAGTCCAGTCAAAGGTGACTATGGGGTGCAGCGCTCATCTCGCTTCAGGTAGAGGGAGCCAGCGTTTGTCCACAGACAGCTTTCCAGGTCATGTGGCCAACATGACTAAACCACTTCTGGCGCAACGAAACACTGTGAATGTAGCCAGAGTGCACGGAAACACTGTTTACCTTCCCACCACAGTGGTACCTATTTATCTACTTGCACTAGTATGCTTTCAAACTGCTAGGTTGGCAGGAGTTGGGACAGAGCAACAGGAGCTCACCCCATTGCACAGATTCGAAGCGCCAACCTTCCGATCAGCAAGCCCAAGAGGCTCAGTGGTTTAGACCACAGCGCCATACACTCCCTACTGCAGGCAGTGGATACGTCCAGTACCACTTCTAGCTATAAATTTGCAGTCACACTCAGTTACTGACAGATTAGTATTTTAATAAATGCACAAGGCCAATTTTTCCATAAATATGAGAATGGGCAACCCAGACAGGCTGGCTCTACATGCCAGCCATAGGTCACAGCAAAACATTATCCACTTTTACTAGAGCAGAATCTACCTTTGAACCTTGAGAATGAAAAACAGAGAGCAAATCCTGTGGTCCCAGAAACGCAAACAAATTTCAAACAGAGTAAATACAGAAGGGACAAGATATTGCATCTAAGTGCCAGTGGTCAAAATACAACTTTATTTTCCTTCACTACTGAGTTGCCCTTTAATTTTAGTTTCAGTCCCGTAAATTTAATTCCCTGTCCTTTCATGCATATGCACCAGCTACGTACTCTTCTGGTATTAACTTGTTTACCTTCCTTTACTCATCAAAGTATTCACACTTCACATACATAGTGGCAGCTGACATAGTGGCAGCTATTCCCATAACCACCTTTTTCTAGCTTGATACACAGTCCAGCCAAGTAACAGCGTTATGATATCGGTACTTTTATTTTCAATTCCTTTTCTAATGATGCCTAACATAGAATCCACCTTTTTAGAGCCACTTGCACACTGATCCAACATATTCATTGAGCTATCCACCACAAACCCAGTATCTCTTTCTGTCACTGTCAGTTCACAACTCATTATGTGACATAGCTGAGAGTCACCTCAACCCTGGTAATAATGATTCAGTGCCCAGTTTTTGTTACTTCCACTTAAAGCTGTGGATGAGTGAAACAATCAGTCTAGAAATGTTACATTTTTACAATGTTAGGTTCAGTTCTCCACATTTCCACATCAGTTTGCAATTTACCATATTTTTTGCTCTATAAGACTCACTTTTTCCCTCCTAAAAAGTAAGGGGAAATGTGTGTGCGTCTTATGGAGCAAACGCAGGCTGCGCAACTATCCCAGAAGCCAGAACAGCAAGAGGGATTGCTGCTTTCACTGCGCAGCGATCCCTCTTGCTGTTCTAGCTTCTGAGATTCAGAATATTTTTTTGTTTTGTTTTCCTCCTCCAAAAACTAGGTTCATCTTGTGGTCTGGTGCGTCTTATAGAGCGAAAAATACGGTATTTATTTTCAAATAGTCTTCATGAAACCAGTGCTGGTTTCTTCTCCTAATACACACACTTTTGCATGTAATTCTACCTAAAAGACATATTTTTGCGAAGCAAATTTCCCTCATACAATGCAATATACAGTGTATATTATGTTCATTAACATAAGTATTTTAATGCACACTTTATCCTAGTATATGCATTTTCAAACACATTACTTTGTTGGATAACTGCACTGCAAAATTTGGAAACCTTTTTGAATTTTCAAGGATGGCTGTGTTTCAGTTCACATTTTGCTTCAGAAAGTGTGAGTTAGGTAAGTTCACATTTAAATGTGAACTGAATTTCTGCGCCATCCCTACTGAAAGAGAACCCTCAAAGATTTCAACAGTCCTCATTTCCCAGCAAGTACGTTGGGAACTTAGAAGTGCAAGTGTTGCCTATGGCACAGCACAGTATTTTTTTATTATTATCCAGAATGACCTGAAATACCTTCAGAAGTGAAGAAGGGTGTTGCTGAAAGCCTTTACAAGGAGCTATGTGATAAGAGGCTTATCATATGGCCTTATCGTGCAGCCTCTGGATTGCTTTCATGTTGTATCTATCTCCTCAACCTTTGTGCAACTTTGAAACCCCACCGGTGCAAGTCGCCTCGCTGTACTTTGTCACTTGCACCCATTTCCTGATCAGTCACACCTGGAATGCGCCCCACATGATCACTTGTTGTGCCACAAGAGAGACGGCATGTCTAGCAACACCTCCTTCAACTCTCGGCACATGAAAGGATTCAAAAGCAACTTTCAATATTGTCTCAAGTGTTACAAGCGTACAGCTAGCTGAATTGCCAGCTGTGAATTCTCAGGAACAAAGGAGGTTCTTAGACAACCCCAATTTGGATTGATCTCTATCCTCAAAAAGCAAGAGTGGGGAACCTGTGACCCCCTAGGGGTTGTTGGACTCCCAGCTCCCATCAGCCCCAAGCAGCATGGTCAAAGGGCACTCTACACTTCCCAGGATTCTCAGAGGGAAAGCCATGATTGTTTAAAGTGGTATGGTGCTGTTTTAAATATATTGCATACATGGGAACTTACTCTCAACTACAGTGGTACCTCTGGTTACGAACGCTTCAGGTTATGAGCTCCGCTAACCCGGAAGTAGCTGCTCTTGGTTGCGAACTTTGCCCCAGGATGCGAACGGAAATCGCACGCCAGATGCCGCGAGCAGCGGGAGGCCCCATTAGCGAAAGCGTGCCTCAGGATAAGAACAGTTTCAGCTTAAGAACAGACCTCCGGAACAAATGAAGTTCATAACTAGAAGTGCCACTGTAAGGGCATAAAATTGCTGCCTAGGTCAACCAAGGCCACTAGATGGCATGTGCAAACTAGCTTTTTCATTATCCATTTTTATTAGTTAGTACTTGCTGTATACCTCCAGTATACAGAAGTCACCTATATAGCAGAGACAGTGGCTGACCGTCTGGAGCCTAGGGGAACAAGGGTGAAAAGAGCATGGTAGGAAAGGACATGGGTCAGTAGAACAGCATGTGCTTTACACCCAGAAGACCCCAGCTTCAATCCCCAGCATCTGTAGGTAGAGATGAAAAAGATCCCTGCCTGATACTCAGGAGAGCCACTGTCAGTCACCACGGAGTCCAGCCTTTCTCTGTCTTGGGTCCCCAGCTGTGGTTGGACTACAAGTCCCACCATCCCTAGCTAGCACGATCAGTGGTCAGGGATGATGGGAGTTGTAGGCCAGCAACATCTGGGAACACAAGGTTAAGAAAGGCTGTGAGACAATGCTGAGCAAGATGGAACAATGGAATGAATCATTATAAGGCATCTTTTCATGTTCATAAAAAAGCTGAGATTTTCTAACTCGGGAGCCCTGCAGTTCTTCAGAACTTTAATTAAGAGGGTTCTTTATGAGACAAACATTATTGTCAGAAATATAAACTACAGCTGCTTACATATTTAAAGCACACACCCCTCCCGAAAAATACTAGGAAACATAGTTTACTGTGAGAACTACAATATCCAGCCCCCTTAACAAACTACAGTTCCCATAATTCTTTGGCGGAATGTGTTTAATGTCTGGTGTGGGCACAGCCTGAAAGTCTGCCTGCAGTTTTGTGACTCCCCATCTTCCTTTAGGGAAATGTTAAGCAGGTACTATTGTGTTTCCTGTTTCCACAGTTTGACAGGTAGACCCAGCAGGTCTATTTATTCTTCCTGATTTGCTTGCAGGTGTTTCTGCATCTTCTTGTTAGTTATTTGTTCATCCTACACCTTTCAATGCATTTTCTTGCCTGTTTCCAAAGGGCAAAACGTCAGATTATTTGTTAAAGTGAATTTGTTGTGCTAGAGCAGCAGAACACTTTAATCCACTTCAATTGCACAAACCTAAATTCATGGTATGTGCTTGAATCCCTCCCCCATTTCTCATTTATTTTGATGAAGAGAGGGCAGCTTCGGAAATATATCACAGCATCAACATTATAGATCAGCAGGAAAATGAGTGAGGGTAGATTACAATTAGGTTGAACCTTTTTTTATTTTATTGTGCAAAGTCAGATTTATAATACATCAGGTACAACTCTGAAGAGGATCGATTGGAACAAAAATATATGTACCATGAAGGGCAATGGAGTTCAGTCAAGAGCAACAAAGCAACCCATAGTTTCAGTCAAGCAAAACTTCCTTTTGCTTTTTATAGGCCTCACTGCTATAAGAATACCTAAGAGCACAACTATTAAATGTCTATGATTATAAAAAAATATTGCCCCTGGTGTCCTGTTAATTCTAATCAGAAAAACTGCAAGACTTTTCATTGCAATTTCCCAAGTTTTCCTGCTACTTTATCTTTGGACTATGACAGTCAACTGACCAGGAGACATTAATCCTTTTGTCCTAGTGTGGCACAACTTTGTGCCAGTGCAGTGTCTGCTATGCCTGTTCAGCTGCTCATTGGCGAGTCCCTTCTTCCACATCTGATTCTGCCTGCATTCATCATTCCTTCTATTTCTGATGTTGAGGCTTTAAGGAGGGATGGAAGGATCTGTCAGTTTTGGTTCTTTAAGCTTCTCTTTTTTTTCCAGTCTTAACTTCAGTTATCCACCTTTTGCAGTAATTTGCCATTTTAAAAAGAATCCTCATTAAAATTCATCAGCATCTTAGTGTGAATGTCTCCTAAAAACACACACTTTTATATACAGTTTTGACCGGCATATACATTTTGTCAAGCAATTTCCCTAATAAAATACATTTTTGTATGTTATTTTCACTGATACCATCATATTCATTCACACGTTCCTCTAATAAATGCATTTTTATTGGTTGGAGAACTGCGTCACAACATCTGGAAAAGTGTGAATTTCAAAGGTTAGCTGTGCTTCAGTATGCATATTGTTTGGGAAAGTGCAAATTTTATAGATTCAGCTTTAAATGTACACTGAATTAAATTTCTCCTCCATCCTTAGCCATAGGTGTTGCTGCTTGTTGGGTGGAGGAAAACACAAAGAAATCCCAATGAGGACTGAGCATGCTGAGTGGGCACAGAATGCTGACTAACTGTTGGAAGTGGAATGGACCAGAAAACTGGGTGGGAGGGGAAGTGGAATGGAGCGTTGTGGAGGAGGGCATGGCTGGCTGGCTGGCTGGCTGGCTGGCTGGCTGACAGGTGCAGTGAACAGGAGAGTTCCGCAATGCAACATTTTGTTCCAGCCAGGCCCTTTACTTACACTATGAATAAAACAGAATGTTCAGTAGAATTACAATGATCTGAAACACCTAGTCACCTAAATTCAGCGAGGAACTCATCATATCAGAACAGCCAGATTTATATGCTTTATCTGAACAGTTTCTTCCAGTTGCAATTCGTTGGCTTCTCCCAGAATCTAGTGTTTGCAAAAGTTTAAGTGGACTGCTTTAAGTAGCTTTATAGGGAGCAGAACCCCATGCTGTGAGTGCCAAAGGCACCTTTTGCTTTCTGAGCCCTCAGCTGTGCCCTCAATACACTGTTCTCTGCTACTTTGAAGGCTAGAAACTTATTTTGTAGTTGTGTCCATCAAACAGATGCAATAAGATGATTCTTACAATAAGGACCATGCCCACCCCCTGTCTTCCAAAGCCTAATTACAGTTGTACCTCGGGTTACATACACTTCAGGTTACAGACTCTGCTAACCCAGAAATAGTGCTTCAGGTTAAGAACTTTGCTTCAGGATAAGAACAGAAATTGGGCTCCAGCGGTGCGGCGGCGGCAGCAGAAGGCCCCATTAGCTAAAGTGGTGCTTCAGGTTAAGAACAGTTTCAGGTTAAGAACAGACCTCCAGAACGAATTAAGTACTTAACCCGAGGTACCACTGTATTTATTTAAGGGTTGATATCCCACCCTTCGGGGAGAAAGGTTCCCAGCACACCTTACACAACACCCCCACCATTTTTCTCATTGGAAGATAATGACAGATTGATGAGTTTGCTCCAAGAGACCTAACTGCAAAATAAGGACTGTCCCAGGTATTATTTTGAAAAATAATAACAGAAAGTAATTTTCAGTACTTAGGAAGGGAGCCCAGATTAGCACAGGCACGGTACATTACCGTATATTTTCATTTAATCCATGCTAAGATCCAATACTTTGGATGTTCAAGGGTTCCACTGAGATGGTTTTCTAAGCTGCAGGTCTATTATCCATTTTCTTCTGTTTGCCGATATTGAAGCCCTTTGGATGTGTTGATGTTCAGTTGTTATTTCTCCTACATGCATGCACACCTCCTTAAGCCTTGAATGAAGCACGAACCACTCTTCCCTTAAGAGGCTGAGCGGGACGGAAGTTATTCACCATCTGGATTCTTTCATCTTCTTCTGTGGTGAAGAGGAGGGTACGGAATTTCTCCATCTGTAAATTCAGGGGACTTGATATTACTTGTTTAAGTCGCGCCAGAGCTCATGAAGAAAGGAAAACGCAAATGGATTTAGGATGGCAATTTACATGTTGCCCAAAAAGTGGACCAAAGAGGACACAGATTTGCATAGTATTTGCATATCCTAATTGATAGCTGCAACTATAGAAATAAATAAATTAACACAGAAATGCAATCTATCTCACTGCAGAGGGAGACTGTGACCAGGTGACAGGACAGTCTGCTGTCCAGGTGCTAACGACTGATGGGAAACTTCAAGGCTGCTTCTCTCCCTTCTTGGGTTTTCCCTCCCTATATGTTCGTAAATAAAATAGCATTTTTGTGTGTGTGGTGTCCAGGATTTTAAGAGCAGACAGCATGGGCACTTTTGTGCAAAAAAAGGACAGCCCCTCACCCTCTGCCACCCAAGATTTACCTGTTTATCAGATATTCTGATGGTCTCCTTTAGCACTATCCAGGTCACACTCTCATTAAGAGGAGGTGTTGTCAAGGATCCAGGATATGTCCAGTAATCGAGACAAGAGGGCAGGAGGCTGCTTGGGTCAAAAGACTTGAACTGGGCTTTGGTTCCCTGAGAAAAGCATGGTTTAGAAAATTAAAAGTAGAAATTAAAGGTACAAACTAAATTGTTTTTACAAAACCTTCTGGAAGCTGCAAAAGCAAAGCAAAGCTATTGCTCTTGTCCAATAGCTGATCAAATATTGGATTTAGCTAAAAAGGAGAAGGGAACTGAAAAAAATACATGACGTGTCATCATGGTGTAGTGGTTAACATGTAAGACTAGGACTTCGCAAAATTCCAGGTGGGGAGATATTTATGGGAAGCATTGCATCATATTAATTTCAGAGGTCATTTAATTACATCAGTGTTGATCAAGATTTATTTTGGGGAGGAAGCAGATTTGTTGCACAAGCTGAATTTGTTGGTGTATGGTTGAATCCCACCCAAAAACAGTGACAGTCTGAAGTACCCTGAGCACAGAAATGATTTGGTTACCACTGCAACGGGTATAGGGTAGGTGTAATGGGATGATGATAATGATATTCTGCCTTTTCCACAGACTGGGACTCAAGGTGGCGTACACAAATTGTAACCACATAGATAAAATACAAAATGCTAAATACAAAATATACTGTAATAGTCTAAAAGCAATTAAACAATAATAGAATTAAAACAAGTCGATTAAAATACAGATAGTAAAAACAGTACAGCGCTATTAAAAGGCCTTTCCTTAAAAACAGTCAGTTCGCCAAAGCCTGTTAGAATAAGACTTCACCTGCTGGCAGAAGGACGATGAGGAGGGAGCCAATCTGGCCTCCTTAGGAAGGGAGTTCCAAAGTCTGGGAGCAGCCACTGAGAAGGATCTCTCCTGTGTGCCCCACCAACCCAATCCCACTGGCATCATGGCTGCCACATTCTAGACCAATTGGAGTTTCTGAACAGTCTTCCATGACACAAAACAAACTTTGCATTTGTATTTTAAACTTACCTTAAACTTGACCATGTACAAGGCATCTGTCAATCTGTTCATACTGGCATGTTCTTCTCCAATCTAAGAGTTTAAAATGAGAGAGATGCCTAAGAATGTGGATTTTGCAAAAAAAAGGAAGAGTTTCAACAAACCAGGAGCTGCCATTGAAACAAGTGCCTGGAAAATGCTACCAGAAAAAGGGAAGAGTCTTTTGAGGTTCCCCAGTGTCTTGGACAACTCTACTCTTTCTCCTTTTCTGTCCTTCCTGCCTTCCAAAACACCTGCCCCCTCTCTTCCTTTCCTCAAATCCTTCCTCAAAGCCATTTTTTCTGTGGTACAACCTCTAGACTTAGATCATGGATGGACCACCTTTTTTTCTTTTGGGGACTGCATCTTCTCTGGGGTTGCCTGCCAGCAGTGGGTGGGGCCACTTCCTTCCTTCCTCTCTTCCTAGGCGGCTGGGGGAAGGACAGGTCACACTTGCCAGAGCTCTGAACAGATACTGTAGCTACTGTGTAGAAATTAAGCCAAGGGCCACATTACATCCCTGCCTTAAACCTCATCCATTGCTGAAACTTAGGCTGTATACACACCATACATTTGAACCACATGAGTTCCCTGAAATAATCCTGGGAACTGTAGTTTACTCCTACAGACCTACAACCGTCAGCTTCCTTAGCAAATGATAATTCCCAGGCTTCTTTCAGGGGAGCCATGCACTTTAAACGTGCATTAAAAGTATGGTACAGTATTTACGCAGCCAGAGCCTCTAACTGTGTGCAATTTAGCTGAATGCATCTCATTCTCTTTTTACTCTCCCTCTATACCAGTGGTGGCGAACCTTTTAGAGACCGACGGCCCAAACTGCAAACCAAAACCCACTTATTTATCGCAAAGTGCCCAAAGTTGTTGAGCTTTTTTGGGAGAGACAGAACAGAAAAACCGCCACCATTTTTACCTTCTCCCTCCCTCTTCCCCCCTCCCGCCAGGCGCACTCCCCGACTAGCTGGGAACTACCATGCAGCACTAAAAAAGTGCAGGGAAAAAATCACGAAGGTCAAATAATGAACGCTGTTACACCCAATCAGAAACAGCCACTGCGGTAGCCAATTAAAAAACAGATCAATCGCGGAATACAATTGCTGGTTTAAGCAGTGGATGCACACAGTAGTTTGGGAAGGAGTGCGAGCACAAATGGAAAAAACAACAGGGCCAATGGCGCGTGTGCCAGCAGTGAGGGCTCCGTGTTCCCACTTTGGCACACATGCCATAGGTTTGCCACCGCTGCTCTATACTCTCCCTTGTGCTGAATTTTAGACTAAGCTCCTCATGGCAAAGACTGGTCTTCTTATACAGTGTCATGCACGTTGGTGGTGCCACACACATAATAAAAAGTTTTTAAAAACCACTAAAGGAAATAAAAACCTTCATGGGAGGTTTTTAAAGAGATGTTGGGTGGTCATCAATCAGGGATTCTTCAGCTGTGATTCCTGCACTGCAGGTGGGTGAACAAGATGATCTTGGCATCCTCTTCCAACCTTACACTTCTATATTTCTAAGTGCAACAAGTTTTGTGGCTCTTACCTCTAAGAAAACACCAATCACTGCTAAGCCATCTGGAGCCGCTGCTGCCTCTTCAAAGGTCACATATTTCTTAGCATTCCAGTGAACTAAATGGAGCTGGGGAGACAAGTCAAACATCAGTATTCAGGGGCAGCACACCCCGTTCCGTCACTTGAGGCAAAACAGAGAGTGCTGCCCTGACATCACTCCCGCTGCCACCAGGCCCGTCATACCTGCCACCGCTGCCTGCACCACATGCTCCGCCAAATCAGTTGCTGATGGAGAAGTGGCAGCTCCATCAGTGTTGATTTCAAGTGAAATTGTGCCAATTTTGGGAGAGATCTCACCCGAAATCAGCACTGATGCTGGCCCTGCTTCTCCATCGCGGGTGTGATTTCTGGAGACCACAGAAATCTGACATCCTATGATTTTCTATGCAACCCCAGCGCAAGTTTGTATATTTAAAAAGGGGGTTTAAAAGACATCCAAGATTTATGACTCGCCTCGCAAGGAAAAGGGTTGCCATCGATGGTGTGCTCTGATCCGGAGTCTTGGCTTGCCCCCCAATGAAAATGGAATTGTTTCAGCCTGTAAGGATCTTCCAGTGGCCCTCCACTGACCGCTGCAACCAAGAAGACAGAAAACTGGCAACTGGCTTCCATGAAACTGACCATATTATACATCCCTCCACCCACCTCAATAGCTCTAACAGGGGAAAGTCCCAGGTGCAACAAAACAAGGCTTGGTTCCCTTTCGATAAGTGAGCACTGAAGACGTCTTTGCAATACTGTATCTGCGTTATTTACAGATGGTACCGGTATTCACATTGCCAGAAGGGCTCCCAGAATTGATTACAGATTTATAAGCACAGTCCCTGCTCCTCAGGCTTACAGTCTAAAAAGACACAGCACGAAAAGGAAAAGGAAAATGTACAGGGAGGGAGGAGGAAAGCAAGCAAACCCAGGTACCATATTCTTGACATCGCAAGGTTCTTATAAGCTGCTTACAAAAAAGAGAGAGGAGAAACAGTCTCTCTTCAACAAGAACAGACCAGTAAAAAAAAATGCCATACTCCATCCACATATACCTAAGTACAGTGCCATCTACTGGTGGAACTAAATAATGAATTAAATAAATCCACAAAGAAATTCAACACCAAAAACTAGAGAGAGATTCCTAAATATCAACCACTAGCTCATTACTGTCTATACCAGGGGTGCCCAAACTTTTTTCAAAGAGGGCTAGATTTGATGAAATGAACATGCATGAGGGTTGACCAAAGTTGTTGACCTTTTTTAAGGATTGAGGTTGTTGAGCTTCTTTTACATGCCTGGTCTATACTCTTCTGGATTTCAGGCAGGAGTCTTTCCCTGTTAGGGATTGAATTTGGGACCCTTTGCATGTCAAGCTTGTGCTCTGCTACTAGACTGCAGTGCTTCCTACAAGATGTTCGGGCCGAGGGCGCACTGCAGGCACAGCGGTAAGTGCCGCCCCCTGCGGTGTGGCACCCATTGCGCCCCCCCAGCTACGCCTTTGTGTTGGGGACACTCCCACCCTGCCAAGAGGGCACACCTGGAGCCAAGCCTGAGTGATGACAACCCAGTGCAAACTGAAAGTGTGCACTAGAAGAACTTGTGATATCGCAGACCAGACTTCCCCAACCTCAGGTCTTCAAGATGTTGTTGGACTACAACTCCCATCATCCCTGACCATGGGTGTAGTCAGGATTTTTGTTGGGGGGTGGCAGACCTTTTTTTAGGGGGGCAGAACTTCAGTTTGCTATGTATTTTTATTGATTTAGGAGAAGCAGCTGCCCCTCCCTGCCCCCCCAGCTACGCCCATGTCCCTGACCACTGACCATGATGGCTGGCGCAGACAGAGGAGCTCAACATCAAGAGGGCCACAGGTTGCCCACCCCTGTCATATAATGCACAAGCATATACTCAGACATGGATTTGACCTCATGCATTATTGCAGCACAGAAGCACCCTACTTAAGCTTAAGTGAGAATGGATTCATTACAGCCCCATTCATTGTCACTAAATACCACTGTAAATGAAGGATTCGCTGAATGGCATCTACTACTGTTCTTCACAAGTTAAGTCTTACGTATTCCAAAGGCTGCAACTTAATACTGTACTTGATAAATGGCACCATGGACGTTCCTCACCTGTCACTGGAAACTCAGCTGCTCTGTAACTATAGCTTTTAAGGCATCTTTCCTGGCTGGAAAAAACCTGGCACCATACCAGTGTGTAGGCACAGACTAAAGAAGTGTGGGGCACTTCTGCTCCCCACAGACACAAATTCAATGGGCCAGCAAAGTTTCCCCAGCAGTTCTCCTCTGTCCCACGTATCTGATTGATCTGGCTTTTTTCCCTAATTCCAGTGTTGCCCCAAGAATAGAGAGAGTTGATTGTGGGTGTGATGGTGGAAGAGAAGGGAAGGATTAACTCTTTAACTCTTTCTCCTTGTGCTGTTTTCCCAAAGAAAATCACCAATCAAGGAAATCATTTCAGGTGGAGCCTGCAGTAGAATGCTGCAGTGTGGGTATTCCGTTCCATTCTCCATCCCAATTGGTTTTCCATTTTGTTCTCTAATAGCCAGCCTGTGTTCTGCAGCCACTGAACATGTGGTCACACCTATACCATACATGGCTTCCTCAAAGAATCTTGGGAACTGTGCTTTGTGAAGGTTGTTGGGAATTGTAGCTCTGCGAGGGGTAAGCCACTGTTCCCGGGATTCTCTGGGGGAAGCAATAGGCTTTAAGTGTATGGTGTCCTCATTGGACTGTTTTTGCTCTTACCTTCCCATTCAGGCTTTCTTTTTCTAAATAATGTTTGGTACTTCTGCAAACTTTATAGTTCCTCCAAGCTCGCTGATACCTCCCTCCTTTTGCATGGATGGTGCCATTTTGGCCCCTGAATGATCCACACTCACCTCTGCACTTTGAAAATAGAGGGAATTGTTTGTTACATGTTAATATCATTTCTCTACCAAGGGGGCTTAGAGGAAAGTAAACATCGTTCCTTCCTCTCCTTTTCATGCAAATCTCTTCTAGGAAGCACATTTTTGTGTACAGTTTTCACTAATTTACAGTATTCATTTTGTGCACACTTTCCCCCAAACACATGCATTTTTTAAGAAGTATGAATTTTGAACAATGGCTGTATTTCAGTTCTCATATTATCTCGGAAAGTGCCTATTTGACAGATTCAGCTTTAAATGTGAACTTAGTTGACGCCTCCCCCTCACTGAACATAACATGCACCACTTACCCGTTTTGTCATCAACATCCTTAAAGTCTACCATGACTGAATGCCCATTGTTGGAGATGTCGATAGATGAGCACGATTCATACGAAATGCTAAGGGGCTTCAGGCAGGGGTCATAAATGGCTTGTGTGGGGATTATATCAATTGGAGACTGATGATTTCCTTGGGCAATGGGGTAGGACTTGTACCACTCAGGAGGTCCTTTGAGAAGGAAAAAGGGAAAAACTGTTACATCATTCTTACCTTCAGACATTGTGAGGTGGCTTTTTATTTATCCTCAGAAGGATTTGGGGTACTGCATTCCATCATTTACAGGGGACAAACTAAAGCTTGTCTCAGTAAGACTTATATGGAAAAACCCGAAGTAATCAGACTAGTAGAACATTGTTTTACTGACTAGGTAACTTTAGTGAAATATGGCAGGCAAAGGGCATTAGAACCATTGGTACATCTTACTCAGTGTTGCCTACACCAGGGTGACGAACTGTAGCCCTCCAGGTGTTGCTTTTGCAGCAGCTAGGGACTTTTCTGAACACACCATTTCTAGTGGCATAGTTGCTGTGTATTTTTTCCAGATTGTTTTGGCATGCTGCTGCATGACATCACCAATATTCAGCTAGTATTCTGGAATAACGTAAATTTTTTTTTCTACCACAAAAACCCTGACTTCTGTGAAAGAACTGGAATAGAGCCTCAATATTTTCATTTGTGTGGCATGTGCGCAAACACCATCCCAGTTTCTGTGTAGCCAGTGGGTTTGGGAGACACCTGTTCTGCTCCCCTTCCCTTGGGCAACAGCCCACTGTCAGCATGCAAGCTCCATTCAAGAGATGAGGTTGAGGATTCTGAGTGAGATGGGGAATTGCATGCAGTCCCAGCAGCACTTCCACACAAGTGGAGCCAGTGCTTCTGCGACTTGAGGACATTACACTGCCTCAGAGGACTCCATTGCAGAAGCTCCCGTAGAACCAGAGTCTCTGCTACTCCCTTGGAGCTGAGGCCCTTTAACTGAAAGCAGAGAACTCTTGCTCCTATACAGGCCTCAGTCTCAGGCTAAGCGTTCCTGAAGTGACACTGGATGTCTGCTTTGCTAGCCCAGTCAGCCTAAACCCTGCACACAAAGCAGGTTAGCGCTGCCTGCCCTGCTGCAGAGGCCAGTGCTTGCAGCAGGACAATTGCTCCATCTCCAATGTATTGTCTACATTGCCTGGCAAACAGAGGTCTTCCCTACCACCTGGTGCCCCAGAGATGCCAGGGACTGGATCTTGGAATCTTACATATGCAAAGTATTACGTGCTGCTCTGCCTTGGAAATATGGCTCCTTCCATGGGCAGCTGTGTTGTGTTTTCCTAGCATTATTCTCTAACGCCCGCAGTTTTTCTGTGAACTGTTATGTTTTTTTGAACAGTGACCACACACGAAGCTGTTTCACACTGAGGTAGCTGGACCATCTAGTTCAGCACATATATGCTTTCTGGGAGAGGCTCTCCAAGGCAAACATCCAAACATCTTCCCCAGGCCTGTTATTTGAAAACCTTTCACATGAGAAGCCAAACATTTGCCCAGAGATCTTATGCATGCAAACCTCTAATGTGTTCCACCATTGGTCCATGAAAATGCCATTTTGGGCTACCTTCATTCATCCTCCTGATGACAATCTGATGACAGAAGTAGCCAAGTAGCCCTTTTAAATAATGGTAAACATCAGAATTGCTATGCTCCCCTGCCTCTACTCAGTCATTTTGTGAGGACTTACAGTGGTACCTCAGGTTACATACGCTTCAGGTTACAGACTCCGCTAACCCAGAAATAGTGCTTCAGGTTAAGAACTTTGCTTCAGGATGAGAACAGAAATCATGCTCCGGTGGCACGGCGGCAGCAGGAGGCCCCATTAGCTAAAGTAGTGCTTCAGGTTAAGAACTGTCTCAGGTTAAGAACGGACCTCCGGAACGGATTAAGTACTTAACCTGAGGTACCACTGTATTTTCTATAGATTTGCTTTAATGCTGTGCACTTTTCCCTGATCAATGCTAGAGCATGCATTTTCTCTCGAGTTTTCCTCCCACGAAAAGGCTACCCCATTTTCCATTTGCATGCCGACTAATGCTTGATTGGCATGCAGGTACATATTGCTGACCAGCAGGTTATCTGGAAAGGCCCTTCAAAGGGACACAGGTCATGAACAAAGGTCAGTAGACTTGGTGTCTTTGCACTTCTCTAATGAAGAATAAACTTACAAGAAGATGCTGCAAAGGCAAGTCATGCTTTGACCCCAGCATGCAGAAAGGCAATGAATCTTGTGGCTCTTCCGAGCAATAATTGAACAGTTGCTTATTGGTTAACCACTTAAGTGCCTGTTGCACTTTGCCTATTTTCTAGGAAAGATGGCATGCAGTCGGCATGTGCAAGGAGTACAGCAATAAGTGCAATAAGCAGAAGAGCAGAGAAAGAATGGGATGGATTCAAAGCAGAAGGGGAAGGGTCTGCATATAACCTACCATCTTTCAGCCCATATCCCCAGCAGTTATGACCGGTCATTATGCAGGCGGATTCGTTCTGCTTTGCTGCCAGCTCTTTTAATCCGAGCTGCTGCAGCTTACCTGCCTTTATAATAGCTCACTTGAGGGACAGTGTCAGTCTCTTAAAGAGGCAGCAGCAGTTCCTGCTCCTGAGGCCACTGTGTACACCTAGGGCTGTTTAAAATATGATCCCAGAAAAAGAGATACCCAGTTAGACTGGGGTTTGTGATGGGGGATTTGGAATTCTACGCATACCCTTTTGAATTCACTCGTGGCAAATATTAGACAGGTGCTCTCTCTATTGTCGTTTCAGCACCTACAGAAGATATTCTTCTCCCACTGAGCCTTTTAAGTAGAGATCTTTCTGGATCTGCATTGAAATTGTCTTTATATGTTTTAATTTGTTATTACTTGTGTGTTTGCCACCCTGGGTTCCTTTGGGAGAAAGGACAGGATATAAATGTTGTTGTTATTGTTGTTGTTGTTAATAGATAATGACACACACACACACACAGCTCCTTTCATTTTGCTGGTCTTCCATAAGGGCTATTGATGCAACAACGATTGTGTGCAATATAGGTAGATTCAGTGCATCTCGTCAGTGCCTCTTAAAAAGAGTTAAAACATATTACATTCACAGGAATAGGGTGGGCCTTGAAAACACACATCTTAGCTGGCAAAGGCTAGGGTAAAGAGATACATCATCAGTCACCAAAAGAGAATGCTTTCTCCCAGGACCCCCACCTCCCCCCAAATTTTTAGGGAGATGGAACCACCTAGAGCCCCCATGTTTATATTAATAATAATAATAATAATACAGTGATATCTTGGTTTACAACCACAATCCGTTCCGGAGGTCCGGTTGTAAACCAAAACAGGATGTAACCCAAGGTGCGCTTTCACCAATGGGGCCTCCAAAAAAAATTTGGTTGTAATCCAAAAAAAGGGACACACACTTCAGGGAGGGTTTGACATGGTTGTAATCCAAAACGGTTGCAAACCAAGGTACCACTGTAATCATGAACTGACATGGAAAAATTTGAAACTGAAAAAAACCAAAATTGACAGTTTTGCCTGGAAACATGTGAAGCATTTCTAGGCCCACCAGCATAGCTAAAAACAGAGAAAATGCTCCATCAGTCATTTGCATCCTGCAAGTAGAAGGCTGTAGTCCTATACTCATTTACTTGGGAGTAAGGCCCACAGAACTCAATGGGGCTTACATGTACAACTGTGCAGTAAAAGGGAGAACCTTGATTCTTGTCCCCCACTTGGGGCCTGTCCTTGGAGGGGCAATTTAACTTGGTAGTGAAAGGTTAGTTCCTTCTATATTTGTTATCTCTTATGTGACACATGATAAAATAAGTCACTATAACCGAAAAAGTTAATGAGAAACAGCATTCAACCCGGAACCTCTGAAATATGTGAGGAAGCAGATATGAAGTGCAATCCAGCAGGGAAGATTAAATCTATAATCATTACTAGCCATTGACAACCTTATTCTTCATGGGTTTTGTCTAATATTTTAAAGCTGTCCAGGCTGGCAGTTATTACTACATCTAGTGAATTCCATAGCTCATCATTAGGAAAGGAATCAGAAACAAAACTGAGGGTATTATCATGCCTTTATACAAATATATGGTACAATCATTCCTAGGCTACATTCAGGCAGCATTTTATTCCATCCTCCCAAAGTTCCTTTACCATTTAATTTTTGCATCTTATGTCATCTTTCACATGATGCAAAAGCTACTTATGGAAATCTAGAAGTGGATTCCAAAATACGTTAAGTGCTCATTTCTGTGTTTCCAGAAAAAATCAGTTCGCAATTCCATTAACTTTGCAAATCACTGGAGTTTTACACGGTAATTTCCCCACGGTTTTCATGATCATGTCATCGCTGTTCACATGAACAAACCTGGGATATATAGTGATCTTCTGCAGTATAGCCACATTTGCATCACACAATAGGTACTGCAGTGTAAAAGGAGCATTGGAAAGAAGGGCAGAAGTGCTAGCATTATGCCCTGTCAGACTAGCGCAATAAACCCCATATCTGAATACTGTGTACAATCCTGGCCACTGCATCTCAAAAAGGGCATTGTAGAGCTGGGGAAAGTGCAGAAAATTACTACTAAAATGATCAAGGGGCTGAAATAGCATACATTTCAATGTTGCTTGTGTAGAACAGCATCTCATTGAATTATGCTCCTTATCTGTCAAATAATTGCTCCAGAACCGCTTTTAAAAGAATATATTTTTACTTCCCAATAACTGTAGTTGTCCTACACAGCCAGCCTCCATTTGTTTTAGTGACTCTTGAACAGAACACCCATTGGTTGTGCTAAATATTCTCTACTCAAGAATTCTCCCCACTCGCATTTCTGAAATAGTATCTTATCCTTGTGCAGCGTATCTCCCCCTAGGTTACAATAGAATTACTGACATTCTCAAGAGCTACAATGAGAACTGCAGCTGCAATTGATGTTATGCACTAACATAAAGGAAGCCAATCAAATTCTCTATTGTGAAGTTATATATCTGAAAGCATATGTAAAAATCATTCAAAAGGTGGACAAATTAGATCTAGAGATTAGCTTCTATTCAGTTATATTTTTCTTTTTTAAAAAATTAAAGTGATTGTTTACTCCAAAATAAGTGCCACTGCATTCAGTATGAAGATAAATAGAATAGGACTGTAACTTGAAATGTATGTTGCAGAATGAGAATACACTTTTTAAAAAAAGAAAGGAAGGCTGTAATTTTATGCCCATTTAGCTGGGAGTAAACCCAACTGAATTTAGTGGGACTTACTGGTGAATAGACATATACAGGATTGCATTGTAATAAACAAAAAGCCATACAGAGCTGGGGGGGCAGGAGGGGGAATACAAATACATGTATATGAAGAAGTGTGTGCTTGGAGAGAGGTATTTGCAACAGAAAATTCAGCTACTGCATTAAATGGGATTATGTCCAATATTTTTAACCTATATGCTTTCTGTACCAGTGTTCTTTTGATATGAATTATGAAATAGTGATCCACTTCCAATCTACAATAGGGTAGTCACAGAAGACAACAAATCTTAAAATGTTGCCATTTTATTTCAATAAGCAGAATGTCAAATACTTAACCGTTGCTACAATCCCAGAAAGGGGAAGAATGTACAGTATTGAGACGGCAAATACAAAGCCAGAGAAAAGCATAATGTGAGATAAGAAAGCTGGGAAACAGGAAACATTCTCTTGCAGTAAATCATCTCTCCATTATAACATTAAAGTTGAAGAGGGGAATTCCCACGGAGCTCATTACTTCTGAACAGGTTTACATAGGACTGCTCTGTAAGGTGAACATACCATTCGCACCTATTTAGCACTAGGAGTAACCCAACTGAATTTTGGGTGTTTCCAGGTTGTTGCTACTTTCAGGTGGGATTTGGTCACATGCCAGCAAACTCAAGTTGTACAATTTGGAGTTCTTGCTCAACAAACCTGCTCTCTCCCCACCTCACCCCCGCAATCTTTTTTGCAATAAATGATGGAGATGTGCACCAGGAAATTATTAGTATTTATTAAATTTGTATTCCGCCCTTCACCCGAAGATCACAGGGCGGTTCACCACCTGAAAATACAAAATGAGAGCACGAAATACATAATAAAACACGGGATGGCGCTTGATGTGAACCTTGCACAGAGGAGCATAGGAAGCTGCCTTATACGAGTCAGACCGTTGGTCTGTATTATTTACACTGAAGGCATGGTCCAGCAAGAAGCGCCCTGCATAAAAGCAAATATTCTCTCATTCTCCGGTGCATTTCCCCATCCTCACCACTTTCCTTATCAGAAAGGGCGCTCCCAGGCTGCCGCTGTTCTCCAGTGGGATTCAATCGCATATTACTGGCAAATCCACGATGCCGCATTTATTTGGGAGGAGGATGCCAAGGAAGGTGCGCGGGAACCTACGCGCATAAGCCACGCCGATCCCACAGTAAACAGCAACAGACGCTGACCGCGGCACCAGCGGCCGACTTCCCATCCAGCAAAGCGCCGCGCCGCGGGAGGAGGCGGGACGAGCGACCCTGCCCGTCAAGCAAAAGCAGCGAATTGCCGGCGCTGCTTGCCGGCTTGCGCAAGCGCGTTGGCGGACGCTGAGAATTCTTGCGCCCCTTCAGGAAGGCTTGGGGAAGTGCGGCGGAGAGGACCGTCCTCGGTTCGGCGAAGGGGCGTCATGGCGGCGACGGTGCAGCAGCAGGGCAGAGTCAGCCTGAAGGAGCAGCGCTACGACCGGCAGCTCAGGTCGGCCTGGAGGGCGAGGAGGAGAAGAACGAGGGCTAGTTGGGCGCAGCGCAGGGGGAACGGCTCGCCTCGCGTTGCCACTTGTAGGGAGGCGGGTTGGGCAGGGGGCTTAGAGAGGCTCTGCCAGGGCAGGATCCTTCCTTGGCTGTTTCCTAGGGGCGCCCCCAAGATGGTCCAGTCGCCGCTCAGGGGACTTTCCTGGGCGGAACCGGAGCCAGGACGCCCTCCATCTCCTCCCGCCCAAGGCCTCTCTCTGTTGGCTAAGCCTAGGGCTTAAAAACAAAAGCGAAGAGCTCCCTTAATAAACTTTTACAAAGGCAGTGTGGTCTAGTGGTTACAGCGGTTGTTCAGGACTGGGAAGACCCAGGTTCAAATCTCCCATTGGCCATGGAGCTCAGTGGGTGATCGGGGGCTTCTTACGCTGGACAGGTGCACCCCACCTCCAGCAGAGATCTCTCTCCTTCCTATGCCAGGTATACATCTCAGGGACTCGCTTCACTTTTAACAGATGCCTCTTCTTCCCTAGCAAGTTCTAGTGTATCTTTTATATTGTTCCCAGCGACAGCCAAAAAGCCTCTGACCCAAAGGAGCACTTTGCTGTGTGTGCAGGTTTAAAGCTCTCTGTGTACCCTGCTTCACTGGCTTGTTATGATGATGGAAGGGGAAGACCTATGTTCACATCAGCCTCAGTTCCTTGGAGCTCTAAGCACTGTATAAATATTACAAATAATGCTTACAAACCTCCTTAAAGTGCTCAAAAACCTTACAATATTTTCTAACTTGAGTCTGTTAGAAATCAAGCTTTCTTCATCTTTTAGCCAATTGTTCTATCACTCTGACAAATTTGTATTGTGCTCTTCCTCTGAGGAGTTCAGGGCCACATCATCATAGTATTTCTATTAGGTGGATGAGGCTGAGAGATGGTGCATAGTCCAAGACCACCTAGTAAGTTTTATGGGATTTTGAACCTGGATCTTTATAGTCAAAGTCTTAACACCTGTAGTCCTCCATAATACATCCTATTATCCCTGATTATTGGCCATGTTGGCTGGGGCTTCTGGGAATTGAGAATCCAACAACATCAGGATAGCTATTTGTTCCCCAATCTTGGTCTAACACTATAATTACTATACGAAAGTTTCTGTCCTGTTCCATTTTCAAGATTAGCCACTTCTCATTTCATCTGTTAGTTGTTTTTTTTAAGATACTCAGTTCCATGCTTATCTAATGAAGCAACACTTAACAGTGATGTTCTGAAGCATCCTTCATCAATGCATCAGTTTCTTGTATGTATCCTCTCTCAAAATTTGAATTAGGAATGTTGATGATGTCTGTGTTTTTGTGTTGCAGATTATGGGGCGACCACGGACAAGAAGCTTTAGAATCTGCACACGTTTGTGTGATAAATGCAACGGCCACAGGAACTGAGATCCTCAAAAACTTAGTTCTGCCAGGTATAAATAAAAACAAATGTGCAACTTTCATTGAGTAGAAAAGTTGTAATTTGGAGTAAGCACAATGTTTATTTGTTTCTTCAAGGTGTTGGATCGTTTACAATTGTTGATGGGAATCAAGTCACCGGTGAAGATGTTGGCAATAGGTAATGTGTGCACCATAGTTCTGAAAATGAAGGAGTGTGTTTAGGTGTGGGAGGTGAGTTGCTTGCAAACCCATGGGGACACTGCTGACCTCTAAACTATATGATCGGCAGGTTGGGCAATGTTCTGTCTGTACCAGGCCTATTTCAAAATTACCATTTAAAATACGTGGGAAGAATTCAATGGGGCTCTGAGGAGCACAGTGGTGTAGTGTGGGGCAAGTAAAGATGTGGCTACGCAGAAACAACTGGGAATGTGCTCTTGGTTGGTCTTTGGCACGTGAGACTTGTTATAAGCACTGATAAATTAATTGGTATTTAGAGTAAGCCCCACTGGGACTGACTGGGTCCTGTTACTGCATTCTTCCACTGTCTCAATGTTCTGCTGTTGATAGGGCCATAATCACTTGAATTACAAAAATCCAAAATATTAATTCCAACAAGAACATTCCTATTGGAGAGAGGAAATGTGTTTGGGCTGTTTTCTTGGAGTGCATTCCATAAAGTGATATATTTTATTTCGAGAAATGTTTCATCAAGTTAAAACTCTGAAATGTGTGGTTGCTTTTTCTGCTTTTTTTAGTTTTTTCCTGCAAAGAAGCAGCATTGGCCAGGTAAGAAAATATTAAATGTGCTGTATTGGGAAAGTGACTCTGTAGTATTTGAGAGACCTGTAGTATTTGAGAGACCACCTTATCGCTTACCTATGCAGTAGGTCACTGTAGTCTACAGGATAACTTCTCCTAAAGTGCCAAAGATCTCAAAAGCCCACTCCACAGTAACTTGGAGCAGGGATTTCAGTATGGCAACCCCTGTTCTATGGAACAAAGATATGACAATTGCCCATTATTTGCACTTTCCAGAAACAGTTGAATACATTTTTGTTCTAACATGCTTTCCTAGGTGAATGAATGGGTCTCTGTCATGGGTGTCCACTTTGAATTGTTTTAAAAATTATCTGTTGTTGTTTTTGGTGTTATGTTTAACTGTTTTAAGCTGTTTTATTCTGTTTTGTACATTGCCTTGAAACATGTTCTTGGAAAGTGATTAACAATAACTAACTAACAGTACATTGGACCCACCTGGTGAAATATATTTTACTTTCTCTTTCATAATAAAGAGATTAACAGTGCAATCTCATACATGTCTACTCAGAAGTAACTCCCAATGAATTCAAAGGGATTTACTTCCAGGTAGGAGTGAACAGAATAGCAGCACATAACTAAATAATATGACTAGAATACAGATAAACAGATTGCACATTATGTAAGAGCCAATCAGAACCCTTACAAATTCATACAAATTCTTGGAAGGACTTGTTCTAATTAGTTCACTCAAAATTAAGACTTCTTAGCCACCTGCTTGCATGCAAAGGTCAGCATGTTCTACCCAAACAGAACTTTGGTCATTTCCCCTCTAGCTATGCTAGTGCCTGTGAGAAAGTAGAGCCCACATCAAATTCCATTGTCCTCTTTTCTCTGCACCACTTTTCATCAGCAATACATAACCTGACCACTCCATGTGTTGGTAACCTTGAGGCTGGGTTACTGTAATGTGTTGCATGTGGGGCTGCCCTTGGATCTAGTTCTTTGTATGTTGATTTAAATGTAAATTCCAACGTAATAGTAGCAGTAGTAGTAGTAGTATCAATACGCACCTTTTTCCCTGACAGGCACTCAATGCAGCTTACAGATAAAAATAGGAAAAGCTAAAAATATGTGATGGGGAAACAGTCATTAAAAGCAATTAAATGTTGATAGAGAATCAAAACTATATATATACAAATAAGTGCAATAAAATCAAAACAGCACAGCCATTTCGTTCAAAGCAGTCAGTTCCTAAAAACCTTTTGGAACAAGAACGTCTTGTTGACAGAAGGACCTATTGACAGAAGGACGACAAGGAGAGAGCCAACAAGGAGAGGGAACATCCCTCTCTGCATCCCCACCAAACACGCTTGTGAGAGCAGCTTGTGAGAGAAGTATGTAAGCATGCATAGGATTGTAGTCATAACAGTCTAATATTTCCAATTGTTATTTTTAAACAGAATCGAGCCCAGTGCGCAACAGAACTATTACAAGAATTGAATAACGATGTCTCTGGAAATTTCGTAGAAGAGGTTTGTAGCAAACATCCTTGTGTTTACTGGAGTGTTGGCAATTGGAAAAGTATAAAAGAGAAGGTTGCATGTGTGTGCCACCTATAACCATGGCATGCAACTAGAGAATTACAAGTGAAGGGAAATGGTAGCCAAGCCAGCTGAGTTGTACAGCATCCTGCCTCCTCCACAGCACCCTTTGTCATCACTGCATCACACTGTGGAAAGGTCTGATGTGAAAAGGCATCATCAGCCACACTTTAAATAGCAAATCCTGTTCATGTTGTGTAAATTGATATTATAGCAGAGCATAGATTTACTCCAAAAGTAGGGTGAACTTGGCAGTTGTTAATGCAGCTTTAAAGAGTGTGCATGTGACAGTGAATCTTGGCCAAATTGTGCCATACAGTCATCACTGTTCTGTGCAGGGTGAATGAGGTAACTGCTATATTTATGTGGTTGATGCCTTGATTGATGCTTGAATGTGAGGCACAGAAAATTCCAGAGGTTGATTTGTTCATATCTATAGGATTTAGGAAAATCCTAAATTTAGGGGGGGGGGGGGGGTTTAAGTTACCCATAGTCCTACATAGATGTGCATATTAAAAGTAAGTTTGCAATTCATGCACTTAGCCCAATAAGTGAAACTAACGTTTAATATTTCTATGTGTAATTGCTTTATGATCTAATATGTATGTGTCTAATGCATTTTCTTAAGAATCCAGATAAACTTCTGGACAATGATCCTTCATTTTTCTGCCGGTTTAATATAGTGATTGCAACTCAACTCCCAGAGAGGTAAGCAAGAATCAAATTAACATTATCATGTAAAATGCAAATATTCTTCAGGCTTTTTCAGTGAATATGTAAATTACGTGAGAAAGCTAGTGTGTCATCCTTGTTTTTAATGCTTACATCCAATTGATTTCCATTATGTTTGAGCACAATTCCATTTAGTTAAGTTGTGTTTTCCTCTAGCTATTGCCATTCCACTGAAACAAAAAAAATACACACTTAGCTTGGAAATTCACTAGATAAGGGCCAAACTAGATGTTCTAGAAACCTGAGTTCCTTGGGTATTGCAAAGGGATAAGAGTGGAAATTGTGTCCTTGCAACCTTTCTCCCTAGATGTTTTGTCCATACCCGACCCAGAAAATGAGTGTCTGGGAACGAAGTGGGGGTTGCAAAGGAAATGTGCATAAATTATTTCTGCCCTTTGCTTTGCAGTAGAGAAACAACAGTCTGATTTCCCAGTGCTGCATTTGTTTCTAAATGCTTGGTTTGGCCCTAAGGAGATCTGCTGTGGTAATCAACTTGTTAACCTACCATTCCTTATAAAGGAATTCTCTGCTTGATTTGTGGCCTGCATCTTGATAATGAAAGGAGTTCAGTCATCTCTATACTCTGATAAAGATTCAGAAAAGTTGATAAAGATTCAGAAAAAGTTGCTACATTGCTCGCTATTCTGTCATAATATACTGAAAACAATAAATTGGAATTATTTAAGATACACTATATCTTGAGCTGCTGGTTAAAATAACTTTTGTGATTGCTTAACTTTATATTCAACAGAAATATAGGCTGTGGACCGCTATTAAAGAAAAAAGATTTCTTTTTTGCAATAGAGCAGTCTCTCTCTCTCTCTCTCTCTCTCTCTCTCTGTGTGTGTGTGTGTGTGTGTGTGTGTGTTCTCTTGATCTGACTCCATATCTTAATATTTTTCAGTACATTACTCAGGCTTGCCGAAGTCCTCTGGAATTATAACATTCCGCTGTTAGTTTGTAGGACTTATGGATTAATAGGATATATGAGAATCATTATTAAAGAACACCCAGGTAAGAGATTCATTTAATAATTAAGAGCTTCTCCTATGTTGGGGTAGTCAACATGGTGCCTTACAATTATTGTTGGTTTCCAGCTTGTATTGGCCAAGCTGGTGTGGGCAGGGATGATGGGAGTTGTAGTCTAACAGCATCAGAAAGATACCATGTTGGCCACTTCTGCCTTATAGCTTATACATGCCCATCTTTTAAAATGTTATTATTGAATTGTAACATGACAGATTTTTTGAGACACTTCAGTATGTTTCATACTGAGTGAACATACTAAAAAATAATAATCTAGAAATGTAGTTCATCTTGTTGGTAGCAAAATTAGATGTAAAATCCAGTCCCAAGCTGTAGATCTGACTACCTCTACTTTTTATTGTATGCCATTTCTCCAGCAAATAGTAGGTTTTTCCAGAGGGGAAGGGGCATTGCTCAATGGTAGCATCTGCATTGTATGTAGAAGGCTCTAGGTTCAATCTCTGGCATTTCCAGGTGGGTCTGGAAGAAAACCCTGTCTGAAAACCTAGAAAACGTTGCCTGTCAGTGTAGATAACACTGAGCTAGATGGACCATGATGATAAATAGCATGTGAAGTTGAATATGTTATCATCAACTTTTCTTTCAAATCAAAATCTCCTTCAATATTTTGATAGTTGTGGAATCTCACCCAGACAATGCATTGGATGATTTGAGACTGGACAATCCTTTTCCAGAACTGAAGGAGCACATTCAGTCTTATGATTTGGATCATATGGAGAAAAAGGTTTGTATAAGCTCTGTGTTCTGTCTAGCAATATGGGTGCAGGCTTTAGAGACAATCCACACAATCATTTTAAGAGAAGTGGCTTACAGGCTGTAACTAATGCCTACGAAAGACTCTTTTTAAAAATAGTGTTTTGAGTTTGAGACTTTCAGTGAATTCACCTATTCTAGTTTCTGGTTTTATTTTGAAGAATTTAATGTTGCAGTAGAATTCCATGAGATAAGCAGTGTGAGGTCTGTTTGAAGAAAAAATTGCTAAGCATACTTTTTGAACCAGATCCTTCATTACAGGTTTGCTTCTCCATACACTTCCAACATAAGGTTGTTGTAAAACCACAGCAACTAGCCCAAGAAGCATTGAATAGCTCAAAATAACTAAATCATTGATTATTATTTAAGGCTTTATGGCCACCCCTGAATGCTGTTGGGATTTTAAACCAGAGGAAAATTCTGTATCTTCACTAATGGGCAACTTGCAAAGTCACATGCAAACTCATAAAGCTGAGGAAGTTGTGTGGGTTCTTCAGATCTGTTGCACAAATTGGAAGAATTATGCTGCAAGTATGTTAATGACACCTGTTTATTGAAAGTGGTTCAGTTAATTTATCTGTTTTTGTTGAATGCTGAATTTTTGTGGTGCATTGAACCTGTACTTAGTTCAACAGCTTCCTTGCTTCAGGGTTGCTGTATTCATCTGTTTAAAACAAGTATAATTTTGCATTTGCAGGAACACAGCCACATTCCATGGATTGTGATCATATCCAAGTATCTAGAAAAATGGCATAATGAAGTATGTAGACACCATGGTAATATTCTAACATATTGGTGCTTTCTTTTCAGCACTATGGAAATTAAGCTTCCCAAAGAAGCTTAAGTGCTATTATTATATGTTTTAGGACAGAGGCTGCAGTCTGGTTTGTGGCTGGCTGCTTAAATCCTACTGACCAACTCAATTTAAACAGCCAGATTGTGTGTAGAAATGCAGCTAAAAAGCAAACCAGTTGAGTGCTCTCCAGATATATTTATTTGGAATAAAAATATTTTTAAAAATCTGGTTGCATATAGGCAAAGTACCTGAATGGGAATCCCCCTAGGATTCAGTAATACCCTATTCCCTTGTCTTCTCTTTTATCCCTCACCCACCAATTTCAGCATGTAAGTTCATGGGCAGGCAGTTGTTTCAGGCAATTGAAGGTCTGTATGCACTTCCCATATCCCTATTCAGACCCCATTTTCTGCCATATTTGTGTTCCAGGTTGGCCTGTATTCTGGGGAGGGGGGGGGATAGGGTTCAATTGAACCTTGTATGATTCTGTACCTGGGTGCTCCACCAGTACACAACTGTATACCAGTACACAACTGCACTTGTCTTGATTTATCGTCTTTGATTAACCATGAGATCCTGCTGCTGTTTTTGTTAAATATTGATGATTGCTTTTAATGTAAATGTTAAAACAAGTAAAGATTTCACTTTATAGAAATTAAAAAGAACATCAATGCCTGGATAGCTTACCCCTGGTCAGACATAGTTAGAAATATGGAAAATAGTGCCCCAAAGAACAATTTTTGCTATTTGCTGGAACACAGATGCATACTCAATACTCCCTTGCTAGTTGGCTGCTCTATGTTTTTACATAGTTCACATATATAACTTTTCTATTTAGAACAGTGGACAGATGCCTAAGAACTACAAAGAAAAGGAAGCCTTCCGAGAGATGATTAGGCAAGGTAATGTCAAGCAAGAGCTTATTAGCAATATACCAAAGGTGCAGTATTTTAAAATACATTTTTATATATTAATATGGGGGGCGGGGCGGCTAACCTATGGCCTCCAGATGTTCTTGAACTTCAAGTCTCATCAGCCCCAGCCAACATAGCCACTGGTCAGGGATCATGAAAATTGTAGCATCAAGCGGGTCGGGGTGCTCATGAGTTAACCTAGGACTTGGCACTACCTGAATGAGCCTTCACAAGTCTGAGTGAAGCATCAGGCTCTCATACACTCTGTCCCCTTTCATCCTCAGTAGTGGCACCCACCCTGTGGAACGCCCTCCCATCAGATGTCAAGGGAGTAAGCAGCTATCCTGTTTTTAAAAGACTTCTGAAGGCAGCCCTGATTTTAATATTTTACTATTTAATTTAAAAGTTTTTAATATTTAATGCTGTATTGTTTTTAACACTCGATTGGGAGCCGCCCAGAGTGGCTGGGGAAACTCAGCCAGATGGGTGGGGTATAAATGATAAATTATTATTATTATTATTATTATTATATTATCCTGCTGCTGAGTTTAGTTTCACTTTCAAAGAATCTCCGCTTAGCATTGCTTACAAGCCAGGGGCCCATATTTAAAGCTAGCAATGCTTAGTTTCTAAAGGAAACCAACTTCAAAATACAGCTTATAAAGTTGTCTTGTTTAAATAACCATTTTGTGTGTGTTTTAAATCAGGATCCCTAGATTGTACACAGCACTACAAAACTAAGCAGAAATCTTCCTCCCGGGGGTATGGGAGGTGTGTGAGCAGGGGCTTCACTTCGGAGGTTCATCTATGTAGAACTAAACAATGGTTTAGCGTTGCAGCTTTATCTTGAGCTCTGTTGTGCTTTAAGAATACATGTAAAATATGCATAAATGGTATTGCTATTTTTTATCATCACCATCATTAATGTATTAATCTTATAAGCTACTACTTATCTCAAGGCAATTTACATAAAAATGCCCAAAGTATCAACTTTTAAGAGAACCTGACAAAGTCACTTGAATTTTAAGGAGCTAAAGAATAATGAAGGTCATCTATGTTTAAAGTCCTGCTTTTTCTGTTCCTATTAGGAATCTTAAAAAATGAAAATGGAGGCCTAGAAGATGAAGAAAACTTTGAAGAAGCTATTAAAAACGTGAACACAGCTGTAGCTGCTACTAAGGTAAAATAAGATTCCTCCACAGTATTCTAGCCGCATAATTACTGAATCCTTTGTTGGAAAATTTGCTTAAATTTGTTCTCCCCCACCCCCTTTAGATACCAGGTTGTATTGAAGACATTTTCAGTGACGATCGTTGTATCACTCTTTCAAAGCAGGTAATAAACACAAACAGCTTGCTACTGTATTCTGCTTATCTAAATAGAAAAAGTTAGTGTGATATTTTTGTTTACCCTTAAGAGTCCACACTTTTGGATCTTGGTTCGAGCTGTAAAGGAATTTGTGGCAAAGGAGGGTCGAGGAAATTTACCTGTCCGGGGCACAATTCCAGATATGATAGCAGATTCTAGTAAATTTATCAAGCTGCAAAATATGTAAGTATTGTCTGTTTTTTGCTTTATATTATATTAAATATTGAATGATAACGCACACACACCCAAATCATAGAATTGTAGACTTGGAAGGGATCCCAAGGGTCATCTAGTTCAACCCACTGCAATGAAGGAATATCAACTAAAGCATCCATTGCAGATCGCCATCCAACCTCTGCTTAAAAACCTCCAGGGAAGGAAAGTCCGCCACCTTCTTAGGGACTGTGATCCAATTGGACTAGCAATATCAGCATGGGTGACACGACAGTGTAAGACAGGGTATAGCAGCTGTATAGAAGCACGTGTAGATTTGAATGATTTTTGTTGTTGTTCCATGATCTCTAGCGTTTCTTCCTTCAGAGCTCAATAAAAGGGAATCAAATGTGTATTTTCCCCCATAGTATTTTTTTCAGCCACAAACGAATTGCCAATGCACCATTACCTGTAGTTCACTTACAGGGCAGTTTTCACAAGTAAGTTCTGGGACTACGATCTTTAGAATGCTGCTCATTCCACTAACTACTTAGCCATAAAGGTATTTGTTCCCTTAACTGTGTTCGTGTTCCTGATAAGTGAATTCAAGCAGATGACAATATTGATAGTTTTCAGTGACCGCTTCTCAGATGCCTGTTTTGTACAGAGATTCCTGTTTCGGTACAAAAACATATAAAGTAATAATGACCTTCTAAGTATCAATTTTAAAACAAATAGATCTTAGGAAGCTGGCACAGTCCCTGTCTTTCCATTTGTCTTTGACAATCTGTAACATGAGAATGAATATTGATGTAGATGAAGCCTACTGATTTCTGGAATTGGTCTTACTGAAGTTTTACGTTTTTGCCCCTTTTTAAAAAGATACCGTGACAAAGCTAAGAAAGATGCCGAAGCTGTGGCTAACTATGCTGCCAAGCTGCTCCAGTCATTAGGCAAGGTGAGCTAATGAAAGTTATGTTTTGAATCTTCCTTCTCTTTAATCTTCCTTCTCTATCTTAACATGGAAAGCGGCTCCTATATAATGACCCAATCCAAAGAGCTAATGATCTGTACTCACAGATTTGTACTTGATCGACGGAACTGTTGATAATTGCGAGTAGATTTTTAAAAAAAGATAAATTAACATATTGTGTTGGGATGGTAAAGGTAAAGGGACCCCGACCATTGGGTCCAGTCGTGGCGGACTTGGGTTGCTGTGCTCATCTCACTTTATTGGCCAATGGAGCCAGTGTACAGCTTCCGGATCATGTGGCCAGCATGACTAAGCCGCTTCTGACGAACCAGAGCAGCGCATGGAAACGCCGTTTACCTTCCCGCCAGAGCGGTACCTATTTATCTACTTGCACTTTGACATGCTTTCAAACTGCTAGGTTGGCAGGAGCAGGGACCAAGCAATGGGAGCTCACCCCGTTGCAGGGATTCGAACAGCCGACCTTCTGCTCGGCAACTCCTAGGCTCTGTGGTTTAACCCACAGCGCCACCCGCGTCCCGTGTTGGATGGAGCCTTTAACCAAAAGACACCACTGTTCATGTGACTTTCCTTGTTTCATTGTGACTGGGATGAATGTTACAGCCGTGAAAATTCATGGAAGATCCTAATTCCTAGGAGTTGTGTGATGGAGGCATCGAGTAAAGTGTGGACTAACATACTCACTGTCCCAAGGCAGGGTCACATGATACCAAAGCATCAACTAGTTCCTGAGTCTTTGCCTCCACTCCAGTTCCTTTTCTTCCTTTAAACAGAATATGTTTAAACTGCTCCTCACTCCTTGGTTTTTGTTTTTAATTCTTATCTTGCCAGTTCTTTGATTCTTCCTATTTTTTCTTTCCCCCTTCAAAGTTAAAAAATAAATAAACCCAAACTCTTCCCCCACCCTATGCTTTCCTGCCTTTTTTCTCTTGCTGGCATCCAGTGGGAACAGAGACCAATGTCTTTCTTTCCCTATGGCCTTTTTACTTTTGTGACATTGGAGCAGCTCATCCAACAGCACAGATTTCACCACTAGAAAGTCATTACCACATAATACCATTTTTAAAAAAGATACTACAACAAAGCAGTTTACACCAAAGCAGCAAATTTATATTGAACATACACTTTCTTAAACACTATCAGTTTTACTGAATCAGGGCAATATTCCTCAATTTTCTTGTCTTATTTGCTACTTATTCTTATGACAATGCAGAATTAGGAGAAAGTGGCTGCTTAATAAGATTATTCTACTTAAATAAATGTTACTTCAAACATCTAATGAACATTTTAAAAACAATTGTGTTAAGAGAATTGGCATGTTAACATGACACTTTATTTCATAGGCACCAGAATCTATTTCTCAGAAAGAACTGAAACTACTTTGTAAGTATTCATGGTTTTCTCTCAGCTTATACTGTGTTACATTGTCTTTGTTACTGTGTACTTAGTTTTTCACACATGGCTTCTCCATTTTGGCTTTATTTTTGTTAAATAAATCATGACACATGTCATTTATTGTTCATCTGAGGTTGCGTTTACCTAATTTTAAGATCTGCTAAGGAACTGATGATTGTTACTGTGTCCTATACATATACATATACATATACTATGTACTATAAAACAGAATTCATAGAGGGTGTACTTTCTTTTTCACATGACTGTATATGCATAAACATTTCTGTCTCTACAGAGTTTTTGGTGTCATTCTAGTGGCTGGAGAAAATCTATCTTTGTTTGAAGCATCTCACATTAGCGTTTCTGTGGACCAGGAGGTTCAAATCCTTACAAAGCCACTAGAAAATAACTTAGTGAATTTTATATAATTGCCAGGTTTATCCTTTTTTTGTTTTTTGCTTAAATGATTAGGTTTCAAGGGCTAGTTGTTTTTGTTTTTTTAAAATGCTATCCCTTCATTACACATACTTTTCTCTCTTATCTTCCTTCCCAACTCTATTTAGGCACTAATTCAGCATTTCTTCAAGTAGTGCGGTGTAGATCTCTTTCTGAAGAGTATGGATTGAATACTTCAAACAAAGATGAGATCAGTAAGGACATGACTTTATTATCTACATTCTTCTTTTATTGTGTTTTCATCTGCAGACAGTGATGTGGAAGTAATGACCTGAAAGGGATTATGTCATGCTGTTGTTTCCTTTGTTTCTGCTGTAACATGGGAAATGGAATTGGGATCTTAGTTACGGGAAAATGTGTGAGCCCCAAAGTAGCTTTGATCTTTGTACCTTATTGTAGATGGGATATGCTAATGGTTACAGCAGTGATGAGGAGAGTGGAAGTGCAACTTGCTTTTGCTATTTCTTGGTGAAAACAAATTTCAGAAATTATTTTGTTAGATCTGTAGACATACATGAACCATTCATGCTGACTTACAGGGAAAATTCTCAGGGATAAACCTCAAATGCTAGGCACATGATTAGTCCTTCCCTTTGTTTATTTTAAAACATTTTATCCCTCTTACCACAACGAGCCCAGGGTGAGATATAACACAACAGAACTAAAATACAACGTAGCAGCAGCATAGTGATATAAATACATGCAGAGCAGAAAACAAAACAGCCTATAATGAATTAGTGAATTTTAAGAGGGAGAATATTCCACAATTGGGGCTCTACAGTGGAGGCTGTTAAATGGGTTGCTGCATAGCAGATATCATACCTAAGTGGAAACATTAACAGGGCTCCCTCCCCCCTTCCCCACAGATTTTAATTCACCAGCAGGAGAGAAGGTACATATTTAGCTCTCAAGCTGTTTAGGGCTTTATAAATTAATACAAGCATCTTGCCTGGTAGCACATGGGTAGCCATTGTTGCTCCTTCAGGACCAGTGTTAACATCATCCTGGTATTCCAATCTACTCAGTAATAAGGTGGCTGCATTCTGCATAAGCTGCAAGTTTCAGACCAGCTCCAAGGGCAGCCCCATGCAGAGCACATTACAGTCATTTATCTGTCTATCTGGGAGGCTTCCAGTGCACGAGTCACTGTGGCATGGCTATCCGTGTCCAGGAATGACTGTAGCCAACAAATCAGCCAAAGCTGTAACAGGCACTCCATCTTGTTGGAGTTCAGTCTCAGCTTATTCAGCCCACCATTGTATCCAAGCCCAATCAAGAACTTGTAGACTACACCTGAGTCAGATGCCAAGGAGAACAAAGCTGGGTGTCATCAGTGTATTATTGATGGCCCTCAAGCCCCTGGTGGCCTCACCAGTTTCATATAGATGTTATATAGCATGGGAGACATGACTGTATGTTGGGAAATCTCACAGAGACCCAGCTGTTCTCCCTCAAGACTACCAGCCTGAAATCCACCCTGCAGGTTGGAGTGGAACCACTGTGTCTTTTGACACCCAAGCCACAGAGCTGTTCTAGCAAAATACCATGGTTAATTATATCAAAAACTGCTGAGCAATCCAAGGGATGTTACTGAGCTTCATTCCTCCTTTCCTCCTAACATCTAAAGAGACCCAAGACCATTTTGGTTCTGAAACTGGGCTGGAACCCAAGAATGGGTCTAGATAATCATCTTCATCCAAGAGCTGAAGTTCGGTGGCAACCACCCTCTTGAGCACTTATCCCAGAGCATAGACCTTAGCGAGTAGGCAGTACCTATCACAGCATTTGGGTCCCCAAAGGCCAGTGTTGGTCAAACACATTTATGTCTGTTGACTGTAATTCACAAACCATACAGAGATGTTTGTGTAACCAATTTCTTGTGAAAATGAATTTCACTTCAGGTGATTTTAGGATTTGTATAAAAGCAATGCAACACTTTTCTTCAGCCTATTGGTACACAATTAACACTATTTTTCCCTTAAAGTTTCCCATATGGATAACCCTGATAGTGAGATGGTGCTGTACTTAATGTTACGAGCTGTGGATAGATTCTTTAAACACCATGGGAGATATCCAGGTAAATTTGATTTTAATATTGCCCAGTTTCCAACACTGTTAGCAAAATATGTGCTTAGTACAATGATAAATTGAATAAATTGAAAATTTCCGTAAGTGACCCTTGGGTATAACCTTAATAATATTCTGTGTTCATAAATATATAGATTAATTGTGTGGTTGAGGCATATACCATTATTATGCCTCTATATATTTTACAAATTAGATTACAAAGATTTATTAAATCATTTGATTTTTTTAAAAATTATCTTCTCTCACAAAAATTATATCTATGTACAATTTTAAAAAATCATTTCCAGGTGCTTATAATTATCAAGTGGAAGATGACATTGGAAAACTGAAATCTTGCCTCAACAGTTTTCTTCAGGAATATGGATTACCTGTAACAGTGAAGGATGATTACGTTCATGAATTGTAAGTACTATATAAAATAAAAATAAAGTTTTCCTGGGTTTTGTTTTGGTATTACAAATTTTACAATGTTGTTTTTCCTGTGTAGTTGTCGCTATGGAGCTGCTGAGCCACATATGATTGCAGCATTTTTGGGAGGTGAGAAATACTATAATTTTAACCAGTTCTTCTCTAGCTGTACACTTATTAGCACATGAAAAAATATTACAGCTTTATATTCTCTTTTTTAACACTAGTGGAAGTTTTTTCACTCGTCTTATTAATTAATTTATGACTCCTTTTGCATCCATCTCAAGACAACTTACAGACATACCATAAAACAATAACATAGTTTTAAAAATTATGTAAGAATAATAGAATCATAGATTTGTAGAGATGGAAGGTGCACAATGAAGTGTTCATTTTGAATTGTTTTTAAACCTACTTGTCAAAATTAAAATGTCTCTGGAATATATAGTATTTGGAATACATGCTATGTAGAATTCAAGATATGAGATAGTAGTGTATTTGACTCAGCCATGATAAAAACAATCTATATCATTTCCAAAACTGAAATCTTTCCAATGTGTACACATTGTTCAAGGTAAGAAACATGTTGTAGACTCTGTTTTATGTGATTAATGTGATTACAGATATTATTTAACAAGGTTTATGGGTTTTGCTGTATGCTGCTTTGAAGAGTCTATATATAAAGCAGTATAAAAATGTCCTAAAATTAATAAGTTGTTTGCTGTCTACCACTGAGTGAAGTTGGTTATGGGAATTGTTAAGCTCTATTTTCAGTTCACTGGCATAAAGTGGCAGTTGAAGAAAAACAATTTTGTATTGCATCAATTGAGTTATGAAGTTCTAACTTTGTTCCTTCCTCTTCCAATTCCCCTGCTGTTTTACAGGAGCTGCTGCTCAAGAAGCTGTGAAAATAATTACAAAACAATTTGTAATTTTTAATAACACCTACATTTACAATGGCATGTCACAGACATCTGCAACATTCAAGTTATAGGCTAAGCACAGTACATTGTTTAAAACTGTGGTTGCATTTAATTTGCAGTTTGTTCTGTAAATGATCGCTGCTATATTTGCTGCCAAGTTCCCTTCTTTGTAATTTTTCCCGATTATTAAATGTTCTTCTGAACTGTAATAAATATTTTTATCTTGTATTTTAATAAGAGGCACTGGAATAGATTGACTGTCATCACTATCAACATCGTATTATTTTAGATGTAAGCAGCATTTTTCTTCTGTGTTATTGGGAGTGGGACCCAATACAGACCATTGCTATTAGCCTGCTCATATCACTCCGAAAAGTGTTTCTTAACCTATGTGTTAAATAAATACCTCTTTGAAGCAAATGTACAGCAAATAATATGGAGTGTTGTTTTCAACGTAAGCTGCTTTTGTTCAGAAAGAGGATTTTTAAAAAACCAATGAATACACTAACACACAATGCACCTTTGAATATTATGAATATATTAAACTATGAACAAGATTTAAAGCATTCTGGAAGAGAATGTGTAGTAATAGCAATTTTAGAAACTACTGTTCTTGGTTTTCCCAATATATTTGTTTGACTGCTTCTGCTCCTTTACTTATAGTAATAGTTCAGTTGTTAGTATCTGTAATGTTGCTGGGGAAAGGATTAAATATGTTTTCCTGGGATTAGTTGAAAGACTTGGACTTGAAGATGGTTTGTACAAGCATACGTGATCATGTTAGCATTAGTTCCAGTGAATTAGAGGAGACTGCTCAAGAACTGGATTTATTGGCGGTGGGGAATCATACTTGGCAGGTACACTGGTGTTACTTTGTACAAGAGGAGGTACCCTAGTTTAAGATTGTTATAAACTGCCCTGAGGCTCCATGGGATCAAAGGCAAGTTTAAAATAATTACAAATCAATTGACATGGATTTTAGTTCTAGTGCAGGCTTCCTCAACCTTGGCCCTCCAGATGTTTTGAGACTACAATTCGCAGCATCCCTGACCACTGGTCCTGCTAGCTAGGGATCATGGCAATTGTAGGCCAAAAACATCTGGAGGGCCGAGGTTGAGGAAGCCTGATCTAGTGTGATGTAAGATTACATATTATTCACTACCCAATTTACAGGCAGGCAAAAACAAGGAAATACAGTATATGATTTGGGATAATCCCTTCCATGGGTTTAATGTCAATTTTGAAACAGCATTCTAGGAAGGGGCTCATGCATGTAAGCCAAACAGTGATTTGGTGCTGTGGCATGCTGGACATGTCAACTATAGCTAATAGTATTGGCTCTGTTAAAGCAAAAAGCATACTAAGTAGGTAAAATGAAATGTTTTATTTGGTGAGCAGGTTTTTATGAGATTTTAATATTTACCATCTGCTTGCAGTTCCAGTGCTTTGTGTGAATTGAACTTATCACTGTTGCAGAGGTGGCTCCTTTGTGTTCACATATGGATTTTTATCACTTGGTGTTTAAAATAAATGTGTGAAAACAACCCAATAAAGATCAACGCTTGTGGATTGCCTCACCCTGCTTTTCAGTCGAGGCATTTTCATGTGTGATCTTTGTTCATGTGAATTAGGCACCTTTGTGCATGTGCATACATTACTTGTACACCTTATTTTTCATGGACAAACCAATACGGCTGGATGGCACGTTAATTACTTCCTCACCAACTAGTAGACCTGGAAGTCTGATATGAGGTGAAATAATTCCCATATCTAAAAAACACCTCTGAAGTGACCCCCTTCCTGAAAAAATCTGCGGGGTGACGTGGTGGTTTTAAAATACTGGAAAGCAGGTGTTGATTTTGCTGGCTTAGATCCAGAGCTGTGTCTGCATTCTAAAACTGCACCACTCCATGCCTCTTGAAGCTCAACAGTAGGGCATGAAACTTATGGTAAATGTTACTGATGGGAAGGGAGCACAATTAAAAAATAATAATAATGGCACAGGCTAGCAAGTAAAATGAACAATTTACATTCTGATTCCTTGATCCTAAACCTCAGCACTGAAGTTAAGCTTCAGGGGCATTTCCAGTGAGTGTGCAGAGGCAGGTTGAGAACTACCCTAGGACTTTTATCCCCCAACACTAAGGTTACCAGACACCCCTTTTCCTGGGGACAGTCTCCGGATTTACAAATCAGTCCCCTGACAAAATCTATCTAGTAGGAAATTGAAAAGTGTCCCCAGATTCACTGAAAAAAATCTGGTAACCTTACCCAAGACATTAAATATGGAGTAAGACTGAGGTGTGGGGAGAGAAGGGAAACCATTACTCTTGAGTTTTTGGGACTAAATGTAGGATAAAAATTGAATCGAGCTAATTCTATGCTGGCCCTTCTGAAATGTGACCTACTTCATGACAATGGTAGGGGTGTGATTAGAGGTGTAGCAGGTTTACTAAGAAGAAAAACTAGCTCTCTCCTGTGGGCTCAAGGAGGTTCTAATGTTTCACTTCTGACTTTTTTGGTATCTGTTAGTGTGTGTAGTACACATGATATTTTGTACTAACGTGATTTTGATTTGTACCCATTTACTTCTCAGAGCATTCCCAATCTCCCAATTTAAAAAAAAAAAAATTAATCTAGTTGAGAGTGCTGACTGCAGAAGAGTCTCTTGCAGAGTCTGACCCAGGCATCCCCAAACTCGGCCCTCCAGCTGTTTGGGAACTACAATTCCCATCATCCCTGACCACTGGTCCTGTTAGCTAGGGATGATGGGAGTTGTAGTCCCAAAACAACTGGAGGGCTGAGTTTCGGGATGCCTGGAGCCTCTGATCCCTCAAGTCTCAAGAGATGAGGATGCCACCAGAAAAGTAATACTGAAGAAGGAATAAAGTGCGTTTTGGGGTGGAGGGTGTTCTACACCTTTTAAGATTTCTGAAAGGAAAAACAGTAGTATATTTTATATGATAGGTCTTTCCATCCTACACGCAAAGTACACCTTCTCGGACTTTTGAAGCCTTAAGGTTTGTACGGGTTTTTTCTCTCTCCAGCAAAGCATGTTTCGGATTGCAGCCTCAGTTTAATATCCAGCTCATAATTTGGTTATGACAAGTGTTTTATTTCCCTAATCGGAGGCGGCCCACCAGCTGAGCCCGCTTGGCCCAGGTGGGAGCGCTCAGCTCCAAAAGAAGCAATGAAGCCGAGGCTCGGCGCCGCAGCTGAGGCAAACCGTGCCGGGGGAAGGGGCTAATAAATGAGGCGGCGCTCGCTCGGGCTGAGCGGCTCCTTCGCTCGCCCACCACCTCTCCTCACAAACGGAGTTTCATTTAGGCGGGAAAAACTCGGCCGGTGAGTTTTCAGGTTTAGCCGCTCGCGGGACCGGGGCGGGGGGGGGGGCACCGGGGAGCGGCGTTTGCGAGGCTTCCCAGATAGCGAGTATCTCCTTTTACCGAGCGGAGTGTCGTCGCCTTGGCTGCGAAAAGGAGAAGCCTCTTCTGCTTAGAGGGGCGCCGCCAGTGCTACGATAATGATGTGTCAGTCGGGGCACGTCTTCCCCCCTCAGCCTGGGATGCCTTTTCAGCGTAACGGCAGGTCCATGAGCGTACATTTAGGGGGACCCCTAAATCAAGTAAATAAATAGAAATACTTCGCAACTGACTAATTGCGTGGCAGATAACTCGGTTCTGCTCCCCTCCCTCCATCCCAGATAAATCCTGACTGCGCCCATGGGCAGGTTCCTGTCAGAAAGGGGAAAAGGGAGAAAGTCGCTGCCACTTTCCTGTTCCTTCCCTGCTAAGTATTCCTTTATTTATTGCCTCGCATTTAAAAGCACCACGAATAAATATAATAGACACACAATTCCACGTTATTCCATACAGCATTATTATGTGAATCATGATAAATCTGTTAGTCCTTAAAGTGCCAGAAGACATGGCTGGGGTTTTTTTGCTGCAGAAGACTTTTCATAGCTACCCTTCCGAACATGTTTTTATTATTTTTGTGTTTCAGAGAATTGTAGGGTTGGAAGGGACCCCCAAGGGTCATCTAGTCCAACCCCCTGCAATGCAGGAATATTCACTTATTTGTCTTGACCCCACCCACCACACACAAGACAATGTGTATATGGGTTGCCTCGCTTCAGAACAAGCCTCTGAAGCAGGTCAGGCTGAGAGACGACAGGCTTCTCTCAGATACATGAGTGAAGAATCAGTAAATCAACTTCCAGGCCAATCAGTTATAGATCTTAAAGTCATTAAGTTCAGGAACACAAGAGCTTAACTTGAGAACGTTCTCAAGATGGTACATGAATCCACTTAGACTAAATAGAGTAGCAAAAAAAAGTTTGATTATTTCTTCATTGTAAAAGTTATTATTTAAACCTCAATAATATGGAAGTAACCTCTGCTCTACAAACACTTATACCATAATAAAAACAGACCCTCTGTTCTTTTAATTGGTGACTGATGGACACTCCCCCCACGCAACGAAATGGTTACTGTCTCTGTAAAATATGTTGCAGACTTTATATTTAATATTGTGGTGGCAATATGCTGTACAAATTCAGGAGATTAAAGTGTGTTTTTGCCAGCTCTTGTTCTTCATGGTCTTTGAAATAATTACAACTTTACTTGCCAGTGGGTTGGGCAAAGACACTAGTTCCAGAAGTTTAACAGAAACTTTTAGAAACTATTTGTTTCTCTCAAAACACTCAATAAAGATGCTAATAATCTCAAATTTGTTTTTAGATTAGTAGATTTAATGCCACTCTACGTTCATATGGACAGAAGGGTGGGAAAAAATTTAATACGGTAAATAAAATTATCTATTTGCAGTATGTGCTTATTAATTTGGAGTAGTTCCTCAGTTTGATTCTAAACACTGATAAACTAGATGTGCCACACCATCCATGAAGGGTGAATAAAAATTATTTACTTTTCATCTCTTCGTATATTATGCATGCATGTTAGGTGATCTTGAGTATGTTGTGCTCCTGTAGAAGTGGTAATCAACATTAATACAAATGTCAGATTTTATTAAACTGAATTTACTTTCCTTAATTTTCTTTTTAAAAATCCAAAATTGTGCTTTGATAACAGAGACAGTGAACAATCGCCCCGCCTCTGTTTTGCAGTTAAAGGCTAAGGAAAATAATACAGTCAAAATGGAAAATGAAAAAGATCAGAAAATACCATGTGGTAAATATGCCAAAATTATTTTATATCCATGTTACTTTTCATTATTTTAGCAGTCTGCCAGGCTAATCTTCAAATGGAAGTAAGAAAAAGATATAGTCTTTTGCAGAAATCCAAGCACCTGATCTACAGTGTTGGAGATGTCCTTCCGCCTAGCACTGCCTGACTCCACTGACATATGTCACTGAGAAACCCCATAAATGAGGAGTGCTCAATGTGCTCACCTAACTGGTGGTAGCCAGTGGAAACTCCCAAAATGTAGTTTTTGGGGCTGGGAAAGGGGCTAGCACAGAATCTACTGGACTCTGAGCCAGCTCTGTTGGGATTGCCAAGGGTAATGGGATTCTGGCTGTTAATTAATCAGCAGTTTTAATTGTGTATGAAAATAAAATGTAAAATAATTTGAAAAACTATTTGCTTTATCCTTATAGAGATGAAAACTGATCTGAATTTACTACTTGAATGTCTAAAATATCAAATGGATCATCCTACTACTCAGAAAGAGGCATTGGTTACTATTTATTCGGCCTGTCAACAAAACAGTAAGATGTTGAGTTCTAGTTGCATTGCTCCATGTTTTATTAAAATATATTCCTTTAAAAGCTGACACTTTCCCCATTGTTTTTGTCTTTTCTAGGTGATGCAAGTGATTATTTTCGAGAAATAGGTGGTTTGATGTTTGTATATAACCTTGCAAAGTCAAGTGTGCACAGCATGGTAAAGGAAGCTGCCTTATTTACATTAGGAGGTTTAGCTGAGAATAATGGTAATGCACAATTGTATTCTTTTCATATCATTATATTATCACATTTGAAGATACTAAGTTTTCATGTTTTGCTTCATTTCTGCAAAAGACTATAGTTTTCAAGTACATATACTAACAACAAAAGCTTAAATTTGACTCTGTAGCAAAATGGCAGTGAGTGCAGCTTTTTCAATAGGTGCATTACATGCTCCCCTTTCAACCTACCCACGGCATTCTGAACTAGCTGCAGCTTCCGAAGCAATCTTAAGGGCAGCCCCACATAGAGCACATTGCAGTAATCTAATACTGAGGTTACAAATATATAGCTTCCTGTGGTCAAGCTGTGCGTATTCAGGAACAGGTGCACCAGCCAAAGCTGGTAAAAAAACACTCTTAGGCTGTGTTCACATTGCCACCTTCAGTGAAGTTCTTCCCCCATTTCCCATGCATTTCACAGCTCTTTCCCCACTAACTGTTCACATCAGTGCAGTTTCATTCATTTATGTGTTGATGGTGCAGGGATTCTTTATCTTATGCTAAAGTGTTCATATCCTGGCTAGGGATGAATTAGGAACATCTTAAGGACTCTAATCAGCAGGAAGTTGGTTTGAGAAACAAAACTTCAAACAGCAGACAAGGCTATGGCAATAATGCTTCTAAATACCAGTTGTGGGAAACCCACAGGAAGGCAAAATGTTCTTGTGCTTGGGTTTTGCTTGCTGGTTTTCCTCAGACATCTGGTTGGCCACTATGAAAACAAGATGCTGGACTAGGTGGGTAATTGGCCTGGCACAACAGGCTCTGCTTATTTTCTTATGTTCATGAGTGGAAGTTTGGGATTTGTTCCACCAGTGTGCCTGCATCATTTTGACCTCTCGCTGCCTTGCCCCTTCTCCTCTTGCCGTGGCAGCACTCTTGGCAGGAAGCTAGCACTGAGGCTCTACCCCACCAGGCAGGACACCTCTGTCCATAGAGTCTCCATCTTATCAGGATTCAGTCTTCATTATCACACTACCACATCCAAACATCAGTTAAAGGCTTGTACATTCAGATAATATACAGAAACGGAGATGGGTGTCATCAGTGTACTACAAATAACCACTTCCAGTGGGTTCATTTAGATTTTGAACAGCACTGGGACAAGTTGTGTATAAATGTCTCACCCCCCACTGTTACGTATGTTCCTTAAGTGTCCCCTGCTCTGAGTTTCACCCACCTTGTAGCCAAAAAATATTTTGGCAGTCAGTAGAAATAGGTCAGTGTCTATACAAAAGAAGAAATGGACACAACTCTGTCATTAAAATGGCAACACTGAGATTTTTTAATCTCCAAGGGCTACTATTATTTGAATCCCTCCCTCCAACAGACTGATACAGATACCTACAATTACTGTAGAATTTATAAGAAAGTTTGATTCTATTTGCTTTATTAAATTTAATGTAATATAACACATAAATTTCTCAGAGGAATATCTATTTTGTTTCAGTATTCTGCCAACAGACGTTATGCACTTCTGGATCATTTGAAGACCTTCACAGACACCTAACTAATAATGATTCCAGTGTGAATTTGAAAAGAATGTCTGTTTATTTCTTAATAGCACTGGTTTCAAATAACAGTAAGTACCCCCCGCTGCATGTAAGGAAATTGCAGTTACACACACAGAAACACAATTTAAATTATGATGAGTAGCCTCCAGATGAATATTAACCGCAATTAGGTCAATTAGACTTACATTCACAGATATGTGCTTATAAATCCTATTGCCATTCACAGGTACTCAAGCAAGTTTAACTACTATATTTTCTAAGGATACGCTCAGCTTCAGCAGTGCATAAATCACTATGGTCTATATATTTCATATATTACATTTTAAGTTTAGCACCTATTCCCTTCAGGGTGTATACTCAGGGCCCCTGCAGACATGTGCTTGATTGTGGGTGTATTCAGCAACATATCCTTGACACAATAAAGTGCATTACTGGTTGATTTACTCTGTTTTAGTTTTTTCTGAGATGCTTCCCCAATGCTACCATGCTGTGTACACACTATACCTTTTCCCATAAAGAATTCTGGGTACTGTAGTTTACCCCTCACAAAGTAAGATCACTTATGACCACCCTGCTAGCATCATGAGCACAAATTGTCACGAGTGCACAATAAAAAGTGTCTAAAGAGGCCCTCAGTGACAAGCATGTTTCATACCACATAATGTATGAAACACTTCTAAGATTTCACTGAATTATTGATCGCTTGATATTTGAAATACTTCATATATTTTATTTTAAATCTTTACATGCCAAAATGTGGTCATTTTATAGAGCGTGGGCAGATGTGTGCAAGAGAGTCTGGTTGCCTTAATGCTCTGCTTCAATTATTCAGGTAAGTAATAAAGCAAGAATGTTGTACTAAACTGAAAATTCCTCCCCCAAGCTTTAATTGCTATTTGTTATGTTTTTGTTTTAATTTCCTAACAGAACAAGTCTTTCAGTATGTGATGTGAAACTTTTGGATCAAAAAATTAACGAATATCATCTGTGGTCTTCAACTTGCAGTGCTCTCTGTGCAAGTGTAAATAATCCCCAGAATGGTAATTTTTTGTTGTTAAACATTTCCTTTCATTATTTGTTTGATGGCAGTGAGGAAAAATACAAGTATTTTTCAATGCAGATCTAAGTGTGTCATTGTTTTGTCACCAACAGAGGAGAATCAGAAATTTTGCAGTTTGGTTTTTCCTCATGCAAAAGACTGGCTGCAAAGTAGTATAAAGCCTGAGATAGTTCGCCCAGTATGTTCATTCATTGGGCTCACAGTTGCAAATAATTGTAAGTATCTAACCATTGTACCAGCACATTATTTTTCTGTGAAAAGCCTGCTGGGATTTCTTTTGCCATTTCTAGTGCTTAATTTCATGCATCTGCTGCACAGAAATAGGGCAACTGCTTTGGTGATATTATCATCTTCAAATTCTAGAACTTACAGTGGAACCAGGTATTGCTTTAAAGAGAGGAGGGCAGGGCTTTTCCATGGCATAGTGAGTTGACACATCCTCTCTAGCTTGTATTGCATTTTCTAGAAATCACTATACATTTGTTAAAATAGTAAATATATATATGTTGCCTTTCTACCAAAGCATTCAGGGCAGTTTAGAGTTTAAAATAATGGCTTTCAGTCTTGATACAAAACAGAGAACTCAGAGGAAAAACAGTACATTCAGGTACCAGCTCTTTCATAGTGTTATATAATAACAGACCTTCCAAGTGTTCCTATTTTCCGGAGACAATGCCGGATTTACAGAAGCCGGCAGAATGTCCTGCTTTTTCCTTAGATGTCCCTATTTTTATCAGAGAAATTTTGGAGGGCATGGAATTATCTGACCTCCGAGTCATCTGAAGGCAACCCTGTATAGGGAAGTTTTAAAAAGTTTAATGTTTTACTATGTTTTTATATACGTTGGAAACGACCCAGAGTGGCTGGGGCAACCCAGTCAGATGGGTGGGGTGTAAATAGTAAAATTATTATTATGGAATAGGATGTCCCTATTTTCATTTGAGAAATACTGGAGGGTTTGTAATAACCAGATGGAATAGTTGCTGCAGGAAACAATTTGAAGAAGGGGTGAATTGAGATCAAGATAAAAGTAATTTTTGTGAATAATTTCTCTTAAAATTAATTTACAAAAGTTTTCTTACATTGAGTCAAAGCACTGATCTGCCTAGCTCAGTATCATCTACATTGCATTGGAGTGTCTCCAGGATTTCAGACAGGGGTCCTTCCCAGCCCTACCTGGAGATGCTTGGGATTGAACTGGAGACCTTCTGCATTTGACAGAAAGCCTGGAAAACTTTAGCTTAAAGCAAACTATGAGAGAAGCATGACTGGTAATTGTTATGGTTTGTTTTTGTTTCTTCAAGCAAGAATGCAGCAATTTTTTGTTTCTGTTGGTGGATTAGCTGTTTTGGATGAGCTTCTTGTGAAATTGAGACACAATTCACTTGCAAGCACGAAACTTGCCGTAGTGGTGACAAAAACGATTGATGCCTGTATTGCCGATAACTGTGAGTGAACAGATTGAAATATCTTTCTATATAAATATCTTAACAGAAAGTGAAACTTGTAAGGGTGCATCCAGGCTCTAGTTAGGTCCATGCCTCCCTATAGGATTAGGTATTCTCAGATCATTCATTACTTATATTACCAGGATCTGCCTTGGCTTCTGACTTTATTTATTAACATGACAAACATTAAATATCATCAAAATAAGTTAAGGATCCTGCAAGGAGGGGAAGGGAGTTGCAAATTCTTCTAATTCCCAGTCCTCACAAATCTTGTAGTTAAGTGTTGTACCTGGTATTGGATGAAAGCTCGAGATAACTGGAAGAAAGGATGGAACAGGCATTCTATAAAAGTATGTTTCTTTACTGCATGTTGAGTTTAATGGGTGTTTTTTCCTTTTAAATTTATTTTGTACCAATAGCTGCTGTTGGAATTAACCTGCCAAGGTATAATATTGTGCCAAATCTCTTAACACTGCTTTCTTACAAACATCTGGATCCGGGAGAAAAAAATAGTATTATACTTACCCTTGGACACTGTACAGATGGCTGCGGTAGGATACTGGTTCTGTCTTTCTTAAACTGAACATGTTAGATGTTGCATTCAAATGCAGTTTGTATTAGAATTCCAGTGCACAATTACTGTGCTTAATAATAACCTATGAAGATACCAAACCTGATGTTGCTAGAGTAATGCATGGTTGGTTTTAACAAGCTGCTTTATCCCTCACTGAAATAAAATAACAAATAAAAAAATTAATCACTTTGAAACTTACTACATTTAGGCGGCAATCCTATATCCACTTACCTGGGACTAAGCCTCATTGAACTCAGTGAAACTTACTTTTAAGTAAACATGGTTAGCTTTGTACTATAAATAGGATTATAATTAGGCACCTTTTTCATTAGTGGTTATTTCTAGTACAGGATCTAGGAACTTCTACAAAATCCTGATAATCAACTGTCAAAGCCAAGTTAGAGTTATTAGTGGTAGCTAAGTATAAATTTCTGCTTTAACACTGAAGTCTTAAAAAGGCACTATGCAATATTTCCATTAAAACTAATAGGACAGATTCATGTAAATGAAGTCACACTACAGCATGTTACTGAGCATATGCAAATAAACTAGATATGACTAATTGAAGTTGGGCTGAAAATTAAATATAACTGTATCCCATTGTAATTTTATTGCTTATTCTTCTAAATATGATAAGAGGTACTGTTACAACTGTACAGTTTGGACAAATATGTTCCAAGAAACTAATGGTATTTTTTTTTAGAGGAAAATCAATTTGCTCTGGTCAAGAACAATGGCCTTCCACTTATGATTCAGGCACTAACTGAATCGCAGGATGAAGAACTAAATAAGGCTGCCACCTTTGTGCTGCAAAATTGCAAACAGATCAGTAAGATTATCATTATTTTCATTACTGTTTTAAAAAACTTATAGGGCAGATCTGTGAATATCTTCTTGCCCATTAGCTTTGTCTGCAAAATTTCCTATTTCACCCAGGTTAGAGATCATCAACTTCTGTTCTATGCTTCCCTTCCCACTTTCTTCTACTTGTTAATTTGATCTCTTCTTGCTTCCATCCTCCCTTGATGAAGCAGAAATATTAATGAAGGAAGTATGTCTGGGGCTGTATTTGTATAAGGTCCTTTAGATACTGCAGAGAGATGTAAAAGGCAAAATAAAACACATCTTAAATAAGTCACTCTCATTGGGAGCTAATATTTTAAGACTTTGGCATGTAGAATGAAATATAATTCTGTTTTTATAAAGCCAGCTTACCTTGCCTTATTCTAACTTTTCCTAAAGCTGAGAAGTTGTCGCTGAAGTTAGGAAAACATTCATTAAAACTGGATGATGCAGAACAGTTGAAGGTTGATTGGCAGAACAGAGAGATGATCCTTGAAGACTACTGGGACAAAGCCAAAGAAATTTTGCGTAGAATCGAAGGACTTGAAAATGACCAACAACAGGTGGTTCTTTGTTTTTTGGGTTTTTTTTTTTAAAAAAATAAGAACGGATGCAGTATGTTAAAAACAGAGGAATAGTTCTATGCAAGAAAATGGTGTCTGAGTGAATTATAAAAAGGAAAGCATAAGTCTGGTAGGTTTTTTAAAAAAATGTCCCCCCCCCCTATTTTCCTGTGGTGGAAGGAGGATCTCATCATCTGGGTTATTTCTCCCAGTCAGTCCAGAAGGTAGGGCTAGCAAAAACAAGTTTATGGTATGCCTTCTGTGGGGAATAGCACCTTTTTCAAGCTTCCATCCTGTCTTGGCTTCACTTTTTAGCTAAAGATGTTTGTTTCTATTCTAGTATTCCTAGCTTGTGTAAATTCACAAACATGACCATTCTCTGTTATGCAAACAAACATATTTCAGCTACTTATAGTACTTCAGATAAAACATCCTACCCACCTGTAAAATTATTGCTCCCCCATCTTCAGCCACATAGTCATGGTGATTCAACATGAACTTCTGTGATCACATGCTTTCCCTTAGTAATTTAATTCCAGTTATTTCCAGTAGTGAATTATAAATTTTAAAAAATATTTTAATTTGATGGTGAAGGTTAGGATATCACAGGAAGAAACACCTTCCTTATCTGTTTACACATTCTGAAATGCTTTGGAACGCTAAGTCTTGTTTGTGTTGGATGATTTCTTAGGTTTCATTATTTTTATGCCCCAGTCTTGTTTTTATGCAGTATTTTCAGCTGCTTATTTTGAAGGGACTTGAACATGAAAAGACAACAACAACAATTTGACCTGAATTTGACAAATACTTCTTGCTTCAAAGTATATATGCTGTAATATTAAAATTGTGGAACCAAAATGCAATTGTCAAAAACAAGTACTGAGTTCAGCAAATTAAAATTGACTTCAACTTAAAGGGAAACAACACAGGAAAAATACATACCTGAAATGTTAAATAAGATTATGAAAGAAGTAATGGGGTGTGAGTGGTTATTTCATTCTAACCCACAAAGTTTGGCTTTTACGACTAGGTGTGAAACTAGGTCAAGTAAACTCCCTGAGTTGATCATTCCTGCCTTGAACCTCCATGTTTTTCCACCCTCCCCCACCCACTGGATGTATTTTGTATGACCTTCAATTGCTATTTTTTTAAACACAGAAAAAAGTGAGAAGACAAATATTAATTGATGATATTCCCAAAGAAGTGATCCTGCAGACTACCCCTATGCATCTTAAAGAAAATTCAAGCAAGCCAAATTCAAGTGACATAACACATACAGAAGTGAACCAACAATTACTAGATTCTATGTCTGCTAAACCGATTGCTACTACATTTGTAAAAGACTATTCAAAGAATGAATTTCTAAAGCCTGCCAATAGGAATCCAACTGATGCGTCAGCCAGTCGAAATGAACTTAATCTTCATGCAGCTGATAAAATGAAGACACCCAACATGACCCACCAACATAAACATATTACAGATAAAAACACTATTGGTGAATCTAGCAAGTCTGAAGTACAACTAAGGTATTGTATCTTGGATCCTACATAAAATTTTAAATTGATACTTTTAAATCCTGATTGTGAATCAAATTAGCAAACTGCATTTAATATTATTAAACTTTGTCATGAACTCTAATGGACTGAAATTCCATCTGGAATATATAGGGAGCTGTAGACCTCTTTCAAAATGAAATCTTTTACTTTCAGCTTTTGAACTTCTTCATGGCTACTGAATAGCCTCATGTGTGGAAGCTACCCTGAGAATTTTTATTTGAAGCGAAGTGTAAGAAAATGATTTATATCAGTTAAATGCAGGCAATAAATAAAATTATCCCAAGCTTCAATGTGGATATGAAACATGCCCCCCTTTACCTGGTTAGCATTATTCACTGCAGTGCAATGTGGGAAATTGTGGGGATCGAGAAGCATGATACAACACAATGAAATATATATTAGGTCAAGTTTTAAGAATGTCTTTCTTACCCTTTTAGTGAATTATTGTGTAAACAGACAGATATTGTAGGTAAAAGAAGAACTCAGCTGGCGCAAAATACAGGTAGGTACAGTTAATCAATAGTGTTCAATTTCTGACATTTTACTAAATTGATCGTTGTTAGAAATTAGTTTATTTTAAACTGGATGAAAAATAAGCACATATATATATCTTTACCATATACCATACTTAGTGGTTGCATTTGCACATCATGCTAAGCCTTGGGCTTGTGCACTTGGTCCCTTCTCTCCTCTCCTGCATAGCCAAAAGAAGCAGTCAAAACCTTTTGCTTTTTACATTTGGTTAAAAGTGGTTTGTTGTGTTGGTTGGAGCAACACACTGTGGTTCATAAAACTATACAGTGGTGCCTCGCAAGATGAAATTAATTCGTTCTGCGAGTTTTTTCGTCTTGCGAAGCACGGTTTCCCAAAGTCTTCAAAATCACCAAAGTCTTCAAAAACCTCAAAAAAGGCTACCACACTGCGTGCTATGAGTTGCTCCTCGAAGTCACCCTGGGTATTAACGGTTGTGAGACGAAGAAACCAAACTTGCAAGACGTTTTCGTTTTCGTCTTGCGAAGCAAGCCCATAGGGAAATTCGTCTTGCGAAGCAACTCAAAAAACGAAAAACTCTTTCGTCTTGCGAGTTTTTCGTCTTGCGAAGCATTCGTCTTGCGAGGTACCACTGTAGAGTCAGAAGGCATCCTGAGGCTCACCTAATTATCCACCCCCATCCCTGCAATGCAGGAAGCTCAACTAAAGCATCCATGACAGATGGCCATCCAACTTCTGCTTAAAAACCTCCAAGGAAGGAGCATCCACAACCTCCCAAGGGAGTCCATTCCACTGTTGCACAGCTCTTATGTCAGAAAGTTCTTCCTGATGTTTAGTCAGAATCTCCTTTCTTCTAACTTGAAGACATTGGTTCAGGACTTCAAGCTTGCTCTGCCCTTTAGATATTTGAAGATGGCTATCATATCTGCTCTTATGCAGACTAAACATACTCAGTTCCCTCAACTGTTCCTCATAAGGCTTAGTTTCCAGACCCTTGATCATCTTTGTTTCCCTCCTCTGCACACATTCCAACTTGTCAATATTCTTCTTAAATTGTGGTGCCCAGAACTGGACACAGTACTCCAGTTGCTGTCTGACCAAGGCAGAATTTTTTGTTGTTGTTTAGTCATTTAGTCATGTCCGACTCTTCGTGACCCCATGGACCAGAGCACGCCAGGCACTCCTGTGTTCCACTGCCTCCCACAGTTTGGTCAAACTCATGCTGGTAGCTTCAAGAACACTGTCCAACCATCTTGTCCTCTGCCGTCCCCTTCTCCTTGTGCCCTCAATCTTTCCCAACATCAGGGTCTTTTCCAGGGAGTCTTCTCTTCTCATGAGGTGGCCAAAGTACTGGAGCCTCAGCTTCATGATCTGTCCTTCCAGTGAGCACTCAGGGCTGATTTCCTGAAGAATGGATAGGTTTGATCTTCTTGCAGTCCATGGGACTCTCAAGAGTCTCCTCCAGCACCATAATTCAAAAGCATCAATTCTTCGGCAATCAGCCTTCTTTATGGTCCAGCTCTCACTTCCATAGGCAGAATAGAGAGGCACTATTACTTCCCTTCATCTGGACATTAGCTTTTTTTTACTGCTGCATCAACTGTTGATCATGCACCACAATTGTTAATCATGTGGTCTATTAAGACCCTTAGATCCTTTTCACAGTTGTCCATCTTATATTTGTGCATCTGGTTATTAGAACCTTACATTTGTCTCTCTTGAAATTCATGGCCCAGTTCTCCAATCTGTTACAGTCATCTTGAATTCCGATTCTGTCTTCTGCAGTGTTAGCTACCCCTCCCAGTTTGGTGTGTCTGCAAATTTGATGAGCATCTCCTCAGTACCTTCATCCAAGTTATTTATAAAGATGTTGAACAACGATGGGCCTAGGACAGAACCCTGTGGCATCCCTCTTGTCACACTTTTCCGAGGATGATGAGGAACAATTAGTGATTACTCTTTAGGTTTGCTCAGTCAACCAGCCACAAAATCCTCCTAACAGTAACTTCATCCAGCCCACATTTTACAAGCTTCTCCCCAATTATACCACGAAAGGCTTTGTGAAAAGCCTTACAGAAATCAAGATACACTACAAACATACCAACTTCAGACCACAGGTTATGATGCTGGCTTGCTGGAAACTAAGCAGCATAGTTAGTATTGACCACAATTCCAGGTATGGATGACATGGCAATCTGTGTTCAACTGAAAGCAGAAGCAAAAGCAAAAGCAAAAGCATACAAACTCATCCTTGGCTGCATGAAAAAATGAAGGCAGTGCGTGAAGGCAGTATGCTATAGCTTATGCATGTTGTGCTAAAATGCATGTGGTGCTAAACTATGGTTTAGCATGACATCTAAACAAAGCCAAAATGTTATATGTTTATTGTTCATTATATGTTGTCCAAGCATGCTATATTTGCCCGTGCGGAATAATACTATTACTCCATCACATATTCAATGATGAATTTGCCTTAAATTTCATAATCTAGTATGACTTTTTATTGTTAAAACTATTCATGATATAAATGTCTGTTGCCTTTAAAATATAAGCACAGTTGTATTCAATTATTTTAAGACCAGAGTTAAGGCTGTCATAGTAACTCAAGCTCCACAAAGCTGAAAATTGGATGCTAAGGCTGATGCTATAATGGACGTACCCTAACAGGTGTAATTTTTATAAACAGAATTTTGAGACATAATGTTGGACTTTTTTGTTGGCTACCCACCTTAACTAAAGGGGTACTTGCGTGTCCCTCCAACACATTGTAATAAAATTTTGAAGTTCTGGAAACTATGTTAGATGCTACGGACTTGGACTCCATGCTCCTGCATCACTGTCAACAGAACAAATTAATGCCTTAGAAATTTCATCTGGTATGCTGGCTAAATAACTTAGTTTAGCAACTTCTTTTTTATCTTTATCTTAATTTTGTGTTATTATGGTCTATAACTACATAAAAAATATAACATCTGAATTCTTAACCATATGTTTCATATTAATCCAATAACATTTCTCTTTTATAGATCCATTATGTTCAAGAATAACAAGCAGGAGGATAAACTGTAATCTGTCTGCTTCTAAAATAGCAAAGTTGCAGTGCACAGGTGATTTTGTTGTTGTTCTGTTTTGTAAGAAGCCTAAATTAGGCTTCTAGACACTAACAGATACAGTGGTACCTCGGGTTGCAGGCGCTTCAGGTTACAGACGCTTCAAGTTATAGACTCTGCTAAGCCAGAAATAGTATCTCGGGTTAAGAACTTTGCTTCAGGATGAGAACAGTAATTGTGCAGTGGCAGCAGGAGGCCCCATTAGCTAAAGTGGTACCTCAGGTTAAGAACAGTTTCAGGTTAAGAATGGACCTCCAGAACAAATTAAGTTCTTAACCTGAGGTACCACTGTAGTTCTTTTCTTTAAACTGCCAGATTTTTTTTTTACATTTAAAGACACAATCATTTTGTATTGTGTATTAAAAATTAGCAATTTTGTTTTGGAAATCTAAGCAAAGAAGGATCCCACTCCACAATTTTGAATATTTGAGCAATAACAAGGCCACCTCCAACTCTACAATTCTATTATTCAATTTACTGGTTCAATATTAGGTTTACCAATGAATTCCCAAAAAGTACTTGCTAGATTTACTGATGTTAAACCTGAAAAGACCAGAATATGTAAATCACAATTTACTAAAAACAGATATGAAAAATTCAGCCTGAAATCCTTTTTAAAATGCGTTTTCTAAAGAGTCACATGTTATTTTAGTAATATTCTATATCTTTCAGGTTGCATAACAGTAGGAATTCCCTTAAACAGCCGAAATTTTAGCAAGATTTTGCGGTCTTGTCAATATCTATGTGAACAACACAAAGTTACTCTAGAAACTGAACTGAAATATAAAAGGAAGATAAAAAGATCTATTATCTCTAGCAAGAATACTTCTACAGACTGTAATGGTAATAGTAATCATTTTTCATAAAATTTCATGTGGAGCATGCGCAAGCCCAGTGGTTTCCAACCCCTCCCCCCGACCACTTGAAAATTGCTGAGGGTCTTGGCAGACCACTTAATGATTTTTCTGCCTGTTGCAGCAATTGTAATATGCTGTGCAATACGCTGTATGATTTTTAATTACCGGTATATATTTATTGCCTTTTAATTTTTTATATACTGTATTTTATTATATTTCATATAATTTAAATTATAATACAATAAAATACAATGAAATGAAATGTAAGAAATAAAAGAAGCAATTAGAATGCAAATATATGCCAATATTCAATTCAATTCAATTCAATTCAATTCAATGGATGTGTCATCTCCTGACTTCAACCACAGATCTCCCAAGTTAGCTGATTTTCCTCCTCCCAGAGCCCTCCCTGGTTCATTTTTCATTGCAACCAGGCTTCTACTAATCATGAAACCTGGGGGGAGGGGCAGTAAAATAACATGTCCAGGGATACCTTTGCAGGGGAGTCTCAGCAGCTGGGGAAAGGGTTAAGCCTGCCCACGAAATCTGCCCTACAAAGGCTGCCTATCCCAGCATTAGCATCATGATAAAGCAGGTATGTGGAACCATTGGCCCTCCAGATGTTGCTGAACTATAACTTCCATCAGCCCCCACAAGCACAGCCAGTGCCATAGATCAGCAACATATGAAAGGCCAAAAGTTCCCCATAGCTGTGATGGAAAACACAGGATTTGGGGAGCCCTGCATTTCTCTCATGAAATCTAGCTCTGCCCTTTGTCTTCCATAACTTTCAGTAATTTTAAATAAGCAAATGTTTTGTTTCAAACAGCAGATCTTCAAACAAAACAGGATGCATATTCAAAGAAACAAATAATCCGACAGAAACACAGGCTTAAAGACCAGGATCTGAATGAAGATCATACTTTCTCATTTAAAGATGGGGTATGGACACCTCAATGACAAATGTTCTGCATGTTAACATTTGTGTATATGTTCTAGTACATATGACAGTGTTATTTGTAATAAGTGTTAATGCCTAAACTGAGACCCGGCCTCAGCACACTGATAAATATTATTCATAACTGGTGAAAGGATATCCGTAAACCACAAGCTATTGTTAATAAACAAACAAACAAATAGTTTAACCAAAGCTCTGGTAGCCCCACTTTGGGGAAATAAATACCTGTACAATGCTTTTGTTGGTCTTGGGACTGAACATAGGACCTTCTTTATTTCCTTGTATGCATGTTACCATTGAGCTCTGGCACATCTGCCTAATGTGTACTGTTTTCATTAATGATGCAGGAAACTGATATTCATCTGCCAGATATACCTGCAGTAGCTGTTGAAAAAAGCAAACGGAGAACTAGGAAAAATTTTACATCAGAAGAAATAAGATTTCTTTTGGATGGTGTAAAGAAAATGGGCCATCATTGGAATTTAATTTTATGGACTTACCCGTTTCAGAAGGGAAGGACAAATGTTGACCTTGCTAAGAAATACTGCCATTTACAGGTAATATTTCAGATTAATTTTGTGCTAGTATTTTACACCTTTGGGATAAAATGAGAGGAAAGGAAAGAACCATCGGGCGGGGTTTGATAATTATTTCTCTTCAGTGGATGGTGGTTATCCATTAGTGTTGGAGGCAGGACTACGCAAATAATGACACTTGTCCCTCCAATGGGAGTGGCTTTCACTGAGTAAAAACCAGAACTTGAATCCAAGTAGCCATTTACTTCTGTAAGTGTAAACTATGAAAGTATGGTTATATTAAACCCAAATATCATCACTGGGTCTCAATAGTATTTTGCAATAATATTAATTGATTGTACTTCAATCAATTTTATTGTTTATAACCAATGAAGAAGAAGAGTTTGGATTTGATATCCTGCTTTATCACTACCCTAAGGAGTATCAAAGTGGCTAACATTCTCCTTTCCCTTCCTCCCCCACAACAAATACTCTGTGAGGTGAGTGAGGCTGAGAGACTTAAAAGAAGTGTGACTAGCCCAAGGTCACCCAGCAGCTGCATGTGGAGGAGCAGGGAATGAAACCCAGTTCACCAGATTATGAGTCCACTGCTCTTAACCACTACACCACACTGGCTCTCATTACAATGAGACCATTACCATAAAAGAATTTAGATAGTACATTTCATTTCAAGAAGAAATACCAAGGCTGTTCTCAAGCAAATAAATGTTTCATTTATTTGTCCTGGGGTTGGGTGTATTGGCTCCACCTGGCCCGGCTGGATTGGCCAGGAATCAAATAGCCTATGGTGGGAAAGCCCACCAATCTCCTGTGGCTGGCCTGGGAATTCCCCCACAGCCAGCTGCATAGCCCTGATGTTGCTCCCAAGGGGGAGGGGCCTGGTGCAACAGGCTGCAACAGCCACCCACCCTGTGACCGGGTAAGCAGCCATTTTCAAGCGAATAAAAGCCAACAAAATAAGAACAGTCATACCTCGGGTTGAAGTTGCTTAAGGTTGAGCGTTTTCAGGTTGCGCTCTGCGGCGACCCGGAAGTAACAGAACGCATTACTTCCGGGTTTCGCTGCTCGCGCATGCACATACAGTCAAAATATGTCACACGCATGTGCAGAAGCGGCGAATCGCGATCCGCGCACGCACAGATGCGGGTTGTGTTCTGCTCTGGATGCAAACAGGGCTCTGGAATGGATCCTGTTCGTATTCAGAGGTACCACTGTACTGTAAAGCCAATTATAAAAATACAGCGACCTGTAATTAAAATAATTAGCACAACTATGCATTAAAACATCCATAATTAAAATATATACCTAAGCAAGCCCATCAGAACAGCACAATAGCTAAAACAGTTAAAGCAGCAATCAAATCAGGATAGCAGGAAAATGTTTGTCCAAATAGGTATGTCTTCAAGAGTTGGTGAAACGCAAATACCAATGGAACCTTCTGTATTTCAGCAGGGAGAATGTTACTGACCGGGAGTCAGAGACACCTGATCTGTACTGTAGCAATGAGACAATTGTTGAGAGGGCCTGGATTAGCTCCACCCATTTAATGGAATTATGCCCAGTGTTCCTTTCTCCTTTGGTGATTGAAGTTATTCAAGATGTAAAGCAGGACTGTGGCATCCTGTGAAATTTTCTACACAAAACTACTATTGCCACCTGACAAGTGGATGCTCTAAGCCTGGGATGCCTCCTTCCCAGAACTAGCTTGGGAGCTCTTCCCACTCCTCTGCACCCAGTTTACATTTTCTTCTCCATACAAGAAAGTCCGCTGCGCTGTCAGTTGAAGATGTCCCTTGCCAAAACTAGCCCAGCAGTTCTGCTTTTCTGTGCAACTGGTTCTGACTTTCTCCTCAGTTGGTCATGCAGCTAACATATGGCAGAAACCGCCCTTATCAGGGTCTCATAAATTGTCAGGTAAGCAAATGTTGACTCTGACTGCTAACACAACATAAAGTACTGACAGAGCTGGAGCTCTAAAAAAGCCACATTCTTCTCTCACACACCTTCCTCTCACCTGATATGTCCAGCCTGTATAGCCATATGAATCACAACTTGATAACAAATATTTGTCTGTGCCAATGCTCTGACATTTGCCTTGTCTAGTTTCCTTTTTTCTCTTCTCTCTCACAGAAAAATAAAAACAAGACAAACATATGACATCTTATAAGTTACGTGTATTCTGTCAAGGAAACAAGATCATCATACAAGTTGGTTCTTTTTTGTTTGTTTAAAATGTAATAATTATTTTTATTTTAAAGAGGGTACTCCATTTTGTACTTGATTTTTGTGTTCTATAAGTCCTTTTAATCAGTAAATTTATTTTGAATATAATTTATCAATATGTATAATCAAGAAAGTTGGTAACTATTCTATCTTACAGTATTTTTACTTGCTTTGGATATAAATGTTCTTTAAAAATAAATATGAAAATGCTACACAAATGAAAAACAAGTTTATTGCTAAACTTATCATTATACTTTAAATATGCATTTTGTGTTTATTAGGGCATTTCACTTTCTCAGTGGATAAACGCATTTAAGGTATAACTGGTTTTCCCCTTTTTATCCTTCCCTGCCATTGCTACTATTACCCTTTCCATCCTGCCATTTCATAGTGAAACCTGAGTTCCAACTGAATCACCATCTATCAGCTAGAAAATCCTCCAGAGCATTCAGGGATTGAGCCTTCATGTGTGGACCATTTGAATATCAGGGAAGGGTTCTTAACACCATCCCCAAATGCCCTGTCACAAAGACTAGGCATAGGACATGTCCTGCCACTTACATTGGGACAGTGATGTATGGGGACAACCCCATGGTTGTGGCCATGAAGTCCTAAACAGCAGTACACCAGGTGGTCCCCATTTGAATGTTTAAATACCCCAAAACAACAGTGCTGGGGTTCTCCTGTACCACCCCAGAAACCAACTTTGCTAGCTTGGGCAGGGATAATTTTGGGCAGTGGGGTGCATAATACAACAGTAGCATCCCAGTTTTGTGTTTCTGATCCAGTATCTTTAAATCTGTTCTCCAAACACATGGGCCCTCCTGGTGAAGGAGATGGAATCTGTGTGGATCATGGCAACCCCCACCTTATCAGTCTGTGCTGGTTCTGAACCAAATACACAGGTGAACAGAACTGGGTAAGAGCAATCGCACCCCCAACTTGTCCACCCAGGTTTCTGTAATACATACTAGGTCAGTTCCCTCATCCAAGATTAAATTGTGGGTGGTTGCAGACTTGACCAGGCTGAATGGTTTGCTTATTTAAAAGCATTAATTGTACTGCTTGATACTTAAAAAATCTCTAAACAGATGGTTGATGGAGCAACATAGATCCCATAGGCTGGGAGAAGAATCAGATGATGGATCTGTCACCTATCTATCCCATCTTTTCCTTATCTGCTATGTCCAACCTCCAGTGCCCTGTCCCCCTGAGACTGCTACAGTATAACCATAGGCACCCCCCATTTCCTATCTCTCCTCTGATTTTACTCATATATTCTACAAACAATATCTCCCCATTCTCTCAAATTTAAGTCCGCACCCATTCTGAGAAATATTTTGCTACGAAATGAACAAGAAAAAGAAGTTAATTTCAAGGCTGGATCTAGACACATCAAATAAGCGTTTCAGTTAAACATGCTGCAAACTATGTATGAGAAATTGGGTTAGCAAAAGCGGAACTCCACAACACCATCTGATGTCATAGTGTTAAAATGCATAAACAGTGCATATAAAGCATTTTTTCTTTGCCAATGTAGCTGAGTGCCCGGTCTAGGTTTCCAAAGGTTCAGGTGCAATTATAATAAAGTGAAGTAGTAATGCAAGATTATAATCTCTAAGAATATAAGAATTGCCACAATATTAGAACTTGGTCCCTTTCCCTGCTCCCTGTAGTAAGTATACAGCTCAACCCGATTCTTACACAGGGTTAGTAAGGCCAGTTTCATGTGGCATTAATCCAGAGGCCAGCCTCTAACCCTGGTGAGCAATCCTTAATTCTCATTTAGTGGTCACCACTTTACCTACAGTTAGCCTTGCAGGGTCACCTGTGGGGAGTTACGCAAAAACCCCTGGGTTGCCCTGCTGGTGGTGCCCTGCCACCTGTGGTGGGCTTTGGCTTTATGATGGAAGATTTGGAACTCTGCCAGGCCAGAAGCTGCCATTTATGGGTCTGAGTCCCCATATGCCCTGCTGCATATAGGGATAGTCCTGATAAACAAGCCTGCCTACAGCGACAGTTGTGATGTTTGCTGGTATTGCGCCCAGTCAAAAGGTGAAGTTGTCACCTGAGTTCTAAATCATTCCATCAAATGGGCAAATTTGCAAATGAGGCGCATTAAATTTTTTGACAGCTGCCTTGAGAACTTTGCCTGTTATAGTTTACAAACTTAACGCAGGCTTGAATTCGCACGTCACTATCTGTTATGACATGATGCAACTGTTCCATACTGCATACAATATTTTCTGTTCCATACACTGCATGTTCACCTAAGAAGTGCCCTGCAGTTTGCTCTCATCGTGCCAACTAAATGCCTAAGGAAAGCCTGCAAACATCACCACGAGCGCAGAAGCACCCTCCCACCCTTGTTCCCCAGAAACTGGTGTTTTCAGCACCTTTGGGGCAACCCCTCATCTGTGACAGCATCCCTCCCTGGACTCCGCTTATGAGTGTAGAAGCGATACACAATTTGTGAACATGCAAGCTTTCCAATCAATTTTGCCTCGACAATTGCGCCGCGTTCTTTTACGAAGCCTGGGCGTAGCCGGCAGAGTCTGCGCCGCTCTCCGTCTCCGCTAGGGGTCCCTGTTCCGCACAAACACTGGGCGGCGGCCCCAAAAAGCTTGAACTCATCGTCCAGAATATGGTACCGCTCCTTAGGAGTCCAGGAGGCTGCCTGACTAGAACGAAGCGCCCGTCCCTTCGTCGGGCAGGAGCGCCGCCTTGAAGCTGCCGCTTGGCCCCACGGAGAAGACTCTGCTGGAGGCGCCAAGCGTGCCCACGAGAGTCGGGCGCGGAGAAAGAGCCCCGAGTTGGCGGCGGCGACCCGGCACCGGGTAGGACGCGCGGGGTCCTCGGCGCTGCGCGTGGGAAAGGCGGGGTCCTCTCGGCGGGGCCTGGGCGGATGAGGTCACTCTTTGTGGTGGCTGCCGTTGGCAAGATGGCGCCGGTGCTGGCGGAGAAGAAGCTGCTGGGGCCGGACGGGCCCGTGGCCGCCGAGTTCGCCAGCGAGGAGGACGAAGGGCAGAGCCTTTGGTGAGGAACCGCGCTAGGCTGGCCTGGGCTCCTGGCGGCTCCTGGCTGCCGGGCTGGCATTGGCCAGGGAGGGGCAGTGGCTGCTCTGTCTGCCTTTCACAGTCCTGACGGGAACTGGGCTTCAGCGGTGGGCTCGGAGCCTCCGTGCTCCCGGGAGCAGCCGTTGCCGGGACTCCGCCGGGTCTGCGGGCCAAAGAGCGCCTGGAGGCCCCAGGATCCCGCCAGTGGCTCTTTGACAGCTCAAGCCCGGCTCTGCCTAGTGTTGGGAGGGGCGCCTCGTGCAGTTATGAGTGTTGAGGAAGAAGGGCTGGTTGGGGTAGGAAGGATCGCTTCTCCCTCCCTGTCTCCTTTTCGCTGTGCAATTACATAGGGGCATAGATGTGAGCCCTGTAGGCGTCGAAGCCAAGAAGCTACGTGTCGGTGGGGTCCAGAGCATCCCTTTTCAAGTAGGGTTATCTCTTCTCTGTCCCCCACCCCACCCCCGCTTTCCATCGAAGGATTATGCAGCAGGGACCTCCCCGCCCCGCCCCCATGGAGGCCCAGGAACAAAAATGCAGCGTTACCCTCTTGTGCCCACTTAAAATGCGATGCCAGCAGCCCTAATCTTGACCTAGCTGGCAGCCATGGTTGTTGAAAAAGCTAATGAGATAAAATGACAGGCTCTGGATTGCTTTGTTGATGATTACTTTCAGTGTGAATGCAGCAGAAACCCATGCCGTAGCAGGGCTGACTTCTCAAGTGTTCATGTGATGGTGGTTTAGATGAGCAGTGGATGCACTTTGTATTTTCACCCAGCCTACTCTCTTGGTATATTTAAAAACAACATTCCTACACTCAGACCCATCTATTTAAATGGAGAAAAATATCTAAACCAACGTGTGGTTCTAGCCTGACAGCTTTTGTCCAGGAATATTGTGCCAGGCTGAACTCTGAAGCATCTAGTGTTGGTCTTTCTTTTCTTCAATTGTAGATCTATAGAATTGAAAGGGACCTTGGAGGATATCTAGCCCAAACACCTGCTTAATGTAGAATCAACTACAGCACTCTGACAAAGGACTCTTCAAATGCTGCAGAACTGCCCACAGACACCTGCTTGATAGGCTGGGTTATAAAATCTTGGCAGCTTTAGAAGATGGAGTAGATTGAAAATGCAGTGCCAGTCAAATTAAAAATAAAAATCCTTTAAATTATTGAGTTGGAAGAGACCTAGGAGCCCTCCCCACTTAGTGCAGGATCTTGGAACTACAGCACCCCTGACATTGACTGTCCAGTTTCTTATATATGCCTAGCTTAGGAAAGCCCACTTCCTCATGTGACAGTCGGTTCCACTGTCTATTGCCAATATGAAAATTACGCTAGCATTTAGACGAAATCTTTGTTCCCTGCATTTTCCCTCCATTGATTCTGGTCCTGTTCTCTTGAGCAATAGAGCTCCATCTGTTATGTGACAACTCTTTAGCTATTTGGAGATTGGTATTATACTTCCCCTTCTCTTCTTCAAACTAAACATACTTTTCAACCATTCTAAACAGAGCTTGGTTTCCAGACCTCTCACCATCCAGGTTGTCATCCTCTTAATGCTAGTTTGTCAATATCCTTCTTAAAAGTGTAGTGCCCAGAACTGGACATAATGCTCTTAACTTGGAGAAATCAATTATGGCATTATCTTTTTTTGTAAGCAGCTTTGACTTTAATTTTAATAGAAAAGAGAGGTGCAAATACTAAACTAAATTATTATGAAATCATTTTTTTCCTGTGAATATATTTGAGATTCTGTAGCCCCATTGTAAAATAGCTTAATTTATATTAAAAAATACCCTATATTGATCAACTATTTTTTTCACGCGTTCTCTCTTGTGCAGCACCTTTGTATCCAGTCTTCATTTCTAGGATTATTTTGTATTGTTTTTGGTTGTATCTCAGCTCTTTTGTATATTTTGTTGTAACCTGCTCTGGAATTTTGTATGAGGTGTGGTCTATAAATAGCTTTATAAATAAATGTGTATGTTTGTTGGACTGCAAGATCAAGTTGCAGAACTGACCCTCAGCAAACACTACAGAAATTCATGCTCTGCTTGGGAGCTCCCTTTATTCTTGTTTATGCTCAGGTGTTGGCATATGCACAATATTTTTAACAGTATTATGTAACTTCCCTTGGGAGTTTATAGGAATAGGTAGTAAGAGTTACATTGTGATATACAGAGAGGCTGTTTCCAGTATCAGATATGCTCTGTGACCACTGAAGCATTATGGGTTCTGATTTTGCCTCTTGCAGTGGAGAGCATCTGAAAGCAATGCCACTGATTTAGCTCTTGGGGGAATTTTACTATTGTGAAGGAGGTAGCATTATAACTTGATGTACTCCTGAGCAAGAGAGAGTATATCAGATCTATACAAACAAATACTAATAGGGCTATTGTGTTTTTTTTTATATGTGCAATCTGAGTGATTTAGTATGACATGGTCTTATTTATTTGGACAGATGCTTACTCTTGTTTTTCAGCTGCTACTGGAACCCTACATGTTTTGTAGAAGTTGGCCAAACCTGGCAGTCTGGCCTAAAAATGTCTCTTCCAGCTCCACTTCTGTGCTCTAGGAGAAGATCTAGAATTTGAGCAAAGCCACTCAGTAGAATTTAAAGTGAGGATAAAGGAAAGGCTAATGTGCACATTGCTAATGAGGTTTAAGTGGCTAGGGATTTGAGCATCTGTTACCCATGAGTGTCTGTGTTTGCATTCTGGTGGAGACAGGTCTGCTGACATATTGCTAGAAGTATATCACAATACATACATTGAAAATTCCCCTCAGAATAGTGGTGCTCGGTAGTACTGTTTCTCTTCCCCCTCTTTTTTTGATTTTTTTTTTTTTTACTGAGTTTCAATATTTAAGGAAAGCATTAGTTGTAGTAATAAAGAATCTGACGGTAGTAGCATAGCCCCCTCCCTGCATAGTGGAATTAGACAGCGTTATCAGTGAGTTCTGCTTTTCTTGAAGATATATGTGTATATCTATTTAAAACAGACAAAACCAGAAATTTCATCCACAGTAACTAAAGTGAAACTGGAAACTAAACAAGTTATATTTTTTTGCTTTTTTAAAAAATACTTTATTAAGCAAAACTAACAAGATTAGTGGACTTAAAATATACTACTATCATTTGAGCAATCAGCAGTGAATCAGCTGTCTTCAGAGTAGCAGAATTTCATGAGAGGTCAGGTTTCCAAAAACACCTTTGCTACCAAATGTCATTGCAGTGCTGCATAGACAAAAACAGCACATAACTCATCACACTTAGTGTTCCAGTCATTGTAGTTCTCCATTATAGGCCAAAACTGGTGGATTGATCTTTCTGTTTGTATTGAAATAAATAATACATACTGTAATTTTAAGTGAAGATAACTTACATAGAATCATATAATATAATTGATTTAAATAAAGTTTTCTTGTACATTGTACATTTCCTGAACAAGCATGCATACCTAATGGTTGCTCTATTTAAAAAAAGGTTGGGAACAGCATAGAGCCTTTATACAATCTGGGAACATAATCCAAAACCCCTGGCCATGTCACCCACCTGCCTTTTGCACTACACAACTGTATCTATGTAGGGATGGCTGCAGGAGCTGGATTGTGAAATCAGTGGATTTCTGTTTGGCCCTCTGTACCCATGCAGGAGCACTAAGCAAGCTCACTTGGTAAGGGACATACAACCCCTCTAGGCCCTCAGGACTCTCTCCTGGCTGCCCTACCCTCTTCCAGGCCACACCCTTCACTGGCTCTGCAGCATACCTTCTGCAAGTACTTTTGCCTGGCTGGAATGTATTATTGAACTGTGATAATGCTGTTTCCCTGCCTGGATGGAAGATGGAGAAGTGTCTGTGTGTGAACAGAAACCTATGACTTTTGCATGGCTGGAATGTAGCCTGTACGAAGGTAAAAGTTACATCTCTTACTTTGTCCACTTTTGCTTCTTGCCCCATCCACTGCTGGAATATGGCACCTGGAAGGTCGCTTGTGAGGGATTTGGTCCCTTTGGCTGAAGCAGGTTTCTCATTCCTCCTGACTTAATTGACTTTGAAGTCAGCGGATGATCCTGGTGAGTGATAGGTTGGTGTCTTCTGGGTCTTCTTTTGGCCCATGGTCTGTGCGCCAGGGCAGGGCCAGAGGTAAAGGTGTGTAAACCAATGGACACAATTCTTACATTTGTACAAGGGGCTAAATTCCAGCCATGCAAAAGCCAGAGGTTCCTTACTTGCACATCCAACCCCTGAGTGTCTCCATGTTCTATCCTGGCAAGAAAGAGGTATTATCACAGTTCAAGGACATGTTTCAGCCAAGCAAAGGCACTTGAGGAGGGCGCTGAACAGGACTGGTGACAGTGTGGCTTGGGGATAGTGGGAGGCCTGGAGAGAGTTCCAAGGGCAAGAGAGAGGGGCCTGTGGAGGGCTGCATTTGATCCTTGAGCATGAGGTTCTCCACCCCTGGAATACATAAACCTTTCCTGCACAGAAATGCCCTCTGACAGTTATTTTTCCCCCCATTTGATTTGTGTTATGTCTCAGACAAACTAATAAGTGAACTTGTTTTATGCAGGCACTCAATACTGAGTGAAGTTGCCACACGATCCAGGTCTAAATTACCCACAGGCAAAAATATTCTTGTCTTTGGTAAGTATCAGTGAGTAATAGTGGGAGATTCTTATGGGAATTCTGACACTGGATTACTTTTTTAAGACAAATTTAACTGATAGAACAAAGTGAGCTGTTTAATTTAGTACACAGCCTATTTGGAGGCATGTAATAAAATATTAGCCAGGCTAAAGTTCATCTTGTATCTTTTTTGTGCTGACAAAATATCTTAGATCTAATGTATTGACAAAAGAGCTTGTGGTGCATGTTAATAGCCTTAAGAAGATACATTCAAAATATTAAAGATGCAAATGTGACCTTTTTGTAGAGTAAGTGAAAGAGTAAGTTCAGCTTAGGAATGTGAATTGTGATGCTGAAATCAAGAGAGTCTCTCCTGTAATGGGGCTGTTTTGCTACCCTATAACAGAATAAATGAGTTGTTTCTCCAGCGCCCACTAAATTCTCAGCTCGGAGGCTTGATCATTTCCTGGAAGAGATGAGCTTCTTGATGTTTGTTTTCTGCCCTCTAAACCTATTGGCAGGTGATGATGGCTCGGGCAAAACAACACTAATGACTAAAATCCAAGGAGCAGAGCATGGGAAGAAAGGAAGAGGCCTGGAATACCTGTACCTAAATATCCATGATGAAGACCGAGATGGTAATGTATTTGCCTTACTTGCATGTCTTGTGCTTAAAGTTGAAGGCTGGCCTCTTCTAAAGGGCAGCTGATTTTTCTACTGCCTTCTCAAAGCCTCTGACTATGCATGTTCACATGGAATGAAGTCTCAACAGTGTTCAACAGAGCTTAGTCCCATGTGAATATATGTAGTAGTAGTAATAGTTATTATTATTATTAATTTGTACCCTGCCCTCTGACTGGGTTGCCCCAGCCACTCTAGGTGGTTTACAGCATATATTAAAACATAGTAAAACATTAAACCTTAAAAAGCTTCCCTATACAGGGCTGCCTTCAGATGTTTCCTAAATGTTATATAATTAGTTATCTCCTTAAAATCTGATGGAAGGGCATTCCAAAGGGTGAGCACCACTACCCAGAATAATAATTGCAGCTGTGATTTAATCCATTTGTTCTTTATATGTTGAAAAATGCTCCCAAAATGATTCACCTCTGTTCTTGCTCTAGCCATGTGATACCCTTCATTAAATCCCTACACTTCTTATCCCCTCCTGGATACTGCACAAGACTTTTGTCCTCACTTGAAAATCTTCCATGGCTATCCACTTCTTATCTCTCTGCTCTTAATATCTTGGCATACTCATATTTGTGACTTTCTCAGTCAGCTCCAACAACATCAAGTTTCCTGCTCCCTGAAATGACCTTGATCTTCCTCTTTTTCTGTCTAGACATGTCCTTCCTTTATTTTCAAATCCCTCCTTTAAAAAAACCACTTTTTCTGTGAAGGCTTTGGAACAGTCGTGGGGAGCACATGAGCCTCTAGATGTTGTTGGACTCTACTTCCCATCAGGCAGTGCCAGTGTGGCCAGTGATCAAGGATGATGGGAGTTGTAATCCAGCAGCATCTCAAGGGCCATAGGCTCCCCATCACTGCTGTGGAGTAACCCTTAGTCCTAATATCCATTGTAGCTAAGCCAAAGTGTGTGACTGCAATACACACACATAACTATTATTTGCTTGATCCTGGTTCCAGTTCCTTCCTCTTCCTTTTTTGTCTCACTTGTGTCAAACTTGAGATAGGTGTCCCTATGGGATTAAGGATTTGTCTTCTCATTCTTTGTAAAATGCGAAGTATATAGGTGCTAATACTAATAATAACCGTGGAAAATGATTTCTTAATGAGAACATCTCTCCTTCCTTTCAGATCAGACCCGTTGTAACGTCTGGATTCTTGATGGGGACTTGTACCATAAAGGGCTCTTGAAATTCGCTGTTTCAGCAGAATCGCTGCAAGAGACCCTTGTCGTTTTTGTGGCAGATATGTCTAGACCATGGACTGTTATGGAATCCTTACAGAAATGGGCAAGTGTATTGCGTGAACATATTGATAAGCTGAAAATCCCCCCTGAAGAGATGAGAGATATGGAACAGCAATGTAAGTAATGCGAGACTGAAAGTTTATTTTGTATCCCTACAACTTTCCGGGATGATTGCTTTTAAATTCATATGCAGTTGCCTTATTGTAACCCACCAGTGGTCATGTAGCCTAGCATTGTCTTTATTCTCCCTGCCAGCAGTACATGTTTGGGAGTCTTCCTTTCAGCTAGGCTTTGCACATGAATTGAAACAATATAGATAGTTCGGTGAACATTGTGGCTGTGGGCATATGTTCTGGACTTGTTTGATGCACAAATGATTTGTAAAATCTCTTTCCTAGTACCGAGTTTGGAATTGGCACATGAATTGAAACAATATAGATAGTTTGGTGAGCATTGTGGCTGTGGGCATATGTTCTGGACTTGTTTGATGCACAAGTGACTTGTAAAATGTCATTCCTATTACAGAGTTTGGAATTGTGAGAACTCTGAGATTTGTAAACAAATCAGATAGTTTCTTTTCCATATCCTTGCAGAACAAGGTGTGGAGACTTTGGAATAATATGGATAAAACATATATTTGGGGAGCAAGACACACTGAAGGCTGTTTAAGAAACTGACTTCATTACTTACAAACATTGTCAAGAGCTTATGTTGCTAAATATTTTTTAGAAATCTCTGGCAAGAAGGTTGGTTAGCATGGAGATTGTTTATTATTTTACTTCATTTTCCAGCCAAAACTGGCTCTCAGAACAGCTTACAATAATAATAAAATCCATTGCAAAATTTAAGAGAGTACCTAAGAGTAATAGACTAGTAAGTAATAATGACTATTAAATTCAGAGCAATGTGCACATATGCACACATACATGGGGGGATTGATAGCAAATAATAGAACTTGTCTGTTTCTTAAAGTATCTCCACATCTAGAAGACTTTGATGGTCTATCTGTGCAAGCCTTACTAAAATATATTCAGGTTGTACAGCTTCAGTCATGCTTGGTCAACAAAGGTAGACCCCTGTGAGGTGGGAGAAGTGCAGTTAAGGGAATATGACTTGAGGTTTTTACATGTGAGTAATCATGTGTTACGAGTTAATGCATGCAGGAGTCCCGTAAGTTTGAGGACAGTCAGAGTGAGGTATGGAACATTTCTGCGCAGTGGCAGTTTGCTGAATTCCAGAAACAGGCATAATTTAAATTTAGTCAACTGTGAAACCAATAAACATCCTGTAGTATTGGCTTTCCTGTCACTGATAGCATCAATTTCAAGGTTATAATACCCCAAGTTGTTGGCTGCCCACTCTCCACCTTAGAGCAGATTTATGCCACAAGGTGCCATAGGAAGGCACTGGACATAGTAAAAGATCCATCGCATCCTGGTCACTGTCTCTTCGAGCTCTTGCCGTCGGGACGGAGATACAGGACGATGAAGACAAGAACGAGCCGTCTTAAGAACAGCTTCTTCTCCAGAGCGATCTCGGCCCTGAATGGGAAGCCCGGACTTTGAAAGTCATCTAATCTCCCTTGCTGTATTATACTGTATTGATTAATTAGTGTTTTTATGGAACAGTCAAGTAATTTTCATTGTCCCCGAAGGGGGCAATGACAATAAAGATATTATTATTATTATTATTATTATTAAGGAGAACCACAATTGCTACTTAGTATTCTTTTATTGTATGAGCCCTCAGGTATGCATAGTTGGCTGCTATGTTAAAAACTTGAATCTGTATTAATGCAATGAGGTGGAAAGTGTGCTCATGAAAATACCTATGCAGAATTTGTGCACGATAGAAATGTCATTTAAATAGATGCTAGTTCAGGACAGGAGACAGTGGTATCTAATTGCACATTCCCTTGATAAGGGGTACAGTGCTGGAATGTTCTTCCACTGCACAGGTTTGGACTTATTACTGAAACTTGGAGAACCTCTCTTCACCATGCCGTAATGTTCCTGAAAATATAGTTCATTCATAGTATAGCAAGTTTGATTGAAAGAAATGGTTTCTCACTGTCCCAAAGTTTTCTGACACTTTGCTTCTTTGTAAAGAAATGCAATCTGACAAGAATTTCCTGATGCTTTTGCAGACTTGCACCGTTAACGGTGCACTCATTTTAAACTAGTGGGACAATGTAAAAGGTGGCTGTCAAAGCTGTATTGCGCAGTTTTTTAAACCAAGAGGATCCTATCAAGTTCAGTGGGTAAAATAATCCCTTTCTTCCTACCAAGAAGTACATTTTGTATTGGGGATTACGTCACTCCATATCTGTCTCATGAGGCAAGTCATGTGCCAATGATGCCTATTGTGACCAAAGTCAATGCCTGCTTCTGAGCTTCAGCAAAATAAATTGCCATTTCTGTGTCTCCCCATTGTCACATTTCATGCAGTTTTTGTGGTGTTCATTCCTTTGCTGAAATGGAAGCTGCCAAGTAAACTGCTAAAAAATGCAGAGGGCAGAGCATTGCTGATTCTGTGCTTTCCCCCCATAGAAGGATCATTGTACCTAACGCAGCAACTAAGGGCAGCCTAAGGATCCTATTGCTGCAGCCCTTCCTTGACTCGGGCCCTCACCTTGTTTCTAACATGCATCTCTGCTGCCAGTGGACAATTCTTGTCTGAGAGGCCTCCCTCCCTCCCAATCCACACTACCAGGCTTCACTGGTTTTCCACAGTAGTGGAATGCAAATGTTGCTCCAAGAGAAGTAGCTGTGCCCACGATTTTAACTGCTACCTGCTCTGTTTGCCTCCCCTGTGGGTTCAGGAAGGAGAGCAGCAGCAGTGTCAGTGTCACAAGGCATTCCAGCGCATGCCTGCCTCACTTCTGCTTGTGGGGCCTGTTGGATGAGTTGCCAAGGCTCATCTACTAATTAGTGATAACATGTTTAATGGAATACCATTTCAAAGTCTCTGTTAATTTTTTTCTGAAATGGTGCAGTGTTGAAGTTTCAAACCAAGATGTACACAAATGGTCTCTGAATGTTGAATTTAAACTCATTACAGTAATGACTAATAATTTATGCAGGGCGAGAGTGTTGCTTTATGCTAAAAAGAAAACTTGCAAGTTAAAGGCTGCCTTTGCATTTCACAGTAAGCCAGGATTCCTGGCTTATCCTGGCTTACTGTGAGTGACCAGCATGCTGGTGCATCCAGCTGGTTCACTTCCCCCACCCTTTGTGCAGCTGGGTAAAACTAACCAGGAACTGCTAGCCTGTTGTGGGAACCCGGGAGGAATCCTGGTTTGTTTCTCCCAAACAAGTCAGGATTTGTATGCTAACTTCAGACCTTTTTAAAAGCATCTTGGCTTCGTTGGGAACCATAGACCAGGATCCCGGGTTTTTTGCATGTTGTTAACTAGTCCTTCCTGGTCAGTTAGCTGGTCAATTGAAGACTCATCTTCTCCTCTGAGAGGTAAACATTGTTTGGAATCTCACAATTGATATGTTGCTTCTTCTGTATTGCTTCTGTTTATGAGTGTAATTTCTTTTAGACATTTTAATCTTTTAGTAACTCTTCTGTATTTTTGTTTGATTATTTTGCAAACTTCCCTCGTATCCAAAAGGATGAAGGGTAGCTTAAAAAACAGCAAATAGTTTTACTGAACCTCCACATTTTGCTTAACCTCAAAACATATTCCCCTTTGCATAACTTTAAAGAGTGATTATCAGGTGGTGCTTGGCAGCAAAGAGAATTCCCTCTTCTCTCCCCTCGTCTCCAGGCTCTGTGTGCCCACCAGATAGGTTCCAAAAGGTTGAGGGACCCTCCAAAGTGGAAGGGGCAGGAATGAGAAATTACCCTCACCCAGCGCTGTTATATCACCCAAAGTATTTTATAATTACATGTAAAACTATTCTTTTTTTTATCATAGTTGTGAAGGCTTTTCAGGAATATGTAGAACCTGAAGATGGGTATCAGGGGTCACCGCAGAGAAGAGGCCCATCAGGACAAGATGATGAAAATGTAATTCTACCACTTGGAGATAACGTTCTGACTCACAACCTCGGCATCCCTGTGATAGTAGTTTGTACAAAGGTAAGTTTGAGCTCTCGTTTACTGGCAATTCTTGGAAAGTATTTTGGTTATTGCTAATGATATGTTTTATTGCCCTCTTGCGTTTCTTGTGATCCTGATATACATTGTGAGTGTTTGTCACTGCCCATTTAAAAGAGTGTAATTGTCAGTATTTTTGTGTTTATGTAAAAACATTTGGATTTTTAGTATGTCTGGGAAGAGCATTGAGTGCAGTCCATTTCTTTCTTCAGGATTCTCTGTTCTATTAGTTATTATCCATATTTTCAAATCTGTAAAATGTCTCTCAGTTAAATTCAGAGAATGGAAGATCAGTTTCTAATCTTATACACACACCACAGAAAAGCCCCAAACTTTAAAGTGTGATCAATAGTTGTAAACTTTTATCTTCTGAAACATGAATATGCAAATTAAAATACCTCCTGAATTTGTTTCAAAGCTGAGGAGTAAGGTGTCTTAAACTATGTGATGTCTATGAAGTTTAAATGTGTGCTTTTGTGATATTTTAATAAAAGATATTTTGTCTGTCCAAACAATATCTGATGGCTTTTGAAGTATTTTGCTCAATGACCCCAAACCAAGCTTGCTTTGAACACTAATTTATGCAAAAGTGTGTATGTTCTGCACACATTTTCCACTTCAGGCTTTTAGAATTCTTAAGACTTTTCTTTGTGTTTCTTTTTCAGTGTGATGCAATGAGTGTATTAGAAAAGGAACTTGACTACAGAGAAGAACATTTTGACTTCATTCAGTCGCACATTCGTAGATTCTGCTTACAATGTATCTTTTTCTTACTTGAGCATAAGTAGTGGAATAAAAAACAGTGCCATATTGAGCGTTGTCACTTTACATAAAACTTAGTATGCCATCATCTCAACCCAAATGTATGGTCTGAGTCTGCTATTTCTTTCCTATTATTGAAAGAAAAAACCATTTGTTTCCTGTATATTTCATTTTTTGAACTGTATACGTAAAGACGAACACTTTATCTCCACACTTTATTTTTCAGTAGTAGCCTGGCAGCCTTAAGGGTTGATAAATTTGCTCAGTCTTAGATTTTTTTTAAATGTACAACTAACAATGCAATCCTCTGCATGTTGATTCAGAATTAAATCCCACTATGTCCATGCTTGCTCCATTTTTACATATTTACATTAAACATGGTGGGTCTTGGTTTTGAGTAGACGTGCATAGAATTGTGCTGCAAGTACAATTAGTTAATTATAAGTAGGAATTAATACACGTATTATATGGTATATACATATATTAATAAATACTGTGGATCGCTGAGGAATGGCACTTTCTGTTTAAACCTAGCAGATTGCATTTAGTCATGTTGCCACCTCAATTTTTTTTTACTTTCAAGCTCTGTTCCCTTTGTATTTCATTAGACCCTGAAATGTACAGCCCATTTCATGTTAAGGAATTGCACATAGGGCCCATCCCATTACAGTATTTCAAGTATTTCATTTCTGGAAACTTTGCTCTGTTTAAAAAACATAAAATGCAAATTTAGCAGATTAATTGCAATTGATCTTAATAACATTTTCAAAGTTTTCCTTAATGCAAATTAATAGACGGTGCAGCCTTGATCTATTCATCAGTTAAAGAGGAAAAGAATCTTGATTTGTTATATAAGTACATTGTACATAAAACATATGGCTTTCATTTTATCACACCTGCCTTAGTGGTAGAAAAGGATGCAGTTTTCATGTAAGTTGAAGAGCAATTTCTTGTACATTTACACTAAGACTTGAAAATCCCCTTTAATTTGAGAATAAGATTTTGGTTGGGGGGCAGGCTGATGGATGAAAAGGAGACACTGTTGTAGATTAAACATAAATAAGATAGCACAATATATATACAACTCTTAATCATGCTAGCCAGAAGTCAGTCTCCGTTGATTTAATGGAAGGTCCTTTCCAATAAGAACACTCAAGATTGCATACTTACTGCCTGAACTTTAGAACTGCTTTTCTGAAGCACCAGGTTATATTATCTGATGTGGAGTTGCTGTTGTTTCTGCAAGGAGACAAGTATCTCCCCTTCCCATTGCCACCGTGAAGTGGAATAAGCTGCTCCGGTGCTTCTCCATCCCTGAATGTCTTTTGCCAAAGTTGTGTCATGCAAGGATAGTAGTGCTGCTCAGGAAAAATTAAGTTAATATGACTCCACATAACATTCTCTTTGGGATATTTTGCCAATATAAAGGCCAATGCCAACACAAACCATACGTTCATTTGTGTGTTATATTTCTGTCTCCTTCCTCCCCAAGGAGTTGAGGGCTCATCTGATTACAAATGATCATAAGGAAAGGGGTGGTGGTTTTGTGGCAGGTTGCGCCAAATTCATCCTTGCCTTCTAGGTATAGGTGCAGTTCTTCAGCCGTAAGGTCACTTCACACAGCACAGTTTTAAAAGTATAAATGTGATCAACGCAGGTACACTTAGAGCCAGGATTGGCTCCATCTTCCTGCTGAGTGTGTGCTTGCCAGTGCACCCAGATGTGCTGTAGTGCTTGCAGTTGACTGTAAGGTGATCCAGGGAATTGGTCTCTTGGTCTCTTTTGGTTTCCTGCATTTCACAGTAACGTGAATTAGCATTATACTTCTTACTTCATTGAGGACAGTTTTGCTTCGTTGGAGAATGAATAATGTCCCGTTTAATGTACAACAGCGTAATAACACTTTTCTGTATTTTTCTCAAATGCGAAAAGGCAAGCTAAACAAATATTTTCAAAATGTACCTGTGCCAGTCACCATTATGCTGTACTTCTGAAAAAAAAGGATGTGCTGACATGAATCCTTTCTCTTGCTAGACCTGCTGGCTGGGACAATGAAAAGAAAATTTCAATTCTACATGAAAACTTCACAACAGTGAAACCTGAAGATCCATATGAAGACTTCATTGTAAAACCTCCTGTAAGAAAGGTAAGCACCATTTAATTATACATTACTTTATCAAGTGTGCAGGGCTGTAAGTAACCACTACAGAATTCAGTATCCTGAGCCATGGTAAGAATGCCAAGCCATTAATTTGACTTTATAAACCGCCACCCTCATTTATTTGCCTATTCTACAGTATTCCTTTTACATTTCTAACCCTTTGGGGACTGCAGTGAGGCAGGTGTACTGAAGTCTGATTGGACTAATGCAGAAGGTTTCAAAAGCAAGCAAAACACAGCTCTCAATCCCTGACAAAATGTAGTACATTGCATTTCTATATGGGAAGAGACAAAAGAATGGTGGCTTGGAGTAGAAGAAAATTGATTAATGTAGTTCTAAATATCCTGGTGCAAGCTTTAGCTGTAGAATGCTTGCTGTGTATTTGGTGTATGTATGCAGTGTATTTGGGGTTGTGTTACAATATATGAAATTGAATCAGGATGATAGGGGATTTAGCATGTGACCTGTAGTCTGGACCCCCCCCCAATGCATAGGCTCAACTTCTTCCAGTAGATCAGCTCTGTCTAAATCATAATTTCCCATGGAGTTGCTGGCAGAACAGCTGGTCCTGGATTTTTATTAATCTTGATGTTTAAATCAACATATTTTAAAATATGTTGGTCATACTTGGAGTAGCTTCATTTAAATTAATTGACTTCCAAGTCCACAGTTTGCAGGGGGTCTGCTCTGAGGATGAGTTAGTTGAATACCACCCTACCTTTTAAATTTTGTAAACTGCCTAGGGAATGTTATCGATATACATTTAAAAAATAAATAATGATGCACAAGAGGAGGCCAGGTCACAGACTATATATATATTTGTGACTTTGCATATAAAAGTTTTTGTTCTGAAAAATTCTTGACATCTACACAGCATATCTGTTAAATTTCTATTGAGTTATGGATAAGGTGGCTTGTATTTTGGGGGGAACTTGGGGTGGAGGACACTTTTAAACTGAATCTGTCTTCAAGTCTTCCAAGTTGAAAATCCTCTCTTTAACCAGCAAACAGCCTGCTACTGCTGCTATGTGTTTAAGGACCTAATGGATTTGGGGTACTAATCCAACAAGAATTGAATACTAATTGGGGTACTAATTGAGCACAGCTTCTTGCCCCCCCTTCTGAAACCAGCTAAGCAAGAAAGGAGTCAGAAAGAAATGCAAGGAGTTGTAGTGGCCAGAACCTTCCACATGCTCCCTGCCTTCCTGTAGCTTCCATGGCTAGTATAGTACAGCCTTCCCCAACATGGTGCTTTCTAGATCTTTCAGACTAAAGCTCCCACCAACTGACCATTGACCATGTCGCCTGGGGCTGATGGGAACTGGAGTCACAAAACATTGAGGGGGCTCTAAGTGTGGGAATGTTGGCATAGCAGCTGTGGTACTAAATCTTTGCTGCTAGCAAGATAATCTCTCAGGCTGTGCCTGCTGCAGGATTCTCTCACTGGAGTTGCATGCATGTAAACAAACACACACACGTCTACTACATAACTTGTGTAAGACAGCAGAGAGTAGGAATTATTCCAGATTATTAGGACACTGAAGGGATAATTTACTATATATACAACTTTTCATGGTAATGCCCCCCCCCTTATAATTTGTGCAGCCATTTTTTGTTTATAATGAAGTTTTCTGTGATTTATTCCTCTTCTCATCAGTTAGTTCATGATAAAGAACTTGCAGCGGAAGATGAACAAGTGTTTCTTATGAAGCAGCAGGTAAGAAAATAACATATAGCAAAAATTACTTTTCCTTTGCTGGCAAGGAGGAAATCCCTTGGGGAGGCCTCTCCCATATCTCCACTGCCTCCCTTCATTCCTCCATGCAAGTGACTGGTAGAAGCCATCAGAAGAGAGGAGGAGGGAGGCAGAGGGAGATGCTGGCAGAAGAAGAAGGCTGAAATGGACTGCAGCTGAGCTGAATTTGCATGTTAAATGTGTATAAGATACGACTCAACTTTATCACATGAAGCATTTAACAACAACATGAGGAATTCCATAGCATCTTGAGAAGCATATATCAACAGTTTCATTTTTGCATAAACATGACTCTTGGAACTTAACCCCCACTTATGATGCGATGCAACTGTACTGCAGAATCCTACCTCTTTTTCCTGTTTAATTCTGGTGCCCTCTAGTGATATCATTTGCAAATAACTTTGTAAAAGTGCCAGAGTCACATTGAGTAAGGTTAAGCTCAAGTTCACAAGATAGCATCATTGCCACACGTTTTTAAATTTTGGGACATTTCCCCCTAGTATATTTAAGAGCTCTTTGTTCTTTTTCAGTCTCACCTTGCCAAGCAGCCAGCCACACCTACAAGAGCTTCTGTAAGTATGTGTTTGTAGGAAAGTAATTTGTAGTTTAAAATGTAAGCCTGAGCCCCATAGCCTGAATGATTGAAATTATCAAAACTTACTACAATGCTTGCTTAGTATCTTTTTGGAATATTGCATGCAGTTTATGCATAACATTTTTAAAAGTATCCCAAGCAACTGAAGGTGTTTTGCTATTCTGTTACACTATGTGAATAGTTCATTTTGCTAGCTGAATGTATTTACAAATCTGTGCCTGAGATATACCCAAAAATTGATACTTGAAATTGAGAAACTTTTTACGGTGATAAATGGGGTATCATTGAAAACATGCAATTTCTACAGCAAATTGCAGAGTTCTCAAAATGATTTATGGGCAGTTGACTAGGGAAGCACAAGCTATTAAATAAAGTGGGAGAAGAACGATGTCTGCTGTGTACGTGTAAAGCGGTTGAACATTTAAAAAGAGAAAGGCAAGAAAGAAAGAAAGAAAGAAAGAAAGAAAGAAAGAAAGAAAGAAAGAAAACACACTGCAGGGGGAACCCATTCTCAGAACTTAGTAGGCTGCATTGGGATGTAACAGTAAGCTCTGGAGTACAGTTCATTTTAAGAATGCTTTGTTTAACTGTGCATGAGCAGTGTATTGGTATGTGCAGTTAAAGCTCTCCCACTTCACCCTTAGTTGAGTAGGGAAGCAAACTATGAAACAGCAGGCTTAGTGTTATGTGTGAGGCAGTGCTCGTGGTTTATTTCTCTCCAAACTAGCCATGATCAGGAAGCAGAGGAAGGGAGGAGCAGAGTGGGAGTGCTCAAACAGCATGCACAGGTAAACTAGTCATATTTTAAACAAACCACACTCTGTGGATTAATGTTATGTCTGAACGCAGCCAGTATCACTCAAAAATAGTGGAAGCTCTAAAATTTAACTGATAGCAGTTTTCCTTATATTTCACTAAACCCAAACATAAAGTAATTTATGCAATTAGATTTGCAATTGAAATTTTACTTTTAAATTGCAGAGAGCTGCTACTTTTTTTTGGACAAAATATAAATTGCTGTTGCTTCCTCAATTCTCTTTAATCTGGAGAAGTTCACTGGTGTAATTTGGGAATATCTGAGCAAAGAAGTGCTTGAGTACACTTTAGCAGTTGCATTTTTTTCATTTTTTCCCTTTATTGTTAATTGCATTGTTGCAATTTGTGATTGTCCAGGAATCTCCTGCACGAGGGCCTTCCGGATCACCAAGACCCCAGGGCAGGGCAGGCCCTGTCACTGTCCCCAGTGCCTCGCCAATAGCATCTGTTAAGAAGCCAGATCCAACAATTAAAAGTATGCACTGCAACTTAAACAACCTATTTTGTTTGTAATCTTTTCTTGGAACACTGAGCTTGTTAGATGAAAGGCAGATACTAATTTAGTGATAAAATCAAATATTCATGTGGCATACTCAGTGGGCAGCTGTTGGGGCTTTAAAATGTTTTTTAAGTTATCAGGGATGGAGAGAATTATGAACAATATTTGTATCCAAAGTTTAATAATATAACTATAATGATCTGCTATTATAATACTAGGAAGACAGTTTTATTTCTGAATGGAAGTGGTGACCAGTTTTGCTAGAAGAGCCAGTAAATTGGGAAGCACAAATAAAATATAAGACAATATACAGTGGTACCTCGGGTTAAGAACTTAATTTGTTCTGGAGGTTTGTTCTTAACCTGATGATTAATGGGACCTCCCGCTGCTGCCGTGCGATTTCTGTTCTCATCCTGAAGCAAAGTTCTTAACCCAAGGTACTATTTCTGGGTTAGCAGAGTCTATAACCTGAAGTGTCTGTAACCTGAGGTACCTGAGGTACCACTGTATTTAAATATGTTTAATTTTTTGTATAGACCTCTTTGAAAAGGGAATGGGTTGATATGCCAGTTAGGAATTACATTCTTTGTAACATTCGTTTCCCTCCCACACATCATTTTATGCCTTTCATATATTTTGAACATAAAGGATTGTTAATCTGCCACAGTCCTGTGTGTTTCAGACTTTTCTCACCTCCTTTTAATTAGATAATGCTGCAAGTGAAGGTGTGCTAGCCAGCTTCTTCAACAGTCTCTTGAGTAAAAAGACTGGCTCTCCTGGGAGTCCTGGTGCCGGAGGAGTGCAGACCACAGCCAAAAAATCAGGTACACTGGAGGGGCCCTGGCTCAGTGGTAGAACATCTGTTTTGCATGCAGAGGATCCTATGTTCAATCTGTAGCATCTTCAGGTAGGCCTGGGAATGTCACTTGTCTGAAACCTTGAAGGGCTGCTGCGAGTCAGTGTAGACAATACTCAGATTGTTCAGTATAAGGAAGTTTTCTATGCTTCTAAAAGCATTAATATTTTTTCATATTAACTTATTCTGCATAGACCACACTGAAATCCATGGATGGTTGGCTAATGTCACAGCCAAATATTTTAATAAATAAATGAACCTAGAGTTGTGTCTCACAGAGAATTAAGCCGTTCCCAGTCTACATTATCCACACCTTGGTTTCTGCTTCATGTTGTAATTCTAGAATCTTCCATGACGACATAGAAAGCATGTTTGCAACTGTTTTATTATTTGAGTGCTTTGGCTGAAATAGTAACCTCAAGTTTTCTTTAGGGCAAAAAACGGTTTTGACGAATGTCCAAGAAGAACTGGATAGAATGACTCGCAAACCAGACTCTATGGTAACGACCAACTCCTCTCCGACAGAGAACGAAGCTTGATTAATGCTTGAACCTGCATATGTAAATGACCAAATAACTATGTACATTGATCTGATAAGACCAGGAGTTCTCTGCTATGGCAGATGCTATAAGTTTTTCTTGGGGCAGGGGGAAATGAAATTTAACCTTCATTGGCTTGTCCCAGTATCAAGTGCACATTCAGGAAGATTTGCATATAAAATTCCTCTGTTTTAAGATAACCATTTTAGAATATAAATAGGGCAATTCTCTTGATTTGGGTGGCAAACAAGGTGCAGCTGCAATTCCTAGGGAAGAGCACAGAGAAGTGAGATGCGGGATTCCTGTTGAAAAGCCACCAGTGGCTGCTGGCACTAAGGATGAATGAAGTCCCCTTTTCCAAGTATACTGGAGTTGGCCATTCAAAACATATTTATACTTGGAGAGAATCTGGTGTAGTAGAGTGATGGTTAGATGAAGAGAGTATAAGGTGCTGCATTTAAAATAAGTGCAAGATCTGGCTCAGAAGTGAAAAGTATGTTGGACAGACTGGAGAAAAGCAGTGTTAATACATCCTGTGTTGAATAGAGATCAGATAATCATGTTTTAAAAACAAAAGCCTTTACAATTGGAAAGTGTCCAAAGCTTATATGCTAAGTATCATGGGAATTTTTCTTGTTATAAATTGCATTTTTGTTTTTTTGTTTTAACAAGAAGCTACATGAAATGTGGTGGGTGCCCTTTTTGTCACAGCTGACACAGGGAGAAGCTTGATTAGACCAAGTGCCTGGCACAGTGACGGATGTCTTTTGGAAGGTGCTTGAACCTCTTGTGCACTGTAGTACAAACAGTCTTTGTTTGTTTGACTTTACTTTGAATAACTCAGTAACTTTTTATAGTAATGTATAATTTTGAATCCTGTTTTCTCATAGCTTCTGCCTTGGGTTTTTTCCCCCTTTTCTAAATGCCAATCACATGGCCTGTTAAAAGCAATGAGTGACATATCACTTTCCCATGACGAAATGTGTTATGAAATACAAATCTTTCTTTTAGTAGCTGAAAACTCAGTCCTGCCTTAAGGTTTGTGAAACCTGTAATAATTTTCTTATAGGCTCCCAAAATTTTTGTTCCACTTTGCAGTAAATTACTAGTGTTTGTAGGTTTACATTGTTAAAACATAGAAACTAATGACTTCATTATAGCCCTTTAGTGTAGCCTTTTAAATGTGGAAAGAAATCTTACAATTGTCCCTCATTGCTACTCAAATAATACCCATGGCCAGCTTGAGCTATGAAAGACTCCCACAGTTAACTGAAATGGCACTTTTGAGTTTCTGTACGATATTTTTGAAAAAGAAACACTACCTTGCGTTATAGTACTAAACATCTTTGTAATCAACACACAGAAGGGAAAAAACCACCGTATGAATTATGCAGAGTTTACTTTTTATTGATAAGGATTTGTGTGTTATGCTGAATCTTGTTTCTGAATAGAACACCCCTAATATTTATATATACATACATATATATATTGTTAAATATACAGAATGAATTGACCACTAACACAGTACTGGATGTAATTGCAAACCCTGTGTTACATCAAGAGGCCGTCTCTTTGTTTTTGTAAGTCTGTCTAACACTATATAGAAAGCTAAGAGTATTTACTTGCATTAACTTAAAAGCATGTTTACTTGTGCCAGTTATGTGTTGTTGTTTTCCTTTCCTTTTTTTTACATTTTTATAATTTCAGAACCTCAGTTACATCCACAGTTGCCTGTATCTTAAATTGACGAGTTGTGGTTGGGGCAATTTGGTGTGTGGTTCTGCTGGCATATGATTTGCCAGATGTATGTTAAAGAAAACTGTGGCCACTCTAGCAGATGTGACTTGCATCCTGTCCTCGTGGCATGCAGCTTTATTATACTGTTAGGCAGCTGCACATTTTATGCCATGCATAAGTGCATGGCATGTTGGGATGGTTGAGTTCATGCTGGGTTCTAGCACAGGGAACTTTACCACTGTCTCAATCTCCTTGCCACACGTGCAAAAGGCATAGAACCAGCCTTATGATTGGCTGGCCAGTCTAGAGCTGATTTTGGCTGCCTAGAGATAAGGCGTAACATATTGGAAACAAGTATGTTGGGCAAGCAAGTGTTTTGTGATGGTATGCGGTTCCAATGCAAGCCTTCAGTACACAACTGCCTCTTTCTGTTAATGTTTTTGTCATTTATGCAGATAATTCACTTTGTATATCAATAATGTGTACAAGTGGCTACTGGGTTTTTTTTGTTTTTGTTTCTTCATTTTCATAAAATGAATGTTAGAACTGCTGCAAATAAGCAAAAGCCAGTAACATACCACTTTCCAATTGTGCAAAAGAGTGCTTGGATCCAAACAGAAGTTGATTTCCCACCTCTACTCGGATAGTGCTTAAGGAAACTCTGCAAGTGAATGCTCCTAGTTTCTCAAAGGAAGAAAGCTGTAAGTAATGTAGTGTTTTTTGGTTGCCAAAGTCTAGCAACTTTGGAAAGCTGCACAGTTGTCTTTTCTGGTGTTCTCAAGCATTGGAACCAAAGGCCAAACTGCAAAAGCCTTTACATTTTAAAAATACAATTAACTTTATTTTTCAGGATACACTTGTATGGTAGACTGTTAAAATTATTACATGGCTATATTTATATACGGTATATTGATTGCATCTACTGTTCATGTTTAAAACTTAAAGTAATAATCTATTCAACTTGAAGAGAGAAGGCAAATATAAAGGATTAAGGATTGGCCCTCCATCAAAATGCTATGTTTATGCTGCTTGATTTTTTTTTTAAAGTTTGCACTTTTTATTGGCATTTTAAAACTTGTTTAAACTGAACAGAACTTGTTGTATTTTATTTAATTTAACTACATTGAAAGTGACTGAACTTAACCATATCCATGCTGTAAATGAAAGTTCACTCTCCTATATGACTAAGTTTATTGATGTTTTTAACTTCCAATGAGGACTGCAGATGTATCCAACACAACCCTTAGTCCAGTTGTATGGCTTTAACCAGGTGCAGTCATGTGGAATCTTGCTTTCTAGTGCTGGCAAAAATGAGGACATGTTCTTTAATTAATGGCTTCAATAAACACCAACCAAGACTGCTTTACCAGTGTTGAATTGCTTTTTTTTACTAAGCAGGGCAGTTCTCAAATTGTGGTTTGAGGCAAAGGATGTTTTGACCTTTATATACAATAATTTGTTTGTATGGCTGCCTTGCAGTGCACAATAACTGCCATTTTGGAGCGGACTAATGGCTGAGCCATTGTGACAATCTGCCAGTTTGTTCTATGGGTTAATTCACTGCTTCTCACAAAGCTGGGATGGGTGGTGGTGGTGGGACTAACCACCAGCCTGGGGCCTAAGACCCAAATAATTTTGATGGTGGTGACAAAAAAGGGTGGGGATAATGACATACCAGTAGTTTGGGTGGTGAGCGTTAAGCTTTGTAGCTTGAAATGCTGTTAGTAAACAGGACTGTAGCAGCACTTACGACAAATCACAAGCATTACAATGCAGTTTTCTTTGAAACCCTGATGAAGTGAGGAGAGAATCGGTTTGTTCAGTCTAAAAGATGTGCATTTCAAAAGAAGCCTTAGCCCTAACATACATAATGATGGACCATGTGCATTTATACAAGATCACATACAAAGGGTCTCTGTTTACTGTTTAGATACAAAATATAAAGCACTGTGGTTTTCATATAGGTAACTTTTCCTGTATACATTTACATTTTTATTAAGCCCTTTTTGGTGCTTTGTCATCAGCTTGTTGGGGGATTTTTGCTGTGATCCTATTTCTTCTACTTACTGAACTGAGTGGCAGGAACTGAAGAAGAGAAGAAGAGTTTGGATTTGATATCCCGCCTTTCACTCCCTTTAAGGAGTCTCAAAGCGGCTAACATTCTCCTTTCCCTTCCTCCCCCACAACAAACACTCTGTGAGGTGAGTGGGGCTGAGAGACTTCAAAGAAGTGTGACTGGCCCAAGGTCACCCAGCAGCTGCATATGGAGGAGCGGAGACGCGAACCCGGTTCCCCAGATTACAAGACTACCGCTCTCAACCACTACACCACACTGGCTCTCTGATGTCTCACTGAGACATCACAAACCTCACTCCCTTTCCCCAAAGCAGAATATTGTATTTTGAAACAAACAAACAGATGGCTGAAATCACATTTAAGTTTAAGGCATGCAGCATTCAAGAATTTTTTTTTTAATGTGTCTGAAGGATGAAAAGACAAGATGAGTAGACTGAATTGGTGATTGATTTGCTGATTAGTCTTGCATTGTGAAGCTAGATATACTGTAATGAGAGTGGGGCGAGAAACCACTCAAGCTTATTGTGTCTATTGCTTTTTGAACAGAGGGCAAATAAACATGGTCCCATTATGTAGTGCTGGTTAAGTTATTCAGGACATCACACCAGAGCAACAGAATGAACTACCCCAGGGATAGCCAACATGGAGCCCTCCAGATGTTATGGACTCCCATCCTCCTTACCCACTGGGCTTCAGGGGGGTTGTGGTACACTCCAGTTGTTTTGGACTACATTGGCTACCTCTGAACTAGCTTCTCACAAACATCACCCATTTTATTTATCCAGTTTTTTTTTACTTTGTCTTTTGGCCCAAATAAGTTTCCAAAGTGGCATACGATTTCAAAAACAAAATAACAATAAATGAAATAAAACATGTACAGCATGCTAAAATATACTTACCTCGGAGAATACTTAAAAGTCCAAATGAAGGCTTGGCCAAATAAAATATTATTTACAATTCATTGGCAAACTATTAAGGAAGGAGTCAATTGGGCGCCGGGAAATGAAATGTCACAAATTGGGTGCCTATAAAGGTCATGAGTAATGTCCCATTCAACTAAACTGATAGCAAGGGGACATGGAGGAAGAACTCTGATCTGGAGCACAGTGTGTGAGCAGATTCATCTGGGGGAAGGTGGTTCTTCATATAATTTGTTCTGAAACAGATTTCATAAATTTTTGTTTTGCTACACCTGTACCTTTCTTTATCCTATTTCCACTATACTTCATTGGACTATAGACTGATTGCATAGAAGAGCTCTGTGGCCCTCCAGATGTTGGAGGAATTGACCATCAGACCTTCAGGATACAAAGCAGATCATGATGTGCTGGCAAACTAGTCTTGCTCCTAGCCTTTTGCTTGCTGGTGTCCTGAGCTAAACCACCAAGAGTTACAAGAAATGAAGAAACTGGTGTTTTGGAGTTTATCGCTTGCGTAGTTTTAAACATCAGGGCAGTAGAAATCACAAATGTCCTCTGCAACTTAATACAAAAAGCCTTTATAAATATGCAATGTGCCCAGGAGAAAAGTGAAAGTTATTTAGATCAGGCAGCCTTTGATCGTTCCTAAATGACAGCAGCACCCATCTCAGCTTTGCATCACTTTGGTGTGACTGTTTTGCTTTCATCTCTGTTGGCATCCAGGCTTTAGAACCTTTTTTAAACAAACAAACAAACCTTTTTCCAATATTTATAAACCTATTAACTATGGATTTTTACACCCAGATTTTAAACTAGGCAATATATATTTGGATTCATTCATGATCAGATGTGATAAAAGGGTATATACTTGGAATAAGGGCTTTTAAAATTGTAGGAAACCAAGCAAGATGAGCACAAGTGCATTCATTCTCCTGTGGTTTTCAGAAGTATAATTCTCTGGCAGTGGAGGCAGAGCATAGCCACCATAGTTAGCAGCCATTGATAGCATTTACCTCCATGAATTTGTCTAATCTCTTTTTAAAAACAGCTTTATGAGCTTTATGGGGTAACCATGGACCTTTTTATTTGTCCAGACTTTAATGTATAATCTAATGCTGTGACAGTTCTGGGTTTTTTTGTGAGTTTTCTTGCTTTTACTGCCAATGTTAATTTTACAGGTTTTTTTTAAAAAATGTTTCATATCTCTATATCTGTCTTTTTCTCACACACGTCACCTTAAATTCCAGTAATTATAAGGAAGGATAACAAAGGCATGTTTCAGAAATTTGTTCCAGAATTTCTCTGTCTTAAGATTCATTACTGTAAGTGACCCCGCCCCCCACAGTTTCAGGTATCTAATGCAAGGTTTTATTTTATGTCCATTTAAACCATAATGATTTAAATTCCTTCTTGTGTTCAAAAAATCCCAACTTATTTGAATTAATGTTGCAGATTTATTGCTTCTTGGCCTTTTGGTTAAGATGCAGCTTTATAAACTACTTCACAGCCAGAAGCTACTGCAGCAATGTACCATAATATAAAATAACATAAAAAGATGCAGCCTTAATAAACCAAAACACTGTTTTGGTGTCACAGTTCTGTAAAATGGCTGGGTTACACTTTACACACTCCAGCTGCATTCCTGTATTTAAGATCATATTTAAGAGCATTCCTGTATTTAAGATCATATTTAAGAGCATAAAGATCGCTTTAAGGCTATTCTGCTATTTGCTGCAAATGTGCAGATTCCAGAATACTTTAAAGGTTATACATTCTTGGATAGATAGGAAATACTGAACCTTCAATCCCATGCACCTAAGAGTAAATTCTATTTAATGTAGTGGGACTTACTTCTGAGTAAACATGCTTAGAACCAGGGTGCTAATACTTTAAAACTGCTCGTGTTGTATCTCTGATTCATGCAAGGTTCCCTTTTGACATGGAAACTGAAAACCCACCTTGGCAGTAGTTTTCACTACAGATGTGAGATGGAAAATCAACCAATTAGGCTAGTACTTGTTCCTCCAATAAGATGTGCATTCTAACCTGAAGCTGTGAGAGCTTACTGAGCATAGAAAGGCCTTAAAACACATGAATGGACATCTTCAAAGGCTGCAAAGGAAAGCAGGTTTCCCTTTGAATAAAGACAACAAAAAACCAGGAAGAACTGACTCATATTGTTAAAGAGTTGGTGGGTGCTTTGACTCCCCTAAATTCCTGGGTGCCAGATTCTTCCATAATTTTCTGGTTCTAGTGCGTATTGTAGTTTAATCAATGCTTGGCTTATTAAGAGAGGCTGAATTTAGCTGTATCAAAATCTAGGCCAAACCAGTTTTTCTGTGCTGAGGAAATCACTTGGGAGAAGAGCCCTCACAGAGAACAAAAGGCAAGGTGATGAGCCATTAAAAAGGCAAAGTCTCTGTGCCAGTCATCAATGGGTCAGCTCCGGGTTAGTTAGCAGGACAAACGCCAGAGTTGTAGGGAGGGTTGCAGCTGGCTTGGAGGTAAGCTGGAGAGAAAAGTGGCAGCCCTTAAAATGCAGCAAGCCGAGCAGAGGGCCACGGCTGATTTCTGGTGGCATCCAAAACTGGCATGGGAGAAGCAAGAACCTCTTGGAGTGTCTCTCCAGGTTGTATATAAGCCACGTGTCATAAAGACATCTCCGCTTCGCCTTCTTTTCAAAGGAAATATAAACCTTGGGGTTAGTGCCTGGACCACTGGAATCTTGACTTGTTCATGGAGACTGAGGTGGGGGTGTAACTGTATCAGCATTTTCAATGTTAAGTGTTCAAATACCTTTGAGAATATTTGTGGCTTTTGAAAACTTTGCAGGACTTTGATGCGTCGTTGTTCTGCTCCATCTGGTGCCTAAGAATTCAACAGGTGAACCCCGCCCCCATACTCTTTAACTGTTGAATATGCGGGGAAAGAGAGTATATAAAAATCTCTGTGTATGTGTATTTGTGCATATATATATATTTGTGTGTGTGCGCGCGCGCGCGCGTGTCATTACCCGTTTCTCTCTCTCTCTATTTACCTCGCGTTCGCGGTTGGCGGGGAGGGAGGAAATGGCGAGGCGACCTTCCTCTGCGCAGCCCTTGCCTTCCCCACAGGATCCGGGCCTGAGTCCAGCTCAGGACCTTCCCTGAGGGGGCAGAACCCTCGGCGGCTGCCGCCTCCTTAGCCGAGCCCCTTCTTGACTCCGCTTCAGGGCGGGCTTTCCCTCTTCCTCTTCCCTCCCTTTCCGCCGACGAGGAGCAGCTGCAAGTCCCGGAGGGAGAGAGGCAGGCAGGCAGGCAGGCAGGCAGCGGGAACGGCGGCGGCGTCTCTGGTGGCCGCAGCTGCAGCTTCACCTCGTGAGAGAGGCGGGAAGCGGAGACCCAGGCGACGCCGCCCGCTGTGGGGCTCCCGAGGCGGAAGGCCGGCCTGAGGGGAGGGGAGACGCCCGCGGCGGACGGGATCGAAGCGGGCAGGGCAGGGCGGTCCGCTTCGCTTCGGCAGCCTCGGCGGCGGCGACCCAACATGCCTCCCGCTTCCTCGGCGTTGTCGCCGCCGCCGCCGCCACCGTTGTTGTTGTTGTCTTCGCCCTCCCCGCCCGCCGCCTGAAGCCAGGAGGAGACCTTCCCCTTCCTCTTCTCCTCTGCCAGCCGAAGTTCCCAGGCGGCCCCGACCCCACCCCAGGCGCAGGAGGAGGAGGAGGGCGGCGGCGGCGGCGGCGGAGGCAGCAGCAGCAGCAACCGCGACATGAGGCGCGCCGAGGACCTGGAGGGCTTCGACGGGGAAGCGTCGAGCACCTCCATGATCTCGGGCGCCAGCAGCCCGTACCAGCCCACCACCGAGCCCGTCAGTCACGGCCACGGGCTGCGCGGCCTCCGCTGCGACCCCGATTACTTGAGGGGCACCTTCGGAAGGCTCAAGATCGTCCAGGTGGTGGGTACCGAGCCGCGGGGGGGGGGGTGTCGTTTGCAGTCTGTGGAGGGGGGGCTCGCCTTTCCTTATCGCTGTTTCTAATTATTATCGTCACGGCGGTTAACGTGTGTGTCCGCGTGTGTACGTACACCCGTACACGCACACACGAGAGTTTTTGGGTTTAATATCGCCCTTCTTCTTTTCTGAGCCATGGCCACATAGCATGCTGATTGCTATTCCCACCCCCGCCCCCCTCCAGTGGAAAAGGCTTGTTTTTTCAACCCAAAAGATTCTCTAAGAGAGACTCTCGCGGATTCCCATATTTAGAGAATGGGCTTGGAGGCTCCAGATGTGCTGTTACCACTCCAGCCAAATACCACAGGGTTAGCCTCGAGTGTAATAGTAGTAGTAGTAGTTACAGAGTGCCAAATCAGGATTGAAGCTCCCTGGGTGACCTTGGGGCCAGTCAGCTTGATCTACCTCCTAAGGTGGTTGTTAAAATCTTTTTTTTTTTAAGGTGGTGGACACTCTCTGGGTTTCTTAGCTGAACTTGTTAGCCATATTTGTTGCTGGAGGATGGGGGATAAAAATAGCTGAAATGAATAATGTATTAGGCAGATGCCAACAAAAAAGGAGAGACTATTGGGGTACCTTAAGGCTGCAATCTTATATCCAGTTTCCCAGGATTGAACTGCATTGCACTTAGTGGGATTTCTGTTTCAACAGGCAGATTATAGATATAACTTTTTAAAAGATGTAACAGATTCATTGTGGCAGAAGCTTTCATAGACTAGCGCACACTTTTTTTTTCAGATGCATGATGTGTTATCCAGTTGGTAGAGAGATGCAAATACACACATACCTGGGGGAGAGGGAGCATAGACGACCCTGTAAAAGAATGGAGCAAAAGACCATGAAATGCATAAGGTGCAGTTCATGTATTTTATTTTAGCTAAACTGCTTACATTCCTCAAGAGCTGGTGTCTCTCTGGCAACTGAGGATAATGCTTCTTGCATCAGATAAATGCTAGTTCCCAAAAGCTTCTGTCACATAAAATCACTTAGTCTTTAAGGTGCTCCTTAAGGCTTCTTTTGTCAACTGCTACCAGACTTAGATTTAGAGAAGTAAACCTGTCTGACCCCTTTTGAGAGAAAGGATGGGTTACAATTAAAATAAATGCAGCATTCTATATTGCCCCAATCATCCCTCTTTGAAAATGTCTGATTTAAATGTAAGGCAAATTTCACAACTATGTATTGATTCTCTCTAGGTATTTCATCAGTAAGGTAACACTGGCCTTTCCCTTTCTATTCTTCTGACTATTACTTAAGTTTTTTCTTTTTTGGGAAGGATACACATTTCCCCATCTTTTCTGCAATGGTACCGCCATTCCTGCCAGAGTTTATCCTGTTAGGCAAGAATTTGAATTAGGGAGGGAAAAGGAGCAAGCAGTTAGATGATAGGTGATGATTTATGTAATATTTCAAGGTCACCTTTTGTGACTGGATGAAAAAACAGCAGTTAGAAGTTAGAAGGTCACCTGTTCCATCTTCTTACCCTTTCCTGTTTTTCTAGGGTGTGTTGGGTGGATATATTTGCACGGTCTGATTTCTCATCTTGACCCAATGGTTCCTGTCATCTTCTTAGTCTTTTAAGTGTATCTTGTGACATGCACCCAGTCTACTTCTGGGATAGGGAACTTGTGGTCCTCCACATGTTGTTGGACTGCAATTCCTGTCAGTGCAACCCAGCATAGCCAATGCTTATAAATGATGGGAGTTGTAGTTCAACAATATCTGGAAGGTCAGAGTTTTCTCATCACTAATCTACTTAGTAGTCTTTTTATCTATAAAGACTTGTGCCACAATATGTCTTACGTATGCTTACTCAGAATTAAGTACCAGTTCAGTAAAACTCTCATGTAAGTTGCACAGAACTGCACCGTTAAAATACTTTTATCTTCATGTTTTTGTGGCCCTTTGATTTGGAGGAGTTAGAAGTACCAGGGAAATTTCATTTATGGCTACAGCTGTTGGGGGGTATTTAATTTGACTTCCATCTACAAACATTTTGCAAACACCTGTAGAATATTTCTTTGCTTAAAATTCTGCCTTTAAATACCATTGCCAGATACTGGTCAGGTGATTCATATGTAGGTGTTCAAAAGAAGCTTGTAATCTAAAGGGGAAAAGGGTAGTGCCTTCTACATACTAAATATGTTCTTGAGAAACTATATTTTTAAAAAGCACAAGCTGACATATTGTAGGCTCTTTGTGATAAAAAAGCCTCAATATCCTTGTTCTGATAGATCATAGCATTGATAAGATCGGCTGATTTAGCAAGGGTTGAAATCAAGGTTGCCAACTTGTACTTTCCTGTTATCAGACAATTGTTGATCTATCTGCACGATCACAAGCCGTGTGGATCAAGTGCAGTGTGACTTCAAAATGTTTCTGTGGCTGGAATCAGTTATGATGGCCCCCATTGTTTTCTGGCATAAAAGATGATAGTATAAGTTGGGAGTCAAAAAAATAGTTGTGGTAGATGATTATTAAACGTGAAAAGTACAGACTGTGATTAATGTTACAGGTTACGTACAGGACTGTGTTCTCATGTATAGACCAATTGCATCTTCATGGGACACCTTGTTAGCTGTGCCATGAACTGCAAATTGCCACCTGGCAGAAACAGGCCTTCTCTGTGGTGGTACCTTTCCTCTGGGATGCTCCCCCCAAATTATCTGGGAACAATGACAGTAGCATGCTCTGGACATTTCCTGAAAACACCTAATCCTAATCATTAAGACTGAATTCTACTGACTTTTTACAAAGTAATTCTTATATTTTAATTTTTAAAAATGGTTTTAGTGTATGCTTTTATGTTGTGAACTGCTTTGATTTTTTAAAATAGTGATATAAAATATTTAAAATAAAATCTTGTGTATTGAGTCTGCTATAGTATTGTTTATTTTTGTGAACATTAGCTTCTGCTTTCCTGGCTTGGTGCCATTTTGTGTTTTGCTGATTGTAACCTTTTAGTGGCACCTCAGATTTATATCCTAACATTGTGTCCATATTCTATCTTCCATGTGTCTCTTGATGTAAATGTTGTAATTGGTAATTGGCAAAAGGATATGTGTGAGAGAGAGGGTATTTAGACTGGCTTAGTGTTGCTTGTCTTTGTGTGCTTTGCTTAGGTGCCACTGTTCTTATCGGTGTGTTTAAACAATGTGCTGCTGGAATACAGGCTAATTTTTAAATTACATTTCAAGCTCAGAAGTACAGATCAAAGGAGCACAAAAAAAAATATGTTCTGACAGTAAACTATAGTTTTGTGTTGCATGCATAATCATCCAGGAACTTTGGGTCTGTGTACTTCCTTTTCCCATTGCACACCATACCATGATGATTTTACGAGTTATGGCTCGTAAGCAAACTCCAGCTAATATTGGACTGGAATAGCTTGACCACAGTGATTAATGTATTGGTAACCTCAAGACTTGATTACTGCAATGCACTATTTATGCAGCTACCCTTGGGCCTGGTCCAGAGGTTTCAGCTGGTACAAAAACTGCAGTTAGGCTGTTTATAGGGGCAGATAATGTAGAAACTGCCCCTATAAATTTGCATATTTTAATACTCAGAATTCTTATTCCAGTTGTGGGGCTTGAACTGTGTTTAGTTTTAGCAAGAGACATAAAAACATTCTGGATGGTCACTGGAATGTATCCTGAATAGGAAGGTCACTTAGGACACTGTTCATGTTTGAAGGAACCATATCATTATCCACACCCATATAATTTATTTGTATCTGTATTCCTAGAATAGTGTAGGGTCTGATAATGGGAGACTCTAGTTGTGTGAATTTTTCTTTACTGTAAAAAAAAAAAAAGCATTTTGCATAAATTTCATTGGAGTGGTATTTAAATACATGTGTGATCCAGATAATTTTACTCCTTGTTTAAATACGGGATGGAAAGACACAGTCTCTTAGTGCCACCCTTCAGACATTTATATAAGGCTTTATAGGTCAAATCAGCACTTTGAATTGGGCTCAGAAACAAATTTGCAGCAAGTGTAGTTGAGCTAGAATTGGTGTTTATGTGCTCAGACAGCATGGTCCCAGTTAATAAACTGGCTGCCAAATTTGGTATGAGCTGCAGTTTTTGAACTGTTTTCAAAGGCAGTGAAACAAATGTCTTAACAACTTATTTAAACTCATACCAGCAGCAGAGAGTTCACAAACAAAAGGTGAGATTAATACAGATTGGGATTGCTGAAACTATTGTGTCAGCATGCCACAAAAATACATGTTTTTGAATGGGTACTGATGGAGATGTCATTCAGAGTTTACTGTGACCATGGAGTGCAGTTATCTGAGGAGAATTTTTAGTATTTCCATTTTTAAAAATAACGTATTTTTTGCACCATAACACTCACTTTTTTCCTCCTAGAAAGTAAGGGGAAATGTCTGTGCGTGTTATGGAGGAAATGCCTACGGGTGGCATGCCTACGGATTTTCCTCCCCTAAAAACTACGTGCGTGTTATGGTCAGGTGCGTGTTATAGAGCGAAAAATACGGTAAGTTTATAGTCCATATATTTAAGGAGCAAAACATGAAAACTTGGCAGTCAGAAGCATTAATCAATGAAAATTTCAGGGCATGTGTAATGGAAGGAGTAGCTGTGTGGCTTCCTTTTAACCATAAAAGACCAGAAAGGTTTCAGTGGCAATTCAGAACTTGGTTAATTCTGTAACGCTTAACTTGCCTTTCTACATAATATGCCTCTTCATACCAAATATTCATTTATATCAGGGAGCAGAGCAGACATAAACACATAAGCATACAGATACCCACAGGAAAAATCATGGCCACCTTGCTCCTCCCCTGGTTCTGCTGCTGCTATGTTATTGTCAGCTTCATGTTTGGCTTATCAGCCCTATATCAGGAAGTTTTTAATGTTTGATATTTTACTATGTTTTATATGTGTCCTAAGCTGCCCAGAGTGGCTGGGGAAACCCAGCCAAATGGGCAGGGTATAAATAATAATAATAATAATAATAATAATTCTGTCAGAACCCAGGGTCATGATTTGTCTTGATCCAGAAAAAGCAAGTTTTGTTCTTGACTTACCATTAATGGTTTATCTACAGGAGATAAACTACAAGCTGGTGTTGGGATGTAATGATAGCTCTGGGAAGTGCAGCAGTTGTGGGACAAGGTGAAGAGTGAAGCATTGCAGTTTTCTCTATGAGTTCCTGCATGCTCACACAATGATAACTTAGCCATGGTTTGGCTTAATGTTGTGTGCAAACTAGGACAGTTAGATAATGTTATTTTTCATACCAAGTTGGTGGTTGAAAGTAGAAATGATCTTTGTGAATATTCCATCAGATAGGGGTTTCCAGGGCTCAGTTTAGAATCATTCCTCATGTAATAGCTTTCTGTCAGTGTCTCACTGACTGTTCATATGACCCATTTCCTTGAGTTCAACATTTTTCCATGAATCCAACTCCTGTTTTTCTTATCCCTTCACAACACAGACAGATGTGCATTGTGCACATCTTTCCACATTGTGAAGCCATGCAAATTGTGTGAAATGCGTGACTGTGTAGCTTGCTTTTGGAGCTGTGAAATGCAAGGTTTGTGATTGAAGAATCTGAAATTACTTTTAGAGCAGAATGGGACTCTTACTGTGATCTCCAAATGTATCAGAAACAAATTATTGGTTGTCAAAATCAGCATGCAAGCTGCCTTGTTCTGGTTAAAATTAAAACTGCATCTTCTGCTAAATTGCAGTCTAGTGTCTTAATCTTGGGCACAACCTGGGTGTTAACTGGGCTTCACTGACACCATTTGATTTAAGGTTCCAGGCACATGAAATGATTGATACTGGAAGTTTAGGAGATATTCTAGTTGCAGGGGTTCTCAACAAGTTGTGCATGCCTTGGTCATCAGTGTTTTCTGTGTTCTCTAGGATTCATTTGGACTTGTTTTGGGTGGCTAAAGAAATAACAAGTGGAAATTTGCATCTTTCATATCTTCATTTTGTTAGAAATTTGTGATCTTTTTGGAAAAGATCTGCTAGAGGCCTCCTTAGCCCATGAAAAAAATATGATATAGCTAGTACTATTACAGCTTTGGAGGCCTCCTGACATGTTATTGGCAGATGGATTAAACATTATGGCGGGAAGCTTCAAAACTGTAGGGAATATGAAATAAATATATATATTTTAAAAAACCAGACAGCGGAAGGGTGTACTTTTGGGACATAATTTGAAACACATTTGTGTGGCTTTGTTTCAGCCAAGGGTAGAAGGTAGTTTTTCAAAAGTCCTTTGAAAAAGCTGCTGAAGTGTTCTGAGTGTGTCCAAACCACAGTCAAGAGCTATTATTTGAGCAGTCCAGGATTTTAATGCACTTATCAATATCTCCTGTAGTGCATTACTTCCCTAAAGCATGTCATGTTCTATAGATTGTAGCATTGAGTGCCTGTTTTGAATTGTTAGCTACAGGTTATCTGGTAGAAAATACTGTTGCTGGTATATTGAACATGTTGAAGTAATTTGCCACAAAGCTTTCTCTTTCTCTGCCCGACTTCTTGCTTTTGTATGTGTGTGTAGGCCATGCAGCCAGGCATTTTGGCTGGCAAGGTATTTTCGTTGTGCAAAGTTAATGACAATCTCTAAACCTCAAATAGGTGGAGTCCTCTCAGCCTCTTATTGATTTGATTTTAAAGTTTTCATTCCACAAGCCTAGACTCTGTGTTTCTTAAAGGGAACTCTTGCTCCTTGAAACTAGGGAAAGGGACATAGTGTACAATTATGACTGTGGTCTTTGGATTTATTTATTTATGGCTCAACATTGCAGTAAGCAATGGGTTAAAGAGGATGTTTAGATGTTGCTGGCACAGAACCACTTCTGGTTGAGTTCTTAGTTTGACCTGAGATCTGTGCAATTGAGTCAAATAGTATTTGTCATGCTCTAATGAGTGAGACATTTGGGAAAGGAATGGGTGAGAGTCAAGAAAGAATAGAAGTAGTTTCAATATGCTTTCTCTGCATTCTGAGTTTGTGTTTTAGGAAAATACTGATGAGCCTATGACCCACCAGATACTACTAGAGTACAGTTCCCACCACAAGTTACCATTAACTATGATGGCTGGGAATACTGAGGTGTATAGGAATTGGAGTCTGACAATATCTGGAGGGCTACAGTTTCCCTTTCCTGCTTTGGAATGTCTGCATCTAAAGTTCTTAAGGAGATATCTTCATATGGCTGAAATCCACAAGATCTTAGGCTGCTTTCCGCATCCCAGCAACCTCTTTGGAGTCCTGATGTTGCATCTTCATCCCAAGCACTTAACTTCCACTATTTCACTCAATTTCCACAAACAGCAGCTTCTTCACTTGGTTTCTATTCATTCTATTCCCATGATTCCTATTCATTCTATTACAGATAAAAAGTTAGTGGAAGGTAACACCAAAACAAATGGAATATAATATGAAAGAGAAAAAGGTTTAAGCATCTATTCAGATAATCTAAACAAAGTCTACTTTATTTAACTTCTTTCATGTAGCCCTAGTGCAGGTCCTTCTATTATTTTGCTATCCCTTAATACTTAGCCATACTTTTGCCATACTTAGGGATTTTTGTAGCCTATTTAATTGTCCTTTAATTGTTTTTTGACCTGTGCTTAAATGAGACTGTGCAGTCAGCAGTTGAACTGAGCTTTATGTGGCTATTTGTTGCTTTAGCTTTTGAGACTTGATGCTTCTGTGGATTGGTAACTATGCAATTAAGTACCTGAATCTTCAAATTATAGCATATTATCCTGTAGTGCCTCTTGGACATGTTTACAACTTACTAGAATTAATTACTTTGAGAACCTTCAGGAAGAAAAAGTGTTGTCCTTTTGATCTCAATTAACTACAACATAGGATTGAGTGTATATGCTACAAAAATGAAAGAGTATTTTGCTATAATAAAAGCAGCAAAGGTCCTGAAAGATATAGGATATAATGCTAAGGATTTGGGCTTCACAGAGAAGATCTGAGTGAAGGATATGAACTAAATACTTTTCACATATATTCTTTTTTTTGTTATAGAGTGGTGTAGGAAACATTAGACCCTGGTGGGTGAATGTTGTCCTCCAAGCATCTCTATCTGGCTTTTGGAATTTTCCCTAATAATAATAAATTTGTACCCCGCCCTCCCTGGCCCTAGGCCACACCCTTCACTTGGCCCTCTTCATGGCTTCTTGAGAGCTTTTGCAGTTCTGGAATGTGTCCTTGAACTTGAACAACTCATGCTTGCAGGGAGGGAGGATAGAGGGTGTGTGTGTAGGAACTATTCTACTACAAAGGTAACATTTACATTCATTGTTTCACCTAATTTACCTTCTGGTCCCATCTAGAAGTGGTATGTAGCCCCCCAAAAGGTTACACAGAGGGAATACAACCCTCAAACTGACCCCCCCCACACTTCTGAAAATGACTCTTGGATACAGTTGCAGAATCAGGCATTTTATCTTTCTGTAGCTTTCTGGTGGAGAATATTTTAAGCTAGATCTTAGCCTTAGCTTGATAGTGTATTTGCTGGAGCTCAGTTGTCAAACATGGAAAAAACAGTCACTCCTAGTAAAATGATTAGCTGTGTAGATAAGCTCTCCAAATTCAACCTTGAAAAAAAAATCCCTTGCCTTGTCACCTCTAATTGTGTTTTACTTGCCACGGTCAACCAGGCAGACAACTTTTTACAAGGCTTCCTTCAGTTTGAAATTTAAAGATACAATAGCTTTCTAGCTAAGAGAGAAAATAAGGTGGTTTTTTTTTTTGTTATTCCTGACTCATAAATGATCATGTTTGGTCATCCCCTACAGCAGCGGTCTTCACACTTGAGACCCACTGTAGACCCCCAGCCAGGTACTTGGGATCCCCTGCATTTTCACTTTTGATATTTTAGTGAATAGTGCTAATGTCTCACCATATATTGCTCATTGAGGTGTTGGTATACTACTATTTTTTTCAGTACAAGTGAACCAATATTTCATGTATTGTTGGTCAAACTTTTGAGCACTTTTAGTTGTTAATTTTTCTCTTATTTTGTGCACTTTCTTCCTTTTATCACCTTCTCTGCCACTTTAATTCACTTCTCTGTATACCTGACCCCTGCTAATCTCAGCTTTTCTAAAATCAAAATGAACAGGGAAAGAGTCGTCACCCACATAACCTAATATAGGCAGAAGCTGTTTCTTGTTGCCCCATTTTTGGATTATTAAGTTTGAAGAAACTCCTCATATTCTGCTATGCTGAAGTAACATATAGTTGTAGTTCAAAAGCAAGAAGTGTTTCCTTTAGTCTGAAAAGACTTGCCATTTTACAATTTGTTTTAAAAAGCAACTAAATCAAACTACTTTTCATTCTAAAATATTGCATTGAAATATTAAAGTTGGAATCCTGTGCATACTTACTTAAGCGTTAAGCCCCATTCATGGTTGAACTCATGGAAACTTACTCCCAAAGAAGAATGCAAAGGATCAGGCTATACTGTTGACAGTCTTATCAGGCACATTTAACTGAAAGTAAAGCCCCATAACTGATGATGGTTTACTTATTATACCACACCCATCTGATTGGGTTGCCCAAGCCATTCTGGGTGGCTTCCAACAAAAATAGAGGAGGGGAAAGCATAAAAGCTTCCCAAAACAGGGCTGCCTTCAGATGTCTACAGAAAGTTACATAGTTGTTTAACTCTTTGATATCTGCTGTGAGGGCATTCCAAAACTACTGGGTGCAACTACAGTCATACCTTAGTTTTCAAACAGCCTGGTTCTCGAACGTTTTGGCTCCAGAACGATCGAAACCCAGAAGGACCTCAGAGATGTATCTCAGTTCATCTTGAGGCTGAATCATTTGGAATCTGGACCATCAGTTGTTTTTTTTGTGTGTGTGTGTTTGTAGGTGTTTATCTCTTAAGAGATAACACACTGTCCCAAAAATTTTTTTGTTTTATTTTTAGACTTGTTGTTTCTAGTTCACTTATTTGTAAACAAATGTTCCTGGAGCATGTATGGAGTCGCATCTTGATCAGTTATTTTTTCAAATTAAATTTATTTAAAACAGTAATTCTGGTATTTACTTAAGCTCAGTATTTAATGAGTGCAAAAACTGATCGTTGAAGTTTTGTGCACTGTATTTCATTCAAAGTGCTGGTGCAGTCATTAAATATGCAAAGACAGCATTGAGTTTTAGAAATGGCTCCTCATTGTTTTAGGGACTTCCTGGCCCTGATCCACACCTATACCTATAATTAGAAAGCAATGTTTGACTTTGTATTAGATACAAAAATTGTAATTGAAACATGATATCCACTTGATATTTGTGCCTTTCCACAAGGTTTAACAGGAGAAACCAAAACCTCTAGTAAGCCTGATAATTTCTGTTTTACCTTTTGGCCAAATTATTATTATTTATTTATTTCGCATAGTGCTTTCAATGGAGTTTGGGGCTGGCACAGGAAATGGCAGGGCAAGCTTGAAACTTTTGGTATAACTAAGAGTGCTCTTAGTATTGTGGCCAGTATTTTTTATCTTTTTTACTTTTGTCGTAAGATTCTGTTTTTCTGGTATGTTTAGACCATTTTGCCTTTTAAGGCATGGCATCTGAGGGGGCCATCAGATTACAACTCTGGATTCTTAGGATTGTGAATACTTTTATCTGAGCTGTTAAAATTCTTGTATAATGGGGTCCTTTCAGGTCACACTATGCTCCTGATTATTTTCTCATTAAAATACTTTACCTTCTCTGGCAATGTAATTTGAATGCTTGTTATTTACTTAAGAAAAATCTTAAAATAAGACTCCTGTGTAAAGTTGAGTTCTTAATCTAAGGATATAGCTGAGTTTCTTCTTTAGTCTATGTGACTTCATTCTGATGTAACAATAAACTATGGCTTATCATTAAAGGAACTAGCCACAGTGAACTTTGGACTAGGACTTGCCAATCAGAAGGTCAGTGGTTCGAATCCCCGTGACGGGGTGAGCTCCCATTGCTCGGTCCCTGCTCCTGCCAACCTAGCAGTTTGAAAGCACCTCAAAGTGCAAGTAGATAAATAGGTACCGCTCCGGCGGGAAGGTAAACGCCGTTTCCGTGCGCTGCTCTGGTTCTCCAGAAGCGGCTTAGTCCTGCTGGCCACATGACTCGGAAGCTGTACGCCGGCTCCCTCGGCCAATAAAGCGAGATGAGCACCGCAACCCCAGAGTTGGTCACGACCGGACCTAATGGTCAGGGTTACCTTTATACTTTTTTCAAAGGATGGTAGATCAAGTATGACAACTTACAATTGAGCTATTAAGAAATCTTAACTTAAAAGTCACAAGAGTGAAGAAGCATATTCGACAGAATAAAGCAACAACAATTCCCATGTAACTAATTTAGTTCCTGCCTCCCCACTATCAAACAGCAGCCATGCATGACAGTGTTTGATGTGGCAGGCAGCCCTTTGGAATGTTTTGGGCTTTGTTTTGCTTGCCTCACTAAAGATATTTAACATTTTTTCTTTGGCTGGTACAATTTCACATGTTGCAATTGCATCACAAAACAGTTGTGAGGCTTCCACTGAAAGTAAGCAGGACTGTGCCATGTTTTTTGTTGTAAAAAGGAATTCTCTGTAACACATGTAGGTGCTTTTGGTCAGGGGTGTGGAATCTGTTGATGTATTACAGGAACTAATTGGATTGACTCATTTTCTTGCATTCCTGTGTACATGACAGAGGACTCCACGGGTAGAATAAAAAAGTGCACCTATGGACATGTGCAAATCCAGCCCTAGTGATGCCAGGTGGAAAATTAATCATATTTTTTCTGTGATGAAAGATAGTTTCCTCTTGGAGAGGCAGGGATGCACTGAAGCCATATTACTGAAATATTTGTATTTATGCCAGCTGTGTTAGATGTGAGAAATGCACCCGCTTTACAAGGAATGAGACCTACTTAGATTTAGACTGTTGAATTGGCCAAGTTAAATGAAAGCAATAAATCTAAATTTGAATGTGTGAGGTTTTCAAAAATGTCTTTGGGTGTATTTTGAGGAGGTGTAAAAGCATTTTACCTATATCTATGCTGTATATGACTACTTATACTGTACCACTAGTTTAAGTAATAAATCCTAGTAGTGTAATATTCTTACAAAAATATTGTGGGTATTCTTAAGCAGGAAAAATGTTCACTATTCAGTGGTTTTTGTGAAATCATAAGTAATTATGTGATTGAACCACACAATAAGTCTTTTTGTGGGCCTCTTCAGATAAACAGGAAAGCTATTTTCTTTCTTTTAAAAATCTTGAGGGAACTATTTTTAGTGCTTATGTTGCTTGATTTATCAAAAAATAAAACACAGCAAATTTGATATTTAATAGAGAAAATGTAGTGGTAGCAATTTTCTTCCTTATGAAGTCTTCTGTTGAGGTTGAATACATATTGCAATGCATTCTCTTCATTTTTCTTGAATGCTGACAGTCATAATTAGTATAGACAATTTGCCAAGAAGATCTTGTGCAGCAACAATTCATTTCCAGTCTGTTCCTTTTCATGTTTGCTGGGAAAAAACCTATTGAACTGAATGAGTGTGCATAGGATTGAAGCTTTCATTAGTTGATTTCCCTTTTTCAAATAAGAAGATTACATTATCATTTTAAATGCAGAAACTTGTTCTGCAACATTGTTTTGCAGTATGACAAAATATTAGGGCAAACTATTTTGGCTGCAGTACTGTGAAGGGATTTGGAGAAATGCAGGGGTGGTGTTTTGCAACTTATACTACATCCATGTTTCAGGAGCATATATTGGCAATAACATGATGCAAATTTCTCAGCTTTACTATGTTCATGTGAACCTGAACTGCAAGATCTGGCGATCATTTCTACTATGGTCAGAATAAGCAAAAACATTGTGCTTGCTATCTTGAAAGAAATAATTCTGCATTATCTTCCCTCTCTCTCCTTTAATATGTGCAGGTGCTCTGCCCTGGGTCTGGTTTCTTTGGGGTAGAATTTAGTGGTGTAGATTAAGATGGGATGCTCTTCCACAATCTTGTATTTGGCATATCACTTATGTAGGAGAAAGTCCTGGGATCGCTTGCTTATTTATTTGCAGCATTTGTGCTCCACTCATTAGCCAAAAAGGGCTCCCAGAGTGGCTTACTTACAATCTATTAAAACAAAGCAGTCCCTGCCCACAAGCTTGCAATCTAAAACCACTACACACAAGGGAAAAAGAAGAAAACAAACTCAGGAATCGTTCCTTAAATAGTAGCTCTTATAATGACCAACTGGGAAGAAAGATTTCAGGGATAGGAGGTGCCTGATGGAGCTGGTCTTTTGGCAAAGCTGGTGGAATAAGTACTGCCCTCCCCCCCCCTCAAGGCAGCCTGATGGAATGAGATTGAAGGATGGAGTAGGACCCAAACCTACAGGTTCAAATAACCAGAAAAGGGAATTTCAGCCAAAAATTATGGAGAAATTCCTAGTGGTAACAAGAACCTTCACAGTAGAACAGATGGAAGGTGGGAGAATTTGCTTCATTTGAGATGTTTAAGCAGTGCTGGATGACTGCCTATAGCAATGGACTTCCTGCATTGGTTGGGCTAGAAGACCTCTGTTGTCCCTTCCAGCCCTGTGATTCTGTAAAAAGGCAAAAATACAGACAAAACCAGGGCAATGATTTATCAGGTGACAGAAAAGTGAGACTGTTACTGGGAAATAGGGGGCAATGACAGAGATGTGTTCATCTATCTTATAGCATGCTGGGACACTCCCAAACTCCAAGTCCAAACTCCAGTAAGGAGCATGTTGTTTACTCATGCATGCAGATCCGACTAGCTGAACACAATGCATTCCCAGAAAATCATTTGTCAGCTGATGGTTTCCATTATTTTCTATGGGAACATTTCTAATCTGTGATGTGGCCAACCTCCCTCCCTCCCTCCATGGTTTTCTATTGAAATGGCTGCCGCCGACCAGCAAAACAAGAATAAGTAAGGAAGTGGCTGTTCAGATATCTGAAGCAGTGTCGTGAGGTTTGGGTATAATTATTTGCATTCAGATAACTGAAATTTCGGATAACAGGACCTGCATGTACATTACTCAAAGATTTGCAACTGAACTCATGAACTGTATTGATTGAAAAGGAACATTGATTTTCAGGTGTCAGGAGACATGAACATGTGAGAAATGCAAGTGAGGAAACTTAATGCTGGAAATTCAGGTGTGCACATTTAGAGCAACCTTTGTCGGTCCAATAGAAACCCCCATCTTTTCCCACTGGTATGCAAAGAAGATATTTGAGGATCTTATGTTGTCAGAATCCCACTCCTTTCCTTACTATACCTCTGATTCTAGTCTCTCTCTTGCTCTGGCAACATGGCAGCAAAATATGAAAAGAGCAGATGACCTCACTGAGCCAAATTCTGGTTAAATGGGAATGAGGGAGAGGGGGACATTTTCAGGCCTACTGCTAGTGGAGTTAACAGAGGACACATCCCTCATTTAGATATCCTGGGCCCGAACCACTAGTACTGTTGGTTCAAGTACACTCTGAAACACCGAGTCATGGAATCTTTTAGAAGCAAAGGCCTATAGCAGGGATAGGAAACTAGTGGTCTCCTAGATACTACTAGACTACAGCTCCCACCATCTCTGACCATGGGCCATGCTGGCCAAGTCTGGGTCGAAAAACACCTCATGACCTAGAAAGTAGAAGAAGGGCCAAGCATAGAATACATCCCTGTTTCCTGCTAACTGCCCCTTGAGTGAGTTCCTGAGGTTTAGCAACCACACCTTGTTGGCAAGATGTATCCTTTTACACTGTTACCTCCACTCCTTGCCTCTGGGCCATCCCAGTAGGACTTAAATAATTGTCACACGTGTTGAAATTAAGGACCCCTGCATTTGATGTGATCTGGTGGAACTCAAAACAAATCTTACTTCTATAGCTCTGATGAGCGGGGGAAAGGAGTGAAATCTAAATTAACGTCTGTAACATTTTGACTACTGACCTCAGTGCAATACTAGTTATAGTATTATTTGTTATCTCTTTCAATTACATTCAACTTCTCTTGGGTAAAGTCAGGTAAGATCACTTTCGTATTCATATCAACCAGGGGAGAGATTGTTATACCTCTGCCCCCTTTTAAGAATAAGAAAATGAGAATAAGAGACACAGTGCATTCTTTAGCTCTTATCTCCTTGCATATCATTTTAGCCTCCCAAATATATACCTGAATTCTTTAGTTTCTTCCTAGTCTTGTTTGTGTATAGTTTTGCTGAATTGAAAAAGGCCTTCATAGTACTACTCAGTAAAGTTTAGTTGCTAACTATTCTGAACCCCTAAATGCCTTTAAAAGCCAGAATGAAAAGCATATTCTTTATAGTAGGAGAAATGGACCAGTACCAATACTACTTTGATCAATTTACAGCCTAAGCTAGGGATGGGGAACTTGTGGTCCTCCAGATGATGATGGTAAACTCCAACTACTATCATGTCTGGTCATTGGCCTAGTTGATTGGGACTGATGGTGGAGTCCCCACAACATATGGATGGCCACAGGATCACTAAACCGGGCCTTATCATACGCATGTTTACTTGAAAGCAAGACCCACTGAGTTCTGTAGGACTTTCAAGTAAGTGTGCACAGAATTGCTATTTTAGTACTAAAATATGCTTTGGTATATGAGTGAGACAAGCATCTTGTGTTGATTTCTTCTTTTAAACTGTGAATCTTACTGAAGTTTCATTGCACATTCTTGAGTATCAAATTCCCAATGAACATTTCAGGATAATTTGTGGCCGTCTTCAGAATGTTACAGAACTATTTATATTTTACCACTTTTTCTCCCCGTAGGTTTTGGCATTGATTTCCTTCATCTGCATAGAAACCATCATGGTATGCTCCCCTTGCGAAGGCCTTTATTTCTTTGAATTTGTCAGCTGTAGTGCATCGGTAGTTACTGGAGTTTTGTTGCTTATGTTCAGTCTAAATCTCCATGCAAGAATACCACAGATCAACTGGAACATTACAGTAAGTTTTCATCCAAACCTTCACTTTATAAAAATAGCTGAATAAACATTTGAAGTTTAGACTTCAAGCACTGCCTGCCTTGTACAGAAACTTGAAACCATTGGTAAATGTTATTTGCAGCAAGTAGAGTTCATGTGCTGCTTTATATTCAAAGTGAACCCCACTGGTGCAATAAGGATTATGAAATATTGGATGATAAAGTATATAAAGCTGAAATTGTGTGTAAAATCATACCCCTCCCCTGCATAATGCAGACTTTCCTTCAATGCTAGTCATTATTGTTCACAACTGAGGAAAGTATAGCCTGCAGATTTTGTTTAATACTGTACTTTATATTTACAAATGGTTAAAAAATTAAATATGAAATAAGTGCATACTACAAGGTAGAGTCAATCTGGAAATCTGTGGGCCATCAATCCCTCTTCTAAAAACAGTCATATTTTGGGATTAACCTGCTTTTCTGAGTTTGGAAGTTGGAAGTGTGTGCTTTATGCATTTATCTTCTTTCTCACATTCTTTTAGGAATAGGGTTGCCACTGTTTTCACAAGTCCTGCTCTTGTACTCTTTTGAAGACAGACATTTGGCTGGGGATATTTTTTTTCCTGATAAGGAGATTAGTAGTAGGAAAAGTTTCTCCTGCTACATGCCTGCATATCAGACACAGGAGCAGGGCCAGAATGTGGAAAGCAACTGATAGGGGCCACAGATTTCACTGGTTTCCTTTTGGCATAAATTTCACATAATTGTTGCACACAGTCTTAGAATTCATTAGAATCCCTATAAGGCAAATCCAAAAAGTCACCTTACACTCTTCTGATATCTCAATGGGTTTTGTTGGTCCTTTGCAGTTTCTGTAACTTTTGGTTAGTTTCCTCTTGACCCTACCTTTATATCCTTTCTTCCTTCCAAATGAGCCTAGGGTGGCAAACAACAAATGCTAAAACAATATACAATATACATAATTGACTGGGAAAGATCTCAATTTAAAAGGCATGCTGAGAGAAGGTCTTCAATAGGTACCAATAAGACAACAGAGATAGCACCTGTCTAATATTCAAGGGAAGGAAATTCCAAAGGGTGGGTGACACAACACCAAAGGCTCAATTCCTATATTTTGTAGAACAGACCTCCTGATAAGATGGTATCTGCAGGAAGCCCTCATTGCAGAGCACAGTGATCAGTTGAGCATACAGTGGTGCCTTGCAAGACGAAATTAATCCGTTCCGCGAGTCTCTTCTTCTAGCAACCCTATTAGCGGCTTAGCGGATTAGCGCTATTAGCGGTTTAGCGGCTATTAAAGGCTATTAGCGGCTTAGCGGCTTAGAAAAAGGGGGGGAAGCGGAAAAAAATCTCAAGACTCGCAAGACATTTTCGTCTTGCGAAGCAAGCCCATAGGGAAATTCGTCCTGCGAAGCGCATCGAAAAACGGAAAACCCTTTCGTCTAGCGGGTTTTCCGTCTTGCGAGGCATTCGTCTTGCGGGGCACCACTGTATAAGGACTGGTATTATGTTTCATGTATCTTTGCCCCAAGCTGTATACAGCCTTGTACACCAAAACCAGTACATTGAATTTGGCCCGACAGCCAGAGCAATTCTTTCAACAGATACATTCAGTAGCTTATTATTTTACTTCACTTGTCCTCCCATCCTTTCTGTGGGTATGCATGAGAGACTGGCAGGTTGGAATACTGGTTCCTTGATCTCTTGGATTCTGGTAGGCCAAGGAGTGTGTGCTCCACCTTCTAGTATGTATCCTGAATTGTGTGTACATGCTGAAAACCTTTGAAAGGGGAAAAACTATGTGGCGTCATGAGTCTGTCTCAGCTGCTGGCCACAGTAAATTATTAGATCATTAGGCCAGTCAATGATCCTTAATCTCTGTTCCTGTTTAGATTAAGGAACACTGTATTTTGAAGTTCTGCCTCCTTTGTCTTACTGTACATGATGAGTATTCACAACTTTCTGGCAGCAACAGAATAAAGAGAGAAATGTTTTACATTTGGCAGCAGTGATCCCATTTACATCCTAACTGAGGAATTGCATGCCATCTGAAATATTATTCAAAATGCACCAAATGGAAGGTGAAGCTTGTAAAGGACTGTAGTATGGCATGCTAGGAAGAAAACTGAAAAAAATGCGTCCAGAGAAAGAGTGGATAAGTCATACTCCTGTCTCTGATAGTTTTGCTATGAGAGTATGAAAAATGATACTGGAAATTTCCCCTTTGTTAAATAAAACAAATAGATCAGCTCTGCAAGGATGTGTGCAAGTAGTGTATAGGAATGTGATGGGCATCTGAACACATGTTTCAGATGAGTTTATATTCACTCATACTGCTTGCTTAAATGTATTGAAAAGAATCAAGTTATGTATTTTAGTTATTATAATTGCCCTTTCCCATTCCCATATCATTGGCTTGACTAGATCATGTTTCAAATAGTGCACAGGATGATATCTAGTTTCAATCACTAAGATTCTGACAACAAATGGTTTGGCTAAATGTTAGAAATTTGACTTAGCATTGGAAAGCAATTATTGATTTTGAGTGAGGATTTCAAGGAAAGAACATTATGTGGCAAAGAAGTTGGTCCAGTCACATAGAATAGAAATATGTGAAATCAGGAATAAGGGAAGTGAACAGAGAACTGTTCTTTGTCATGAGCCAAGCTAAATAATCACCCCTTGCAATACATTTTTGATTTAACTCCATGTTAATTTTTTTTTGGTATCCATAGCTAAGAGAATTCTAAGGTTGCTCTAAACACTAGTGATTTCAGATGCCTAGGTTGCTGAAATAGCTCAACAAGAAAGATGTTGTGTTTCAAATGAAGGTCTGAAAGCAAAAGTCATTGTGGGCATCTTCAGAATCTTTCAATAAAATATACTTACTTATCCTTTTGTTGCAGTTTGTTCCATTTAGTCCTTTATTTTCTGTTCTTCCTCTATAGAACTTCAACCAGCTTTGTATATGGAAGCATGGAATGATAATTTCAATGAAAGCTTGTTATGCCGTGCCATTATGTTCTGGCTTTGGCTAAATGTGCTTGACTCTTGGCTTACGTCTAACATAAACACAAGACCTATAATTGCCATGCATATAAGAAAATTGCTGTATCTATTCAGAGTTTCTAAATGATATTCTGTGACCTGCACAATCAGCTTAGTTCCCTGTTCCATATTGTAATGGAAAGTTTTGGCCATTGACCTTCAGCAGCTCTGCATTTTTTTAATGACCAAATGTGTCAAGGTGAAATGTATTGTATTATATAAATACCCTAGGAGCTAACATCAAAGCAATGTGCAGGCTTATTTTGTTATAGTGAAGTGTAATCAAACACTTTCTTTTCATTGGTTGTAGATGTTAGAATTATACGGGCTAATGAAAGAAATGGTTTGTTTTTAGATTCCTAGCATCCTTCATCTTGTATGTGGAACTAAGACTGGAAAAAAAAATTTTTTTCCTTTGCCAGTGTCAAGAGAAAAGAACCCATTTATATATTTTTGTTCAGAACTGTCAGCTGCCTAGAGATTTTGTATATTTCTGCCCTTAAATGCCAGTATCTGGCATTTAAGTGATCTAATGTGTCCCTTGGCCAGTGGTCTGTTTCTAAAATAACCAATGAAGAGGTTAATACTGGCTAAGAAACCTCTTGTCTCTGGAGACAGGCTGGGCTATTCAAGAGTGTGAGATAGCTGTCCTGCACTCAGGATAACCCTTTATTATTTTTTCTCTAATTCAGCGGAATTCCAGCAGTTGCTTTAGGGAAACAGAAGAGCAGGTTGGGGATAAGAAGTTCTGCCCATTAGTAGCTTTCACCACATACAAGAAAGAGAGATCTAAGATTTGTAAAGGAACATTTTTGTTCTTGTTTCTATATTGCTGGCAACTTGCCTCTGTATTGTTGTAGGCCTTCCTGCATAGGCCAGCACTGGAAGTCTGTCAAATGCTGTGGATGGACTGTATTCTACCCTTCTATTCTAATGGAACAGGAACATTCTTTATTTCTTTTATGAACTGGAAAACCTGCAAGCCCATGCAGCCTATTCGTAACAAGCCCCACAGGAATCTTATTCCTGGACACCAGAATGAGGCAGACAACTATATCATCTGCCTTTATTTTCAGCCAGTTGGTTTACTTACACTTTCTTCCAAAACCCGTGCTACATGTTAAGCTTTTATGAATTTGACATATAAGAAATGAAACCCCACCGAACAGCCTAGAAATGTTATTTTCTCTGCAATAGCCAGAGTCTGCATATTCTTGTACCACAATGAAAAGTTTTAAGTCGTGTAGCATCTTTCATTTCTGGGCCAAAGAAGTTATTGCTGCAGCCAGCATCCACATTCCTTAGATCAGAAAATTGCTGTTTGGTCATTCCATTAGATCAAAATGGCAAGTTGTGGGGAGGCTTGAATAGGGCATATTCTCTCTCTCTCTCTCTCTCTCTCTCTCTCTCTCTCTTCAAAAACATCTGGCCAGAATATGGATGCCAGAAGGCATTCCCTTCATAAGTGGAAAAATGTTCCCTTGTTACCAAAATCACGTTAACAATAAATTGGAATTTATAATTGGCTTTTAATAGTTCAATTTCTTAACTTTAGCCATTAAAAATGTGCAGATAATATATCATAATATATTTAATCTTCACTAATGCTTGCACCTTCAGTCACTGTGAGGTAACGTAACATACGTTTTACACGAGGTCTATCTGAGCTAATCTTCCTTAGCAAGGTAACTTTTTAAAAATTAGTGTAACCATATACAGTAGATGGTTACATTTGATAGAATAATCCACAGAGCTTTTGTATGACAGATCAACAAGCAGTATCCTGGATATTTGTGGTTTTGTTTTTTCATTCCTGTATAAACTTTTTTGCCTGTCCTTCTTGGTAGACATTGGAACGAGACCAAATAATAATGTTGGTTTTTCTGAACTTAGCACAAAGAGTTCAGTTTCAGCATTGTCCAGAAAAGTTTCCTTTGCTTTTGTTTTGTACCACCTCAGAAAGCCCAGTCTTGTTTCGATAGCCAACACTCTGCCTGTCCAAGTAAAATAAACATATGAAGCCGCTGGATAGAAAGGCTCAGAGTCTGCCAACACTTGAAGAAACTGGCACTTAGGGAATTATTTTGTAATTTGGGGTTTAGGAGGCATTGGCTAGGTATCTGGCCAAAGTTTGCCCGCTGGACTAATAAAATAAAATAAAATAACTCTTTCCATCCATAACTCTTTAGACGCTGCTTTCCTTTTGACTGGGGCAGCTAATAAGACTTCTTGAATGATGGAGCAAGATGACCTGAAATAATACAGAAAACTGCAGTTTTCATTAAATCAGTTATGAATGAGATAAAGGATATTTGCAGTTTAGATTGATTTTGAATCTTCTCGTAGATTGTCCTGCAAACTCTTCTATCCTGGAACTATTTTACTAAAGAAATTGCTGTCTCAAAGCTGCTCTTATTTCAACTGAATTTCTTTCATCTGTGCAGTGTGTGTGTGTGTTGTCTACAAGATTTCATAGTAAAGCCTGCACTGAGATATAATTCAGAATACCTCCTCTCTTTTTAATTAACTGAACTGGTTTAGAAGAATTTTTAAGTATCATCTTTCTGAATAAGCCCCCGAAGTATTAAATTTCCATGGGGAATTAGTATTTGAGCAATAGTCCTCATCCCCTTTATGTGAGGTTGCTCAATTCCAGTCCAGCCCCATTCATGCTATGTACAACAGGTTGAAGTTTTCTGGTAGACATCAGAACTGTTGCTTTCCTTAAGTCCTTGGGGCTATCTCTGTGCCATAGTGTCAGGACATGGTCTGGGTAAAACTTGAAGCCAACATTCTGTGGGTTTGAATAAGCAATTTAAGCATGTCTGGAAAGAGGAAGGTGAGATGCTTGTATACATTGTTAAGGAGTTGCATTTATACGCTGTAGACAGAACTTTCTCTTCTTATTTGCTTGCTTGGGAATCAAATTGATTTGCACTGTTCTCAAGCCAGAACAGTAAGGCTCAAAGGCATAGTAGCCTTCAATAATGCAAACTTGATTCCTTGTTTCCCTTGTATGATTACATATTTCGCAGACAGAAAATTCTGTTTCAGTGAATGTACAAATTACACAAGTCTTCTACTTATTTGAGCATGAGATTGAGAATAGTGTTGTATTCGTTGCATTCTGCTTTCACCAGTTCACTATGTTGTTAATAACATATGTCCATACAACCCCAAAATCTCTGCATGTTGACCTACAGCAATTCACAGGTTTATGTTCAATGAAATGGCCAATTTGAACCCAAAACATATTTCTGCTATATTACAATTCACCATTTTGGTTTGCCTAAGCTAATAGTTGAGAACCCCTGGATTTTACTTTCTGAAGGAGTTTAAGTTGTTTATAAAACATTAGGCTGGGAGAAAAGTAATATTGAAATTTGTATTTGTGATAGAGAGCATCCAAAATATAGTCTGTATCACTAACCAGAGCACCAAATTTGTTGGCACTGGTAGAAACGGCATATGTAAATTATGATCAGTTTGAGTGTTTGTTCTATGTATTTTGTTTGTTTGTTTTTGTTATTTGCATGTTGGTAAGTCAATAAAATGCCAAACAAGTTTTCTTTATGTCTGTAACTCCTCAGAATTATAATTATGCCTGTAGCAATATATTAATAGATGGTTTGGAAAGCTTTGAGCTTGAAACTATTTGAGTTTCTTTGCTAAGTAACAGCAAGTCAATGAAACTGAACTGCAGGAGTTTCTGAAAGCTTTGTTATGTTTCATGGAAAATAACACATTTAATTTTTTTTCTTTCGCTGTGTGAAATGATATATTCATATATGTCAACACAGATCCTGTACCATGCAAATAAAAAGTCAACATGTAGTACATATATCCTGTATTATATAATGCAGTAGATGCATGTGGCAGACATGTGAGTTACTTTCTAATTTCCAGAGAGCTAGCAGTCAAAAAGAAATCTATATATACTCTATAGCTCGGTCATAAACATTTTTGTGGCTTGAAGAAAGAACAGTAGTTTTGGCTGAATAGACATGTTGCACAAAGGTTCATCACTTGGAATGGAAGGAAGCTCTAAACAAATTACAGAAAGCTTTACTTGTTTTCTTAGCAGTTTCCCTCCCTGTTCATTACAGTGCCAGGCCCTAAACTATAGTGCAGTAATTATCTATTGGTGTATATAATATGTGTTATTCTGTATCATTACCTCTTTTGCATAAAGAATATATTGTGTGCAAACTGTTAAAATTGTTCTGTTTTCAACCAGTCACATAGACATTGTCACTGTGAAATAACTTGCCTAATTCTGTTTTAATAGGATTTGGTCAATACTGGACTCTGCACTTTTTTCTTTTTCATTGCATCTGTTGTACTTGCTGCTCTAAACCATAACAAAGGAGCAGAAATTGCAGCTGTGGTAAGAAACAATGTTAATTTATTTTCATTAGTTTATAGGAAAGATAACTGGTTAACTTGTATCCTTTCCACAGTGCTAAACAGCATTGCATGTTTTGCTCAACTTTCTTTTTCTGAAGATTAATCATTTCCTGCTATTTTTTTTTAGTCGGCTTGCAAGCAGTGAGGAGGCTATTAATAGGATGTTAACTTTGACATGCTAGTCTAGTCAATAGTTTGCAACAGTGGTGAAACCTGCAACTCCAAGTAGACAGTGCTATGCCATAAATCACCAATATTGCCTAGCAGTGTCCTATGCCCATCATCCCCATAAGCATATATGCAAATGGGTCTGTCCACTGCTGGCTCCTCCCAAGCCCACTGACATGCAGTTCTTGGCCTTCCACTCACCAGTTTCAGGGGAAAATTTTTGCTCTAGATAATAAAGGAAAACTCTCCACCCCCAAATGACAGTGTCTTGTAGCACCTTAAAGATTAACAAATCTATGATTGGATAATTTTTCATCAGCTGCATGGGAAAGGCTTTTATTCTATCTAGCATGACATCAGCTCATCGACCATTTTCCAATGCTTAAATGACTGTCCTGTTGTTATAAGTGGAAGCAGTTGGGGTGTATGGATTCCTTAACTTAGGTCTCTAGAGAAGTCATATTAGTAATTTTCAGGTGCTGTGCCTTATTGTCTTATCAATGGATCTCCCTTTATTAAAGGTACCAGCAGGATAGACAGTTCCAAAAAGGCAAGCAGTTAATTACCTAATCAACAAAATGAAGAGACTGGCTTGTTTTTAAAGAACTTTGAAGTAGCATGAAGGATAAATGTAATTATGTATGTATGTATGTAATTATAATTGAAGGTATAAGGTCAACACACATAAAAGCCAACAATCGGCTGCAATATTTCTGTATAAAACTACTAAATTCTTAATCACTTCAATAAAATGTCATTCTTTTTCTTTTTTCTTTTTTGTTTAGATATTTGGTTTTCTGGCAACTGCAGTTTATGCTGTGAATTTATTTTTAGCTGTTAAAAATTGGAGAATTAACAGCCGACAACAAAACACAAGGCAGACCAGTGATTATATGCGCGCTCGGACAGAATCCAGAGAAGTGGATCATCGCCCAGAGATTCAGCGTCTGGATGGGTGAAAATCTCATGCAAAATGGGATTTCCCAGAAGAAGTAAAATAAAAGCCTGCAGACTTTTTTTTTTCCAAAAAATAAATGTTCACTTTTATAGGAAAAGGAGGAGCATGTGGTGGCCGTGAGCATTTGCATGTACAAAGAGAGAGAGAGAGAGAGGACTTGAGAAATTATTGGCATGAAGGCCATAATTGCGGAACTTTTCAAATGAAGATACTTGTCCATAAATGTGGTAAATGAAGAGAAGGATACATTAGAGTGAAGAATTGTCTTGGTGCACAGTACTTTGAGTTAGCAGAGTCAGAGAGAAGATTGGTATTCAGTCTACATTCCCACCATCCAGTAGAAATATGATAGTCAGAACTGGCAAAAGATTGTTCTTTTGAAAATGGAGTTTCCAACCGTAGACATAGTGCATCAGGGAAAGAGATAGCAATAACATAAATCAGGTATTGAGTTACACAGCCACTGTGTATGTTCCCTTAACTAGATTCCCCAATTAACTTTAGTTCTCACACTCCTACAGTTCCACTGTGTATCTATAACAGCCATTCACGCCAGTTTGAGGATTGACTGGTGGAAAATAAGCTTTCTGCTAAACAGAAAACACAAAGCCCACTCCATTTGTGACCACAACCAGGTATGAACTGGGATGTAACACCTCAAAACACTACACATTGATTTCCTTTTCCACTTTACAAGGGAATAATGTGAAGTTGGTATTGAGCCTCTCTGTTCCTCTTACATTCAACCATAGGAAAACCGATTGTGGTCAGGGTTGTTTTGTGTTGAGTTCATATCCATACTGCAATATTCCTAAAACTATATACAGTGGTACCTCGGTTTTCGAACGTAATCCATTCCGGAAGACCGTTCGAGTTCTGAAACATTTGAAAACCAAAAACTCAGTAGCTGACAGCTAGGCCTCAGGATCTTGCACTCAGCAGAAGCCGCGTGGCATATTTGACTTCCAAGGCGTGTTTGAAAACCGAAGCATTTACGGTGTTCGAAAACCGAAATGTTCATCAATAGAGATACCACTGTAATTACATACCCTGAGAGTGTGTGTCTGACTTCAAATTTTGATTACCCAGATTGCTCTGCATTATTTTCTGAATTAGAATCTTTTTATGAATTTTGCTAAAGTTATCTGAATAGTAAGGATTTTTTAGGCATGAGAGCAGATCTACAAAATGTTTGAATAATTGTCCACAGATGAAGACTTATTTTGCCGAGTAGCATTTATGTGGTTCATTTAGTTTACATACCATTCTATATAATTCCGGTTTTCCCTCAATCTTCCCAGCAGTGTTTCATGGGGAAAGTAATGTACTCTGTGGGTAGGGGATTTGGAACCAGTCATTAGAATCTCTCTTTAGCTTCTTGCTTCATGCTTCTTGCATCTGTTGTTTAGGTCCGCCACAAAATGAGTATATAATATCAGTAATTCTTCTCAATATGTTTCCATTATGATGATGAACAGTTATCAGTGGAGGTACACTTATTCCTGGGACAGTTGTGTATGCACCTTGAAAGCTAGGAAGCAGAATTGTGAATGTCTGTTGAATGTCACTGATTGTAGAGCGTGAGAGTCCCCATTTTTATATATGTTGACCATGTTGCATGATACTGGTGAGCCCTCTAATCTTCTGGATCCTAAAAGCATATTTAAGCCTTTAAGATCCTTTATTTTTCCTAACACTTGAAATAAATGTTAAAATAAAAGTAAAAATTAGTAAAAATAAAAGTAAAAATTGGGACTGTCCAAGGCTGTGTATGATCTCAACACCAGCTGCTGGGGTGAGATTCAGTATCCTAAGAATGCATTGACTTCCATTTTTCAAAAAAGCTATTTTGAACTCCCTGAGGCGGTGGAGTTAAGCCTGAAAATTGTGGGCTGTCCCTGGAGTGGCTGGAGGGAAATCCAGTCCTCTGCATAGGTCCTGTTGTCAGCAGAAACAGTATAAGATATTCCAGTCACTTGACTTATTAGTCATGTGCAGAGCTATATTTTAGTAATAATCCCAGAACCTTTTGAAAGCATATAAACTTCTACTTTTTGAATGGGAACTTTATTTAAAGTTGTGTAATGCAAGAGTACTCTGCTTATTGCCATGGCTGATTTCCTCAAATAACAAGGGTATATTCTGATTTCTGCCCAATTTGTTAAAAATAAGAAAAAGAACTCAAGCTACCAGAAAACCATTTTTTTGTTCTAGTGGTATTTTTTGGGACCAAAGAATAGCTATACATTTTTAGATTGGAGACACATTTGTAATTTGAAAGGGATAGGTTTGGTGTGATGGTACATATTTAATATAAAAAGATTGTATATTTTATGGTATGCTTTGACAATATGCTCCAATGAAATGCAGGCATTCCTGAAGCACAGACTGCTTGGACACACATTTAAGAACATTTTTGTTCTGAATTTCCCCTGCAGTGTCCCTGATACTATGACGAGGCTTTCTTTTTAGGATTTTATTTGATTTTGGGGGGAAGAGAGGGGAGTATTAGATGCAGAAGCAGTGATCCCAATAATTATGCACATAGATCCATATTTTCAAGAAGTCCTTTGACCTTGCACTGCTTGAATAGCAAATCATCAAGCTGCTTGACAAACGGTTTTTGAAACTGAGTGGAGTTTCAAGAGCAATTTGTAATATGACCTGCTAGTGAGGGACTCTGACATTAAGATCCCATTGGCAGTGATGAGAGCTCTCTAGTTTTTTGTCCAGAGTACATAAGTTAAAACTAGGCAGTACTCCCCTGCTTGCTCAGCTCACTAACCCCCCCTCTCTGTCCCTCGGTTTTCCTTTCCAGGATCACAACCTCTCCCCCTGCCTGCTTAATTTTTGCACCTCAGCGTGCCCCCTCCCCAGTTTTCTCTGTCTTTCTCAACTGCCAGACAAAGCCTCTGTTAGTGCCAGAGAAAAGAGCTTCCCCTTGGCATGTCATAGCAGCATCTTCCCAACTCACATCCTCTTCCTAAGGTGATCCATTCAGACACTGAGATGAAATTCTGCAAGGGCTGACATCCAAGTCACTGCTCAGCCCATGTGCCTCTTGCACACCTTTGCGACTTGGACTGCCATCACAGTGTGACGTCAGACCAGTACAAATATTACATAGAGAGATAGGAAAACGAGATGACAATGATATCTGAAGAACTTGCAGATAAAAACTGGACATTTTCTTTCAAGTTTGCAAACATTATTCAACTTGTTGCATTATTCTGAAAGTGCTTGCTTAAGGGCAAACTGATTCAGCTGCACAAGCCTTGTGCACTATGAGATTTGTTTGCTTGTTTTCATTTCCAGCCAAGTTTAGCTTAAGTTGAAAGGAAGTTTCTTAATGCCATGTGAGTCGCAGTTCTGTTTGGGAGTGTGAGTATGATCTATACAAAGATGACTCTTGATTGAATGTTTACAGGATTTAAAGTTGTGGTAGAGAACAGGGATACTTGATATTGCCTTAGAGATCTAGTGTCCTTTTCATAGCCTATGTATGCTATCCAGTGAAGTCATATTGATAGCAGACCTGTTGAAATAAATGGATTTAAGTACATTGATTTCAGTGGGTATACTATGAGTATGACTAAATTCAGTATCACCACAACTTAAGATTTTAAGTAATAAAATGCAGCAAGCGACAGTGTCTGAGTGACTGTCATATGTATGTATATTCTAGTACAGCAATTTATTGTATTTTTCACTCCATTATGCATATGTGCTCACCTGTCCAGCTAAATGTTGTGATCTTTATGGTGCTGGGAGTATCCACTGATGTAAGAGATTAACCATGTATACCTTGATTAGCTCTCTGTAGATTCAATAGAGAATCAGATTTTGTGTTCCTTCCAAGATGGATTCATTTGCCCTAGTAGGAATGGTTCACTCCCTATTATGTTGTTTCAAAAGCGTAACTGAATCTGTGTCCAAAACAAAATAATCCACTTTATAAAGTGTGATATTATTTGGAACCTGGTTTATGTGTATGTTAATCACTCATCTGGGATAGTGCCTGTCTTATTCTGTCCTGGAAGGGTGGCTGAATTCCTTTTAGTAGTTGATAGTATCTGAATAACTCTTTCGCACGCCTTTTGGACCACATCAGTTGTTTCTCTCCCCTCGCCCCTGCTTTTACCCATTTTAAGTATGCATCATTTTAAACTTGGCAAAAGCAGGTTTTTTTATCCATAGTTTGTACAGTAGCCTTGATTCTTATATTTATATTATAGGACTTTGTGATTTCAATATTGAGTTAATTTCTTCCCTATGATTTTCATGGAAAGTTAGTCAATCTGTTTTAAAGCTTGCTGTCAGCCTTTGTTTTGTAGTTAATTATGAAGACGTAAGTACCCAAGGCAACATGTAGATATTTTTGGAGTTTAAACTTCTATAGTTAGGGCTGGTCCCTACAGCTGTGCTAATATCCTCTAAGTGAAAAGCAAAAGGGTGGGATCTACTTTTTAAAAAACAGCTGCAGATGATTTTGTAAAATACAGTACACTGCTGTTGCAGTTCAATTCAAATGTCTTGAGAGGCACAGAAATAGATGGTTTGAAGGAAATATCTGATTCCTTTTTTCTATGCATTCCACCGATCTTTTACTCTGGAGTTGTCCTGTTCAAGAGTGCAAGGCTGTTCTGAAGCAAAAGACTTAGATTGTAACTTTTTAAAATGTCCTTCACTTGCAAAGATGTAATATGAAATCTTTCAATTCTTGAAGTGGGCCTTTTGGTAAGACAGGAGTCATGAGCTCTGCCAACAAGCCATGTTTAATGTGGCTTAGGCTGCAATCATATACCTACGGACATGAGCGTAAGCTCCATTTAACTTAGTGAGACACTTTTGAGTACACATGTTTATAGCTTGAATTGTCTGTTATGGGGAGGCTAATCACTTTTGTGTGCCACAGACACTTTCTATTGCCGTCTGAGGACTTATTTGTCTACAAATTTCAGTAAAACTAGATGGAGCCTGACACTTCCAGGGCCAGTAGACACTACAACATCTTAGTTTTCATTGTTGCCTTTCAATGCTTTCTTCATTTGTCCAGTGTTTCAGACTTGAATGTGTATTGGTATTTCCCTTGTTGCATGTTATGAACACCTAGGGCACTCCTGCACTGCCGTTAGTGCCCCTTTTGGTGAAAGTTTGCAGGGGGAGAATGCATATATTTGTTATCAGATTTAGTGACTCTTGGATAGCTCCCATTCACCTAGACACCCTGGAATAATTGATGCACTTAAGTTGTCTTCTGTGGACAAATTTCGCATCTGCATTATTGCGGATGGAACCTATTTGTATATATTGAAGTTTAAGTAACTGATATACCAATATTGAAAAGGTAAGCTGTATATTTATTATTCATAGTATCATCCCAGTTTGGATTAGAGACGTTGACACTTGTTATGCCTTTTCATATCTGTTGACGAATAAGACACAGTCTCACCTAGGGTGCCTTTGTGTGCGTGTGTGTGTGTGTGTGCTCAGTCAAATTAAGATCCTACACACAAACACTATTTTTGTAACCATGAATGGCTCATAAATTGTAGTTTCTGTAAGCTTCTGTTAAATACCAGCCTTAATGAAATAACAAGGCTTCTTTTTGGAATATGCACTTAAGTACTCTGCTTTCCAGTTGGACTTGAAAGGTATGCTCCAATTGTGCTGTCATGTCCAAAATAAAGTTTTTTTTAAGGAAGTATAGGCGCTTTGAAGACCCCAATTAATCTACGTAGAAAGTAAAATTGGTTATGGTGGAACCAATTTGAAATTGGCAGTAAAGGAGTGATACACAGTTTATGTGCCAACCCAAGGCAGTACATTGAAAGTAGCACTAGTGGGTGAACTGGTCATTTTCCCTCCTTCTAAAGCAGTTTCAAATATGTAGTAAGGTTGCATTTCCACACATCTTGCTTTTTAAGGGACTGCCTATGAAATCCAGTAAACTTGAGCTAGACATGCAAATTCAAACCCCAAGTTTGTGGGGGTTTGTGTCTCAGTTCCCCTCCCATTGACTGATGCTGTGTCACAAACCAAAACTCTGGTGACCAAAAACATTGTTGCATTTTGTGATATTTCTTGTTCAGTATGAGATTTGTGACCATAGAAGCCTGTCTTTTGGAACTCAAAATTTTAGTTTGCTTTCATATATTAAGTTATCTAGTATGTGAAATACTCTTTGTTTTAAAATCAGAAAGTTGCTATTAACTTTTTGCTTATAAATGTTTAATTTAATGCAAATTGTGGGCTTCTCAAATGGTTGCAGAAGAATCTTTTGGTTAACTCAGGAGTTGAATCGGTCAATTCCTGAATTAGGTAGAATGGATCCAGTTTTCTTTTTGGTAGCATGCAGCTGCCCTTAATTCTCTTGATTTATTGGGTACTGTGAAATAACTCAGACATTCCAGCTAAGTACAGAAGAGAGTTAAGAGAACCCATTGCTTGGTATACAGCACACTAAACACTCTTGGAAGCAAGTCCCAAGGATTTAAATGTTCTTACTTCCAAATAACTGTGGTTAGTCATGTGCCTAGAGTACAATACCAAGCACACTCTGAACAAACAATAATAATTGAAATGCTTGGGACTTAACTTACAGTAAATGTACTTAAGAACAGAGGTTAGAAAGTTGCTCCAGTTGCCATCTTGTTGCAGTCACTACAGGCTTTGCTGTAGACTTCAGAAGAAAGTGGCTTTCATCCTACCTAGGCCTTCAATGTTTTATTCTGACATGTAGATCAGTCAGTTTCCTTAGATGCTTTCACTGCAAATCACAGCACCTTTACACTAACAAAAGAGATTTGCACCATAATTATATTACTTTGCTCTGCATTCAGATGACGACTTCTGCCTTCCTGGTTTAGCAGCAAAAAATATTTAACTTGGGTATGCAGGAAGCTTTCCTGTGCACAGACCCCCTTTGGTTCCATATGTGCAGAATCCTGTATGTGCTGTGAAACCTTTCCAAAATTTAATTCAACTCGTCCTGAAATCATTATGGAGACAAGTGATAGCTGTATGCCATGCACTTCCTTTTAATTTGCAATATTAGTATACATTTTATAAATTTCAAGATGGATTGTAGTAATGATTTTTTACTTTTCTTGTGATACTGAATGCAATCACTAAAGCGCTGCTTGATCTTGTCCGTTTTAAAATTTATTCTTAAGCGGTGTACTTCTGTAAGTTTTGCTTTGTATATTGGCATGACTTTTTATTGGTAATTTACAGTTTAATGTGGCTGCCTTGTTTTGATCAATGCTAATATTTCCTCTGTTCTTTTTGATACACCAAGATACTGAGCTCTACAAAAAATAATCTCATGGTACATGTCTGTTTTCATAGTGTTTTTTAAAAATCTGTATTTTTGTATGTAGAGAAAACCATAGGTTTTCTGAATCCTAATCTTGTATGAAATCATCGTAAAGGATTTGTTTAATAAATGGATAGGAGCAACTTGTGCCATCCTTTGTCTTATTCCTCAAATGACATATCACTTTAATCCACCTCCAAGTGAGTTGTTGAATAGTTTAATGATGCTGAGAACTTTTACCATTCAGGCAAAATTGACTAAAAGCAATGGCCATTGATTCATTTTTTGCATAAGTATCAATGAAGTCCAAGGGACTGTACAAAACCCACGAGAAGCAAAAGTGCAGCTCTTCAAATCTGCAACAGTGTCACAAACAAAGTTGCAATGGTGACAGAGCCTGGGAGATGAACACAGAACACCCCACCTCCGGTGGCTATTCATGACCCCATGGATACTTTGTGTGCATGCTGAGCTTTCAAATTTCCTTGTGGTGGAGGGGACAGGATATAAACTCAATAAATGTAATCTAATAAACCTTTTGCACACAGTCATGTGGCTTTATTTACATAAATGTAATGGGTTAAATGCCTCCCGAAGACCCTTCATAAGGGGGGAAGAGAAAGAATTCTAGCCGGCTCCTGAAATATCTGCTTTGGAAAAGGAGCCTTTAAAAAATCAAGGGTCGGTCCTGCTCACTTCCAGATGCTAATGTCCCAAGATGCCAACATATTTCTGTACCCTATTGAATACCCTGTGAGAGCTGCCTGGAAGATTTAAAAATACATCAGAAGTAAGGCTACACATTTAATATCAATGAAGTTTATTCCAGCATGGTTCATAAATTCTGTGCCAGCTTTGACATGCAGTGTTAAAAAGTCAAGTGAAGACACATCAAAAACATATATCACATTCAAGTGTCTGTAAAAAAAGACAAATATAAAATGCCCATTTCAAGACTTCCAAGCCCATGCGCTAGACTAAGACAGGACACCTAGTTACCCTGTGAAGGAGCCAGCCTTCAAGAGGGCAGTATTTTTGTCATTTTTAAGCCTGAAAAAAGTACCTCTAGTGCATTGCTAGCAAAAGTCACTGAAATAAGGACAACCCCCCCGCCCAGTCTTAATGTATCTACAAAACTACTCTATCAATATATTGTGGCTTATCATATGTGGTAAATACTGTGTAGAAATACATTGTTGAAGGAAATACAAAACAGATTAACCTTTTAGTTGACGAAAAAGTGGAAAAAGAAATACAGGCTTGCAACGTATAGTCATAACTCACAGTTTAAGGATGGGCTACTGATGCAGCTCACTTTAAAAACAATGCAGGTATTTGTGACTTCTTTCTCACTTGGATGTACCCAGTTGATTTTGCCCCACAAGTGCTGTTCAGCTTGTATTACTGTTCTTCAGGATCACTATTGCTTTTAGTTTTTTTTGGTAAATTATTTAAGCTACCACATTAAAGGCAGATTCCAATTCTCTTTTCCACCTCCTCAAATGCACTTCTGTAAACTGAATAACAGTTGATTTAGAGCAGGCATCCCCAACCTTCGGCCATCCAGTTGTTTTGGACTACAATTCCCATCATCCCTGATCACTGGTCCTGTTAGCTAGGGATCATCTGGAGGGCTGCAGATTGGGGATGCATGATTTAGAGGAAAACTGCATCCTAATTAATCAGGTTTCCCTACTGTTTCTTTGGTTCAAGCAGTGTAGGCCTGTTCATATCAGTTCAGCTTTGTTAAGATTATCATATTTTCAAAAAAGCATAGTAATTGCCCCCAATAGAAATTTAAACTTTTCTTGTGCATCATCTCAAGGACAAAGTTGATGCACCTTTAGATTGTCACTGCCAAGATCTCATTTGCTGTTATTGCTTAAAGTCCCATACAGTGGAAGAATAACAGATACTGAGCATCCTTGCCTGCTTTCTCTAAAACAATTCATTGCTTGAAAATAAATCACCATTATTTATCCTTGCCTATCTTATTTGTTAAGCCAGATATATCATGAAGGTACATGAAGCTGCCATGGGTTTTATCTAATCCTGCAAAGTCTGCCCTGATGCAGTAGGAGTATAACATAGGAGGAAAATGTTAGATTCCCACAATGAGCATGCTCTGAAAACATTAAGCAAAAGCGGCAGGGTGGGGTGGGCTGCTTTGCTGATGTTACTTGTGTTTTTGAAAACCTTTAGTTAGATAGTTTGGTACCCAGGCAGGAGGTCTTTTTGACTCCACTGTAATCCTTTTAATAGAGAGTAAACATGTGCTCTACCACTGACCTACAGCCTGACTTAAAAAAAAAATCCAAACAAAGGCTTTATAGGAAACCCAAGCACATGCCACCCAACTCAGCAAAACAGGGCACCCCTGAAGCCTACTGCCATGAATCAAATACAGTGGTACCTCGGGTTACATATGCTTCAGGTTACAGACTCCGCTAACCCAGAAATAGTATCTTGGGTTAAGAACTTTGCTTCAGGATGAGAACAGAAATTGTGCTCCGGCAGCGCGGCGGCAGCAGGAGGCCCCTTTAGCTAAAGTGGTGCTTCAGGTTAAGAATAGTTTCAGGTTAAGAACGGACCTCCAGAATGAATTAAGTACTTAACCCGAGGTACCACTGTATGTACTTACATCTTGCATACTAATTGTGCAAGAGCTTTGAAGCTGGTCTTCAAAAGACAAAAAGCGATGGAAGGGGGACTATAATGTGGTGAAAGTTGGGACACTTATCCACTTTCTCACCTGCTTATATGTAGTATGATAAGTTCCCTTCTCCAGCTATTTTCTACAACCCTTGCTAAAAAACTAAAACACAAGCTGATTCTTTGGAACCTTGCATCTCTATGTCTAGACAAGGCATATGGTGTACAGAAATTGTGGGTAAGACAAAACTAAGTATCCCTATTTCTCTTAGTCATTCTTCTAATGCTGCTTTTCCTAAACAAAAAACAATGGGATGCTTCCATGCATCTGCATGTAATGTAAAGCATCAATAATGTTGGAATATGTCTTCTTCATAGCCTTTTTCCTGCATCTATTAATAGATATTAATAGTAATAAAGAGGTCTCCAGCACACACACACACACAAAATCCATTTCTCATATTTCTTTTTTCTCTCTAGCTTAAAATCTCAATCTAAGGAATTGATTTTTTAAAAGAGTGCTGAAGTTCAGACTGGTTTAGAGTTTTGTGTCCAGTACTGAACAGGTTTCATGCTTGCCTGATGCAATCATCAATGTACGCAACCCTGATTATAGTCTGTTTTAAAAAAAAAGGTTAAGAAAATTTACTGAATAGTACATTGTAGTGCTGAATGAGAAAAGACAGAGAAAAACATATCCAGGCTCAAACAGCAGCAGTTTTTCTGAGGAAGTCTTTCATGAGACTAGCATATCCTCAGCAGTGGCTTTGGTGATGATCTGTACAATGGAAATAAAAGTTCATAAAAAGGTTACAATTGCTAAAAGAAGAGTGTGCCCACTGTCCTCCCCTTTTGGCTCTGCAATCTTCTCAAGGCACTGTTGCTTCAGTCGGAATCTGAATCCGAGTCGTCATCTGAAAGAGAGAGACGTTGTCAATAAAAATGTCAAGGTTGGGGTGGGCCCTATTTTATATGAGCACAATATAAATGCTTTGCATTTGCAACAAACCATCCTTCCATGCCTTGGTATCTTTTGTAATACCCCATCATTCCTATAACTTTTTTAAAAATTGGAATTTGAAATGTGTGATGCACAACAAAGCCAGATCATTTATTCTAAATACAGAAGCTGAAGGTTGTTTTTTTTAAAAAATTAGCTTCTAAACAGAGGATAGCAATACTGGAGAGAAGGCTTGCTCCCATCTATTGCAGATCTACATCTATTGCAAATATAGCCCACAAATGAGCTTGGATCTGTGGCTGATGGCAATGCAAAGCTGGTTTGTACCTACCTTCTGATTTACGTGGCTCAGGGGCTTCTGAAGAATCTCCTTGCTTGAGATATGTCATCAGGTCATTAAAGGTTAGGTAGACATAAACGCAATAGACAACTGTGGCGATGAATCCAAGCACCTGAAGAGCAAAAGGTTTGGAAAAGCACAGTTTTTGAAAGCACAAATGAAAGGAAAAAAATTGTGCAGGAACAGCTTATTGAAAACATTTCGCTGCTGGCATCAGCTGCTGTGTGTGTCCCTATTTTAGGGAATTTCAAGCATTTCTAGTCCTCATAAGGAGGTACTTAAAGGGTCACAATTTCGGTGAATCTACTCTGAGCATGACAGTTATCAAATGTAAAGAAATATTAACAATTAAAACACAAAGTTTACATCTGAGTGAAGACTAGAGCTGTGTGGAAGTGACCTTTCAAAACCCTCCACCCGAATCACAGGCAAAGAAATTGGAGGGACATTCCAGGGTATGGGGGGCGGGTTTGCAAAAATGAAATAAAATATATTTAGAATAAATTCTGCAAAGTGGTCTTTTTCTTAGGGTGGGAGTGTGTAAGGAAAACATATCCAGTCATATCAGAAATAAACATTAGTTGAATTCAGCTCTTGTAGTTCTGAAGCATGCGCGCGCACACAGATATGGGTGTGGGTGTATTGCAAAACACCTCTTGATATAATAAAGCATAATAATATAATCACATACCCCCACTGGAAGATTTGTTGTGTTGCACCGCAATTCTGCATTTGCATGAAGTCAGGTTGTTGTAGGGGAGCAACTGTGAAGGCAGGCTGCACAACAGCACTGGCCACGGAGCTTCATTAAATGGGCGGAGGGTGAAAAGGGTGCTTAATAGCTGCATTGTGGGACAGGATGAAGATGCAGGAGGTTATCATGGCGCTTGTTTGGATGCAAGAGGCTTGTGTAAAGGAGGGGCAAGGGAAGCATAGATAAGGGGGTGAAGGTGAAAATGGGTGAGGCTGCAGAATAGAGGAGAAAAGGGGCTCTAGAAATGGGGTTGGGAAGGTGAACATTAAGCTTAGTAGGCAGGGGAAGCTCTAGGGGGTTAATGTGGGGGAGATGGCAGGAAGATTAGTGAGGTGATCAGAAGTTTTTAATAGATTAAATACCACAGCTCTTCTTTCTATATTAAGATGGCCATAGCTGTTCCTTTGCATGAGTATCTCAATACCATTCAACAGATCTTCCTTCGTTTTGTTTAATCTTAGTTGCATGGAATGGATGCAAAACACCTATCAGTATCAGGTAGGTAGGTAGAATTTATCCCCTTATCATTAACTCCCAGGTATGAACCAGCCTGAAACATCAACTTACTCCTGCTGCCTTGGATGCTGTGTCAGAATATTTTGAGACTGCAGCAATCGAGATGGCAAAATATATAATAGCAGCAATGATGCCACATAAAAAGTCCTGCAAGACAAAGAGTTTTGAAATCAAGTTAGGGACGAAGTTTTAAGCTGGATGGGTGGCAAGGTTATGCACAACACATATCCCCTTAATTGCTGAAAACCAGATAGTCAATTGACAGCCCCAAATCACTTTTAGCTCAACACTGGGGGCTCTACCAAGTTATCAACAGGATGCAATCAAGCTTCTGCACCCAACTGCATATGAGGTTTATTTAGGTTTTGCGCTGGATGTCTCAGCCAGACTCAGATGCACATGCTCCTCAACTGTGATACCCTACTAATTCTGGATTCTCATGGGAACCGCAGAAGTGCCACTCCTTTGCACACTTGCTGGGGTGTTCTCAGCTACACCTGTTGCATGGGCTCCTTCACCTAAGCTGGGGTGTTTTATTTGGGAAGAACAAGAAGCAGAGCAATGGCTCCACTGTTGGAACCCAGTGTTGAGTAGTGTAGAATTTAGTCTAGAACCTGACCAGCCGCAAAGTGTGCTGGGCAGCAAAATACGCTGGACCAATATGTTCTCTTGCCTTTAGCAAGTTCTTGAGCAGGACATGCGTTTAATCAAACCAACTGGCCCTGATCCAGCTCTAATCATATGCAACTATTAGAGGCTCCATATGGAGATGTGCCAATGAAACAAAGACCCTTAGGCCTGTTCAGTGGGGCCCAGATGAACTGAACAACACAGAAACATGCCCACTGGCTGGTCACAAAAAAGCTTCCAGGTGAATCTCTCTTACTACACCGGGCTGAAGGGTATTTCATTGCAGCCTCTCTGAGAAGCAATATATATGGAGATCTTCTGTACCAAGCTCTAGTACACAGAACAGATGAGAGAACTAGTTGGCCATGGTAAGATGCAAATCCTTCAAGAATCTGAAATCCTTTGGAGATCAGAAAGTGGTTGCTATTATGCACCATGCTGAGAACTGTCCACAGTCGCTGTTCATAGACCTAATGTTACTCAGACCTCACCCCCACAGTGCAGTTGCAGAATTTCCACAAAAGCAGACCTACAGTATCATCTTTCTATGCCACTGTTACTGCTGTGCAGGTAACAATGTCTATTCTTGATTTGTGCCACTGGGTGCTTTTCGTTTGAGACAATTCATTGGGTTAAAAGGAAAAGAAAAGCTGCTCGATGCTTTTTGAAACAAAAAATGAAGCACAGTAGCATACTTGAGTGCGTTCTTTTGACACAGCACATATGGTTTTGCTTCATTACCTTGAAATCCACTGAAATTTAGTAGAGAAGTTTCCCCGCAAAACATTTGTGCTATTTTTCTCAGGAGAATGTTTTATTGTTAATTCTCCCTTTTACAATTGTTTGGAGAGCATCCTATTAAGTATTTTATAAAATGGGGCAATGTTTAGGGGCAAGTCCTCATTGGGTTTCTACAGCAAATGCCTAGCTCTGCTGCATATATCTCTCACGGCAGCTTCTCAGGAAGAAACATCAAGAGGCTGATGGGAAATAATATGCTGTCATTGAGAAACTAAGCTGGAGTGCAGCTTTGCATTTTTCAAACATGGCAACTGCTAAATAGGGAATTTGTTTGGAGCCAGAGCAGCACCTAGTGGTCAGTTTCAGGAGCAGCCAGTAACTATTGATAGGCTAAGTCAGGAGGAAGACAATTTTAATTTATTTAACATTTATTTAAGGTATTTATATATTTAGAATTTCTAAGTGTACATAAAATCTTTATGGAAATCTTCTTTCCATACAAAGAATGAGAACAATTAAAATTCACCCTAGAAACATAAAAATATCTTTAAATGCCTGCTAAAATCAGAAAGTCTTTGTCAAGCACCTGAAGTTAAGCAGGGACGGGGTTGGGATGCCTAAACTTGGCTGAGAGGGGGTTCCAAAGAATTGGGGCCCACCATATTGTACACATGGCTCCTGGTGGGTGCAAGCCATGTGTTTGAGCCGAGGGGACCACTAAGAGAGACTTCCCCAAAGATCTCTGATAACTAAGGTCCGGGAAGAGTGGTTTGTCTAAGGCTACCTAGTGAGTTATTTGCAGAGGTTCAGTTGCACAGCCACTATGTTCTATGAATACTCACTCCATCTAAAAATAAGCTCTGATGGTAAGTGACAACAGATTTGCCATCAGAATGAAACCTCTGAAAGACAACAGGGAAGTTCCAGTGTGTTGGGGGGGAATCCCAAGGTTTGCAGATATATATTTTTTCTGGGGGGACTCAGGGGAACGGATACCCCTAAACATTTTGTGAATCTAAGTTTGGTCTCATTGAGGGGCAGTATTTCAATATGAGTAGGAAAATGAGAGTACCCCTAAACTTTTTTTAAAGAAAAAAGCACTGGATATATGGAAAATATTAATGGAAAACCCCCTAAGTGGGCAGCAACCAGCCCACCCCCCAAACCACTCGGTGAGGACTGAGCATGCTAGTGGTCACAGGGCGAATGGAATGGAGGGCAGCTGGTTGGAACTGTGAACAAGGAGCATTCCACACGGCAACATTTTGCACGTTCCACTTGTAGTTGTGATAACTGACAATGATGGCAATAACGAAAATTAGATTTCATCCAGACACAGTAACAAAACTGACAAATGATGTTGCAGCTGAACAGTTTAAGACACAGTGATGTGCACCTCAGAGATCTCATATGGTACACAGTGACTGCTATGCACAAAATTAATCTTTCAGCTTGGCACTACAAGTCATCCTGGGAGACAACAGGGGCAGATTTTTGCCTGTGGTAGCTGGGCGCTAAAGCAGTCATGATACTAGGAGGTTATGCCCATCAGCACTGCAGGCTCTCCAAAATTCCCAGCTACCCATCATTCTTTCACTTCATTTCACATCATTCTTTCACCTTCACATCTTCCTTGCCAACCTTGGATATTCACTCCAAGGCTATGCAGGGATGGTCACCTGTGACTCTCCTGAAGCTGTTAAGTCTCCCAATTGCCCTCAGTTCCAGACAGCAATGCCCGGAGGACCACAGATTCCCTACTGCCCAGTCTAGACAGTGACTGGCAACCCGCCACCCCCCAACCGCCATTTCATTGACTCGACTCAGATTGATCGCATGTGTCCATACGCTTACCGCCAAAAGCCAATAGACTGCTTTGAACCTCTCATTAAGCTTTAAGGAATAGGCAAAGAAAAAACACAGGGCCGCCAGAAGTGTTAATAGTGGTACAATCAGGAAAGACCCAGCAGAGGAGGCAATATAACAGATGAAGATGATGAACGACAGCACCTGCAACACAAAGGAGAACATTATTGGTCACCTGGAGCTCAGAGCATGTGGGTTCCTCCAGGTGTCCCTTATTGTTCCGCATTCATTGCAATTCATGCTCATTATATTATTGGGGCAGCTATATACAATCCCACCTTCAATACCATTTGTGCCTGCAGATAGGGACATATCCCCATGGCCAGATTTAGGTTTGATGAGGCCCTAAGCTACTGAAGGTAATGGGGCCCTTTATATGTCCAGCTGACATTTGTCACCAACAAATTGTCGCTGTTTTTTATGTTTAATATATGCTTATATGGTAATTTATAGACCTAATAGGTATCTGAAGCCATTTGCACATACAAATAGGAACCTACACAACACAAAAGAGAGCCAGTGTGGTGTAGTGGTTAAGAGCGGTAGATTTGTAATCTGGGGAACCAGGTTCATGTCTCCGCTCCTCCACATGCAGCTGCTGGGTGACCTTGGGCTAGTCACGCTTCTCTGAAGTCTCTCAGCCCCACTCACCTCACAGAGAGTTTGTTGTGGGGGAGGAAGGGAAAGGAGAATGTTAGCCGCTTTGAGACTCCTTCGGGTAGTGATAAAGTGGGATATCAAATCCAAAACACTGTTGCTGTTTTCATTTAAATATTTTTGGGGCACCCAAGAGAGTGGGACCCTAAGGTATAGCTTGTTTAGTTTATATGTAAATCCGGCACTGCATGTTCCATATTTTCCTGTTGAAATCCTGTCACTTTTCATACCACAAATGCTCTGTTTGGTTTTTGTGTGTCCTGCTTTCATTGTGCTACAGTGCAAGAGTACCCTTCCAAATGGGAATAACACAGTCATATTGGAGAACAACCAACAAAGTGGAATGATGTGCAGACAGTCCAGTAGAAATCCACCACTAATGCACTATTTGGGGCTTCTCTTGCACTTCTAAGTTGTATTTTAGAACAGGGCTGGGCCCATTTCAGGCTTACAAGACCTGCCTTCTTTATTAGAACTCTAATATCCACCAATCAGAGCCAAAGATTCAAAAGACATGTTGATACTCAGCAGATGATCTGGTTTTGAGTCTCTGAATGGAGTTCAGCCCTTTCATGCAAACATCCATTCCTTGCTTCCCCCTTTCCAAACTGCTTTAGTTTCATAAGCCTAATGTAGAGGTGGGAAGTTAGTATTGCTAAAAGAAACCCGGGAATCTGAAACTCTTGCCTGGTCTACCTGGAAATCAGCCAGAGATTGATCAGTAGATTCCAATTCTAAAGTCCACATATGGCAAACTAAAGCATCATCAGGAGCACAAACCTCCAAACAATGTCATTTTTATGGCAAAGCAAGATTAAGGCTGCAATCCTAAACTCACTTACTAGGGAGCAAGGCCCACTGAACACAGGGGAACTTTTTTTCTGAGTAAACACTGCAGGAGAGACAGCAGGAAGCAAACGAATGCATCTTAATTTTATTCTGCTCAGTTGTTCCAAGGAATCTCTGTAGAGGAAGCAGACAGCACTTCCTCCTTTTTAAAGATTTGTTAAACCACTTCAAGCAAGCAATGCAAAGCAGCAAATGCTTACTCTGAGGAAACAAGAGTCACACTGTTTTCAGAAACAGTAACACAACATGCTTTCTTTAGAATCTGGAAATGATTTGTCTTATAGGAACAAAAACCACATAGGCAAATGCGAGTGGTATTAGCTATATTTTTTTTAAAAAATGTAAATGACACTTGTTTCTTCAACATTTTTGACATTTCCATTCCACTAAAACTGATTATGTAATTAATTACATTACTTTCACCATTAGGGAATGGCAGAAGCCAAATGGTTGCAGAATGGATGCAGCGCTGATTGTGATGAACACAGGATGCCGGGGGGAGGGGGTGTTTATATCGCTGCTTCGTTAAACCTGGCCTATATTTGAAGCTATATTCCTTGTGTTATACACACTCTCTCATATGCACACAGACCTTCCTTTCTAGAGTTCCAAATGGCATGGTGATGGCAAGGTGGGCAACTCAGGTAGTAGGGATTTTTTGATTGCTCTGGGACTTGAGAGCAGACGGGACGCACACTCTGCAGTAGATTCTCTTAGGGCCACTGGAAGCCTGCCTCCCAGGAATCACATCATGGCATGGGGGAGGCCAGCCAGGCATCATCCATTGGTCAAAGAAGGAACAGCTCCAAGGAGATCATTTCCTCCGTCTCTGCCTGAAAGAACGTCCAGCTCCATCTGCCTGCTGTTCTGGGCTGCAGAAGCCAAGGGAAAGCACACTCTGGCTCTGTCCATCAGCCAAAGAAACAAGCTACCAATTGCTGTTCAAGCAAGAACAGCAGCAAGGGATGATCAGCGTGGCTCAAACTGGATATAAAGACCCTCTTGTAGCTCACCCCTGTTTTCTGACCTTCCTTTGCTTCCCTGTGTATTAAAGGTTTGTTCTTTTTTAAATTCAAACCAAACAAAGTTGCAGTGTGATTCAAGAGGTAATGCACAAATGCAAAAGATAATATCCCATTGTGATACCATGATCACTAAGCAACACAATCCACAGGTAAATTCACATCTAGTAACCCCTCCATGTTGCCACATGGCATGGTGCAGGTAGGTGAGGATCTACGCAGTTATTCATGCAACTTATAAAAGGAACCGGACATTATTAATATTTCACAGTGCCTTGTACTGCTCTCTCCAATGATACATCAAACATTCTGGCCTTGAATTGACCCCCTGCCTCTACCTCTTCCCTCCACTCCCTTTTTCCTTGCGTACCTTGTCTTTCTTGTTTGTAAACTGAATGGCTGGGCCTGTCTCCCCCTCCCTCTTTCTGTTTGATGTGAGCCACTTTGGCAGAGACAATAATTATTAGAGAAAAATACAGCAAATGAAGAAAAAGCATATCTTGCGCAAGAAATTGCTAGTCATTGTCAACAACTGTTTGTGACGTCTGTATTAGAAGGGAGGGCAGAAAGGAGGAGGACAAAGAAGGGGAAAACAAAAAATGGGAAATAACCACATCAAGAGAATAACAGAATCCTAGAGTTGGAATGGATCTCAAGGTCTAACCCCCTGCAATGCAGGAATCTCAGCTAAAGCATCCATGACAGATGGCCATCCAACCTCTGTTTAAAAACCTCTAAGAAAGGAGAGTACACCACCTCTAGTGGGAGTCTGTTCCACTGCTGAACAGCTCTTACTGTCAGAATTTTTTCTGAATGTTTAGTCGGAATCTCCTTCCTTGTAACTTGAAGCCATTGGTTCAAGTCCTACCTTCCAGAGCAGGAGAAAACAAACTTGCACCATCTTCCATGTGACAGCCCTTATGATATTTGAAGATGGCTATCATATCTCCTCTTCTCCAGGCCAAACATACCCAGCTCCTTCAAGTGCCTGCATAAGGCTTAGTTTCCAAACCCTTGATCATCTTGGTTTGCCCTCCTCTGCACACATCCCAGCATGTCAATATCCTTCTTGAATTGTGGGGCCCAGAATTGGACACAGTATTCCAAGTGTGGTCTAAGGCAGAATAGAGCGGTACTATTACTTCCCTTGATCTGGACACTATACTTCTGTTGATGCAGCCTAGAATAGCATTAGCTTTTTTTGCTGCTGCATCACACTGTTGACTCATGTTAAGCTTGTGGTCCACCAAGACCCCTAGATCCTTTTCACATGTACTGCTAGTAAGCCAGGTGTCCCCCATCCTGTATTTGTGCATCTGTTTCTTCCTGCCTAACTGTGGAACCTTACATTTGTCCCTACTGAAATTCATTTTGTTAGCTTGCACCCAGTTCTCCAATCTGTTAAGGTCATTTTGAATTCCGATTCTGTCTTCTGTGGCATTAGCTACCCCTCTGTTTGGTGTCATCTGCAAATTTGATGAGCATCCCTTCAATTCCTTCATCCAAGTCATTTATAAAGACATTGAACAACAATGGGTCCAGGACAGAACCCTGTGGCCCCCCACTTGTCGCTTTTTTTCCAGGATGACAAGGAACCATTAATTAGTACTCTTTGGGTTCGGTCAGTCAACCAGCTACAAATCCACCCAACAGTTACCTCGTTCAACCCACATTTTACCAGTTTCCTCGTGAGAATATCATGGGTAACTTTGTCAAAAGCCTCACTGAAATCAAGATACACTATGTCCACAGCATTTACCTGATCTACCAAGTTTGTAATTCCATCAAAAAAGAAGAAAGAAAGAAAAAGAAATCAGATTGGTCTGGAGTGATTTATTTTTGAGAAACCCATGCTGGGTCTTAGTAATCACAGCATTACTAATAGCATTACTAATCACAGCCACATGCCTGCCTTCTTACATACACCTAGCTCATGGAGTGACCCTGTAAGGGGTAAGAGGAAAGGGTACAAACAAAGGCTCTGTTTGTCTCCAGGCTTCACACCAGAACTGAATCAGATTGGCTCAATCATCTCCCCCCTACCACCCTGCAGCCGACTTTGGAATTTGGATGCTGAAACTTTATAACAGGGGTGGGGAACTTATTTCAGATCGAGGGCTGCATTCCCTTCTGAGCAACATTCTGGGGGGTGGCACATGCCAGGAGAAGGCAAAGCCAGAATCAAAAGTAGGTGGAGCAATAAATGTATACTTCACCTTTATATAGTAGGGCAGTTTCTACACATCTCTCTCTCTATCTTCCACCCAGATAAGAGGCACTAGCAGAGGTCAAGGATATACTCCACCCAGGCAACGAACACTTACAGCATGATGCAGGGATGCTGAGAGGTGTGGCCTGGGAGAGCTCTGAGGGCCATACAGAGAGGCCTGGAGGTCCCTGAGCCTCCTCACCACTACCATGGGGTTGGAAAAAGCATCAGAACTTAAGACAAGGTTACCAGATTTTTTTCAATGAATCCGGGGACACTTTTCAACTTCAATGGATTTTGTATGGGGACTGATTTGTAAATCCGGGGACTGTCCCCAGGAAACGGGGACGTCTGGTAACCTTAACTTAAGAGCCACAGCTCGCCTAGTCCAACAACCTGACAGCAGCCAACCAGATGCCTCTGGGAAGCCCACAAGCTGGACACAAAGGTAATAGCCCTCTCCCCCAAGAGCGCCACCAAGTCCCATGAGAACCAAGGAGGTCCCAGGTAGCCAGTGTGACTAAACAGGTGCTGATGGAGCTCTGTGAATTTATTGAATCCCCTTCTGATGCTATCTGCATTGCTGATCCCCACCACATTTTGTGGCAGTGAATCCCATAATTTCATTATGCGATTTGTGAAGAAGTCCTTTCCTTTGTCCGCCCTGAATCTCCTGCCAATTTAGTTTCATTGGATGACTCACTTAACACCAGATTTTGGGAGAGGCAGCGATATAATTTTTTCTATCTAGTATCCACTTTTTGTACAAGGCACATCATTCTGTAAAAGTTATGTCATATATTCCCACCCACTCAGAGAGAGAGAGAGAGAGAGAGAGAGAGAGAGAGAGAGATGGAGATGCTTTTAGGAGACTCCCTAGAAGAGATCTCAGCACTAGAACAATCAACAGAGCATTCCAAAACTCTGCCCCTTTCAATTTTTGTGTGAAAAGTCCCTCCCTGTGGAACGCCCTCCCATCAGATGTCAAAGAATTAAACAACTATCTGACGTTTAGAAGACATCTGAAGGCAGCCCTGTTTAGGGAAGTTTTTAATGACTGATGTTTTAATGTATTTTTAATCTTTTGTTGGAAGCCGTCCAGAGTGGCTGGGGAAACCCAGCCAGATGGGTGGGGTATAAATAATAAATTATTATTATATTATTATACCTCTCAAAAGTTGCATCACCAGGTATGAATATCCAGGTAATCTGCAGCCCTGAAAAAGCTCCAAGGGCAAGATGAGGGGAGACTTGAGCAAAGGAAGCTATTTTAAACCAGGTCTTATAACCTTAATGCAGCTACTCTCAAACAAAGGAACTTCAGTGGAAGACTACAACATGAAACGGCTGGATTTGAATTTATCAAGGGATTGAATGCTATCATTTGTGGTTTTAAATGAGATAGTCATACCTTATCACGCTACAGTGAGTTAATTAACTTACCCACGATAGGATTTGTGTTATCGCCTACATTGTGTACCATCACTGCTTTCTTCCAGGCCTGGTTGTTGAGTATTAATCCTCATCTGTTTTGCACAAACTTTGCCGGGGTGTCAGGGGTGGCTCATCCTGTTGTTTCGCTGCCCCTCCTGTTGCCACCTCCACTGAAGCCTTGCTTAACAGGGTTGTGCTACAGTACTTTGCTGCCTCTGCCCACTTCTCCAGGGCGGTGGGACACCACACCTGTGTGGAATCCACTGCTCAAAGCGGCTGCCTCAGTCCATGCCCTTAGGACTGTTATAGGCACATCCAATTTTGTATAGAGCATTCATTCTGATTTGTTTGCCAGGACCTCACGTCAACCAAATGTTATCCCACGGTTTCCACTGCATTTCCCCCTTAACTTAAAAAGACTGTGGGGGGTGTGGGGGTGCTAAGCACATTCGTTGCCCAAGAGCGCCAAATCCACTTTAATTGCTCAACTTGAATATGACAGGATGCAAACTGATTTCGGTTGCAACATACAGCCAGCCTGGAAAAGGCCACCGTTAATAACCCCCGTCCTCGCTATCTGTTTGACTTTATACAGTTCCTTTCCCTCATACGTCACTATTCTACAACCCCAACGCCACGAGTGCTATTCATATCCGCAACTTCATGCTTCCAAAGTGGACTCTAGCCCAGAAAAGCGTTTGCGCCGTAATAAACTGCTTAGCTTCCAGGGTGCCGGAAGCCTCTTTCTTTGTTTTTACTAGTACAGAAGTCGCCCGGGCCTGTGCCTTCTCTTGTCTCTCCCTCTCCCCTGCGGGGTGGGCGTGGTGGCCACCATCGGGGTCCCTGCGAGGCGGGGGGGGGGGGATCCTCGTTTCTAGGCGAATCCTACACGACGCCTGCTGGAACCAGTCCTGGTTTTCCAAGGGCCTCAGGCTGCGATCCAGCGCGCCCGGTTTACCTGCGAGTAAGCGCCTCCTGGACAGAGCTCGATTCTGAGTCCACGGGCACAGGAAAGATTGCTGTGGGAGAGGGTCACGTTCAGGGCAAAGGAACCCGACCTCGTTTCCCTCCTTTGCTCCTGGTAAACTTCCCGCGGCGTGGAAGCCTTTTGCCAGGAGAGATTGCGAGCAGAGCCTGCAGTTTCGCCGCCGCCGCCGCCGCCGCCGCCGCACTTCCTCGTCCTCTCCGCCTCCCTTCCCCACGCGCAGCCCTCGACTCGAGTTTGCAATGCATTCGCCCCCGCCCCCCCTTCCGCGCCCCATCTTACCGCCTCGGCCAGCAGGAGCCTCCCTTTGCGGGAGCTCAGAAACTCCTTGAAGGATAGGAGCAGGCGAGCCCCCGGCGGAACCGCGCCGCCGGACTCGGGATCCTCCGCTTCGGCTCGCTCCATGCTCGGCTGCGCGGATCCGAGCGAGGCGTCGCCTAGCCAAGAGCAGAGACCAGAGCGCCCCGCCGAGTTTGCGATGTTTTTCCCCCCCTCGTTTTCAAAGGGAGGGAAACGGAAATCCTGATTCTGCGGAAATGGGGGGCAGAAAACGCCGAGCCGAAGAAAAAAAAAAGTTTCCTCAGCGGTTGCCAAATCTACAGCTGGGGACGCTGCCGAGCAGCCGCTGCCGCGCGGCAACCTCGCGCCTCTCGTGCGCCCCGCCCCTTCCGACGAAGAGCCGGGCGGGCGCCACGTTAGGAGACCCCCGCCCCCGACTCGTGCAGCTGCTGGAAACAGGGAGCACTTCCTCAGGCGAGTCCATGCGCGGCTGTTGCAAACCCCAGGACGTGACCTTCGGGGAGCTGGCGCCCCGCTGCAGTTTTGCTTCGAAGGATTCGAAGAGCCTTGCTGCATCAGAGATGGAAGATCCACCTGGCCCCTGTTTAGAGCACCCAGCGGCCAGCAGCCACGGTCACCTCCACACGGTACATTTAAAACTCGCTTGTACCACTTTAACAGTCTTGAATTCCCGCAAAGAATCATTGAAGCTGTGATTTAAAGGGTACAGGCTTTGCAGAGCTTCAGTTCCCAGCATAGCTGCCAACTCCCAGGGTGCCCGACCACCCACAAAATTCCCCATGAAGGGGCCGGGCACCCACAGATTTTGGTGCCAGGGACATGCACACTGCATGGCACCCACAGCCCCAGGACCCATGGTCAAGGGGGCTAAGTTGACACTCCTGGTTCCCAGCACCCCACGCAAATGACACTTCCCAGGATTATCAGTGACTCTTGAAGTGGTTTTTAAGAGTGTGTTTTACCATATGGTGAGGATGTGATATAGATGACTCTGAATGCTCACAAGCAGCCCATTCTCACCAGTCACACCCTGTTGGCAGCAAAAATAACAATGGCATGAAGACTTAGTTTGGGCTGGGTATGCAGATGAGACCTAGCTCTACCTCTTATTTAAAGCAGATCCAGTGAAGGCGGTGAATGTCCTGTGTGAGTGGTTGGAGGATGGATGGCGTCTAATGGATTGAGGTTGAATTCCAACAAGACAAAAGTATTGTTTCTTGGGGGCAGGGAGGGCAGAGACATCTGAAGGCAGCCCTGTATATAGGGAAGCTTTTTAAGGTTTAATGTTTTGCAATGTATTTATATACAGTGGTACCTTGGGTTAAGAACTTAATTCACTCTGGAAGTCTGTTCTTAACGTGAAGCACCACTTTAGCTAATGGAGCCTCCTGCTGCTGCTGTGCTGCCGCTGCACAATTTCTGTTCTCATCCTGAAGCAAAGTTCTTAACCCGAGGTACTATTTCTGGGTTAGCGGAGTCTGTAACCTGAAGCATATGTAACCCGAGGTACCACTGCATGCTGGAAGCTGCCCAGAGTGGCTGGGGCAATCCAGTCAGATGGGCAGGGTCCGACTACTACTACCACTAATGATGTAAGTTTTTATAGACGCCACTGGATGCATGACGGCAGGTATCATGCATCTGAAGAAGCAGGCTCCAGTAATTCATGAAACCATGACATCATAAGTCCATTTGTCTTTACATTTACCTTACTTCCCTTTAAGCTAACAGCAGTTTGTCATTCTGTCCAAAGTAGGAAGGAACTATGATGAGTTTTAACTATGGTTGAGCAAAACAAACCAGGATCAGCAATAATGGTTTGATCTTGGGTTGTTTGGCCAAAACAGAATGTAAGGAAATGACATGGTGCCTCCTGTGTAGGTTAGGCTGAGAATGAGTTACTGGCCTGTGGTCACCCACTAACAGTGTCTAACACTGTATACTTAACTACACTGGCTCCTTGACTGGCTGCAGTGTCACTCTTTGAGCTTGTGCTGTTGGTTTTTAGGAATCTGCTTGCTTCCACTGAGCTCTATGTGCTGGCAGTCATGTGTCAATTGGACGTGTGCAGAATGGTTGCCGCCTGTATATACAGACACTCTTACAGGCAAACAGGGAGTTGCCTGGAAAGCACACAGTGCAAGAGGCATGGGGCACCTCTACTCTGTTGGCAAAATAAGGTTCAGCAGAAGTCCTAAATGCCTGTTGGAGGATGTAGGGAGCTCAGAAAATAGCATGCAGGTCAAATCCTGGTCCCCGCCCCTGCGTTACAAAAAGTTTATGACTTTTCAATATTCTCTCAGGAAAAATAAACTTACATTGCAATCCTATGTATGTTTACTCAGAAATAAAACCCTTCAGTGCAACCCACCCTTGCACTTTTTAAGGGAAATTGGGAGTGTGCTCAACAATATACAATACACTTATGATTCAGTATTATTACAGGTAAAGCTTTTTTAATTAAAAACATTAACACAAACCAGTTCATAAAGCTGCATCTGATAATAATTTGAAATGTAATGTTGGTTAGAATTGGTATTCCATAAAATTCACAGGATTATTCTTAATTCAAGATGGCTCATACAGGTGAATAGGTGAACAAGTTTAGAAAAGTAGTACATGAGAATACTATATATTAAAATTCATAAATATGTTTCTTCTAATCTAAGAGCACAAAAACATTTTCAGAACCCTGCTCACTTCCCTGGGAGAGTTAAGCTTCTGCTTTAAAATTTCTCTTTGAAATCAATTTGACTTTCGTTACATGCTCTTCAGATTTAGAAAAATATAAACAAAATTTGGCACAAGCAGCCTATTGAAACAGGCTTTCCAAATGTTTATAAATTAGACTTTGGCCATTGATCATTCTAATTGTTATTATCATCCCCCGCTGCTGCTCCTTGGTTAAATGTAATCTTCCTCAAAAGAAAAGCAGCATCTACTATGCAGAGAGCACACAGGATCAGACAAAACACCTGCAAATGAAAAGAAAGTAGTTCAGATGCCAGTAAAATGTTCTGGGCATTATTCTTTATTGAATCACAGCAACAGCCTGTGCCTAGTTTACAGCATCTGCCACAGCTCATCAAAGAGTCCTGTCCTGTGAATTTCAATTTTAATGTTTAATTTGTGATAGATGAAAAAAACTGAATTCTTTTTATCTTGTGTTCCATAAAGTAATCTCTGCCCCAACTATTTTGGGGAAATCGTCTCCGGTTTCACCTTGCCTGACTTCTATCAGTTGTATTCTTCCAGTAGGCTCCAATACTTACTCATCTCAATAGGCTACTCTGACCATGGTAAAATAGGGATACAGTACAGTCATACCTCTTGTTACGTTTGCTTCATGATACGTTTTTTCAGGTTGCGTCCTGCAGCGACCCGTAAGTACTGGAAAGGGTTACTTCCGGGTTTCACCACTTGTGCATGCTCAGAAGCACAAAATGACGTCACGCGCATGCGCAAAAGCAGCGAATCACGACCCACACGGGTTGCGTTCCTTTCAGGTTGCGAATGGGGCTCCGGAATGGATTCCGTTCGCAACCAGAGGTACCACTGTAGTTGCACCTTAGACAAATGGGGATGGTGGAGAAGGATAACATACCTACTTTAACAGAACTGATTGGGCACCGTTGCACTTGGCAAGTCTAGATGTAAATTATATTCTTCTCTTTCATATAAGAAACGTGATATGAACTTGTATGCCATTGTTCTGTTTTACTGCCGAAAATACTATTATTGGCCCCACTGGTAGAATAACAACTCACTGAATGAAATTATTAACGTTTGCAGAACCCCATTGATTTCACTGTTACTTGCGCCAAACTAGATGTAATTCCACTGACGCAATTAGAAACACACTGATATTTTTCTTTAAGAGTAAAAAGCAGGTGTGGGAGGTCCAATCATGATCCTGGCCTGGGACAGGAGATTCAAATGCTTCACTATAGTCCTGATTTAGATCCGTCCTAACCAGCTATTTGTATTAGGAGAAAAGTTCTCACCAATGGCTGCAGTCCAAACACAGAGTGCATTTAGATGTGGGGATTATTGGGTTGGTTTTCCTGGTTATGATGCTAGCACTTACTGAATTGGTTATGATGCTAGCACTTACTGAATGTTCAGTAAGTAACATTCTTTTTACACTACATTATGGAACTGTGGCTTTTTGATCAAGAGACACCACCATGACACCAGTGAATAATATGCTATCAACCCCCACCCTTTATGCACATGTATTCCCTCCCCCCCACCCCTGGATTCACCCATGAAAATGCCTGGACAGACATTTTGGAATATATGCTAGAATACCACCCCAAAATTTGTGACATGACTAGTTGCCAGGATGCTGCCCAAAATCTCACCCCACAATTTTCCAGGTCAACAGTGTTGCAAATGGAAACAATTAACATGGAAATGAGCAGATTTTGCTAGATTTCCAAAACTGGCTTTTATATTGTGTGAAAGATCACATAAAAGCAAACATTATCAAGTAAGGAAATGTCAGGAAAAATGATTAAAATAGTGTCTGAAAGCAGTCATAATTTTGCAAGCCATGGTCTACCAAGCTGGGAATGTCACATGTGAAAGGCTCCTCTGGCTTTCATTTCTATGATACAATACTATCCAGACTCTCTTACTTACCCCTCCAACCAAAGTTTCAACTACGGTTTTTATTACTGTTGCACACAGTCCCACAATGAAGAGAAACAGCGCCCCCACCAGGGAGTTGAAAGCATCCTGAAAAATATAGCAAATAACATGGCTTAATGTTGACTCCAGGACCAGGCATTTTGCTACCTGAGGTTGTGTAGTCAATGGCATCCTGTAAGCCAGGGTGCATAGTACATATGTGAGGCCAGGAAAGTTATTTTGGCACCCAAGATACAGGGATATTTATATATTATCAAAACATCTAGACTGTTCCTTATTTACAAAAAAGAATCACGCAGCAGTTACCAAAATATAATAGAACAACACATTATGGAAAGAAACAATTAAAAAACTAAAATTACCAGTTAGGTATGAGGCCATCACATGTAACTGCAGTATTTCAACACTTTCTCAGACCTTGAATAGCCTAGATTGCAATCACCATATCCACAGGAGGACACACGTTTTAACCTGGTGCCAAATCCCATCAAAGTTGGGGCATTCCGAGGGGGTTAGAATTACAGAGTCTGAGTACCATCCCAAAGGCGGCTCAACCACATCACCACCTGGTGTGCAACAGGCTGTTTTCCCTTTTTGCTTACTACTCTCTCATCTTTTGACCCCATTTCTCTGCTCTCTTTTTCTGTATCCCTCCCCCCCGCCGGTTTACCATTGTTTATTGAGGGAAAAGATGGATTTTTCTTTTTTTCAGGGGGGAATAATTTAAACTTTTTAATTATAGTTTAATCTGACTGGCGCCAATCTTAAGTATACGTATTCAATTCAAATAATCCTATGTTGGACAGCAACGAAGACTTCTATGGCAAATCTACATAATTTTAATCATTTTATGCTCTCTCAAAAGATGAGTAAAAGGAGATGGACATCCAAATCCAAGCAACAGTGACACCAAGTGGCCTTCTCTCAGTAGTGCTGTCTCAGTAGAGTTCATAGTTCATTGTTTTCCAAAAAAAATCCCCAAGTGAACAGCTCATCAGATTCTAATCTGTACGTTCAGGGTCAAATTAGACATTACATGGGAGATCCATGATCAGGGATTTTGTTATTTAATAGAATCATATAATTGTTGAATTGGAAGGGACCTTAAGGGTCATCTAGTCCAACCCCCTACCCAGTAGTGGGTGAGTGAACCATCTGCCATGTTAAATTCCCAGCAGTGGCCCACAGTGGTACTATATGAGAAACTTAAAATAGTAGATAGTTCAGTCATAGCCTGCAGATTGTGATGATGGTGCTGATAAACCCACAGACATTGGGAAAGACCCCTGGATGGGACTTTGTCAGAACATCCCTTGAATCTGGAAATGGCTGTAGCCGGGATTTTTGTTGGGAGGGCAGGACTATGTTGGGGGGCAGGACTTTTGATGGTGGGGCAGAACCGATGTTATTGGTCAGTTATGTATTTATTATTTTACTTTCTCAAACACAATCAAGCAGGATTCTGGCTATCATTTCTCTGCTGCATATTCTGTTGTAGGTTACGGAACCTTGTGTTTCTTAACTAAGTTAACAATACTGGACTATATGATGGGGGGGGCAAGTAGGATAGTTAAAGGCACAATATTCACTTTTGTAATATATGACACTGTAAGCATGTTGCCTCAAACAAAAAAGGGCGGTGAACTATTATTGATTAGAATAAGATGCACAAAATAAAATAACAAGCTTAGATTTTAACTTCACACACTTAGTGATTGCACCACCAAGCAATCATTTGCATTTATGCGATTTAAATTGCTATTGCAATTTAAACTGCACATAGTTTTCCTATCATATGGACTTCACCTGCAATACAAACAGATGTGAGGGCCATTTCACACATTTCAGATGGTGAAGGTATGGTTAGTTGGGAGGTACTTCCTCTATTTGCTCCCTGGTAGTGTAATTCTGTTTGCAAACATGCATTTGTAGCATTCATGCTTTACATTTTTAAGTACCGTATATGCTTAAAATGTCTTATCAGCATGCAGTGCAATCCTGTGCATGGAATTAATCATAGAGTGTTCAGTGGAACTTACTTTTTTGCAAATGTGTCTTTAGGATTTCAGCCTGGGAGATATACATGTGTGAATCACCTACATCCAAATATAATACTCTATGTGAAAGAGATCTGTTTGAACCTAATCTCGTGTTTCAACAACATAATCGAATTCATCCCCAAGGTATGCTAAGTACTTCCTTCCCTGCCATAGGATGCAGAAAGAGAGCAAAACAATAGGTTGTAGCCAACGTTAGTTCTAAGTAACTTAGCGTTAATTTCTATGGGTCTGCTCTGAGCAGAACTTAAGATACTTCCCAATATTTTGTAAAGTGATGCTTGAACCCAGACCTATCGCTGATTCCCCTAAGGCCACATCTCTGTCCTCAGAAGGGGGGGGGGAGGCAACATCCCCAGAGTCCCCCAAAATAATAGTTAAAAACCACCTCTATATATGTACTCTTCAGTTCAATGTTTTTAAATTGAATTAACTGCATTAAAAATAAACAATTAAAAGGACTGAAAATATAACATTTTGTTGTTTCTTATCAGTTCTTTTACTGATCTTTATATTGATCCTCTACTCTTCTGTTTATAAAAATATCCTTCCATCTTTCACAGTAGCTGCTGTACGGTATTCAAAAGTGTAGCTTTTATTTGTTTGTCTGAATGTTAATAACTGTCTTGTATTGTGGTAATAAGGACAGGTGGGAGGAGAATGCTTCTCCCTACTCCCAACAGTTGTTTTGGAAATGGAAGGGCGGAAGTTCAAAATACCAGCACAATTCCTGCTGTTTGGTTTTGTACTTTTGCAAGACATGTATACACAACAATAATTTGTGCACATTAATACTTACAGCCAAGGGCCAAAATAAGAAATTCAGCTTTTTTTGCAGATTCAGCAGATATAGTAAAAAGAATAATAAAGTAATGACAAATTCAATGATCACGAGTGCTAAAAATGCTTCATGAGATCTGTTAACTGCAAAACAGATGGTTGCCATAAAAGCTACAAGCTGCAAGAAAGAAAGACAGAATATTGACTTAGGATCATACATACATACATAGTCATACTACAAATATTCCAATGTTGCAAAACTATTTACATAGGATGCTGTCATATAGTCAGACCACTGGTTCATCTTGCTCAGTATTGTTTGCCACAACGGCTGGCAGTGACTTTCCAGGGTTTTAGGCAGTTGTTCTATCCCTGAGCTATTAACTTCAAGTTACTAAAATAATCACACCCAAGCTTTAAGACCCTACTGTAATTTATAAATTTAAAATTTGGTGGTAGTTCAATCAATGTTTTATTTGGAAATACTGGCTCTATAGTGTGTCTTTAAAATGGGCCTGAATACAACTTGCCTTGCCTATGATTCAAAGATCTGGAGGTGTACTGTTTTCTTCCCCTCCTCAAAACAAGAGACTAAGGAGGTGCCTTCTATACATGGGTCCCCAAAGAAGTGTGCATGTGTGTGAACTGAAGAACACAAACTGCTGCCATATGGTTTTGAACGCTACTTTTGTCATGTGGCAAAAACCTCAGACTAGATGCAGCTATTTAGAAAACAAAAACTCCAAACATATTCAGTGAATTCACTTATCATCTAGTTTGCCCCAAAGAATTAAATAATCATAATAAGGCGGTGGGATTTAACAATGCACACACACACACATATATTCTAATAGTCAAATAAGAGAGAACGTATGTGTAATTCCAGTTTATATCTGTATTGGATTTGATACTGTGTTTACATACAAAAGCATTTTCAAACATCTTTTAATTTTCATATAAGCAATAATTGGTGCTGGTCTTCTTGTTCTGAAATCGCTCTGAGATATTTTATGAGAAGCGATTCATACATGGAAATAAATAAATATCTGGCAACACTTGTATTGTAACACCAGAAATCTACTCCAAAGCAGGTCCTATTTGAGTTTAACAGGGTGACATCCAGAGAAGTGGAAATAGATGGCTGGCTACAAGAGGCAAAAATCAGCATTGCTGAAATTTTCCAGTTCCTTTAAAAATGACAAATGTGGAACACTCCTTGCTCCAGTGAAAGAGAAGAGCTGGAAAGCAACACTAAAACAAAGTTAAACGTTTTGAAGGTTCACTTAAACTAAGGCACACAGACACAGGGCAGAGTGGCATCGCTTGACAGCGGTCACCTCATGGGTGTGAACCAACTTGTCAACATCCATATAAATATGCAAGTAGCACTCACCACCTCAGAGAAGCGCCCTGAGACCCCCGGGTATAGGGCAGTATATAAATTCTAATAATAATAATAATAATAATAATAATAATATATGTACTCTCACACAAAATACAGCAATTTGTTTACCGGGCACTTAATTTGTAAACAGAAGAGGCAAAGATGCCAGGGATCTGGAAACATTACCCTCCACGTCCCCCTCCCAAAACTTAGAATCCTGGGGTTTAAAGTGAATGCGCTCTGCACAAGCTCAGAGACTGCCTCCCCCTCTGTTCTTGCTTCACTGTTGAGCCCCTGAGGTTACAAAGAGACTGCAGGGAGGCCCATATGAAGACCCACCCCAACACACCAAGGCTTTAAAAACTTTTTTAAATTTTAAATCTAACCTCAGCTCCCCCCTCCCCTCCCCTCCCCTCAGCCCGGCTTCATACCATGCGGGCAATCTTGAGGCCTCCCCTCACGGAGTGCAGGAAAAGGTAGTTCACTTCCACCATGGTCACATCTGAGCAGAAGCAGAAGCGCCGGGCGGGCGGGCGGGCGGTGCCGGAAAGAGCGCCGGTTGGGCTGTGGCGCGCCCGCGAGTCCCAAGCTACGCTGCCGACGGAAGGCACCACCTGCGGTTGCTGGGCTGAGCCGCTGGCTTAGTTCCTCTCGCTCCGCCTGACCCACCTCGCAGGGGTGTTGCGGCGAGGATCAAAAATGGAGGCAGGGGGACCAGGGAGAGAGGGGATCCATGTATCGGGAATAATGCTACGTCACAGGGCGTGTGGGCATTTACAAGCATGGTGTTTTATAAATAAATAAATAAATAAATAAGGCGCAATGGTATCTTCTTATTTCAATGCCCTGTTGCTATCTTTTCATTCAGCAGCCTAACAGCCCAATTTCAATTCAGTTTCAATTCTTATTTATTCTGTTTATATACCGCCCTTCACCCGAAAATCACAGGGCGGTTGACAACATGAAATGTTTAATACGGCCAGGTTGACGGGCTAAAAACAACCACTGGACATATATATAAAGGGTGAAAGCCTCAAACAAGGAAGTTTTCCCTGTATGGTGGAAGGACTCCGTTAATCACCAAAACCATATGGATTAGATCGACTAACAAAACACACTAACCTTTCGAAAGCAAAATCGCTCAGCTCCCGCCCTTTCCGGCTCATCTGATGTCTGAATCAAAGGATGGGGTTTTGGCGGAAGCCAAAAGGTTTTGCTTTAAAACTTGGACACACAAAACCATTCATGTTCAATACCTGGAGATATCTTAGAAGAGGAACATCAGGGTTTATTTTGCCACAAAACTGGTATAACAAAGCTTTTTTGCTAGGTTAATAATCCCAAATAAAAAGCACACCTGACCAAAAGCATCTTCGAGTCCCTTTCCTGATATCTGCGTACACGTGTGTGGTTGCGTACATTTAAAGCACATGGTTTCCCCACCAAAGAATCCTGGGAATTTTAGTCGTCCCTCCCCCCGAACTACAATTCTCAGCACCCTTCACAAACGACAGTTGCCGCGATTCTTGGGGGGGGGGGGGAGCCACGTCCTTTAAATGTACGAAGAAAACTTTTCACGCTCGGGGCTGGTAATGTTTGAAGTGGTGCTTGTATGTTCAGAGTATCCATTCAATCAGTGTTATAAATGCATAGGTTTACGTTGCATTCCACATTCAACCGCGTAAGTCCACAACATATGGGTACAAATTCCAGCGTGCAGAGGGGAACCTCTTGTTCACTCTGCGCCCGAAGTGACAGCAACAGTCTACACGATGGGGCGGCTTACTCGCAAGGAGGCGTACATAGGTTTGCAGCCCCAGTAAATGCAGACAGATGCATTCGGACGACAGAAGAAGGGAGACGCATCATAGTTTGAAAGGTCATATGGTGTCAAATGGAACACCTCCTCCCCGACGCGAACAGCTTAGATCGCCATGGTCAACAAACCCTGCTGCGCCTTTAAAATTCCCGCTTTGCAAACGCTTCGCTTGCCTCTGGGAGCAGGCGGAGGCGTCACGATCTTGCACAGGAAGTAGTCGGTCTGCAGTGGCGAGAGGGGCGGAAGGAAGCGGGCGCTGCATCGCTTGGCTTTGCACAGCTAGCACCATCCTGCGAGAGCTGCCTCCGGACATGGGCGATGTGGTTGTTGCAATCGCTCTGCCGCCCGCCCCTTCTAGGTTCCCGGTGCGCGCGAGGGATTCGGCTCGCCTGCGACTTCTGTACCTGGAAGGGCAGGCCCGCAAAGCCTGAGCCGCTTCTGCAAAGAGATCCGCGCTCCCGCTGCATGACTGGATCTTCTCAAGACGCTTCCTGTAGGTCTGCTCCTAGTTTAGTCCCCTGCATGTCTAATCAATATTCTTTTTTAAAAAAACCCCCAAAACAAATAAAATCCGGAGACGCTGTTCTTTTTCCATCAGAAACATTCCTTTGCTGGTTTGGAAGATGCAAAACAGTGTCTGTAGTTCTTGTGCGCTCAAGTACTAAGCACAGTGAGCCTTCCTGTTGAGTGGACACTTTTAGGGTCGTGCTGTTAATGTTGTTTTAGCACGTGAATTTGAATTAATGCCTAGACTATTGTAGATACATGCCACAACCTGTATGTAAGTTTAGCTGGGAAGAAGCTCTGTTGAATTCAAATGAGTTTTATTTCTGATTCTGCAGTAATGTGTAATGGTTACCTTCGGTTCCGCTTCTTCGAATACTTGCAGTTTCTCCCTCCGCTCCAACAACCCCCCTCTAAAATGTGTGTTATGTGTGAAGTATGATATCACACAGACTCAAAATGAGTCAAGGGACCTTGGTTGTGCATAAACACACTCCTTAGAGGATTTATTTACAATTAAACAGGATACAAATTCTGTTAGCGAGAGAGAGATAGAAGTTAGTGATATTTCTCATCTTCCCTTTGTACAGATAAAAACATACAGTGGTTATACCATTTTACTTTCTATTCTGGCTTTGCACATAAATGATGGTGACTTGAAAAAAATGAGGAAGCTTCCTTATAAACTCGGGTCATGTTGCACAAATGTAATAACTAAAATCCTTCAGTGAAAAAAAGAAAATTAATATACACAGATATAGGTGTCTGCTGAATGGATAATTATTCTTATTCACAAGTTGTATGTGCAACAAAATATAGCATCATGAGATGCTTCTGAAAAAGTATTTGAAGAACTCTATTTAATACTGCCCTGTAATAGATTTCTGCAGGAAAGTATTTACTACCCATTTCCCCCCATGGAAGTTCATGTAGGGTGGAATGGGGAAAAGTGAGTAGACATCATTAGGAGATTGGCATACGTCTTTGGAAGCAGTTTTCCAAAATATCTGCCTTCTCAGGAAACAGGCAGAGGGGAGATATGTAGTTATGCTTGATTCCAATTTATCTGTTGGACTATTTACACACACACACACACACACAGAGAGAGAGAGAGAGAGAGAGAGAGAGAAAGTATCACAGTATTTTAAGGCACATGTCAGTAATAGGGGATGGAGCCCACTAAGCCATTTATCAGCAGGTAAATTTATCTCTCACATCTAGGCCTTCTGCTGTAGGGTTCTGGAGTGGAGTGCTGCTGGAGGTCTCCCTCATTCCTTGGCTGTAAACCTGCTCTGGAAGTTGCTCTTGTGAAGACCAGCTCTTCTTCACAGTCCTCTATGGCATCTGCTCTTAAGCAGATTACTCAAGCTAATTTTGTCCCTTTAAGATTGACACAGGAGGATTGCACAGAACAGTACGGCTTTTGTGAATATACTGGCTCTGACATGTGTGAGAAGGTCCAAAAGTTGTTGCTATGCCAGCACTTGACTTTCCCCAACCAGGAACTGCAGTGTTCTGACTGTGCTGAAACTTTTTTTCTGGTGGACTTTCAGAAATGTCAACCTATTTTCACACTTAGGAATGTGGGTTTAGCTATAGTTCCTGGGGATCATGGTTGAGCTTCATGACAAGTGGTGCTTGTTTATGTTTCTGCTGTAATTAGGCCTTCAGTATAGTCCTCTCATGGACCTCTCATCACCAGAGAATGCACATGGAAAATTACTAGGCCTGAATTATTGCCCCTGCCCCCTGCTATCTCCCTGTAAATGGAAAGTTAAACAGTGGAGATTCAACTCTGACAAAGGACTGTACTGTGTGTGTTAGGAAGAGCTCTGCTAAATCACCCCCAAAGGCCTGTCTTCCTAGTCAAGAATCCTGTTCCTCAAAGTGGCCAACCAGATACCTCCTCGAAGCCCACAAACATGGGCAAATAACCCTCTCCCACTGCCATTCAGCAGCAAGTAGTATTTGGAAGTATATACCTTCAGAACATAGAGGTTTTATTTAGCCATCAAGAGTGTTTGCCTCTCTCTATGTGTTTGAATAATCTGTTGTTTAGCAATTTGACTTTGCTTTAGTCTGTGACGTTGATAATGCCTTGTGGTAGTGTTGTTCTTGTATGATGTGAGTCTTTGTCTTCTTGTTAGCAGTATACATAGTGTTGCCTCTACCACATCCTTCCTGTGCTGCAAGCTGTCTCTCTCAACATCTGATATGTGGAGGGCCTTGCACTGTGCAGCTGAATGTGTTGCACCTGTGCTCCTTTCAAAAGTATGACTTGCATATCTGCTTTTCTCCTTGCAGAAAAGACCTAAGTTGAAAGACCTAAGTCCTTACATGTGATGTTTTCTGACCAGTGAGACATACTGGCTGTCCACTACTTCTAGCATGGCAATACATACCATAAGCTGAATGGACTGTCTCAAGTGGGACCTTCAGCAAAATGTTGCAGTGTGTAATACTTCCGTTGAAGATACTTCATTCCCACCTATTTATTTGTTTCTACTCCCCAATAGTTAGCTTTCTGTGGCTGTTGAGCATACTCAGCCCTCACCTAATTGTTCTGGATGTCCCTTGCCTTTAGGGTGTCCCCCCACCATATTTTGTACACACTACTGCAAACCAAGGCTACTGATCTGCATTGGTTCCATGTGCAGTGGCACTCATGGCTTGAACTTCGGTAAAAGAATGAATGATTTAAATTGTCTTATTTATTACATTTTTTGTCCTGCCTCTTTCATCCAAGTAGCTCAAGGTGTACATGATTCTTTTTTGCATTTTATTCTTACAACCCTGTGGGGTTAAGCTGAGAGAGATGCACCTCATCTACACTAAACATTTAAAGCACTATGATGCTATTTTAAACAGTAATGGCTTCCCCCAAAGAATTCTGGGAACTGTAGATTGTTAAGTGTGCTGAAATTTGTTGGGAGATCCCTATTTCCCCTCACAGAGCTACAATTCAGAGTGGTGTATCATTCCCTCTTCCGAGGGAACTCAAGTAATTTTAGCTCTCTGACCAGAATAGGGGGTCTCATGGCAACTCCCAGCAACCTTAAGAAGCCACAGTTCCTATGATTCTTTGGGGGAAGCCATACTGTTAAAAGTGGTATGATAGTGCTTTAAATATATGTATGTGGCCTTATTGTCAAGGTTAATGTTCTAACTAGTGGTTTGTTTATATTTTAGATAAACACATGGAAAATGGAGGATGGAAGAAGACAGTTGTAAGTATAAGGCTTCCCACTCCCCCCAATAAAGGCAATGTTATTGATATTTGAGATAGTTATAAAATGCGTAGAAAGACACACTTTGAATGCAGAAGTATGAGCTTAGCTTTTAATACCTTCAGTCATAAGGGATGGAAATAATTGTACGTTGTTGTTGTTGATTAATTCTTATTAAATATTTGAACTGGACAAATACTATGAAGGCATTTCGCCAAAAGGAACTTCTGAAATAGATGCTGGCAGCTGCCCGGATCTTTATAGCACAACAGTGGAAATCGTTTAAAAAGATCTGACTATATCCTTATGGTATAAAAATCTCTGGAATTTAGTTATTGCAGGAAAAAAAATAACACATAAGTTATACTCTCTAGGGGAAAGAAAGATCCTGATCATTTCTACTCCGTATGGTGGGGTTTTATTTCAGATAGTTTAGTTTCAGATTTACAGGTACCTCTCCTCAGGTGTGCCTAGAGAAATACGTATGTTGTCATTTTAAGTAGGGTGTTATTATTTAACATAGGTTTTGTATGCTGTGCCTTTAGTTGGATATATTACTGAGTTTTTGTTATCGTTTTTCTCCTTGTTTCTATAATAAATTGAAAACTAATAAAGTTTTCTTTTAAAAAAACCAAATCTCTTCCTCTGAAGCATCTCAGAAGTGATTCCACAATACAATAAAAACATATAAAAACAATTGCAGCTATACAAACTCTTAAAACCATGGCATGCATAAAACCAGTTTCAGATCAATACAGATAACTGGTTGGGATAAAAATCTCCACATAGGAGACCTGTTAGAAAATTTGTTGCAAGTCTTCAACAGGTGCTGAAAAGACAGTAGAGACAGCAGCTGTCTGATACGTAACAGGAGTGTTTTGAAAAGGTTTAAGTGCTCCACATGTATGAACGCACACTAAAAATCAAGTATAAAGTGAGATAGTATAGTTATCTCCATTTTACAGCTGGGGTGACAGAGGTGGTGAGAGAGCGTGGCTTGTGTTAGGTGCTCAGTAGAATTCCCAGTGCAGGCTCTGAGCTAGGACTCAGACCCTACCTATTGACTGCAGCCCTTCCTATATTATATTTGATACATTTTGGAAGAACATACAAAATACTCAACTATCCTTTTACCACAGACTTCAGTGTAAAAAAAATCCTTGTGAAACAGTACTATACATCTGCAAAAGATTGCCGGATTGCGAGCCTGATGTGGGAGAGCAAAATTGCTGATTTTCACTGCTCTAGTTTGAGATGGTTGGATAGTGTCTTCTGACCAAACTGCGGGAGGCAGTGGAAGACAGAAGTGCCTGGCGTGCTCTGGTCCATGGGGTCACGAAGAGTCGGGCACGACTAAACGACTAAACAACAACAACAAAGTTCCAGGCTGGCACAGCAGAATGGCCTGGGATTTGGTCCATTGCTGGTGGCTGAATTGGCTTAGGATGCAGTGGCTCCTTGGTCTGCTCAGGTCTTGCCTCTCTCTCTGTCTCTGAAACACCCCATTTCATGGAGCCATGCCGGTTACTGACAGCAAAGTTTCTGCTGATGGTAGCTTCTCCCCTATCCACAATATCATTGGGTGCAGAGAAATCTCTTCCACATCCTAAGCCCCACTCCAGTGCAGTGGATCAGGGATTAAGATTGCTCTCCCTGCTCATCATGGCTTTCAGAAAACCAAACAGTGCATTTTCCGTTTGCAACATGTGCAACTGTAAAACACTTGTGAAACATACATTCAGAAGAGGAGAGAAGTTAAAGCAAAAACACAGAAGTGACTTGTTAGTCTTTTTTAACTCGTAAAAAGGTAACTTATGGATGCCAAGATACGTACAGAAAAGTGTAGAATTCGCAGAGGTGAGAAGTTTACTTTTGCACCATTATTCACATTCTCCTTAGGGGAGGAATTCATTTCTCAGCTTTTCCTCCACTAAAGTTTTGAGCAGCACTTCTGTTTGCAAGTCTTTTGTTCGCTGACATTTAATATTGTGTATTGTTTCCCCCCACCTGTCCTACTAGATCTGCATCGAGGGGAATATTGCAAGCGGGAAGACAACATGCCTGGATTATTTTGCCAAAAATACCAGCGTTGAGGTGATGTGTTTTGAGATTTCACACAAGTTTTCTGATGATGTTTGATCTTAGGTCACATCTGCACCATGCATTTGAAGAACATCAAAAGCAGATGGCTTGCTTCAAAGAATCCTGGGAATTGTGGTTTAAAAGTGCTGGGAATTGTTGCTCTGTGAGAGGTAAACTACAATCCCCAGGATTCTTTAGGGGCAAACATTGTACTTTAAATGTATGGTGTGTATGACCCAAGTCAGGCTCTAATCCAAAATACGTTTAATGAAGAAGGAAGCCCTGATAAGTTTCTTTGAGTTAAGCACGCTTAGGATATGGTTTCAGATTTATCCCTTAAATTTCTTTGCATTCATTCATTCATTCATTCATAAATAAATAAATAAAATGTTGGTGAATTCCAGTAGATGGGAACTGGTTTTCCTGGAAAACTACACAGAGCAGGGACTAAAATTGCCTCTAGGCTAGCAAGCGAAATAGGGAGCTCAGTTGTCACCTAATGCAGGAGTACATTACATTCCACCCCCCCCACCACCCATAATCTGCTGCAAATGGAGTGCAAACACAGGATCTCTTATCACATCTAAATTAAGCTTTAATTGTTAAGTGATCCTGAGTATCTTGAAGAAGCAGCCCTTAAGTGGCTATGTTTAGCTTAGAGAAGAGAAGACTGAAGCTGGGACATGACAGCACTCTTCAGATTTTTTGTTTATTTGAACCATTTATATGCTTCTTCTACAATAGCATCCAAGCACATTACAAGATACGATACAAAAAAATACAATCCATTAAAACCATAAAGTCAAACATTAATTACAATGCCTGCTGGAATAAAAATGTCTTCTGTAGGTGCCAGAGGTTCACCAGGGGAGGGGCCTGTCTGACCTCAACCAGAAGGGAGTTCCACCAGAACTAACTGCATGGCTCCTGGTGCTTCCAAGCCACGCATCTAGCCATGGGGGGAACACCAACAGTGACTCACCCCAATCTCCAGAAAGTACAGCCCCTGGAAGGGCTGCTGCATTAAAGAGGGAAGAGACTGTCTGAAATGAGAGGATATAATGAGCGTAGATTACAGGAGGTTAGGTTTTTGATTGAAGCTTTGTGATGGTAACAGCGGTTTGAGAATGGAACCAGTTACCCAGCAGAGGGTTCACTTCAGGCTGAATAGCCCCTGGATTTCCAGCATCAAGCAAGCAGTTGGATTAAATAGCCTACAAGGACCTTGTCAACTTTGTGATTGAATTAGGAATTTGGGGAAAGGCTGTAGCTCAGTGATAGAGCGCCTGTCACTCAAAGCATGCGGTCAAGCACAACCCCTGCGAAAAATGCTCCCATTATTAAAGCAAGTCACCCAAACTAGCTAAAACTGAAGGCAGCATCAGAAAAGAAAGAGCCAGAGCTAATAACAAATTAAGCAAAACCAAAAATGTTTTATCCTTCATTTTAATTTTTATAAATTTCACACTCAGGTGTTGACTGAACCAGTATCTAAATGGAGGAATGTTCGTGGTCATAACCCTCTGGTAAGCTATCTAATAGCAATAATAATACCAAAATAATGAGTTACTGTTGTTTCGTAGGCATGGTTTTGTTGTTTGAACATTATGTGGGTTATGGTGGTGATTTGAAACAAAAATAAACTTCAGCTGTGATCCTGCTGTCATAATGCTGCTGCCTCAGTTGCTTGGTTTAGGAATGAAAATTGTTGAATAGATAACGTCCCATGTCCTGCCTTAATTGTTGCGCCCACTAAATGACTGTGCCATTGCTTCATCTCCTGGAGCTGCTAGTAAATATAATCCATTTGACAAGGAGATAATAAAAGGTATTATGGAGTATGATATGCCATATGTGCCTAAGGTTGCCCTACTTGGTTATCTGAAAAAAATCTGATTTTGAATTCATAGGGAAGGGCTGTAGCCCAGGAGCAGAGGATCTGCTTTGCATGCACAAAGTCCCAGGTTCAATCCTGAGAATCTCCAGAAAGGACTTGTCTGAAAATCCTGAAGGGCCAATAGCAGCTGACAATACTGAACTTGATGGACCAGTGGTCTTGCTCTGTATACAGCAGCTTCCTATGTTCCTATGACTTGGAGCTCATTATAATCAGACATTCCACAGCAGCTCATTGGGAATCTTTAAGAGCTCCTCCCGTATAGCATTGTTATGGACCAAGATGGTTGCTTATTCTGTCCTGCCTTCTGAGCTCCTTTGGGAGGGAGGCCTGGAATATAAATTTAATGAATAAATAATAAACCAAGAACTCTTTTATTTTACGAGCAAAGGAATCACAAGAAATAGATCTATCTAGAAATGGAGTTTACTTGTAAATCACTGAAATAATAATTTCCAAGGTAATATTTATATATATATATATATCTCCAAGCTTTATTTTCTGTCATACGGCTTCACTTTATTTTGTGATAATGCCGCCAGACATTATTCTAACAACTATGAAAATGCAATGAAAATAGTGAGGAAAGCAATGCTGCTTCTCCTTCTTTCAGGGCTTAATGTACCAAGACGCATCCCGCTGGGGGATAACATTACAGACTTACGTGCAGCTGACTATGTTGGACCAGCATATAAAGCCAATGGTGGGTTTTGAACTACATTTGTTTCTTTTAACACTAGACCAGGAGGGGGAAACCTTTGGGCTCTGGGGCTGAATGCACATCTCAAGACCTCTTGCTGGTCCTGCTCTGTGCCTTCCTCAAGAGCTTTTGCCTGGCTGGAATGTGTCCTTGAATTGGTTGAAATGGTTCTTGCTTGGCTGGATGGAATGACGCGTAGGAGTGTAAAAACACCTGGTTTTTGCCTGGCTGGAATGCAGCCTACTGTGCAAAGGTCAGAAATTGGTCAGCAAGGCCAGAAATCCAAACAAACATATTGTTCTAAATCCCCATTTTTGGGAGGCCTGGTTGCTCTCCTTTGGAAAGGCATTCCGTAAGGTGGGTGCCACCAATAAAAAGGCCCTGCTCCTGGTTGCGGCATTTGGAACAAGATCTCATATGATATCATGCAGGAAGAAATACATGGAAGAAGGAGGTCCTTAAAAGTTCCTAGGTGCCAAGTCAGTTAAAACCAGCACCCTCAACAGAGTTCTTATGTTGCTCTGTAGAACGAGATGCACACCAGACTGCCTGTGGTCTAAGAGGCCCACTATGACCACAGATTGGTGGGCATGAGGGATGGTGCCCTCTCAGTAGCAGCTCCTTAACTATGGAACTTCCTTAAAGCCCTTGCCTTTAAGCCCTTAAATGGACACAGACTATTCATTTGCTTCAGGTAGGTTTTTTTTGGGGGGGGGATAATAAGTTGCTGTGGTCCTATAGGTTTCTTTTACTGTAAAAAAAAAAGTATTGGCTGGTTTTAAATAGCCATAGTGTGCTTCTTGATCTGTTCCTGATATAGCTGTTTTTCATGAATCTATGACATTTCCCGCCCCCCCCAATAGTATTGTATTCTGCCTTTCGTAATCCATTTCCTGTTACAGTTTCTGTATCAGTACTGTGTGGATGCCCTCCCTTGCGACAGGGGTAAGGAAATGGCTAAATGTCTCTTGAAATCCCTCAATTTGCAGATTTCACCCATTAGAATGATGGAGAGGTCAATCCACAGCGCCAAATATATTTTTGTAGAAAACCTTTACCGAAGGTACAGTACCGAGTGTTTTTTTTAAATTCTTGGCTTGTGTTTACATTTTGAAATGTTAGAACCATGCTTTTAGCTTATTGTCTTGCATTGGGTATCTGAAATTTTGCTGTATTGTGTTAACTACCTCAATCCAGCATAGTGTGTTTTTTATTTGCTGATGCAAATGCCAAGTAAAGGTTAAGGTGGAAACCTGCTCCTTTTTATGTTCTTGAGATTCAAGATTGTCATGTACAAAATAGATTCTGAATATTTCTGATGATCAGGCATGATTGCTGTGGCTTTATGTAGCCAAAATGATACCACCCACCCACATGGAGAAGCTATGGCAGCCTCAGGGAAATGGCAAGGTTTGCAGAGGTTCATACAAAACTTTTAACAGAAAAATCCTTTAGGGCAGAACTCCTCCCCCCCCTTTAAAAATACCCCCAGCCCAATGAGAACTGAATAGTTTCAGTGGATACTGAATGACTATTGGGGGTGGGTTGGGGTGTTCATCAGAAAACGGGATGGGTGGAATTAGTAAAATGGAGGAAGGCATGATTGGCTAGAAGCCTTAGAATGGAAGCACTCCACGCTGCAGCATTTTGTTGCAGGTCTCACTAGTGTATTCTGAATAAGGATACCTGATGCAAGAACATGTGTTTCTCAGTTGGAGCCTGCCACCCACAGTGGCTACAATTGACGTGCAAATTTTTGTCAGTTCCTTGTGCCAAAATGTGCATGCTAGCTGCTATTGCTGCTGCCATGCTGTCATGTGACTCTGTGCTGAACAAGAATTTATATTCCTGCTTGAAAAGACCCCAGAATTAATGCATTTCTTTGGAAGGGGTAAAGGCACCTGCCTGTTAATCCACAAGGTGGCATCTGTGCTACATAGTCTCTTTGCTGATTTTCTGAAATGTGCTGGTTTTATTATGCAAAAATAAATCGGAAAAGTTCAGTGTTTGTCCATGGTCTGTTGCGGGGTGGGGGTGGGCGAATAACACTTGCTATTTCGTTTGCATGTTAAAACATTCATTTGCATTGCTTTTTATATATTGGGCAGAACATGCAAGCCTGCTGACAGTCTTGTGTGAGCTTAGAGTCTGCAGATATTATTACTGTTTTCAAAATTGCCTTAAGAGAGTTGGCAGGGCCGGCTCTACCATTAGGCAAAGCAAGGCAGCTGCCTCAGGCAGCAGATGCCAAGGGGCAGGCAACAACCGTAAGATGTCCGAGAACAATGTTGTGAAAGCCTCACAGGCTTTGTTATACCTCATGAACTAGCCTACTGCCCTTGGGTGCAGTGCATGTGCTCTCCTATCATTAGAAAGATTTAACTACCTGTCCCTTTGGCTTGTGTACATTGATTTTTAAGGGGATGGGGAGAGAGTTGTGCTATCTTGTCTGCCTCAGGCAGCAAAATGGTCTTGAACTGAGGAATGGCCTGTTTAGCGTTCGTGTGTTTAACTTCAGGAAAGAAGTAATGGATTTATTGGATTCAGTGCATCAGGCTGCAATGCAGAAAACCTAATGTGTTTTAATCTTCCTTTATGCTTGATTCAGAAGCTGCAGGTGATGCAGAATGCTGCAGTACAATAGCTGACAGGAGTGAGACCCTGTCAGTGCCTGTGCTCAGAGACCTGCACTGGTGGCTAGTTAGGGCTAGCCTGCTAGACTGCTAGCAGGGCAAGGTCAAGCCCTAACACCTTGGGACCAACTTACCTGAGAGATTGCTTTACCCCATATATGTCAACTGGGATTGCTTTGATCTATGGAACTGGCTGTGTTGCAGGTGCCACAGAATGCTTGTTCTGCATTTGTAAGAACTTGACCTTTTCATGTGGCAGAACCCTCCCTTTGGAACTCCCTGCCTATTGATGTCAGATTTGGCACCAGCTAAAAACATTTTTGTTTAGACAAGGCTACCTAGATATGTAGAATATTAATGTGTTTTAATCTGTGTTTAGCTTATCACTCATTTTAATCATTAATGTTTGGAATAGCTGTTTTTACTGATAATTTTATTGTTTTACTCTTTTCGTAAACCTCTTTGTTTGTCTGGTGTTTTTTTTTAAAAAAACTATTGAGTGATAAATAAGTTTTATGAAATAAACAGTGAAAATCAGCATTTCAGCCAAAGAATATTTAAGGCTTTTGAAAGGGATAGAGGATGACTTAAAGATGAAGAGGATAAAAACCCTAAAATTACTCCACACCACCTCCATTTGTGGATTTTGAAACACAAATTGTGTATAGTTGCAGATAATATTGTTTTCAGACCTGTTTGAAATCAATCCAGTGAATGTGTTTGATACACCAGTCAGCTTGTATAGAAATATTTTGGCTCGTTTGTGATTTGGTTAGAAGTCATTGCTGGTTTACAGTGAGGGTTTCCAAGGAGACAGATGCAAATTGTGTGTGTGTGCGTGTGTGTGTTGCCTCAGGATGGCACCATCTGTTGTATAACAGTGAAAGCTCTCTTTAAAAATATTTTTTATTTAAGTTGCACAGCTCTGTACATTTCCCGAGATATAACCATATTATGTGTCTCTTCTTTACAGTGGGAGAATGCCGGAGGTGGATTACGTGGTATTGACAGAATGGTTTGAGTGGATCATAAAGAACATGGATGTTTCAGTTGATCTGATAGGTAAAGTGCTTATGCTTTGGAAGCCGCCGCCCCCCATCGCTTTCTTTGCCTCCAGGTTACTAGTTGAGCTGGCCAGATGTGGTAGCATTTTAGGCTTACCTTCTGCCATCAACTATCCTGTGGGAAGGATTCTTGGAGAGAGAAGGGCAGAGGTAAAGGCCACCTCTAAGCCTCCTGTACCTGAACTTTCCTCTCATCCCACCAGGATCACTGTGAAGCGGGAGGGGTGGGGGGAGAAGACATTAGGGCCTGATCCAGGTGAACTCTCCCTTCCCTCCTCCGCTGCCCTGTGAGAAGCATTCTGACATTTTACGTATTGATCTTATTCTGTTTGTGTTTGATAAAAATATAGTTTAATGCTACTTGTAAACTGTATTCTTGACGTTCTCTAGATTTGTAAAACACTGAAAAGCCTATTTAGACATTAAGTGATATTAAGTTAATAAATAATAATACAAGTGACTCTCAGCTTGTGCGGGGATTATGTTCCAGGGGATAGTGCAGAGAGCCAAAATCCCGTTTAGTCAAAATACATTGGGTTCAAAGTCAGATGCGATTGCCAAAGTCTTTTTTTTCTTGGATGCCTGCCCCATTTGTAAAAAAATAAATAAATTGCCAAATGCGTAAAGCTGAATGTGCACAAGTTAAACGTGTGTAAACTGTGAGATACCTGTACTAGATTTGTAAATGAGATACCCGATAGGCTGGGTGTAGGTTTTTTCCTGAACTCTAAGCCAGAAACGTAACTCATCTCCGAGCCTTCAAGAGCAGGACGGACAATTCAAAACCCCTTTCTTTTTCTTTTAAATGATAGTTTATCTACAGACCTCTCCTGAGACATGTTATGAGAGACTGAAGAGAAGATGCAGGGAAGAGGAAAAGGTTATTCCTATGGTAAGGAGGGAGTCTTCCAGCATTTTGGAATGAACTCACCCAAAGGGCCTTTAAAGGCTAACCACACCAGAACTTGGCAGGGTGGAAGAAGAATGGAAAGAAAATGAAGCCTTAGTGCAAGGTGTGCGTTCTCTGTGCCGGAGGTATCAGTCTGGAAGTTTTTTCCAAGTCTATTGCTCCTGTGATCTTGACAAGATTCCATAACGCCCCCTCCCTCAACTTAGGAGTTAGGCTTGGATAAAATGAGAGGCTTTCCTCAAGCCAGATTGCTGCATGGGAGAGATCTGTGGGGATGGATGTAATGTGCCTCTGTAGAAAGGGAATTCCACAACTTAGGGGCTGCTCTAGAGAATGTCCTTTATTGTCTCCTCCCACACAAGCTGCTGAGTGTGGAGGAACAATCAAGATGGCTGCCTCTGCTGACTAGCACCCAAGAGTGTCTGTGGTGAAGGAGGTGGTCTTTCAGATATTTGAGGCCTGAGTCGTTGAGGGCTTTGAACACCAATGCGAGCACCTTGAATTGGGCCTGGAAACAGTGCAGCTGTTTTAAAGCTGAGCTTATATGTAAACTAAAAGGAACCCCGGCCTGTTATCTGGCTGCTGCATTTTGGACCAGTTGACATTTCCGAGTCGTCTTGAAGGGGATCCCCACATAGAATGCTTTGCAACAAACTAGTCTCGATGTTACCAGAGCATGGAGTACAGTGGCCAGCTTTGAGTGTGCAGGGGAGGGGGAGGGGGGTTCCCCCACTTGCTTTGATGGGGAATGGATGAAGAGAGGAACACCCATTGCTGGCATGCAGCTCCTAGGAGTCTAAACAGGCTGAAAAAGATTCCCCACCTGTGTCCTAGAGTTTTGTGTCTACTGCATGAGTGGGGGAATTTTTTCCCTTTCATGGGACACCTTCCAGAGGCTGCATACGGATGTTGGGTGTGGCCAGACAAACACCACTCGTCGGCCTCCATCCAAGAGGATTATCGTACCTCCAGGGACATTCCAGCCTAGAAGGGAGGGCACAGAACAGGGCTAGTGAGGAGGATGGCCTTGGCCAAATAAAGGGCTGGATAAAAAGGCCCGGAGGGCCGCATTTGGTTCCCCGACCTGAGGTTCCTCATATATTGTAAAGAAAACAAAATATTTTCTCCTTTTTCGGACAGGAATATTTAGCAGCTATTCACCAGCTCTATGAAGAGTGGCTCATTAAACAAACAATGTTCAAAGTTCCTTCGCCGGTTCTTGTAAGTATATATTAATGTTGAGTTTTTAAGCCAACCCCTTCCTTTTTGGGGGTTTAATGCCAGCACACACACCTTGCCCAGCCCAGCCCAGCTGACCTTCCAGGGCTTTTCAAGCTTTTGACTGACTCTCCAGGAAGCTGGAGAAAATTTCATTTGATGTCTGCAGTGAGCAGTGATGTCTGCACTTCCTTAAGTCTTTAAAGCCACCCTAAATGTTAGCATCAATACAATGTTTAATGACATCACCCACAGCTTCTGAATGACACACTTCAAATGTTTGGTTTCTTTTCGAAGGTGCTTCAGGCTGACCACGACCTACAGGATATGATGGAAAAATACGAAGAGAATCAGGACCGAATATTAACCCTTTGCACCAGGCAGCATTGTGTATAGAAACAGGTTTCCCTTAATGTACAGTTCTTGCTTGTAGAAACCAGTTCTAAGGAGGAGACCTGAGGAAAAAATGTTATATGCACACCTCATTACATCCTTTCTCTGAATAATAATTATGAGCTTTTTTTTTTGTAGGATGCAATATTGTACACTCCTTGTAATTTGTAAAGTACCTTTTATGTTGAACAAGAACTTAGGGAAAAACAGTTTTTGTTATAAATTTCCATCTTCACCAGTAGTTATACACTGACAACTTCTATTATTCCAAAATGTTGCTGCTATTATAAAGCTATGTCAAAGACTGCTTTCTAAGAAGGCCTCTCTGAAATGTGCATGTATATTCAAATCTTATTCTTTCTTAAAGGATTTTTTTTTGTGAGTTGGGAAGAAAAATCAAGAACTGGGTGGACTTTCACACTTCTTTCCAGTTCCACTATGGACTGTTGCGATGTCTAGATTAGCTCCAACTGTAAGAACCTTGCAAAACCTATCACGTCTCCACTTGGATATATATGTACAATGTACTCCCCATTTGATGATATTTCAAGGAGTAGGAAGCTGTGGGGTCACTGCTGGGTTTTTTCTCCCCTTGCCTTTTAAAGGGTTGAGAGAGGCAGTTGCCATCATGCTTTGGTGCTTTTTTCTAGCTAGCACTTGGTTGTCAGAGAGGAAAGGAGGAGGGAAGGGCAAGAACTTGTCAACTGCGCCTTGACTGAGATGACGCAATGGCCGGCAAATGGCACCTGCGCTTCCGGTGGAGTTTTGTCGACATTGCCAATCTAGTTTGCAGAACCCTGCTGAATTGTGAGCATTGAGTTCTTGAAGGATGTTACATATAAATATGTCTGAGTACACCGGGCTGGATCCACACTTAAGGTTCTGTTGATATCAGTGTGCAAAGCTAGTCATGACTCACTTAAGTCCCATTGATTTCAATGGGATTTAAGTGCAACTCATCTGCAGCATCATCCTAGACAGATCGATTTAGATGTCATTCCTATTACTGCTGGACAAGTGTGTATAGGATGGCTGCTTTGGTCTAGATCCAGCCCTGAAGATTTTAAACTTATCTAGACACGTATCTAGGGCACCATTGTGAGCCGGGCTCCACAGGTGTACTGCTTTAAGCTCTTTTGTAAAGATTAGTCACAATGTGTGTTTTAACATGATGACAATAAATGCAGTTACTGTTTTATTTATATCCTGCCTCCCCCCCCCCCCAAACTGGGACTCAGGGCAGGTCAATCGAAACAAACATGGATAAAACAGAATGTTAAAAAACATATAAAATAGTTGAAAAGTAGAATTAAAATAATATGAAAATACATCTAGTAAAAAAAACAGCACTGCACTATTAAAAGCCCTTTTCTTCAAAAAATAGCCAGTTCCTCAAAGCCTACCGGAATAAAGCTCTTCACCTGCTGGTGGAAGGACAACAAGGAGGGAGCCTATCTCTACTCTCTAGGAAAGGAGTTCCAAAATATGGGAGCAGTCACCGAGAAGGCCCTCTTACGCATCCTCGCCAAATGTGCCAGTTCGGGTGGTGGGACTGTGAGAGTAGGGCCTCCCCTCAGAGATCTCATGAGAGAGAATGCAGCCCTTCAGATAGCCTGGGCCTAAACTGCATACTGTGTGCAGATCTCCTATAGTGGTACCTCGGGTTACAAACACTTTGGGTTACAGACTCCGCTAACCTGGAAGTAGTACCTCGGATTAAGAACTTTACCTCAGGATGACAAGAGAAATTGTGCGCTGGCAGCGTGGCGGCCGCAGGAGGCCCCATTAGCTAAAGAGGTACCTCAGGTTAAGAACGGTTTCAGGTTAAGAACGGACCTCCGGAATGAATTAAGCTCATAACCAGAGGTACCACTGTACAGATTCTGTCCTTCATTGGCATCCTAAGCCTAGTTGAAATAAGTGTGAGTGCGGGTGCAACTTTAAATACTTCCAGTACAGAATATATCCCACTCGGGACACACACTCCCATAGCATTGGAACAAGAGTATAAGTTGCTTGGTTTTGTTTTTTTTAAATGTTTTTTGTCCAGATGGCTACATAATCTGTGTAAACCTTTTCAAGAGTGTTTATGGAAAGTAACTGTAGGGTTTCGAAAATGCAGTGTCTCAAAAACATTTTAACATTCCTTCTACTACTTCATTAAATTTCTAGTGCTGTTTAAAGACATCTCTTGAATACTTATTTATATTAAACAGAGCAGTTTTAAAGCAGTTTGCTTAATTTATTCTCTTTGGAACACTGATTTCTGAGGTATAACGGATCTTAACTCTCTCTTAGATGAATGGGCTAGTTTTGAAATACTGGTGGAAAAAACCCACAGCAAACCCCTAGAGGACGTGTTCTTGGGATTTGATTCAAATATACTTTTACACTTCTGAGCTGGGATAAGACTGAATAAAAATCCAAATGCCCGTCAGAGGAATTTATAATTAGCTAGTTTAATGGTATTGCCAAATGACCTGATTTATGTCACATTAACCTAGAAACATTGCGGTCATGTTCCAGATTTAAAAACCATAAAAGATGCAACATTTTCCAAACATGTATAATTGTAACCAAAAGAAGACACTGGTCACCAGTCAACTTTCATATGTTACTTGGATTGAAGCGTCATCTGGGATTCGAACCTAAGATCCAGTTCACATGTGCATGTTCATTACCTAGTGACTTAGCAATGAATTGTCACTGATGAAATCCCCAATCTAGCCCCTTATCTGCATTCCCTTTAATTCCAACGTTGGGACTTCGTATGCAATTTGCTTGCTTGCTTTTTGTGTGTGTGTGTGTGTGTGTGTGTTTTACAGTGGTCTTCCATACATATTAGAATGCAGTGCTATGCCAGTCACATTCATTCTGCAATGCTAAGCCCTTCCTGCTAGACAGTAGCATCTTTATTATGGAGACTGACCCCTCGTGAGAAGGACTATAGCTCAGTGGTAGAGCATGGGCTTTGTGTTCCAAAGATCCCAGGTTCAATCCCCAGCATTTCCAGGCAGGCCTTCACAAAGCCCTTCACAAAGCCCTGGAGAGCTGTTGCCTGTCTGTGTAGGCAATACTGAGCTAGTAGACCCAACAGTCAGACACTGTCTAAGGCAGCTTCCTATGTTCCTAGATGGGAGTGCAACTGCTTATGTAGCCATGACTGGCTGTCAAGAGTTTACCTTGACAACGTGTTGGTTGCGAGCTGCCACTTTAATTTCCCACAACATTCCAGTGTAGCACTATATCAGGGTCATTGTGGGAAATGAAAGGAGTACAGCAACTAAATTCAGCTGCTTGGAGCAGTGTGCCAAAAAATTAAAGGGCAGGAGTCTGCAATAAGCCCAGCCAAGGCCTGGGACCCCATCAACTGCACAAACATGCCAGGGGTTAATGCAGCCTCTAGTCCACGGGTGTCACACAAGGCCTGCGGGCCGAATGCGGCCCGCCAGACCTCGTCATGTGGCCCGTGTAGCCGCCGGCGGCCGCCAGCCTTCACCTTTTATTCTCGCTTTTTTTTTTTTGACACAAGAAAGCCGCCTCTTCAGCGCATGCGTGGCAGCCTACACGCCAGAGAACGTCTGCTCTCTAGCGGCGCCGGCCGTTCTACACAGGAAACCTCCACTTTACATGCATTCAGGAAACCTCCACTTGTTTTTATATTGCGCGCATGCCATCCTGTGATGTGACAGATCCAACGGCTGCCTGAACCCTTCTCTCCTGTACTGTAAGTCCTACAGATACAACTGGCCCTTTGAGGGTGACCAAACTGCTGATGCGGCCCCCGATGAATTTGAGTTAGACACCCCTGCTCTAGTCCCTAAAACCTGTATGAGCTTTCGCCCATTTTTCTGTTCTCTGCAACTTTCTGGGATGCATCCCTTTCGCCACTTGGAAAATACAGATAGGATTGCTGGGACTGCTTCTGATCGCCTGGCTCCACAAACCTATAGGTTCCCATTGCCTTCTGTGTTAATGTTTTTGGGTTGTGTGTGTTGCATTTACTTTTGTGAAGATTACAGGGAGAAAATCATTTTCACACTTTTATTCCAAAAAAACCCAACAACTCCCCACCCCTATTGATGCAGAAATAGTTTAGCAGAGAAATACTTTATTCTTCTACAGAGGCCCACCAGTTTGCAAACACTGACAAGCCACCTTTTTTTTTAGTAAGTCTACCCATTTCACTTACACAGTCTGTGTTCTGCTTGAAATTTAAATCCAGCTGTTTGTGCAATAAGTGAGGAGGAGAGGGCTAGGAGTTTATGACTTAGCAGGTACCTATTGATTTTTGTAGGGGTCTTTGTTGGGCACACAAGCACAGAATGGTCTTGAGTAATGTTATTGGGACTAACTAGGAGAAAGGGAGCATAATGGCATTGAAATGGGGTATATATCTCAGTAAGGTTTAGGTGAGTGTTCTTTTTTCCTGCTATAGGACAGTACAGTCCTATGTAAGTGTACACAGATCTTAATTAAGTCAAGTACTTAATAAATAGGCATAGGATTTGGCTGTTTTATTATTGTACCTCAATAGATTCCTTCTGCCCTCCTCTGCTTTCCTCTAAACTCCACTAAAGGCAAATGATGGTTGTGGAATGTCATAGAAGGAAGCTGCTTGGCACGAGGCATTCCACCACTTACACCCTCCGTTCTCAAGAAACCACCTGCTGTTTGGATGCAGAAGGCTTTGTTGGACTAATTTCTTAATCATCTTTGTTTATAATGACATAACCTTCTGGGCTAGTTTCATTCACTGGTACAACACAATGATCGGAGTCTGCAAAAGAGGAGTGACATCCTTCCCCTCTGCACTGAATGTTTGCTGGAGCACCGCCATGATATCCAACCTCAGGGTGGGTGATACAAGTTGAGTCTGGTGGTTCACCCATGTGCCTAAGGTACTCTGCAGCTTCCCCTGATCCCGGAATGCCAACCAGAAGTCTCTCATAACCTGAATCACCTGTGGGACAACTGCACCCAGCGATATCGCGGAAGAGCTCTGATGAGTAGAGGTCAACGGTGAAGCCCTCTCTATCCCCACCAGGTTGGTCTGAAAGTTTCATCCTAGAATGTTGCAGTTCCTGGATGCCTCTCTTGCTGCTTAGGGATTCTGGCCCTGCTGTTTCCTCTACGGGATACACAAGACTCTCTACACCAGCTTCCTTAAGATTAGCCAAGGATGAGTCACAGGTTCCCTCTTTACTTGCATTGTTGCATGCCGGGAATTTATTGTTGTGTAGCGGAGTGTTCCCTTTCAGTTCTTTTGGCTGGTCTGTTGAATCTGATCCATGAATTGCAAGGCAGCTCATGGCATCGCAGATCTGAGATTCAATAGTCTCCCGAGAGGATTCTTGGCTCCTGTAGCTATAAGGGACTTCGCCTTCCAAAGCAACATCATTAAGTATGGCTAAGGCTTGGGGGCCACTGGCACCAGGAGAAAGGAAAGTGAGTGGCCATGGTTTATTTGCTGGTGGGCCCCGTCTTGACCCAGGGAGTCCTGTGTTCTGAGTCTTGTCCTCTGAGGCTTTTGGATGGGGCTCTGCAAAGTGGAGCGGCTTTTGCGCAATGACAATGTCGCTGTATTTAATCAAGAAATCCTCGCTATCGGAGCTTTTGATGCAGGAGTTTGCCAAAGCATTTCCCTGGGCTTGGCTTGCATTTTGCTCACTTGTGAATTTGGAAGCAGCCGGCGGAGTCTCTTCTGCAGTCAATTTGAGAGAAAGTTCATTTCTTTGCCCACCATTTCCAGCTTCTTCAGAGGCCTGCTTGCTGTGGGTCTGCTGAAGATCAAGCATCTCACTCCTTCCTCCAATAATCATGTATTCCTTTCTCTGGCAGGGCCAGTGCTTTCTGTCTAGGTTATCTTCAGGAGAGCAATGGTTTTGGGCTCTTCTCTTCTGTAGGATATCCACCAGATCGCTGTCTCTTACATCCTCTGCAATTTCAAGGAGGTCTTCACACTGAATTCGTGCAAGGAATATTTCAAAGGCAGCTTGTTCCGTTTCCTCCTCACTGAGCTTCTTGGCCAGTGAAAACTCTGTGGTGGTAGTTGCAACGTAGCCAATTTCCTTCAGTAGCTTTTCTACTACGCCTTCTGGGAGAACAGATTGCACATAGTAGACAAAGTTTCCTGTAAAAGTCTGGGGAGGGGGGCGGAGAAGAGTGATGTTAGGAAACAAGATGGATGGGGAAAACCAAGCACTTGGTACTGCTATGGGTTGTTGTAGCCCATACAATGCTCTACAATGTTGGAAGAACCATAGCTCAGTGTTAGCGCCCAAGCTTTGCATGTAGAAAGTTCCAAGTACAATTCTTAGCATCTGAATACTGAAAAATTCAGGACACAAAAGAAAAGTACTTATTCACACCACACAAACTACAGGATCCACTACAGTAGTCAGCTTCCAATGACTACTGGAACTTCAGCCTTTCCTTACTCCTGTTTTTCTTTATGGCATGGCTGGGGAACCCTTGACACCCCCCCCCCCAATGATGTTGTTGGGAGTGGGTATTGTCAGTTCCAGCCAGCATGGCCAATGGTCCACAGATGGTGGGAGCTGTCATCCAGCAACATCTGGAGAGACACAGATTCCCTGTCTCTGCTTCCCCCAGCACTCCAATTCGAAATGTGCCCATTGTTCCGAAAAGGTAGGTGGCCCCTGTTCCAGGCCTTATGGACAAATTAAAAACAAACAAACAAATCACCTGGTTCAGATTGAATCCACTAAAAAGTTCTTAAGAGGACTCAAATGTGAAATTGCCCATCTTTTAACAAAGATGACCTTGTCCCCAAGAACATCTTCCACAGAAGAGGACTGAAAAGTGAGCAATGTATCACCATTAAAATAAGAAGATGCAGTGCTTCTCATGGGGTTACTCAAGGGTATGCAGCACTGGCACCTCTTTTTTTGTTAAATAGTGTGGCACTTACTGTAACAAGTTCATGGTGAGTAGCGGCACCTATTTTTCTAGAAAAACAGCACTGAGAAGAGGGAGATATCCAGGAAATTAGCACACCTGTTATCTTAACACCCCTGTTCTAGGAAAACTGGTGGAAATAGATAATTATCAAGCATGCAGAAGAACAAGTGCTGCTGAAAAAGAACGAGTATGGCTTCCTCAAGGATAAGTCCTGTCTAATGATAATTTTCCAGAGTCTAAAAAAGTTTGTGGATAGGGATTTGCAACATAGGTTCTGCTTATTGTACAAGCAGAATGTTGCTAAGTCGCCAAATATGTTATGCAGGTACAGCACAGCTTAGGAAATACTGTAACAGCATTTCCCAAGAAAGGCAGAGAAACCCATCTGTGAAATGGAGCAGTTGACCTGAACCCTATTAGAATGGTCCATGACAGTGAGGAATAGGTGCCCCCTGAAAACAATCCTAATAGCACACTTTTCACCGTGTGCCAATTTTGTGTGAAATGAAAGGCACCCCAACTGTTTTTTCGCCTCCTTGAGTTCTGCAATCCCTCCCTCTAAGCTCCTCTTTCTGCCCATGATGATTTCTCTACCATCCCTCCCTCATGAAGGTGAAAATGTAAGATGGGGGGGAAACAGTGGTGCGGCAACCTGTGGTCCTACAAAGAAGTTGGAATAGTTAGTGTGTTGGACTAGGGACAGGGAGGCCCAAGTTCAAATCCCCACTCAGCTGCAAAGCATACTGGGTGATCCTTGGGCCAATCAGTCTAACCTGCCTCACAGGGTTGCTGTGATGATGTAATGCAGGGGGTGGAGAGAATTGGACAAGGAATGGGGAGGCTCAGGGCTGATCCACACGCCACATTTAAAGCATATCCAACACACTTTTAAAGCACAGGACTTCCCCCAAAGAATCCTGGGAACTGTTGTTTGTCAAGGATGCTAGTAAGGACACCTCTGTGAGGGGGAAACTGCAGACCCCAGGATTCTTTGGGGGGAAACCATGTGCTTTAAATGTGCATTGATTAATAATAATATAATGATAATAATTTATTCTTTATACCCTGCTCATCTGGCTGGATTTCCCCAGCCACTTTGAGCGGCTTCCAACAAAAGATTCAAAATACATTAAAATATCAGTCATTAAAAACTTCCCTAAACAGGGCTGCCTTCAGATGTATGCTTTCATGTTCAAATCCCCCCTCTCCTGCAAAGCTTACTGGAGTGATCATTGGGCTAGCCACTGCCTCTCAACCTCGGCCTACCTCACAGGGTTGCTGTGAGGATGCAATAGGGCGGGAAGAACCAGGTACACCACCTTGGGAGGAAAGAGTGGGGGTAACAATGCAAAAATAAAACAAACTCCCCCCACCCCATGTCTGGCTGGGGTCAATGGGACCTCTAGGGCAGCAACCCCTGGAGGGCACCGCCTTAGCTTGCCCCTGCTGCTTACTCCAAGGGGACCCGGCTGCCCGCTTACCTTGAGCGACTTGATCTCTTTCCTCCACGGGGAGAGGAAGAGGTTGACGCAAATCAGCTCCAGGAACTCGAAGGCTTTGAGCAGCTTCCGAAAGACGACGCCCCCCGTCTCCCCCTTGGCCGCCAGGCAGCTCTGGGCGAGGCCGGCGACGTCGAAGCCCCCCGGAGCCCCCGCCAAGCCGGGCTCCGAGGCCAGCAGGCGCCGCGCGCGGCTCTTCACGGCCGCCTCGTTGCAGACCAGAAGTTTCCCTTCCGCCCCGTTGGCGCGGTAGAAGGCGAGGTAGTCCCGGAGCAGCTCTGGCGCGGCGCCCGCCCCGGCCGCGGGTCTCTTCATCGCGCCCAGCCAGCCTGCGCGGGAGGCGGAGACGACACCTTCTCCCTTGAAATAAGGGCAAGAGGCGCTGAGGTCTTTTAGATAAAAAATTAAGGCACAAACACACACACAACGTGCCCGAGCACTTTTAAGGACTCATCCGGACTGAGGAAGTTGTGGCTACATCGGAGCTCGCCCTGCTTCAGCCTCTTCATTGGCCTGCTCATTGATCTGCCCGGGATTTAAATGGCTACGCCGGCTGTCAGTCAAGGGTGGATCAAAAGGACTTTTGTTGCCGACCCGAATCAGGAAGTGGTGGGGAATTCGAGGCGCGTCAAAACGAAAGTGAAAAGAGCCGCTTGGGATGGTGTCTGACGCTCTTGGGCGTCTGAAGAGTGGACGCTGGAAAGTGGCATTCAACTTTTTTTTTTACTCGGAGTAAAACCTATTGAGATGCCAACTTGCGCCCGTTGATATCAGGCTGTGTATACAGCATATGTTCAAAAGACGTTTATTAAACCACATGTCGTCCCACCGACCCCCAAGAATCCTGGGAACTGTAGTTTACTGCCTACAGAGCTACAATTCCCATTACAGTACAGTACCCTAAAAAAACACACCTCCCAGGATTCTTTGGAGGAAATCATGTGCCTACTCTGTGTAGAATTTAGTTGGTTACAACCCTATTTGTTGTACTTTTTACCCATTCTTCAATCCAATGGTTCCTAGGCAAAATTCAACATTTATTTTATGTTAATTCATAAATTTGTGTCCCCATCCTTGTTCCCAAAGGAGCCCAGTAATAAAACACTAGCATTAAAAATGAATCAAACTTTAAAAACTTTCAAAAACAATTTAAAACATCTAAGAACCTTTCAGAACAACCACATACAGTCACAGCTAATAATTTCAGCGTTATGAGGAACAGTGTCTTTCAACCATCAAATGCCTGGATAAATAGGGATATTTAAAAATTTCTCCTGAATGTTAATAATGAAGCAGGCAGATGGACCTCACCAGGGAGGGCATTCCACAAATGGGGGAGCCTTTGTTACTCTGCTTCAGGTGCAAAATATTGTTATGAGTTGGGAGAGTAAGTCTCCGTGAAACCTTGGGCCTTCCTTTTTTTTTTTTAAGATAATATTTATTATTTTTCCAAAAACTTAAACACTAAAAAGACAATACAGTACAACACATCAAATTAACAAAACAAAACAAAAACAATAAAATAAATCAAACCATTTCATTATCCCATCTTTCATTCACTTATTTCCACGACCTCCTCACACTCCCTTTTTGTATTCCACTTCTATTAATTGTTTCAGCAATTCCTTTCAATCTTCCTCTGTTTTCTATCCTATAATTATCTTAACTCATTCTAACCTTATTTTTCCTTTAATATTCTGTTAACCTATCTGTACTTAATTCCTTATAACATTTCTACTAAAGCCATATAACTTCATTCCAACATTTTTCTAACATTCATTAATTTTACAGTATTTCTGTAGATAATCTTTAAATTTTTTCCAATCTTCTTCCACCAACTCTTCTCCCTGATCTCGGATTCTGCCAGTCATTTCCGCCAGTTCCATATAGTCCATCAACTTCATCTGCCATTCTTCCCGGGTGGGTAAATCTTGTGTCTTCCAATACTTCGCGATGAGTATTCTTGCTGCTGTTGTTGCATACATAAAAAAAGTTCTATCCTTCTTTGGCACCGATTGGCCGACCATGCCCAGGAGAAAGGCCTCTGGTTTCTTCAGGAAGGTATATTTAAATACCTTTTTCATTTCATTATAGATCATCTCCCAGAATGTCTTAATCCTTGGGCATGTCCACCAAAGGTGAAAGAATGTGCCTTCAGTCTCGTTACATTTCCAACATTTATTTTCGGGCAAATGGTAAATTTTTGCAAGCTTGACTGGTGTCATGTACCACCTATAAATCATTTTCATTAAGTTTTCTCTTAGGGCATTACATGCCATAAATTTCATACCTGTGGGTTCATAACTGTTCCCAGTCAGCCATCATTATGTTATGACCAACATCTTGTGCCCATTTAATCATAGCTGATTTCACTGTTTCATCCTGAGTGTTCCATTTCAACAGCAAGTTATACATTTTTGACAAATTCTTAATTTTTGTATCTAGCAATTCTGTTTCCAATTTTGATTTTTCCACCTGGAAACCAACTTTTTTGTCCAAATTGTATGCCTCCATTATTTGATAATAATGGAGCCAGTCTCGCACTTTATTTTTCTATTTTTGAAAGCTCTGCAATTTTATTCTGTCTCCATCTTGATCCAGAATTTCCCAATATTTCGGCCATTTGGCCTCCATGAAACCTTGGGCCTTCCATCCAAGCCTTCCATCTGGTATCTGCAAAGGCAGAATGTATGCGAGGAAGCCTGCCAAACTACTCCCTTTGTCAAGGGAATGGCTTTAGCAGGCCAGTTAAGTGCTCATCAGCATCTCAGAGAATGAGCTAAGGGGTGGTGCTCTTCAGGATAGGTGGGGCATTTCCCCACATTCCCCTCACCTGGTTCGAGGCCAGGTGATCCTCTTTAGCCAGAGTTGTTATTGTGCGCATGAGCGAAAAAGCTGAATGCTAGAAGCTGCACACAAAGAGATTTGCTTGCACTGTGTTGGACTTTGGGGCTCCCCTGGAAACCTAAAGGGGGAGCAATATCTATGGAGCTGCTGTGAGCCCCTCCATCCTGTGCTCAGTGTAAATAAAGCCATATATCCCAAAGACACCAGAGTCTCCACTGACCTTAATTCCTAGGAAACTGAACCCTGGGCAGGTGTTTGGAACTGCTGGAGTCGCTCACCGCTCAGAGATTGAGGTGGCCCTCATGGGCTGAGGGTTGTTGCCCATGTTAGCTCTACTCTGAGGAGACCTACTGAAAGTGATGGAAATGACTATATTAAGCCCCATTAAATTTCAGTGGGTCTACTCTTGAGTATGACTTAGCTGTATACAGTGGTACCTTGGGTTACATACACTTCAGGTTACATACGCTCCAGGTTACAGACTCCGCTAACCCAGAAATAGTGCTTCAGGTTAAGAACTTTGCTTCAGGATGAGAACAGAAATTGTGCTCCGGCAGCGCGGCAGCAGCAGGAGGCCCCATTAGCTAAAGTGGTACTTCAGGTTAAGAACAGTTTCAGGTTAAGTACGGACCTCCGGAACAAATTAAGTACTTAACCCGAGGTACCACTGTACAACCCTTAGTGTTAGGATTAAAAACTGGGTTTGCAATGATGTCTCTATTGAGAATTTCACTATTATCTGCCTAGCTCAGTTTTCCCTGTTGCTGCAATATAATGGTGAGAAAAGTCTGCAGTTGCCCCTCTAAGGTACAGTGATTTTATCTATAGTGAGTCAGGCAAACTCTGGGTAAGGCATAGCACAAAGACTCCGGATCTCAACCACCTGCCAAATCCTACTCCATGTCAAGTTAGCAAGATAAGTGCTTGCTTTCATGATCTAATTAGACAGCTGCTTCAAGAGTCTTCCATGAATTGACCTGTGATTACTTTTGAGTTGCAATCAACAACACCATAATGTTACAGAGCAGAAATGCCTTATTCCCCAAAGTACCAGGATGGATCTTTCGAGCATCATTTATAAATTAATAATCGTAATTTCCTTAAGGAGTCGTGATGATGCATTTGCCCTTCAACAGAAATATAAAAATGGGCTTTCACATTCCAGATCTGATAATTATCCAAGATTCAAAGAGAAGAGTATTTTAGACTGAAAACACTTCAGAGTGAAAACTATGAATGAAAACAGGCAAGATCCAAACACACTGGTGTTTGGAACCAGTGGAGGTTCGGCACACCATGCAAGGAAGGTAGAACTGGCTGCAATTTCCCCCCTTCTTCCACTTGTTTAAGCCTTGTTCTGGGAAAGATAAGAAAGTAGAAAGCTGTCTTATACTGAGTCAGACCATTGGCCCACCCAGTTAAATATAGCCTACACGAACTGGCAGTGGCCTTCCAGGGGTCTCTCCTAGTCCTACCTGGAGATGCTGGGGCTTGTACCTGGGTCCTTTTGCATGCAGAACAGATGCTGTACCACTGAGCTGTGTTCCTTCCCTATGGCCATCACCCAGGCATGTGTGAGCAGCCAGAGCAATAGATGGAGGGGACACTGTCTGGCAGTCAAACCAGGCAACAGGGGCGGGGGGGCGGGGCTGGTCCAATGGTAGTTCGGCTAGCCTGGCTATTGTTGCATTGCAGCAGAATTGTTGGGAAGAGTGAAGGAGTGTGTCTTGCTGTCAATTTGTTGGAGATCTTGGCCATAGATCCATATAAGGCCATCATTGCTTTGCAGCTTCCAATGTCCCTAAGGTGCCACAAGCCTCTTTCTTCTGTTTTTGCCCTGGTGGACTGATATAGCTCCATCGCCAGAAGTGACTATTATTATTATTATTACTCCCTAATGAAAGGAAACACAGGAAGGGAATGTGTGATGAATGGACACCTGTCCTACCCCCAGCTTGAACACAATGACAAAAGGGAGAAGATGGAGCAGCAAAACTTCCACTAGTCTGACCCTTTCCTTCCAGGCAATTGTACAGATTGGGCCCAGAGGGAGAGGGCAGGGGTGACTAGCAATGAGGAGGATGGGTCACTCAGAAGGCATTTTTACTGAGGTTCCCCCTTAACCTGTAGACCACTTTTGAATTTGCACTCCCAAAGGGGTGAACAAATAACATGATTCCAATAAGTAAAACAGTGCAGTATCAAAATTGCTACACACACACATTCATTCACACCACCCATTCAAAACTCATATACATGGTTCCCTCCCACCCCAAATCCTAGGAACTGTAGTTTGTTAAGGGTTGTTAGGGACTCTCTCAACAAACTACAGTTTCTAGGATTCTTTGGTGGAAACGTTAAAGTGGTATAAGAGGGCTTTAAATGGATGGTGTGGCTGTGACCATACTCACAGAATCATATATGAGAAATAACAAAGCAGCAAAAATAAAGCACCAGAGGGGGTTAAGTCCCAAAGTCATGGAAGCATAAAACTGTCTTTACTTGGTTACAAAATTATATCACTGAGAGGGATAAACAAACAGCTTGTAAAAGGGCTTTCCAAAGTTCTGGTGCTGCAACCAAGTAGAACCTTTTTCTGGTGAAAGTGAATCCATGATCCATTGAGGAGCCCATGATAATCTTCTGAACATCCCAAAATTCTTTGGAACACCATCTGAAAAACCCTTGCCTTATATCCACCTGTTGGAGCAAGGTTATGAGATAATCTGGATGTCTTTGTGGGGTTTAGATTGCATGTTACAGTACTGTTAATCACCAGCCATCAACAACAAACAACATTTTTATCCTGATGCCCTTCCAGGAAACTTGGGCACAGTCTCTTTTGCACCTTTCCCACCCTCACAACATCCCTGTGAGGTAGGTGAGATGTGAGCAACTGGCTCACAGTCACCGAGGAAGCCTCACTACTGAGTAGGGATTTGAACCTGCAGCTTCTCAAGTTTCTAGTTCAGCACATCACACTGGCTCCTTCCAGTCAGATTTGTGCATTCCATTGCTTTATAAAGGCAACTGGAGAAATTTGAGGGCCAAGTTAGACATGATGTTAAAATTGGCATTTAATATACAAGTTTTTTTTTTAAAGGCTCAAATAAAGCTTTGGGGCAGGGACTGAGAAGCATTGGGGTGGTAGCAGGTCTCAAGTGGGGAATTTACTCTTTTCCTTCCTGAATTTTTCTTCTTCTCTGGAGCTGCTATTTGTCATGACCTCAGAGTCCAGCAGTGATCAAGGCTCAAAGCTGGAGGGCTTACGAGTCTCCAGCTACAGAGGAAGACTAGATTCACAGCTTTGAGCCTGCTCTTGGAGATCAGGAGACCCCCTCAAGCTTGCCAGACAGGAGCCATTCCCTACCACTAGGGCCTGCAGTCAGAGCCAGGACTTCCACTAGCATCTTTTCCTGAGCCTAAGAAATCCAGTGCCTCCTGATGGTCACTGGTCCAGCAGTGTAGAGCATACACTGGAAGGGAGGCGATGGAATGGAGGATGAGTGCCTGTCTTCAGGCCAGAGGGTAGGCCCTTTAAGAAGTTAAAGTTATCTACAAGAGGGTGGAGCCTGGGGGAGGTAGTCTGGGAGCAGAGACTGTAAAAAGGCTGTCTGCTCACTTGGTGCTGTCCGTGGTTCTGCAACTCCTGACCTGACTTGCTCAGGGGGACACAATATAGGTACTCTATTGCAGGCATAGGCAAACTCGGCCCTCCAGATGTTTTGGGACTACAACTCCCATCACCCGTAGCTAACAGGACCAGTGGTCAGGGATGATGGGAACTGCAGTCTCAAAACATCTGGAGGGCCAAGTTTGCCTATGCCTGCTCTATTGGCATTCCCTCCCCCCCAGCACAAATATTGGCTTTGGGATTTCCCCCTAGACTGCAGCAGGGGAGGAAAATGTTAAATCACCCTTCCACCCCTGCTGTGACCCTGATAATCATCAGCTGCTACAACCCCACTCCAAGTTGACACTGTTTGCATTTTAAAAAAAGAACTCTGCACATTACATGCAAATACACATTTAACATCAACTCTACTTTGGCTCTGAGTAGTTGTTAGGTGCAATTGCTAAACATGATCTTCACAAGCAGAGGCAGTATACCTTTGCATAGTAGACACCAGGGACACAATAAGGCAAGGCGATCCATCACCTATATGCCTGGCTGCTTGTGAACGTGTCAGAGACAGCTGATTTGTCCCTGTCAGAAACAAAATGTTGGGCTAGATGTACCTTGGTCTTATGCAGAAAATAAGGAGATAAGAGCTGCTTTTTAGCCCCAGTGATCCTGTGAGGGAGAAGAGGCTACAAAGCTAGCAATTTGCTGAAGGCCACCTAGGAAGCTGTGGAAATAAGAAGGGATTTGAACACAGCTCTTCTATATTCCAAACTCAGCACTCAAATGATTGCATCACATGCCTCTTTTTAGTAAGACCTCTCCCAGTAAAAATAGGGAAATGCATATTTTCTTTTGCTTTCCAGTTCTTTGGTATGCAACATAATAATCATGTCTCATATCACAATAAATCTCCCCAGACAGCTTGATCACTGAGGTGGGTAGGGGAAAAGGTTTGTGACAGAAAATAGATATAATATTTCGGTTTGGAACCGGGTTAGCTTAGAAATTTAACTGGGAAGCCTCCTGTCTCATTCTCTTAAATACACAAACATTTCCCTATTTATAAAATGGGGATATTCTGATACAAACTAAGGATATCTTTTTATCTCTCTTGAGCTGAACTCTACAGCTAAATGAAACACTGAATCCTCTCCTATTACTAAGTCACTGGCTTACATCTACTAACAATTCTTAAAAAGATAGATGCAACCCCTTTATCATATATTCCTTTTGTTCTAAGACATGCAAAGCACTGTAACAAACCTGACAACTAGGTTTGACCGTATGACATACATCAACATTAGAAGTATTTTAGTCAGATGTGCTTTCAAATGCTACAAAAAGACCTACAGGAGATACCCTAGCACAGGAGTTCCCAAACTGTGGCCCATGGACCAAGCTTCACTCAGGTGTGTCTGTGGATTTGTGGTTGAAGACGGGAGATGGCACATCCATTGCATTAAATATCCAGATTGATTTTTGATGGTATTGTTATTGCTTCTTTTATTTTGCAATATGTTACAATAAAGAAAAGAAGCAATAAAAATACATTTAAAAGCTGTACAGCATCTAGTACAGAGCATTTCAGTTGCTACAATACGCAGAACAATCATTAAGATTGTCAATTGGTCCATTGGGTGTGGAGGGAAGTTTGGGAACCACTGCCCTAGTAGATGCATTTATTGTTTTACATTTCAGGGGGAGAAGAACAATCTAAAACACAAAGAAGAATGTGCAGGTAAACTTTCATATTTTTCCCCTGTAAAAACAAAATCCACAAGTAGAAAATAGATAAAGTTTTGTTAAGTATTATGGGTAGGTGGGTGATTATCATTCCAGGTTATCACCCTTTCTTAGTCTTGAAGGATTCCTTCAGAAGCACAGGTCAGGAATCATTGCCCTTTTACATTATTCTGTTGAAAAAAGTCTGATAGTGTTCCGTAGAGGTTTTCAGTAAATCCAGTGGGACCAGTGGAATAGGGATGTTCTGTTCACACACAACAGTTTCGTAGGGAGGGGCAGCTTCCATCGGGAATGACGAGGATAAGGAAATGGAAGGGATGGGTTGCGGCAGGCCCTGCAGTCCGACCAAATACCCAGCATCCCTTTCTCCTGCAGCCCCTGGAGTCACCTCTTCTTCCCAGGGAATGTTTATAGCAGAGTCATTCCATCGACAAGGGTCTATCAGGGAGTAAGGCGGAGGGTCATCTGTAGGAATACAGATTTGCACAGCTCCAGGCCCCACACACTCATCATAGCTGAAAGAAAACAGAGCCTCAGGTTACCTTTGCCACATAAATATCAGAGGAGAATTGTGCTTACAAGAGAAGAAGAAATGACAAACAGGGAGAAAAGTTTTAGCAGATGGCCTATCTATTCATAGCACTTGCTCTTAGGTTGGGAGGGATAGATCCGTCCATTTTCATTTTTCCCAAGCTTAAATTCATTTCTCCATATTTCTACAGCAATATGTAATAAAAAAAAAATTCTCATGAAAATTCAGCAGCATTTTGGAAAAAAATTATTCCAATAATCACATTTTTGTATGTAGTTTTACCTAATCTACACTTTTTTTTTTTTGCAAAGCAATGTTCTCTAATATAAAGCATTTTTTGTATGTTGTGTTCACAAATATATGTGTTTTTGTGTACATGCATGTATATGCATTTTTGTACACATTGCAAAATTTGGCAAATCCTGAAGGATGGCTGTGTTATGATTCTATATTGTTTTGGAAAATGCAACTTTGGCAGGTTTGCCTTCAAATGTGATCTGTACTGAATCCCCACCCTCCAATACCAAGTCACAAGAAGCAGATTACTTCAGTGTTAGGTTATTACATATCATTCTATTGATTTCTGATGTTCAGGCTCTGTGTCCTGTTGCTTTTTAAAAACTAAAATGACACCATCCGCACAAAAGAGGGAGGTATATCAGCTGGGGAGAATTTCCTGAAACAGCCCAATGAGGACCACTGGAATGCAGGGCAGACTGTTGTTGGGGGAAACAGACTCCACACTGCAAGATTTTGCTACAGGTCCCACTGATGACAGTGATGTAAGTATGCACAGGAATGCAGTCTTAGGGTTATAATTCTTGTTTGAGCAATCAAAACCAAGCTGTTCTAATTCACTGCAGTCCATAACCTTGAGGCTAATGCAGGATTAATGCTTTCTGAACATACAAATGTTCATTCCCTGTGGGCTCCTGAGTAAGGAGTCTGCTTCATTGGTTTCTAATGCACAATTAAGGTTTCAAAAAGCTGTGAACACTGCTCAGATATACCTTTTGGAGGTAATGAAACATAGGATGCATTTCAGAAGCTGGCAATGACAGAAGGAAGACCCCTGGAGAAAGTCAGGGGTGGGGTGGGAGGATACGATGAGGAAGTGGGGGGCTAGAGGAATACAAAGTTGATGAGGCAAGCATTTTTGCAACAAAAGTAGCTGGGAATATATTAGGAACAAGGATGCTGTGCCATTTCCTAAAGAGCCCACAATAAGAAGTTATCAAAGAGTCCATAAAAAAAGGATCTCCAGAATTAGTTTCACTGAGGTAGAGGGCTGTTATCTGTGTGAAACATGCTAATTTAGGTTCCCTACCCCAACCCCCAGGCACCAGTTGACAGAATGGTAGGTTAAATGTCCTTCACTGTAATTTTAAAGAGATGATGGGATTCTAATAACCCTACGATGAAAAGATGTCAGATTTCCATTAGAATTGTCTTTTTAAAAAACAGCATTGCGTTATAATATACATGTGTGTGAGAGGTGGATGGGAGTTGCTGCTTCCAACAGAACTGTTGAATATCTCAGAACTGAATATCTCAGTGACGGAGCACATGCTATGTATACTGGCAAGGTCTCAATCCATTGCCCAGTGGTGGCAGCTTCCCACTGGGACTGGTAGGGTGGAGGGCAGGGAGCCAGAGCCAATGGCAGGTGGGGCAACACTGAGACTATAAAGGCAACACTGAGACTAAGGAGGAGGCTGATGAGCAGTGCCATTCTCTGGGCTGGATGTAAGAAAGGAGGCAGATATTTGGGGAGCTGGCTGGGGGCACACTGAGGTTGGTGGGGCTCTGCCCAATTGGCCCCATGGACCAGCTTCCATTGCCATGACATTTCCAGGTAGGTAGAATAATAGAACTGAAGAGCTGGAGGGGACCCTGAGGATCATCTGGTCCATCCCCTTGCAAGGTGATGAGAAAGACCTTTTCTGCCCAAGAGCCTAGACAATTGTTTCAGTCTATGGCAGACAGTGTGAACTAGCTGGATCAATGACCCAGCACATAGACAGCTACTATATATGTTCATAGCAGGTCCTGATTCCAATCTTGGCGGCTTGTAGTAGCAGTGTGATTTGTCATGTCTCAGTGGAAGTGACTTTACCACACACACACACACACCTAGGCAACATGAAAGAGCTTACTAAACAGGCTGAAATTTGTAAGTTTTGATCTTGAGAACACAGAAGAGAGAAAATTTTGAAGATGCTCCTTTTTACACAGGCATCCCCTTGATCTTTTGATGCGAGTTTCCTATTTTAATTGCTGTGCTCTTTTAATGGGATTGTTCCATTGCATATTTTAATTACGGATGTTTATAGTCTAACATGTTAATGGGAATGTTTTATGGTGCGTTTTAATTATGGATGCTTATATTCAAATTTTTGTGTACTTGGTTGTTATATTTGTAAACTCCTTGGAAGCTTATTCTGGAATTAAGCAGTATATAAACAAACAAACAAAAAACTTCTCATGCAACTAGTAAAGGGAAATCATGATAACCAGAAAGCACATGGAGCATGCTCTAAGAAGTTGGTGTGTGCATTTGTGTGTACAGAATACAAAATCCAATCCCACTTGGACTCAAACCAGACCCGAGATCCATAGTCAGGATCTCCCCCATTTCTGGTAGCATAGAGCTGAGTGATCCAAGAGAATTGGTGAGATCGATGGGGCATCTACTCTCCAGTCACACAAATGGGAAGGATGATCCTGATGCTTTTTGAAGTACAAGCTAAGAAACGACGTTGATGTTTTCTGTAAGGGTTATGTGGTTATGTGTCCAGCTCACTGTCAATGGCCAGTTCGCATAGGTAGTAACAGTCTAGGACAATATTTCAATGATGAACCGAACAAGGCTTCAATATGATAACCTTTTCATTTCACAGTTGTAGCAGGGAGAAAAGGAAGTCAGTGTTACTCAGCGTCTTGCTATCTTGCCAATAAAGTCAGTGGAACAAATGTTATTGTCTGAATCATTTTTTGTTTTGTCTTCAGTTTGGATTCTTTTCATTACTGTTCTATTGCTGAGTTTTAGCTGCATTTGTCATCTGTTTCTAAGGCAGAAGGAATGAAACACTGAAAATCGTTTTTGCATAGGTTGGTTGCAGAATGTGGGTTTTCAGATTTTGAATTTTGGGACTGGGAATTGGGATGGATTTTATGCTACAGACTTTATGACGGCAGTTTTATTTTGCAGGCTCAAAGATCCCACTTACACCATATATTTAAAGGACTCATATCACTTTAACAGCCATGGTTCCCACCCCCAAGAATCCTAGGAACTGTGGTTTATTAAGGATGCTCACCTTACAGAGCTACAATTCCCAGCACCCACAATAAATTAGTTACCAGAATAATTCATGACTGTGATATTAGAGTGACTTAAAAGTATGGTGTGGATGTGACCTAGACGTTGCTGGACTGCCAACCCCCAATCAGCCACAGCCAGCATGACCAATGGTTAGAGATGATGGCAGCTATAGTCAGCAACATTTGAAAGGGTGCAGGTCCCCAAGCACGGCTTTACTGAGACTCTAATGGAAACAGTTGTAACAGATGTTCTGGGAAGTTGAGACCCCTGGAAGCATTAACTGCACCAGAACAAAACAGAAACTATTGATGAAGGGCAGCCGGATATCATTTGAACCCTCCTTTACAACAACAACAACACCACCACCACCACTTTGCATCTGCCATTTTTTAAAAATACCTCTCACATCAAATAAATCTGCCATGCTCACAGAGATCCTGGGTCCACGAGAAAGCCATTAATTCACCTAAAGGGACGATTATAGATATCACTACCATCTAGTTAGGGTTGTCAAGACAAATTGACCGCATGGCTTCCATCTGATTGCCTTGTGAGCATGGCAGGATTATGATTTTTAAAAAAGATAAAGAAATAAAACTCAAATGAGAGCTGTAGCAATTTTCTTAAATCTAGTGTGAGAACCGATTAGGGATACATCTAGAGAGATAATCAAATTGAGTCCTAAATGAGATTTCAGTCATTTGTACATCAAAGCAATTAAATTATTAAACACCCCTAAGGCATCTTTGATAAATTAATTTCCCAATTAGAATTTTATATAAATAGTGTTTCTGCCCTAGACGTTCTTCAGAAAACACACACACACACACACACACACACACACACACACACACTGGCTCAGATTCATCCTGCAAACTGTTGAGTGGTTATCTGTGTCTTGCAAGGGCTTAAACCCTAGAAGATGCTAATTCTCTGCCATACAGTGACTTCGGTCCTGTTTCAATACCTGTCACTTTAGCATTCCTGGAGGGATCATTTCTGGGTGAGGACCTGACAGCCCCATTTGGTTATGCAGTTGTAGACCTGAGAAGCAATGTACAGTTTGCAAGTGGTGAAGTGACCCTTAGATGTTTGGCTAGTATTACTTCATAAAATGGAGTGGACCTTAGCAAAATTGAAAAAACAATTTTGCAATTCAGTATTAAAACCCTACTCCCTGCATATAACACAAAGCAAACTCTGGGTTTTCAATTTTGGACCTGAGGATGCCAGTAATGAACGAATGAATAAATAAAGTTGTGTGTGTGTGTGTGTGTGTGTGTGTGTGTGTGTGTATGTATGACTTTTTCATTACTATTTGATGCTGCTCTGTTTCAAATCTTCATCTTGGATCAGTGGAGTGAAAAACCAATCACGCAATTCATTTAAGAATTCAAGCTGTCCAGAGGAGACAAGTCAGCTTGCCTTTCTCATACGATAATAACTCCAACTGGATATCTATTCATTCTAAAACTGTAGTTAAATAACTGATTGTGATTATTAATCGATTCATCAGATGAATTACACCATTCAGCCCTCCTCTTTTGTTTTTCTTGCCCACCTGTGCCAAAGAGAATATGAGACACAAGGCACACCTCCTCTGCTCTGTTGGTGATTTGGAAACTATTCATTCAGCTTCCACCCTCAGAAAACTATTTTAAAAATCCATTTCTTACTCATCAACTTCTACAACATAATGCTTTAATCCATGGGAGCACTTTTGAAAAGCATTCCTTTGGAGGAATATAGGCGGGAAATATTATATTAATTAATTTATTATTATTATTATTTAAAAAACCCACACCTTTTATTTTTAGTGAATGAAAAAGCTACGGCTGGCAGAAAGCTAATGCTATTTATTCATTAAAAGCAGCAGGGTGGATTCTCAGATCCCATAACATGGAAATCCTTCGGTACAATCCAGAGGAAGTTGGGAAGGGCTGCTTTACATGGTACTTGATCTAGTGAAGCTGTATCTACAATGCTTATAGTCACGATGGCTATGTCCTGCCTTCACTGTTAAGAGGCAGTAGGCCACTGAACAATGAACTGCCTACAATTCCCAGAGCTCCCTGGGAAAAGAGGGATGGATTGTTAAACCACTTTAAGAACTGTAGCTCTGTGAGGGGAAGAAGTGTCTCCTAACCACTCTCAGCACCCGAAACAATCTTCAGTTCCTAGGATTCATTGGGGTAAGCTATGACTGTTGAAAATGGGATGATACGGCTTAAAAAATGTGCAGTGCAGATGGTTACTTGGAGGCACGGAGAGGGGCAGAGAAGGAAAAGAAATGGCATAATCTTTTTAAAAAAAAGAATAGAGGTGCAGGTACTGCATACCATTGAGTACCCCCTTTTAAAAAAGCACTGGGTGTAATGTGTGGGTGGTCTTTGCCTTTGCCCGAAATAATTCTGGGCCCCTACACTGTTCAGACAGCCTCATTTTTCAGTCCTTTTAACCCTGTTCTACAGTGGTACCTCGGGTTACAAACGCTTTGGGTTACAAACTCCGCTAACCCGGAAGTAGTTGCTCTGGGTTGCAAACTTTGCCCCAGGATGCAAATGGAAATCGCGTGGTGGCAGCAGCGGGACGCCCCATTACAGAAAGCACGCCTCAGGTTAAGAATGGTTTCAGGTTAAGAACGGACCTCCGGAATGAATTAAGTTCATAACCCGAGGTACCACTGTATTGAAGAGCTAAACGAGAGAGACCATCTATTATCCTGACAAGTTGCTGTAACTACCGTGTGCTCAGCAGAAGAGCAACAAATGGAAATCTATAAAAGGAAGATAGCTACAGCCACCCCAGTTATTTATTTATTAAACGTCCATTCTGCCGAAGGAGTCCAGGGCAGCAAAAAAAACAAAATAGCAAAAGACACAATTAAAACAAAACAAAAAACAAAACAAAAAACCCCCAAACCAGTTAAAAACATTGAGTGGTATCTGATGCTAGTCCTACTCAGAGTAGATCCACAGAGGTTAAATGGGTATGGCTAACCTAGGCTCTGGTTCCTCAATTCTGAGTAGGCCTTAGATGGATAAAACCTATTAAAAACATTTGGGGGAAAAGGTTTCTTGTTTCATTTAAGTTCTTAAAATAAATTATACAAATATAATGATTTAATAAATAAAATTGTAATAATTTAATATTTTCAATTGTATTTTTTATTATAGCCAATAATTTCAAGGTTGCCAGAATCCTGGGGAGTGTAGTTTACCCCACACAGAACTACAGCTCTCAGCACCCTTAACATGTCATGATTGTTAAAAGTGGTATAAATGTGTTTCAAATGCACCATGTGACCTGAGTCCCACTCCATCCCTGAAACTTGCCTTTGCCCTCATCACTACTCACAGCACAGACTTCCACCTGTAGGTCTTTATTGCCTTCCCATCACCTGTTTCTCCCACATCATTTATAGCAGCCACTGGGGTTTGGAGACCCTGCCTGTGTCTCTCACCCACACTCAATGCTGAGAGCATATTCTGGTGGAAGAACATTGGGACTGAGCCCAGCAGAGCTCCCATTTCCACACCATTCATCCCAGTAATAAAAATGCATTCGAAAGGTGCTTACTGGGGAGGTGAGTCGGGGCAGGTGACATTGACCTGTGTCTCCACATAAGTGCTGAAATAGAAGGCTGGAGGGAACTCCTCTATGCAACTGGATCTTAGTTCTCCAACTGAGCCACCGTAGAAGCATTCTGGAGCTGGAAGAAAGAAGAAAATACTGGTCTCACAACACCGCAAACAGGCATTTTGTAGATTTAAAATTTGTATGCTGCTTTTCAGACCTAACCCCCCCCCCCCCCACAGATCACATCTGCACCACCCATTTTTAAAAAGCATTCTCATATTGCTTTTAACAGCCATGACTCCCCCTCAAGAATCCTGGGAACTCTAAGCGTGTCAAGAGTTGTTAGCAGACTTCTATTCTCTTCACAAAGCTACAATTGATGAGTTCCCTGGGAAGAGGGATTGATAAACCATTCTGGATAACCAGACCCCTGCAGAGCATGTTTGACTGAGAGCTCTTGAATGGATGAAATTCTTAAATCATCTCTGGAAACTGGTGAATTGCATTGGTCTCTACGCCTTTCCCCACCAATCCCAGGTTATTTTCATGCCGCTACGGTCTCATACACACCATACATTTAAAGCACACTGGTACCCAATGCTTTCCAAGTTACTTTGGCACCTGAGGCAGAAAATCCTACAAGTGCTTCTCCCTGGGAGTACAAAGCAATAAATGTAAGTCAAACAACCAATGACTTGTACCCTTCCATGCCACCCCAAATTAGCTGCATCACTCCATCCAGTGGAAAGGCCCTGTTCAAACACACAAAGCCTGGCTTTGCTGTATCTAGTTTGCAAACTAAGTGTGACAGCAACAGAATGAAAAGGGGCTGGTGGGAAAACACACTGGAAACGTTTGCAGAACATCTATATTTTTGAAGAAGTTATTTAAAAAATCAGAACAGTCCTCTTACTGTAACTGGCATCTCTTCTCAGCTGGAGATGTTGAAAGCACCTATTCTTTCGCAGGCTGCCGATGATGATGGCCACGCAGGAAAGGAAGAGAACTGCTCCAATCACTACACCTGCTACCAGCACAGAAGAATCCGACATGCTAGTGTCAGCCTTGCCTTCAGTGAAGTGGGTAAACTCAGTGATGGGGATGGTCTGGTTCAGATAAATTGCTACACACCAGTGAGGAAGAGAGGAAGAGGGAGAGTTGAGGTGATACTACTGGTAGGGATGGGCAAATTGGTTTATTTTGGTTTCTCTCAGTTCTTAATTTTTCCAGTCTTCAGTTTAATTCTCCACATATCCACATCAGTTCATGATTTTTTTACATGAAAAAACAACTATTCTCTTGTATGAACTTTTGCATGCAATTTTACCTAATACACACTTTTTTTTTACCACTTGGGGATTGAACCTGTGACCTTCTGCATTAAAAGCAGATTCCTACCAATGAGCTACAGTCCACCCATCACCAGCTAAAGTCCATTCACTAATACACACAATTGTGCAAAGCAATGCCCCCCAATAAAATGCATGTTTGTATGATATTTTCACAAATATATGCATTTTAATCCACCCTTTACCCCAGTATATGCATTTTTGTACATGTTACTTGGTTGGAGAATGGCACTGCAGAATTCAGTGAAGTGCCAGTTTCAAAGGATAGCTGTGTTTTGGTTTGCAGATTGTTTTGGGAAGTGTGGATTTTGTAGGTTCACCTTTAAATGCAAACTGAACCAAATTTCTCCCACATCTCGTACTACAACATAGTAGGCCCATTTGCTCCAAAGAGCTACTGTTTTGAGGGGCAGACACACAAAGAAGCCCATGTTAACATAAAACCCACATCCCTATGAAAACCCAGCTGCTCACCAATGGGATATACTGAACAGGATGAAAATGGAGTGCGCAAATTCAGGGAAAGGGTGCAGTGAGGGGCAGACACAGGTTCATCACACCCAAACCCTCACCGGCCACTGGCAATGCTCATGTAACCAGGTGGAATTGACACCACCAAAAGGGAAGGTGTAAGGAAATTCAACTCCATAGGAGGCAATCGAAGAAGCAGAAATGAATTTTACCAAGTTCCCCCCACCCCACTGATATGTCCACAGTGGCACACGAGAACTCAGGATATGATGGATGTCAACAGCCAATCACAACACAATCCCTCATCCTTCGTGCTACACACCTTGTGAAAATAAGACCACCAGTGATGGGTTCTCTTTAGCCTGCTTAACAAAGGTGCCTGGGGAAGATATAGCCAAATATTCCATTTTGCAACTATGCAAATTTACTCACAAGTAGTCCCATTGATGTTAGTAATATTTACCTAGGCTGTGATACACTGTCTCCTGAGTGATTTGTAAGCTTCCATTTGCATTCCAATTTCACCTGTAATGTGCAGCTGGCAGCCTAAAATTATTTTTATGCTAAGTCCCTGCATTAACACCCCATGCAGCAATTAATAAACGTTTCCTCAGATGCACTCAAAAGGGATATATTTAAGGAAGTACGACACAAGCCAACAGACAGAAAATGTACCATTCTGGTGACCTTGACTAGCTCATCTGAGGCGAAAGAGCTGGCCACCCCTTGAGATCACTAACTCTGCCTCTTATTTCCATGCTATCAGATAATGGCCTCCGCCTGGTGCATTGACATCCTTATTAAAGAGTCAGAAGGAATCAGATTGGATCACCAGCGGCCTGCAAATTGAGAATGTCAGAAGCAAAAAAGCGTGTCACCGCAAAGGAGCTCTGGAAATAAATCTTTTCAGATGCCTCTGGCTTCAGGTTATTATGTTGATGTCACAGTACCTTGTATAGGTGCTGCTTCAAATTAAGCAGGTAAACAAAACAAAGCAAAACAAAAAAGCCTTTCCAATCTTCAGAGCCAGGGCATCTTTCATCAAGATGATAAATATTGCTACAGCGAAACAAATCACTTGGGAGGCAAAGCGGCACATGGTGTATGATGCTGCCCCTCGCCCCCTTTCTCCGGCAGAAAAAACATTCTGAACTCATGCAAGCTTTTTTAACGGGGCTTCAGGTCCCTTTCCATAAACCATTTCCAGGCACGGCAATAATTCCAGTGAATAGGTCAGGGTGGCTTTGTTTGTTGACATCAGTAGTGGTTTCTGCTGGCCCACCTGAAGTCAGGAAAGAATATTCTGCCCCAGATTTTGTCCTGTGATTTTTCTGGGTTAATGGGGTTGCAAACAGATTTATTCTGGAAGCAGTTAACATGGACATGAGTGCTAAACTTCTGCTAGATTTCCAAAAGTGACTTCTATATGTCGTGTGAAAGATCACATACGATGCAAAAAATTATTAGGTTAGGAGACATAGGGAAAACGGAGTAGTGGTGCCTGAATGCCTCTTTAGTTTTGCTCATCTTTGCTGTGCTGTAAGTAGATTCTGCCCTAATCTTCCCTCACCTCAAAAATCTCTGTTTACTTTCGAAATCACATACACATTGGTTTGAAAAAGTCCCACTCTAAAACAAAAACTCAGCTACCAAAGAGAAATAAAATCTACCCAAAGTGTTACAGGTTTTTTTTTTTTTATGAAGTCTGCAAAGTGAGACAGGAAGGATCATGTATGAATTTATGACCCCTGTCATAATGATCGCTGGCGACATTAGTTATGGCCTCATTTCCTCTGACTCTGGCACTGAATGGCGTTTTGCTACTCTGCTGCATAAAAGATGGAACGTCGTCAGTGAACAATGTGTTCCTCAGCACGCTTTGCTAGTGCACCTATCTTTTTTTAAAAAAGAAAGCGATTATTCACTATTTATTAGGCTCTGCAGCAAGGAATAAATTCTTGGCTCGTCAGTAAAATTCTCATGCTGTGTTTGCTGCATGTTCGACTGTAAAGTCTCACAGTAAAACAAAAATTCAAATTGATTAAAGGATGAAGGAGAGGCAGAACAGCACTGCTAATTTATTCACCGTTCACTTTGAAGAAAAAACACCTTGAGCATCTATTGCAGAAGGTGGGGAATCTAAAGCCCAAGGGCCAAATGTAGCCCTTCAGGTGTTTGTCCCTGGCTCCCAGGACTCTCTCCAGGCCCTGCCTGGCTCCCTGAGTGCTTTGACCAGGCTAGAATGTGTCACTGAGTTCTGATCATGCCTCTTGGTTGTCTGGATGGAGGATAGAGAGGGCTATGTCAGTCTGTGTATGGAGACACTACACTACTTTAGAAGGGGGGGGGGATGTGCTCATTGCTCTGCCCACTCTTGCCTTTGCCCGCTGCTAACATGTGGCGCCCAGAAAGGAATGTGATACCTGAGCCAAGGAAAATTTTCTATTCCAGATCTATTGCCTAAAACTCTTTGTAGCAAAGCCTCTGGTACAATGAGTAACAGAAACCATGCAGTTCAGAGAAATCCAGAAGCGAAGAATGGATGGCAGATAAAAACTCCAGGTAAGAAGTCTCCTCTGCCTTATATTTACTATCTGAGATGTCTGAGGACTGGGGCATGGCAAATCTCACCAAATGATTTTCAGCTGTGCCCCCTATACATGTCATCTCTGCATTCCTTATACAATATTGCCCCCATTTGATGTATTAAGGGTGCCAGCTTCCCCTCCTCCACCAAGCAGGCCTTTAGCAGCTGAATGCTGGGAGGATAAATGTAATATTTCCTCTGTAGTGCTGACATGACAGTTTCTTTAAATATTTTTACCAATGTTGAAACTGGGTAGTGTCTGTGATGTGCAAAATGTCATCCTGACTCACTGCAGTGGCACACCGTTGCGTCCCCCCCCCGACTCTGACTCGTTTTGTTCTAAAAATATGTGAGCACCAAAAATAAGCAAGTCAACCATTCTAACAAACCTGCTCTACTTGTTTCACATATATATAAATACACACAAACACATCTTATCACAGGCTGTTACTGTGATGCGTTACCAAGCCAACATTAATGTGGAAAGCAGATTGTCACCAGCTTTCATTACAACTTTGATTAATCATCTATACACCAAGATGCACATATTGTTACCAGTAACATTGCTCTCACAACCTGCATGCTGAAACAAGATCTGCTCTGTAAAGGGGAAAACCAGCAGAAAGTTTTCTCTCTGATCCATAACTGAGGATTGAACTTCCTTGTTATAGGATCAATGGCCAACCAGAGGCCTCAAGGAAGATGTGCAGGTAATAGACCCCCCCTCTCCCACAATAGTTCTTTAGAAGCTGGTCTTCAGTTGCTTGTATTGCATTGCTAGAGATTGCATTTAACAATCTTGACCGGTAGCCTTAACCTCCAACAGCGTGGATGGCACTTCAGATGAATTATTCCACGGATGTGCAGGAAGAATTTGTGTTCACAAAATCAGAAGGCTGCTGGGAGGAGGAATGCTTCAGGAATTTGATATACGTGAACTCCTAAATGTAATGGTCTGATCTGTAATTTCTAGACTAATGTGCAGATCAGAATTCAGCTGTCCACTGGATTTTGCACTTCTCTGAATGTGCACTTGGATGCAGAAATGCTTCTGAATACCAGCTGCTGGAAACCACAGGAGGGGAGAGGTCTCCTTTTCTTAAATCTTCCTTGTGAGTTTTCCACAGGCATCTGGTTGGCCACTGTGAAAACAGGATTCTGGACAAGATCCCATTGGTCTGATCCAGCAAGCTCCTCTTATGTTCTTAGGTTAAATGTTTAAACACCTTTAAAATCTACATTTAAACATTTTGAGATGATTAAGAAATTGCAGGTTGATGTAGAAATGGAATAGTATTATGGGTAGGAACATGCAAGCCAGAAAGAGTGACATAAGCCAACAGCAGTCAATGGTTACATCACCATTCACAATACACAACAGCCAATGGATGAATGTGAATATATTATTAGATGTGCATACTAAAGATGCTTTATTGTTTTCAGACCAATCCGTACACCCTGGGGTGGCACTAGACAGGTATCTGCTACAGTCAGTCTTCCATAGCCAGATGCATTTCTACCAAATAGCCTTCCTCAGTGGCAAACCAACAAACCTGAACAAACCGCTTGACCACAAACCTACAAGAAGCCCTTGTGAGGCATGCTCATGCTTTTGATATGCTGTTCTATCTAATTCCTTTCCCCAATTTTTCAGAAGTTAAAGCTGTGTTGTATTATTGTGCCAAAGTACATTCCTGATCTTATCTCTCTATGGCGCAGGATGTACTTTGGCAAATATTCTGGAGCTTTGTTTTTCCATATTAAGTTGCTCTTGGCCCTTTGAAGTAGTACTGTGTTTGTTTCGTTTAGCTAAGAAGTGATTACTTTTGATGAATATTGCATGAATGAAATTAGAGAGAGAAAGCTGATATGCAATTTTTGCCCATGTATTCCCTAACTCATAAATTCATATCCTGTGTCATGTGTCTGAGTCCTCTATTATATCCCTTTTATTTGTTTTTATGCATTTCTATACTGCTCTTTTATTGGCTTTGGGTTATGTTTTTGTTTTAATGTTTTAATGACACATTGTTTGTTTTTTCAACTATAACCATGTAATTTTTTTTTTTAACATTAAACGGTTTATAAATGCTTTTAAATAAATAAAATGAATGTCATGGTTGAGGTAAGGATAGTGTTTCAGCAGCTTCACTGAGTGCTATTTATTGCATTCTACCCTTTATCTTGGTCTCTGTTTATAGTACAATTTTGGTTGGTGTACATTCCATAAAAAATTCAAAACCCCATCTAATATCGCTGTGAGGGTTTAAGTAGAAGTCTGAAGTTATTTCTCCCTTCGCTGAGCTTCAGAGGTTAAAAGGTTTATGCTTTACCTCATCATTTATTAATTTTCATCACCAGATAACCCAAATAACCTTCATTTTGTGTGATCTAAATTACTTTGCATTTTCTCTTGGGCTCAATCCACTGGGGAAATCGCTTGCACAAACCCCATCAAAACGGCTGAGCAGCTAAAGAGCGTAATAATCCATTTCTAGTGACTGGTGCCCCGAGTCAGCAAAGCCAGTTTTCAAGTTCTTCAGAATGCTACTTCAAACTGGTTTTTAAACAAAACAATGTGGAGAGGAGGAGATACAAAGATATCTCTTGGATAAGCTCACCCCTAAATTCCAAAGAAAAAAATTGTACCCTCAGAGAGAGAGATTGAGAGAGATATCAAAGAAGGGATTTCTACATGAACCCCTCCACAAGCTGAATGAACACATGGAGCAGGCTTGCGGGGGACTCTAGTCTAGCACAAATCACAATGTTCTCCTATTACCTGGATGTTCAAAGGATGGTTTGAAGGAATTCTATGCACATATGGATGTTCCACAATGCAAGCAAGGACTCTGCCCAATTAGAGTCCCTCCTCAGGTGGACAAACTCTACCCACAAACATCTGGATGCACACAGAACTGCATCCAACATTTGTAGAATGCAGACCTTGGTGAGGATGACAATGAGCAGGGCTGGATGGACCACACTGCACTGTGACCCCCACATCACACTTTCTTTCCCAGAGCCTGATGATACACAGAAGGAGGGCAACTGGCAGCCAGGACAGTTCTTTTTGCTGATGAGAGTTGTGGTCCAGAATATTTGGAGGGCACAAGGTTGGGGAAGGCTTCAGCCATGTTCTCTGAACAACAGGCAGATGAAAACTACAGCTGAACTTTTTTTTTAAAAAAAAATACAACCCACTGTGCACCAAAACCAATACCTGAGGCACTGCAACACAACTCTAAAACACATTAGTTGTCCTAAAAACATGAGAGCGGATACACAAAGCAATTCAACTGACAGGGAATAAAATTATTTCAATACTGAACTAGAAATACCACAAAATTGAAACAGTATGTTCACCCTAAAGCAATATGTTCACCCTATAAAGACTGGGTGAACAACAACAAAAAGTTGTTGTCTGGTGCCAAAAATATATTAAGGTAGATGCAAGAAGGTTCCGAGAGAGCGCATTCCATAGCTGAGAGGCCAGAACCAGGAAGGTCCTGTTCCTTGTAGCCACCCGACAGAGTGAGGGGGCACTTGAAAGAGGGCTTCTATTATTGATTTAGGGGGTAGCCAAGATACATATAGGAAGAGGCTATCCTTTAGGTAGTGGGGGTCCCAAGTCATGCAGGGCTGTATTAGTCAAAACCAACACCTTGAGTTGGGTCCAGAAATGGATTGGGCATCAATGAACTGCTCTGTTGATAGGCATGAGACCAGGGGTTGGCAACCTAAGGCCCATGGGCCACAAGTGGCCCATGGGGGTCATTTAACCGGCCCATGGACCCCCGCCGCCTGCTCAGTTGGCTCCTGTGCGCCGCACTAAACAGGCACAGGGCAGAGCTGGGACTGCATTCCGCGATGCTGGCCAGCTTCCCATTGGCTGCAGGAAGCTCCTGCAGCCAGTGGGAAGCTGCGCACGCCTCCTCTGTGCCAGAAGGAGCGCCGGAAACAGCGTTTGCGCATGCGTGCACACGTGTGCACTACGGCCCACTGCAGGATCTGCGGGACAGTGAACCGGCCCAAGCCACAACAACTTTGTCGACCCCTGCATGAGACAATCACACTTTCTATTATAAGGGAAGCTAATGCCACACATAAAGTGGCTACTGTATATGTGACAAACAGCAAAAGAACATTGGGAAGGGTAAAAATTATTACAAGCCACACTGGAGGATCATGCAGTCAATCCTGTGCATCATCTTTTCAGATATGATCACAACAACTTCCTGTTTTTCAGGATAAGTTCTACCTCCATAGCCATATTCTTAGCTTCTGCACATGAATTCCCATGCAGGGAATTGTGACACTGATTGACGACTAAATAAGGGCAATCCCAACTTCACCGGCGTGATCATATGCTATGTGAGCTGATGCCACTTGACAAATCTGGGCCCTTCCTATTTGTTTTTGTCAGGGTTATTGGCTGCATTGTTCATTTATGCTTGCTCTGTTTAGCACCCGAGGGTCCTTTTGAAATTCACCTTCGCATCTGCTATGCATCAATAAGTTCTCTGCTCAACTGCAGTTTCAGCCTCCACTTTGTAATCAAATGCTTAATGAAAAGATAAGAGTGATCAACTTGAAGATGGCTGGGATAAAATGTTCACTTCTAATTAACGGCGACTCAAGGGCCATTCCAGGAAATGCTCCTGTTGAGCGTCTCTGTACATAGACTGAGACAAGCAAGTTGGAATCTTGTTACCGTGGAAAATTAATACAGGCAGCTTCTGGCAATCTAGGAAGCAACCAACCAGAATTCATATGAAGAGCCAGAAGAATTTCCGAGCCATTGCTTCTTTTTTCTTGTCCTCTGTAAGGGTGTAGTGCAGGGGTTGCTAAGATGGTGTGCTTCAGATGTTGTGGGCTACATCTCCCATCATTCCTAGCCAGCATGGCCAATAATCAGGGACGATGGGAGTTGTAGTCCAAAATGCATGGAGAGTACGACACTGGTTACCCTGTTAAAGTGGATAGATTGCAAGGACGTGCATTGGGGAGAATTATATTCAGGTCCCTGTTCAGTTGTGAGGCTTAATGGATGACCTTGAGCTAGTCTCTCTGGGCTATGCTTGCACCATAATGAATTCAGTGCAGATGAAGAAAATCACATTTAAAAAACAGACAAACAAATGGGTTCTACCGCAAAATGTTATGAGCATGCTTGTTCCTTACTAGGCTTATCCCACCCCCACAATATGATGTTGTACTTTTGCAAACTTTTGATTCCCCCAAGCCTACTGATCACTTCCTCTTCTGTGTGGGTGATACCGTTTTGGCCATATACACAATTAATAACACATGGATATTGAAACAATTACAATAAGAGATCTTACAAGAGATCTCTGTTTTTTTGTCTTCATTTTTTTAAACCTAAATTCCAAATGAAAGGGAAAGCGGAGCAGCACCAAAAGACAAAAAAGCAAAAGGGCAAAGAATTTTTCAACTGGTGTGACCCCCAGAATATACTGAATTTAATGCACGCTGTCTTTTTTGACAAGATACATCTTTTTCCTCCCCCCCAATACATTTGCCTGTTCCAGCAAGGAGTTTTCTCAGATTACCCCTTCTCACATGGAGTCTCCCAAAGGAGTTTAATCGAACCACTGAAAATCTCTGAATAAAAGCTGGTTGGCAAGACAGGTGACTATCAGGGCTGACTCTTGGCTCATGGAGGGCAGGGCAAGGCAGGAGCAACATCTAAGTAAGGCTGTGGGCAAGCAGGGGAAGCAGGGTCCCCTAGTTGTTCAGAAAGGGAAGTGGTGGTGGAAAGGAAGCACCCAGGGTCAGCTCAAGACAGTTTGCTGCCTGAGGCAAAGACAGGAATGGCAGTTAATTCTTATTTCAGCTCTTGTAAGGGGCTGACATTCTTGTCTGTTGCTGGCGAGTATAAGGCAGAGAGGGGGAAGCTAAGGCCTAGGTGTCAAATGTGGCCCTCCAGACCTCTCACCTGAGGCCGTTTGAGCCACACCTTTCACCAGCCCTGCATTGCACCCTCCTTGAATGTTTTTGCTTGGCTGGAATGTGTCTTTGGACTGATGCTTCTTGCCTGCCCAGATGGAGGATAGTCACTATTCAAAAGCCACAATTATTGCTCTAGTCAATCTTGCCTCTGGCCCTGTCCCCTCTCCCCTGAAATTTGCCCAGAAGGGAAGGTGGCTCTTGGGCTAAAGAAGATTCCCTACTCCTGGTTGAGGGGGTGTGGGGCAGGCTGCACAGCACATATAGCTCTGTTCTTCAATACTTGTTGCTGCTTCCTGCCCATCAGCATTTGCTGCCTGAGGAAGGTGCTCATTCTGCCTAGTGATAGGGCTGGTCCTGGTGGCACCAAGCACCAGAGGAAGCAGAAGAAGAGGCAAAACCTCAATATGGTAGAGCGGAAAATCACGAATCTTTAATATTTTTAGTAGGCCTATGCAATACAGCTGTAGGCAAATAGGGAAACCATTTCAGACATCCTGCTGAATGTTAGGGGACACTGAGGACATAATTAGCAGGTGTGGCTCCTCCCATTCTTCACCTGTATGTATGGGGGGGGCGGGACAACTGGAATGAACCAAGACCTGCATCTGATTACAACAATAGATCTTACCATGTACAGTGGTACCTCAGGTTACAAACACCTCAGGTTACAAACACTTCAGGTTACAGACTCTGCTAACCAGGAAGTAGTACCTCGGGTTAAGAACTTTACCTCAGGATGAGAACAGAAATCGTGAGGCGGCAGCAGGAGGCCCCATTAGCTAAAGTGGTTAATCAGGTTAAGAACAAACCTCTGGAATGAATTAAGTTCGTAACCAGAGGTACCACTGTATAATCTATCTTCACTTTGGCTCAAAACGTCAAAAATCCAGAGCCAAGAATTGTGCCTCATTATACAAAATCTCTCACTTTCCCTGTAGGCATGCAGTCCTTGCACAAAAGTTCACATGAGACAGTGGATAGAATGAGGTTCATTGTCTCTCGATAAATGACACTTGCACATCCCCCCGCCCACCGCGGTTTCCTGGTTATATAAGCTTTAAGCATGAACAATGCTGATAAAGACATGAATATGTACAATGAAAGACAGGCTGCTAAATTATCAGCTAAACAAAGCAAATATTTCCCCCTTCAACATAGCCCTGGCACAACACAGATCCGAACAACTTTTTTCTTTTTAAAAAAAGCCTTGATTTTATACTACTATAAAATCTATCACCCTGATCTCGCCACTGTGATCCATGCAACAGTCACCTCCAGGCTTGATTATTGTAACTCACTCTACGTGGAGCTGCCCTAGAAGCTGACCCAGAAACTCCAGCAGGTGAAGAATGCTGCGACGAGACTCCTTACAGGGTCTTCGCCGCAGGATCACATTCATCCAGTGCTATATCAGCTTCAATATGGAGAGCCAGTGTGGTGTACTGGTTAAGAGCGGTAGTCTCGTAATCTGGGGAACCGGGTTCGTGTCTCCGCTCCTCCACCTGCAGCTGCAGGGTGACCTTGGGCTTGGGCTTCTTTGAAGTCTCTCAGCCCCACTCACCTCACAGAGTGTTTGTTGTGGGGGAGGAAGGGAAAGGAGATTGTTAGCCGCTTTGAGACTCCTTAAAGGGAGTGAAAGGCGGGATATCAAATCCAAACTCTACTTCTTCTTCTTCAATAGTAGTAGTAGTAGTAATTTATTTTCACCCCACCCATCTGACTGGGTTGTCCCAGCCACTCTGGGCAGCTTCCAACATATATAAAACATAATAAAACCTTAAACCTTAAAACACTTCCCTATACAGGGCTACCTTCAGATGTTTCCTAAATGTTATATCCTTAACATTTGATGGGAGGGCATTTCACAGGGTGGGCACCACCACTAACTGAAGCCAATGCTACAGTCAAATTTTGCTTTCAAAACCATGTGTTCATATGCCCATCATGCACTGACATAGGGAGAGAGGTTGCACTGACAGGTGCTGATGGGAGTTGTAGTCTAAAGGGCTACAGATTGGGGAAGGCTGCTCTAAGAAGTCAGTAGAAGATAAACTACCACTTAACCGTTCTCCTCCCAAAGTTGGGTCCACTGGTAGCAAGACACTTGGCTGTAGCCAATTAAGTTCTGTTCAGAAGACACCCATTGAAAACAATAGACCTAAGTTGACCATGGCTATTAATTTTAAGAGTCTACTGAGAGTAGAACCAACAGTGACTACAACCCTGGGCAACTGGCAGGAGGAGAGGGGAATCAAGGTTTTCCTACGCGGGTTATTTATAGTATTTGGCAGGAAATTGTATGTGTGCAAAATAAAGAAGTGTAGAGAAGTCTCATCTTTCCTAAGACTTTGTTTGGAGAGTAGCACTGCCCCATCATCATTATCATCAGCAGCATCGTCATTTCTTAAACTCGCTGTTAGCATTCCATTTCCATCTAATGAATCGCCTTGCCAATTTCGCCTTCCTGAACCGCTCCCATTGTAGCAACTGACTTCTTCCTCGGCAGACACTGTGGTCATCTGGCTTCCTTGAAAAGCCGGAACAAAATGCTCTCCATCACTTCCTTTCATCTGGCCATTAAATAAATGAATACAGGATATTAGGTTAAGGCGTTAATGACTCAGCAGACCGGGGGTAATTTGGAAATTGCTTCCGATCTCAGCTGCGGTGATGCTCTGCCAACATCCTTCTCCTGGCAATGTCTCTTTCTCCCATGGACACCCACCCACCCAATGTCTCCCAGATGTCTTGGCATATTGGGAAAACCTATTCATTCTTTGAGTCATCCATGTATGAATGCATTCTCAGAGAGGGGCAAAGGCAGACACGGAAGACATGCTTATATTAAAGTGAAGGCATTTGAAAGCATGAGTTTTCCTCCAGCCTATACAGAAAGTATCCACAGAGCAATATGCTAGATTGGTTTAGCAAATTCAAAGTGAATCATGCTTCTGAGAACACATGTGTGTGTAAGAAGGAAGTGTGAATTGCTATGCTGGATCAGACAAAGGTTTGTCTAGTATAACAGGTGTGTGCAATCAGCAACCCTAGGACCTAATTACAAAAGCCCCTTGCAAGAGACCAGTCATCCAGCAAGAGCAATCTGTCCCTCTTGCAGCAGATTGCTCAGTGGGGAGGAAGAGGGAGACAGAGATGAGGAGCAGAAAAAGAAGAAGAGAGTAGCCCCATTCACCCCTGACTTTGGCCCCACCCACAGTCAGTATGCAGACTGACAGCTTACCTCTGAGGAATTGTGGTTCTTTATAGAAAAAAGGTTGGCAGCCACTGTAGGCTAGCATTCAGTTCAGCTGCCAACCAGATGATGCTTGAGAGCATCATCCTCATAAGTGGGCCGTGGAAGTGGGATCATCACTTCCATGGCCCACTTCCCAGAAGGAGGTATTCAGCTATATAAAGCCCCCATACACAGAGGTTCTGTTTAGCAACCGGTCATGTCCCACCATGTCTCCTGGCAGGACCAGCCTTGAAGCGTGTGAGACCTTAGCAAAAGAGGAAGATCTAGCACTGACGGGATTCCACAGGAGTCAGTGGAGATTCATAACTCACCTTGGAATATACCTAACATCAAAGAAGCTGCAGGTCAGGAGGAACCAATGCACCCTGACTGGTTTTACCTCCTCATTAAGACCTCAAGCAAAGACACAGTGGCATGTCTGTATGGAGATACAAGGTCCATTAGCAGCAGAAGGACACTCCCTGAACTCTTCTTGTGAGTAGGATGCTTGATTCCTCAAGTCCTCTGCATATGGGCCCTGAAGTGGTGGGGCAGCCACACTAACCATTAAGCTGCTCAAATAAAGACAAACCAGTGCGGAAGCAACATCTCTTCTTGCCTCTGTTCCCTCTTGGACAGCACCCCTGCTGTTCTAAATCTCCTGAATTTTGACTTACTAGACGGTTCCTGATAAACTGAGCTGTGTGGTATACAAAGCAACCAATCTTTCTCTAAACCATGACCCTTCCATGAAAAACCCTTCCATGATTTTAAGAAGTCCTGTAAACTACTGCCCTTCATCACATCTTGTGATAATGAATTCCATAATTTCTTACATGTTGTGCAAATAGTTCAAGGTTCTTTATTTCAAAAGATTTGTTTCAAAATTACAGTGGTACCTCTGGTTACGTACTTAATTCGTTCTGAAGGTCCGTTCTTAACCTGAAACGGTTCTTAACCTGAGGTACCACTTTAGCTAATGGGGCCTCCCGCTGCCACCGTGCGATTTCTGTTCTCATCCTGAAGCAAAGTTCTTAACCTAAGGTACTACTCCTGGGTTAGTGCAGTCTGTAACCCAAAGTGTTTGTAATCTGAGGTACCACTGTACTTACAAAGATATAAAAATAATAAAACACACTTATTACAGATAAAGAAATACAAAGTATAGCAATACAAAAGTTAGCAAAATCATTTAAAACAGCACAAGACAATTATAAAATGCCTCCCAGAGTTTAAAAGAAGACATGTTCAGCACCAGTCTAAAAATGGGAGAACTTCTCTGGGAGAGTTCCAGAATCACAGGGCCAGCACAAAAAAGCCTCTGTCCCTGGTACTAACCAACTGGAATATCTGAAAACAACAAGGCCAACAAGGGTTGGACCTTAAGCCTTTAGCACCCCTGTAAGGGAGTCTAGGCTGAGAGAAAGTAATGAGTCCAAGCTCATTCAATCAGCTCCAAGTCTACATGAGGATTTGAACTCAGGTCTCCACTCCAAAGTGCTATATGGGGAATGGCCATAGCTCATGGGTGGAGCATCTGCATTGTATACTGAAGGTTCAATCCCTTGCATCTCCAGGTATGGCTGGGAAAGAACCCTATCTAAAATGCTGGACAGCCACTGCCAGTCAGTGCAGACAATATGGAGCTAGGTGAACCAATGGTCTCACTCAGTATAACGCAGCTTCCTATGTTCCTAAGCACCATACTGCACTAGCAAAATACTAGCAAACCAGGTAAATGAAAACAGGCCATTATTTAAACATGTCATTCCTAACTTCTGAAAGCATTATAGTTCCAGAACTGCATTATGCTTTCCCTGAACCTGTAGGTTGGTTCTAACACAAGGAAGCGAGGCAGATAGAATGGGACTTGACTAAGTGTTAGAATATGTGGGCAGAGTTTGGCCATCCACCCATCGAGGAAACCTTTGGGTCTAAGACCTGCTGACATAACTCCTGAAAGGTTAGACTCACATAACCAGGAAATCTCTTCCTGAAAGCCCACATTGTTAGTTGGCATTGTTAGTTCCAGAAATGGCCAATGAAGGACTTCCTCCCAATGCAAATATCAGGATCAGATGAGGGATTTCCTTAAACTGGCTGCTGGAAAAGATTGCATTGCCCCTCCCCCGTAGAGATCCTGATAATTATCAGCTGCCTTCCATTTGAAGCAATTTACATTACATCCCCATCCTGGGTGCATGTTAATTGCAGAGACACATTAAACATCTCTTGCAGTTTCGCCCTTAAGTACGCTCTTTTCTTAAGTGCACAGAACAAATGTTAGAATTAGGAAGGACGGAGTGGGGAGGAGTAATACAATGGGGAAGGAATTGGCATGCAATGTGCTTTTACGAATGTGAACGGAATCCCAGTCAGTCAATGCTGTGCTCTCTAAAATTGCCAGCTGGTTGCAGATACCATTAATTGATCCTATTACAAAAGTGCCTGACTCATTATGCAGTAAAGAGTTTACTTGTGAGTAGCACATGGAGGATTCAGCTGACATCTGCTGTCTTGCTGAAGCCATGCACACTCCATACTGAATTCTGTCTTCCTGTCAATGGTAGGGATATTTCAAGCAAAAAACAAACCGACACATAGATGCATAAAAAGAAAAATCTAAAAGATAATTATATTTGTTAAAAACTAGATTAAAACATCCCACCCAAGCAAAAGTGTAGGGCTGCCTTCAGATGTCTTCTAAAAGTTAGGTAGTTCTTTACCTCCTTCACATCTGAAGGGAGGGTGTTCCACAGGGAGGGTGCCACTACCGAGAAGGCCCTCTGCCTGGTTCCCTGCAACTTCGCTTCTCGCAGTGAGGGAACCAGCAGAAGACCCTCAGAGGAGGACCTCAGTGTCTGGGCTGTATGATGAGGGTGGAAACGCTCCTTTGGAAATAGTGGGCCAAGGCCATTTAGGGCTTTAAATGTTAGAACCAACACTTTGAATTGTGCTCAGAAACACATGAACAATGTGCTTCATCATGCCCACAGCTGGTTAACTTGAAATTTCATGTTGGATTCCCCCCTTACTGGATCAACTCCACTGTTTAACTGCCTTTTTTTGGGGGGGGGGGGAGATGATCTACAACTTCAGAAGAATCACACAGTACAGCCATATTTGGGTGTATGGCTTCAGAATGATGAAAGTGGTGAGGTCACATAATTAAATGCTTCCCTTTCTCAAGAACTCCCTGCTCAGGGGCAGCTGCAGTTAACAGATTATGGGGAAGGTTAGGGTAGCCTAGAAAGAGTTCTCTCTAATGTGCTAACTTTCCTAGTGGAGGGTATTATTGACACGCAATCCTAGCATTTTGAAGCTGTATGGTCCAAGGCGGGCTGTGCCATGATCTTCTCAATACATTTCCTAACTCTTTCACAGTGTTCAAAGGGAAGTCCAACCACCGTAGACATGCATACCTACATGAATGGCAATAATGTCTGATGTTTTACTGTGTTTTTATATATGCTGTAAGCCACCCAGAGTGGCTGTGGGAACCCAGCCAGATGGGCAGGGAATAATAATAATAATAATAATAATAATAATAATAATAAGCTATAGAGGTACCAACCAAACCACTCAGACCCATCGAAGGTCTCTGGCCTGGTCAGTATGAATATAACTGATCCCACTGAAGAATATCCTGAAGGATTACTCACTTGAACAGGTGATCTTGATGGACCCATAGTCTTTGCCACAGTTCTTCTTGAAGTGGCAACGCAGGCAGTTCAGCAGGCACTGAAGTTCCTCCTTTCTGCAAGGCTGGATGCCCTTTTCATCTGGGGAGAAAAGAGAGGAAGGAAAAAAAGGGGGCAGGGGCAGGTTGATCAAGCAGTGAAATGTGTACATTAACAAGGGCTCAGATCTTTGCAAGACTCATTGCTTGGATGAGAGTTTTGTTTTGCTGTCTTTCCATACAACTCAGGAGCAAAAACCAGGCTTTGCCTTTCCTTTTATCAGTCAGTGGGAAAACAGTGCAGGACTCAAGCAAACCTCTGCTAATTTGAATTGTGTCTCTAAGCTTGGGCATTGTGAAATTCAAAAAAGTGCAAATTTGGAAAGATAATGTGTGAAATGAATCTCAGCTATCTTTCCAAATTTGGACTTTTTTTTAGGAAGTACGAGAAAGGTATGTTTACATTAAAATGTGAATGCCAACCACCACAATCATTAGTCACGGGTGATGGGAGGCCGTAGTGTAATCAAAACCTCTGCAGGGCCACAGGTACTTCATCCCTGCCACGAAATATTCTTGGGGAAGGGTTTGGGAAGCAACCAGTCTCAGAAATTGCCTCCCTGCCTCTTTAAGCCCCAGGCAGACAGAGAAATCACATCTCAGTCTTGGCTGGCTCAGCATTCACAGCTGGGCCCTGTTTTCTGCTGCCAACATTCACTGGCAGTTGGAAGGCAGAGGGCACAGGGGGCCGTTGGCACCTGCCAGTTTTTCTAGGGTGGGCTTGGGTGGGAATTCATTTTGATATCCCAATATTTTGGAATGTATCCAGTCCTAGTCCTACTCAGAACAGACTCAATGAACTTAAAGAAAAATACCTTAGGTAGAGTGGAATTATATGAGTTGGTGGTATATACATAAATCAAATAAATACCAGCATCCTTGCCACCCCCTGGGCTCAGGCCACCTTCCTCTCTTAATACTTTGGCACCATGCGATGATGTAATGGAATAATTTGAAAGTGAAAATAAATGAGAGGCTGACCACAAACCAACTGCTCTTTGCAATCAAGGATTAGGAGACTGGTAGCCCAGCCTTCAGCCAGCCGTGCAAAAGGCAGGCTGCCTAAATCAGGTTTTTGTTTCTCTTCCAGTCTATTTAATTCAAGGCCTTTGTGTCAGCTTTCATAGCCCAAAGCCCATGCAGTTAGGCGTAATTGTTCGTGATTTGCAATTCTCCATACAGCTGCTCCAGCAGAAGATGTCAGTACCCCCAATGCATTTCCCAAATATCACTGCCTCTGACCACACACTGGTTTTGTATGGCTTAGGCAGCCACAGGCTTGCAGAAACCTGGAGGCCCAGCTTTGCATGGAGACCCATAATGAGATCAGTTTGGCTTCTGTGCTTTTAGCACTTGGCGGATAAACGTTCTCTACACAGCCAAGTCATTAGTGGCAGGTATCTAAAAGTCAGAATCTTGGAAACAAGGGCATTTCCCCAACAAGGACAGTGTTGACTCAGCCTCCTCTAAGTCACACAACATATATACGCCAATCTAGCACTCTTTACAGGAATATTAAAACCCCCCAAGACAAGACTGTCTTACAAATAGCTGCTCACAACCTACAACTATTTGAGTAGCCATGTGCCCACAAATACTTAACGTCCACAAATATTACGATGGCCCCAAAATGAAAAACGATATTCCAGTCTGCAATAGATGTTATTTATTTTTTGGTGGGGAGAGTTTGAACTTTATTGCTAGCTGGGAAGAAACAGTACTGAGGTGCTATGAAGGTTGTTTTGGAAAGACTGGTGCTGCTTTAGATGACCACAGTGTCTATGTTTCTGCTTGCTTCCCACCTGCTCAAACTGTAGGTTTCTAACAACGCAGGCTGATCAGCAGAGCAGCAGGCAGCAACACAGAAAAACACGTGTTTTTCAGAACACACAGCTAGTCCTGAAAAAGCATCCTTCTCCCTTCTCAACAAAGCAGCAGCTAGTTATTACAAAAACAATTCAGGTTTCTAGTACTCATCTCGCCATCCTCTCAAAAATCTTATTTGGTAAAAAAAATCTAATACCCAATGATGACTGGGCATGTTCAGTGGACACTGAATGCTGAGTTGCTGTTGGAGCAAAAGATGGAAAACTGGATAGGGGGGATGGAATGGAGTTTCCTGGAAAAGAGCAGAGCTAGCTATAACCCTGAATAGGAATATTCCATTTTTATGGATTCACAAGGCCCTTTCTCGTCTCAGTATGCAATCTTATTGCTGATATAAATCGTATCATATTCAAGATTTGCCTGCTTCATGTCTCTTCTGTGCAATAACCTGATTAGTTTCCAAAGCCATATGAAAAAATCCTCACCTTCTTGTTGTTGCAGCCGCTTTCCTTCCCACCCCCACCCTCTCCTTATTATAAAATGCTCTTTGGCTTCACAGTACATGGAAGCTGTGTTTGAAAATAAAATTGCACCAAAGCTATCAAAATAGGTCTCTGTTGTATTAATTGGAAGTGTTAGAGGAGGGCTCTGGGGAATGATATGATATTTAAGGGAACAGAAGGCACAAAGAGTGACTTGTTTAGAATCTGATGGCAGAGGAAGCTGAGGCAACCTCAAAGGAGGCAAGCAGGAAGTGACCCAGAAACATACCTCCTCCTGAATCAATTCACAACAGGTGCAGAATATCAGAAAGTTCTAAATTAGCTGCCTATGCCTGGGGACCAACTAGAATCACAGTGTTGAGTTGATTAACTCAACAGCTTTATCAACACAAATTTAACAACTAAAAAGGTCTGACAAAATGTAGTTATTTATTCAATAATTTTGAAGCACCACTTAATATTTTAAAACCTCTAAGGGGTGTATAACATTAAAAACAATCTGAAATATAAAGGAAGATAAAATAAAACCAGTAAAATCATAGTACAAAAACCATATAAGAACAGGAATGCAGGGAATCCAAACAAGTAAATAATAACAACAGGGTTGTTAAGGGTCAAGGAAGGCCTGAGCAAAAAGTCAAGTCTTTGCAATACATCAGAAGCAAATGATGGAAGGGTGGTCCATAGTATAGGGGCAATCGTGGAAAATGCACGTTTTTAGGTTACATTCAGTAGGGTGCAATGTGGTACCACAGGTACAATTGCCCCAAGCAATGACTCAAGGGTCCCCAAGCAATAGTAGCTCCAAGGAGAAGATGAACCTAACTCACTTCCAGTAAACCTGTCAGCAACAGATTCTGCACATGGCTCCCTGATCTGTGATGATTAACCTTTGCCAAGGAACTACCAACTCCTCTGAAGATGAAGAAAGTTCTGAACAGCTTCCAAGGACTATACCATGGCAGCCTCAAGCCCTGCCAACTAGAGCACTGGTCAGTTGGTGCTCTCAGAATGTGTGGCTTCAGTCTTGATCCTCCAGGGGAGACTGTAAAGCTGTGGAAGGTGCTGCAGGCCATTGCTGAGGCAACTTGCTCCTCTTGTTCTTCACTGTAGGATCACTGTCCAGGGTCCTGGAAATCTTGCTTCTGTTTTCCAACTCAGCACCCTTCAGAATCCTGACCTCATCCGGGCACAAAGATGACTTGGCTAGTCCCGCCTCTTTCCCACCACCACTTCCCCCCAGTGATGGCTACTGCTATGGGTCAGGACACTACGACAGTCTTACACACTTCAATCAATAGGAGAGACAACAAAGGAAATGAAATACTGGGTGACAAGCAAAAATGTGAGTAGAAGACTGGGAAAGTTGAGGATAACGAGGGATGAATATAAGCAGAGAAAATTTCTATGTACTTACAGTTCATTTCAGCTGCGGATGAGGACAACACAGGTAAAGCCAAAGGCTACAGAAATGGTAGGTTTTGAAGAGGGATCTGAAGGAAGAAGGAGACCCAGCAATGATACATCTGCTGTGTGAAAATCTGAGAACATTTTCCATGCTTCAACGAAGACCGTATTAGTCATGGTGAGGCAGCTGGGCACCAGCATAAAATCCTAAAAATGATTCTCTGAACCCTCTGCCCCCCTTTTTTGCCTTTCTGTTCAAAACAGCAAATCATCCAGGAGAAATCACTCACCTCCCATTTAATAAGAAATAATAACCATTTTGGAGTCATTGCTGAGCCTCAGCAAGCAATATATATTTCTAGGCTGAGTCCTTGACTGATGTTTAAGACACCTCTGAGCAGAACAACACCACAGTTCAATATGGAACTGGAATATGCTCTTAATCCCTCTAGGAATCCATACAGACTACGAGTGCAGGAAGGATCATAAAAGTGTTCTCTGTGAAGGACATGACACTCTGGAGGGCTGCAGAGCTTTCTCAACAAGTCATTTCCCATGAAGGATTCAGCTGCTCAAAGGCAAGCCGCAGTTGATTCATTCTGGACTGGTTCAGATGTTATGTTGGGATATGAGGATGCTAGAGGAGGGTTGTATTTTGAGGTATATTTTGCCAGAATCTTTCTGGTGCTAGAATCTGAGCCAGCACACCAGGTTCTATAGGGTAAACACACCATTTAGACCAGCTTCCCCCATCCTAGTGCCCTCCAGTTGTTGCTGGATTACAGTTCCCATCATCCTTTACTATTGGCCATACTGTCTGGGGCTGATGGGAGTTGGAAGTCCAACAACACCAGAAGGACTCCACCTTGGCTACTCCTGGGTTAAATAAACAACAGTTCCAACAAGCTCAGAAATTATGGGAAACTGGTTAGGTTAAAAAATCAGAAGCAATTTTTTCCTGTCTCCTTCATGCAAAAGAGGAGGAGAGGGGATGCCTGCCCCAGTTTGTTTACAAACCCTAAATTCTGAGGGAATGCTGGGGCCCATCAGGGCTTCAACACATCTCCCCAAACAGACAAGCTACACCAGCTCTGGAGCTGGAGTAATTTATTTCTCTCCCACTGGAAACTGGGAGCGTGTTGGGGGCCTGTTAGGAGAACACGTAGATTCACAGCCCCTCGTGGCACACCCCTTAATCACTCCTAGAATGCTTCCTCTGACATTGGAGAGAAGCCACTTGTGGACTTTTCTGCAGCCTTTCAATGGGGGCATCTAATGTTGGATCTCCCTTTTGAGGGTAGATCCATCTCTCTTTCCTTGGAGAGAGAAAGATGTGGTTGTTCTTACAACTCATGTGATACCCTCCTGGGGCACTCACATGATTTCAGTCTGAAAAGTGGTTTATAAATCTTTTAACAACATTCAAACAAACAAACAACCAACCACATCCCTTCTCAAATGATAATAATTTAAGAGACAGCCAAATCTGCACAATTGTTCTTAAGCTGAGGCTCTCAGGAAGCTGAATCCTAAGCCAAATATCTACGTAATTATTTAAAGCAGGTGTGGGTAACCTTTGGTCTTGCAGAGGTTGCAGGACTACAATGCCCATCATCCTTGACCACTGGCCATGCTTGCTGGGGCTGATGAGAGTTGCAGCTCAGCAACACCTGGAGGACTAAAGGTTCTCCCCACTCTTTTTACCAATACGGTAGCTGAGGTAGCATAGGCTATGAAAACGGTAAAATCCAAATTGCAATTTTAAAAATGGTTATTTAAAAACATCAAAGCCAGCAAGGGATTAAAACCCCCCACAATTAACAATATAAAGAAACAAAAACTGCAGCATCTAAAAGCCACAATATGAAATAGAGGAACGGCAATAAGAACGACAAATCAAACATTAAAAAGCCTGCTGCCGTTTGCCATCTTAAAAGCAGCTAAGTTTGGCACATCAGTAAGTCTGCAAAGGGCACTCTTGAAAAAGACATTCCCCTGTGCCTGTAGGACTGCAAAAGCAGAACCTAGCTATCAAAAAGACTTACATAGGAGATGGGGGTCCTGCAGGGATGGTGCAACTAATCCTCTTAAGTTAGAGCAGGGGTGGGGGTATTTTTCAGCCAGAGAGCTGCATTCTCTCATAGGCAACATTCTGGGGGCCACAGGCAGAGCCAGAGGCCCAAGTGAGGAACTGGTGCAGAGGTTTCCACGTATACCCTACCATTTCTCTATCCTCCACACAGGCAAACAGGAGGTACTATCCCAATTCAAGGATATATTACACTCTGGCCAAAATACTCAAGAAGTGTTTTAGCAGGGTCAGAATAGGGTGCATAGCCTCTGGGTAGACGGTGTGGACTGGGAAGAGTCCCACCCCTGGTCCTGAGGTTCTGCCACCCCTGGATTAGAACCTTCACTTGTCATATTCTGAGTTTCTTCTGTACTTCCTATGGAACCACTGAGAACACACACAGCCTGTAGCTTATATGCTCTTAATGCCAGTCCAGAGTGGTGCTCCTGGTCACTGAAGGCAATGTAGGAAGGACATGCAAGTGGAACAAGGGTCTCTCTCTCTCACTCACTGTGCTGTGCATCTCATTTTCCCTACCTGGAATGTGGGAGGGAGGCTGTACTTTTTACCATAGGTGACAGGATTCACATCTACAGTGGAAATGCTTTCACTAAGGAAGGGGGGAAAAAGAAGAAACGGAAGAAAATCAGGGCACCAACCCCGCTCATGGATTCCGCTTGCAAAGCAAAGGAAGGCACAGCCATCGCCACACAAGCTTTCACCATGCATAAAAAAACCTTGCCTCATTTTTACAGTGTTCAGTGGTCACAAGCAATATTTAACAAATGGTGATGATGATGATGATGCCAGGAGGAATGGTGGTTCTAGAACAGTGGTTCCCAAAGTGGCAGGTACCTCCATCTGGGGTTACCTGGGAGGTGGGCTAAAGGCAAGGGGGCAGCAGGAGGATGCTGGAGGTGTAAATGACTATCAGACTTTGAAAAGCTGGTATCAAACTGGACCAATTTCATCAATTTTGTTGAGTTAACTGAACTAGTTTTAATTGGATTTTGAATATACATGCAAATAATTGTTACTGTTTTGAATTTTATTGAGTTATTATCTTCCCTTATAGGGTAGGGTAAGGGACACGGTTCTTAAAGAAATGGCAAGTTCTTAAAGAAATGGGAGTGCCTGATCACCTCATCTGTCTTTTGAGAAATCTCTATGTGGGACAAGAAGCTACAGTTAGAACTGGATATGGAACAACTGATTGGTTCAAAATTGGGAAAAGAGTACGGCAAAGCTGTATATTGTCTCCCTGCTTATTTAACTTATATGCAGAATTCATCATGCGAAAGGCTGGGCTGGATGAATCCCAAGCTGGAATTAAGATCGCCGGAAGAAATATCAACAACCTCAGATATGCAGATGACACAACCTTGATGGCAGAAAGTGAGGAGGAATTAAAGAACCTTTTAATGAGGGTGAAAGAGGAGAGCGCAAAATATGGTCTGAAGCTCAACATCAAAAAAACGAAGATCATGGCCACTGGTCCCATCACCTCCTGGCAAGTAGAAGTGGAAGAAATGGAGGCAGTGAGAGATTTTACTTTTTTGGGCTCCATGATCACTGCAGATGGTGACAGCAGTCACGAAATTAAAAGACGCCTGCTCCTTGGGAGAAAGGCGATGGCAAACCTAGACAGCATCTTAAAAAGCAGAGACATCACCTTGCCAACAAAGGTTCGTATAGTTAAAGCCATGGTTTTCCCAGTAGTGATGTATGGAAGTGAGAGCTGGACCATCAAGAAGGCTGATCGCCGAAGAATTGATGCTTTTGAATTATGGTGCTGGAGGAGACTCTTGAGAGTCCCATGGACTGCAAGAAGATCAAATGTATCCATTCTTAAGGAAATCAGCCCTGAGTGCTCACTGGAAGGACAGATCGTGAAGTTGAGGCTCCAATACTTTGGCCACCTCATGAGAAGAGAAGACTCCCTGGAAAAGACCCTGATGTTGGGAAAGATGGAGGGCACAAGGAGAAGGGGACGACAGAGGACGAGATGGTTGGACAGTGTTCTTGACGCTACAAACATGAGCCTGACCAAGCTGCGGGAGGCAGTGGAAAACAGGAGTGCCTGGCGTGCTCTGGTCCATGGGGTCATGAAGAGTCGGACACGACTAAACGACTAAACAACAACAACAACAACAAGGGGCACGGGGGATGAGGTTATGGAACACTTCTTGTCATTATGCAACAGCATCAATTTTGAAATCATGGTTGATGTACCTAAGGGAAGAGGACGAGGTCTGTATAACTACCCTGACCTGTCTTTGGCAACCTGGTGCCCTCCAGATTGCCTCCATCATCACCATGCTGGCTAGCGCTGATAGAAATTGGAGTCCAACAACATCTGGAGGCAATTTCATCCTGTTACGGGGCAGTCCTATACATAACAATTCAGAAGTAAGCCCCATTGCTTTTTGGTAGGGCTTATATATATTGGATTGCAGCCTTAAACTACTTGGCTGCTCACGAATTGGAGGAGAAAAGAAACAGCAAAGAGACAAATCCGCCAGTCCAAGCTAAAATCAGTTATATGACTCAGACCACATTCTAATTAGTGTAATAGGAAAGGAGTTATGCCTGGCAAAATGTTGGTACCTCTCCTGCCAACTTGCTAGACTTGTGCAGATTCCACAGTGTGCAAGTCATCCTTGACACAAGTTCAATGCAAGGCAATCAGAAGCTACCCTCAAATGACCTTGACTGCACAGGCTGTGACTTTGGGGCAATGGGAAGATGGAATTATTGGCTTTGGCAGATACTTTCCCTGCTTCTGTACTGTGCTTTGCTTGGGACAGGTTTGTAACAGCGGGAAAAAACCTTTGCGTGGTTTTGTCTTGATTTTTTGTGTGTGCAATGTTTAATGAAAATAATAAAAATTGCTTAAAAACAAAAAATTAAAACCAGGTAAAAACGAGCACCGCTCATTAAGGTGGGCTAGAAATATTGTAAATAAATGAATTCAAGATGAAACCAAGAACACAATGAATAAAATCCAAAAATGGGGAAATAGGCAGTACACTTTGGTAAATACGGTACATAAAAGCGGCAAGAGGACAGAGCAACAACTCCACTCCCCCATGGGAAAGTGGAACAAAACAGAACAATAAATAGGCAGCCAGGCAGCATGAAAGTCAGGAGCTAATTGGACCCCATAAAAACCGGATCACATTTGCTAAAAGATTTCTGAAAGAGACAAGTCTTGGCTGGACGCCTAGAATAATATAGTGTATGGGAGGTGATTCTATCAATCCTTGGCATCTCCAAATAGAGTTGGGGGAAGAATCTCTGTTTAAAACCCTGGAGAGCTGCTGACAGTCAGGGTAGACCAGGGACAAGCTCCTGTTTCAGCCAGAGGGCCTCACACCCTGCTGGACAACCTTCCATGGGCCATATGTGAGTTATGGGTGTGGCCAGCAGCAAAAGTGGATGGAACTACCATTAATTTTACCTTGATACGGTAGACTGGTTTCTATGCCTATGCATACAACCCTCTCAATCATCCACCCAGAGCAAGAAAAACTTGCTTGTTTTTGCCACAGTCTGGCAAAACCACTCATTGAGGGTGGAAAGTAGGGCCAGCGGGGGTCAGGACTGGCCCAAGACATTTTGGCACCTGAGGCAAACCACAAAATGGCACCTCCTCCTTCCCAGGGAAGAAGGGGTGAGTGAAGATCTACATTAGGAACAAGGAGGAAATAAAGATCTACATCAGGATCTGCTGCACCTGTTGCCTAAGGTGGCTGCCTCCCTTTGCCTCATGGGTAGACTGGCCTTGGTGAGGGTTGTATCAGGGGGTTCCAAGGGCCAGACAGAGGCCTAGAGAGCCGCATTTGGCCCCCAGGCCAGAAGTGCCATACCCTAGTGCAGATTGGCCAAATGGATCCGTGGTATCTGTCTCGGTGTAAGGCAGATTTCTATGTTCATTCAGCAACAGCCCCTGGAAAGAGGCCTCAAATGCAGAACAAATGAAAGCAGCCCTTAAGATGCCCTGGTCCAAATCTCTTTAGGCTTTAGATATACCAGATATTTATTTGGTCCTACATGCTGAGTCCTGGCACCCTCAGACCAAATTCAGTCTTGCACATATCTGCGGAGCAAGCAGAGCAAGCTTCAGACTGGACAAACGTGTCTGTTGCTTCCTGCAGCAGCGTCCAGCTTACAGAGGGATTATTCTGTCTTGCTGGATGAAGGATTTGGTTGGGCAGGACTTAAATGCTTTCTCAACCTCTGGCCTCTCTGGTTCTGGAGCCCCAGATTGCACAGGCGCCAGCTGTACAAGCAGGCATGATCTGGAAAAGGGCGTCGAGCGGGCAGTGCCTTGCGTGCATTTAATCAAGAAGGTGCCAAAAACTGGGGCAGAATTCCTTGTAGAAAGATTCTCAGCTGGCTCTTAAAGGCCCTGCTCCCAGATGGGTTAAGAGCATGGGAGCTAAGCAGCAGCTGCTTAATTAAGAAGCTCTGCCCTTCACAGTCACATATGCCACTTCTTTCAAGGCCAAGGGAAGCGCTGCAAATGCTGCAAAGCTCAGAACCAGGAGACAGCGAGGAAAGACAAGACTAGGACTCAGCCGCTGTTTAGTAAGTAAAAGACCCCAGGTGCAACTCCCAGCATTCCCAGGGCTAAATCCATGCCATACATTTAAAGCAGAGTCATGCCACTTTAACTGCCATGGCTTCCCTCAAAGAATCCTGGGAACTGCTGTTTCTTAAGGCTACTGGGAACTGTAGCTCTGTGAGGGGTAAACACTAAAGCAAATCCGTATGTATTAGGGCTAGTCCATAGTGGATGGTGGCACCCACCTGACCTCCTGACAGCTGAGTCACCGCGGCTTACTGGGAAAGAGAGTGGAGAGGTTGGCATGGTAGAAACGCACTACCAGGAGGGCTGAATTGGCTCTGCTGGTGCTTTTGTGCTGTGCCAACCTTACCACTGCCTTGCCCTTTCCTTCCCAGCAAGGAGCAACAATTAAGTTGTTGGGAGGTCAAGTGAGTGTGCCACCCAAAACCAGGGCTGTTCCTTCAGAATATGCTGTTCCTGACCTAAGTGTCAAGAATTTAAGCTAACCCATACTGAAATTAAACACAAAATCCATGTTAAAATATTTCCTTTCTGGGAATTGAGGACTACCAAGTGTTCCAAAATAAGCAACTGAGACACATTCTTGGTCAGGGAGCAACCTAAATGGACTACTTGTTGCTGAACTACAACTCAGCCACAGCAAGGAGAGAAAGGGGGGAAATCCTTTGTTTGGTTTTAGATGATGTAGTTGTGTTTTGTGTTTGTTTTCTTATAAGAGGTATCCATCCTTACCAGGCATTCCTCCTCATACAGGAAGGAATGCCTCTTAAGATGGCAGAGACAGGAAACCTGCATCCCTCAAGAAGTTCCATGCCTACAACTATCATTTCTCTCTGTTGGCCATGCTGGCTGGAGCTGATGAGAGTTGGAGCCTGGAGGGCGTGAAGAGCTACAGGTCCCGCACCTCTCTTTTACATATTTATGATAAAATAAAGACTTAATGTAGTCAGCAAACACAAATTCAATATTAGTCCATATTATTTTAAAAGAATCATATTTTGTGTCCTTCTCACCAGTCAGGAAATAAATCAACATGAATCTGTACTATTTAGTCATCATCATCACCATCAAAATCTTATATAAGATTCTAGATTGCACCCAGTACTGCAAATGGTGGCAGGAAATCCTGTACCTCCAAGTTCCAATTCATTATGAAGTTACTCCACCTTCCAATAAACTTTTTGTGTGTCTGTGTTCTCTAACACCGACATAATTTGTTAATTCGATCATATCCACAATAATAGAATTTTATATTAACAAGATGTCTCTTCCCCCTCTTGCTTATTGTCTCCTTTCTGCTGTAAGAATAGCATGTTCTAATCATCTGCTGGGATTATTGGTCTGACATAACAAAATAATACAGTTAAAGGGTTCAACGATAGGGTTCATGCCATTTCCTTTATGTGATTAAGAACTAGCTTCCAAATGTTATGACCCTAGGACATGTCCAGTAAATATGACCTATATCTGCTTGCATTGAATTACACTGCCAGCGGTTATTATTAACCCCAGGGAAAGTTCAGTTGGATCTCAATAGAGTAAGACACCACCAGAATAACAATTTGTAAGAGCGTTCTATAAGATTCACACTTTGGCATTCACACTTAAAGAGGCCTTTAATGGTGGTAACCAAGTTCTAAACCCATTTTTAAATAGCTGCAGAAATATTCTGCTCTAACTCTTTCCCCCTGGCTATCACGTGTGCGTATAGGATTGCACTGTAGTCCTATTCACATTTACCTGGGAGTCAGTTCCATTGAAGTCATGGGACTTATTTATTAGATGACAGTAAACGTCCAGCTTCAGCAGTGCTATAGCTGTTCCAAGGTCATTCCCTGGTTCTCTAGTGAATCAAGACCTTTGCAGTCATACTCACACTCACACTCATCATCATCATCATCATCCTCATCCTCATCACTGCTGTTATTGTTATTTTATTGCCTTCTGGGCATACGTTTCAAGGCAATGCACAAAATTCAGTACAAAACTGCTGAAAGAAATAAAAGAAATAGCAGCAGAGAAATTTCAAAATGGCCCAAAGCAGACACCCATAACAGAGATTTATTTATCCAGCTTGGTAAAGCCTGTCAGAAAAGAAATGCCTCCATTTTTGTCTGGTGCCTGTTGTATCTCAGTGTTGTTCTACAGAACAAGAGCAACTACCCTAAAAGCCCCCTCTCTCTTCTATTGAATGCCACACGATCCCCATTCTCAACTTCAGAAACACCTATCTTAGAGGAATATAGGCTTTGCAGATTCACCACTCAGAGCGTGACAAGGTAAATTCAGTTAATCTCATTGGGCTCCTTTGTGTGTAACAGCAACGTTCACACCTACAGGAAGATTCAACCCAGAAAGCGAAGATAGGAAGCTGCTATATTAACTACTGGTCCATCTAGCACAGTATTGTGTATGTTGACTAGCAGCGGCTCTCCAAAGTTTCAGACAGGAGCCTTTGCCCAACCTATGCAGAGATGCCAGGGACCAAGCCTGGGACCTTCTGCATGCAAAGCAGGCGTGCTCTGCCACTGGGCCCTTGAAACGATCTGCTTCCTTCTATTTTTGTTTCCACTTCCAGATCAGGAAAGCTGGTTTCACAAGCTCTTCCCAGCCTGAATGACCACCAGACCAACCAATCTTGTTTCTATTTGGCCAGGGAGTTCAAGGCGGTGTGCGTGACTCCCCCTGCCCCACAATTTCACTCTCACAACAACCCTGTGCGGTAGATTAGGCTGAGAGGCTGCAGTGTCACCCATTGAACCTCATGGCTGAGTGAGAATTTGAACCAGGGCCTCTCCAGTCCCAGCCCGAGTCTCTAACAGCTACAAATGAAAGAAATTGCTGTCAATGAACCTCAACAGTCGTAAACCCAGTAAGCTCTATGGTAGTGATGTGGCCATCTTTGGTCCTCCAGATGTGTTTGGACTCCAGCAAAGGTCCATGGTTAGGGATGATGGCTGGTAGCTGTAGCCCATATGGAGGACCACAGGTGCCCCTGCCCTGGTCAAGGGTGCCCAAGGCACAAGTGTTGCTACATTGTCCTAAGAGCAAGTGTGCCTGCACAGCAAATTTCAAACTACCAAGATACAGACACCACACACATACATTAAAAGGTCTTCAAGTACCAGGCTATACAAAACACACACGTATATGTCCACTGAACATATAAGGGGAGTAGGACAGGATCTTGCCTGTTGGTCACACACCCAGCACTGATGTTGCTGCTAGCCATGTCCGTCAGGTGACTACAATGTTAGTGAGGAAGGGACTTACTGGCATGCAAGCAGTCAGGGATCCTAACTGACACATAAATGATAAACACAGAGTTGTAGTTTCTTATTAAGGCAGAGCAGGCAACTGCCAGGAGGGGATATGGCCAGTGAATTGGGACAACCCTGCTCAAAGAGAGGGGATGGGTGGACAACTCTTCTCTTTTATTTAACGAGGCTTACATTACCGAAGCTGGCTAAAAGTTTGGGCAATCTTATAAACAGCTCTGTGAATGCAGCAAGGCTTTTGCTCTCCCCTTTCCTGATCGATTTCTTTGTGGGAATTTTCAAGGGAATGTTCTCAGAGTACAGCAACTGCTGACTATTAAAGCAGCTACTGATCTCCCACACGGACACATGCACACATGCACTCTCTGGAGCAAACAAATTCGTAAACACTGGCAGATTACTTTTGCAGATTGGAATAATGGCTGCCTCTTCCCAGATGGATAATGCTTCCCAAGAAAAGAGAACGGTGGAGGTAAAGAACTTGGTGTGTATGTGTGTGGGGGGGAGAAGAGTCTTAATAACAGTTTGTTTTGGTTTGCACAGCAGATGTCATTTAGTGGTACACGACGTTGTCAAAGCACACCCACTCAGTTTACTAGCCAGATTTTAGGAATCCATTAAACATTCGCTCCAGTGAGTGGAAATAAAATCCAGTCATTCACTTACATTTTGGAAAGCCTCCTGTTTTAGGGAGCAATGTGCACAGCTTTCTGGTCTCTTACAGGGCAATCCTATTCATGTCTACTCAAGCATAAGACATGAGACTTCAGTGGGGCTTACTCCCATCTAAGTGGGCAAAGGATTTGCTGTCTTAAGGCTTCATAGGGGCAGAGACAATTGTGGGCTGTGTAAGTGAGCACGCTAAGGGTGCAACTCTGCCAGTTACCAAGGAAGATCCATGCCCACAGGATTCAATTAAGTCTTTCTTCTGAGCAGACATGGTTAGGATGGCACTGTGATTCTCTTTGCCACTGCTCCCCGCTGAAAGGAGAGGACAAATCCTGGAGGACCCTGGATCCACCCAGCACTGATTTGCAGCAGCTGGCCTGACAGTGGACTTCTGGGTGGAAAGGGAAGGTTAAGGGTGGGAATGCTGTTGGGTTGATGTGAATGGTTTTGGGGGTTTGTTTATCTACTGGTTTGTGTTTATTTGCTGTTTAGTGGGTGTGAGTTTATTGTCTGAAAATGACTAATGTCTTTTTGTTACTGGTTAGGGGACTGGTGTGTTGCTTTTATTTTCCTATATGGTGTATGAAATGTTAACATATTATATGGCCTCTCCTGATTTGGATGTTATAGAGAAATAGATTATCCATATACTGGTGACATCTCACACCAAACTTCAAAATGATCACTCCCAACAGTTTCATGTAGATGTTAAATACTAATGGGGACAGGATGACACCCTGTGCCACACCACAATGCAGCTGCCAGGAGGCCAAGAAGTGATCACCCAGTGATAACTCTGAAACTGACCCTGGTGAAACAGTGCCTCAGTACTCATCTCACATGGCCAATTCAGGAAGGTATCTGTTAAGTTGTGGGTGAACATATCAGACGACACAGCGATTCTTCAAACAGCTCTTGTTTATTCACAGGCCCAGAACAGCACTGAGCTGAAGGGTTCAGCCAACCTGCTTATATAGAGCTCAACTACAAAGCAACAGTAACAACTTTCTGTAACTATCCAATCACCGAACGTCACTTTCAATCCCTTATTTGCATATGTGGACCTGAGTGAAAACTACTTACAGTATCCCCCTGCTGGCCCAGGGTGAGAACTTCAGTACATAACAGTATCATGGTTAAAGACACCAAAAGCAACTGAGGAAGAGTAATAGGGTCACACTCACTTTGCCTTTCTCTCAACAAAGGCCATCCATCAGGGCGACCAGAGTTGATTCAGTCCTGTAACCAGGTCTGAACTCCAACTGAAATGTGTCAAGATAATGAGTTTCACCCAAAAGTACTTGCAACAGTCACACCATCACCTTCCTCCATCCCAAGCATATGATGTAAACAACAGGAGCCTATTGACAAAAATGTACTCCAGTCAATCAGTGACCTATAAGGTATCTCACACATTATGAACAGCTTTACTAAAAGAACACAAGACCCACCCAGACATACACTTGCACCCTGTCTCACACTCAGAGAACACCAACCCTCTGCCAATTACAGGTTCTCATCCTGCACAGGAAATGCACCTGACTTATGCCCTCACTACATTCAGTCTCTTCCTGGTTGAAATCAAAATAGAAGAGGAGTAGTGCCCTTGTGCTGGGAACAAAGGGGCTCCCCAACAGAGGGATAAATAGATAAATAAATATATAAACAGAATGATATCATCAAGACAATACTTTGGGGCAGAAGCTCAGGGTCCTGCTTAACAGAATGAGCAGGAAAACCCCCAAAATGCAACAGGCTTGGTTTTTGACATTTTAAATTGATACATAGTGCAATCTGAAGTCCAGAGCCTAAAATTATCCTTAACTGCATCATTGCATGCAGTGTATCTGTCCCAACCTGGTATCTTCCAGATGTTTTGGACTACAACTCCTACCAGCCATGACCATTGGACATGCTAGCTACAGCTGATGGCAATTGTAGCTCACACCTTCTTGAGGGCATTAAGTTGAAGAAGGCTGATGCAGAGGATTGACTTGTCCTGCTTTCATTTAAGATGAGTTAAGTATGGGGCCTTGCATATAGTGCTTTTAATATTTTATTACAGCATCTGCCTTGCATGCAGAAAGTCCCAAGTTCAATCCCTGGTGTCTCCAGGCAGACTTGGGAGACTCCTGCCTGAAACCCTGGAGAGCTGCTGCCAGTCAGTGTAGACAATACTGAGCTGGATGGGCCAACAGTCTGACACAATATAAGGCAGCTTCCCATGTTCCAGTGTGCCTCCAGTGTGGGAGAGCCCAGCACGCCTCTAAATAACCAGTTCTATGGTCAAACTGCTCTGCCCATCAATCCCCCCCCCCCGCATGTTCAATGGAAGTCCACCATATTGTAACTTAAGCCCATTAGACCCAGTCCTACCCTCCGGGGCTGCAGAGAACAAATCAATTAGATGTATACCAGGTTTTGAAATGCAATTGTCTAAGTTTGCCAAAACCAAAACAAACCCCCACTCTCCTTCTGCTACCATTTGTGCAGTTATAAAACACCCAGCAACGATTAGCATGTAAATATTATTTTATTGTCTTTCTTTCCTCCTCCCATCAAATAATGTCAAAGTAGGAAACAGAAGCCCATCTGCTTTCTCGCTGCAAGTGGCCCCATCCCTTGTGCCAGGAATGGAGCAGGAAATGAGAGAGAGAGATGCTTTTGTAGCTGTACTTACGCATGCAATGTGTTACAGATGCTTTAAAAGTTTCAATAGAAAACCCCACTGCCGCTGACACAATTGTGCCAAAATGATGTGTTTCACTGCAGGGCTCTTAGACACCACATGCTCATCAGCACAGGTGCTCTCCTCCTCCTCCTCCCTTCCTCTCCCTCCAACTACACAAAACCAATTAAGAAGGGAGGGAAACACAGACCAATTCATAGATGTGACTAACAGGTGTACATGCAACACATTTCCCCCACCCCATGCAGACATGCAGGCTTTCCCTTTCACCCACTTGAGCTGCATAATCGGGGAGTGGCTAAAAAAAGAGGTTTAATCCATACTCTAAAAATTTAGACATACAGTACTGCATTCCAGAGCGCTGTTTCTACCCTGCCTGCGTTTCCACGTTGCCTTGCTAAGTGCAAAAATATGGAAAGGGTTATATTATTTCCGATAAAATCATTTGGATTCCTCCCCCCCAACCAAAAGGTGAATTCCCATGAAACAGACATGCACCCGTTTAAATTTAGCACAGCCCTCTCCAACCTTGCGCCCCCACCCAATGTTTTGGACCACAACTCCCATCATCCCGAGTACTGGCCATGCTGGCTGGTGCTGATGGGAGTTGGAGTCTGACAACATCTGGAGAGCACCGGCTTGAGGAGGGCTGACCTGGTGCGTGGGCATTTCAAGGGATGCGCGCCCGGGAAGAACGATGCGCGTGGATTTCGTCTTAAGGATGGATGGAGGAAGGAAGCCTTTGGAAATGTAGGGTGCAAGTGCACAGCCGCGTGGGCTGGCGGGGAGAAGCCCCGGCAGCAGACCTCCCCGCCCGACCGCCCTCCCTCCCGCAGGATCCGTCGCCCCGTCCCCTGCCTCTTACCGGAGCCCATTCAGGCGACCGATCTCTCCATGCACTCCGACGGCTGCAGCCCGGCGACGACGGCGAAGGCGGCGGGAGAGGCAGACTTCCGCTTTCGCCGCCGCCGCCGCCGCCGCCAGCCCGGCCAGAGCAGCGGCGAAGAGGCGGAGGCGGGACGCGGCGCTCCGTGACCTCCGACCGCCGCCGGCAGCAGCGCCTTCCCAGTGGCTGCGGCGCGGCGCCGGGTTGCCGGCTGCCGAGAGAGCCCCGCGTGGCCGTGCGCTTGGCGCCTGCAGGCAGCCGCCGCCGCCGCGGCATCTGGGCTCCCTCGGAGGGCCCAGCCCGCCGCCCGCCTGCTCAGCCGCCCGGTCCGCCTGTAGCAGCAGCGCCTCGACGTGGCGGAGAAGAGGCGGGCAGCGGAGCGCGCCGAGGGGACTGGCGCCGGGACGCCCCCCGACCTCCCCCGCCAGGCAGCGGCTCTTCCTCGGCTGCCCTTCTCAGCTGGGGTAGAAGTTCTGCTCAGCCAAGCGCTCCGGAGGAAGAGGAAGAAAGCGGACCTTCCGCGAATCAGGGCCTTTAGCAACAGGGAAAGGAAGATGTGAGCATCTCGAGTGCAGAAAGAAAAGGGCTCCTCTGGACAGGTGGATTTCCTCCCGGCCATTCCCCCCCAATGCATTCTGTAGCATTGATTGATTGATTGTCTTTCTATGCCAGGTTTTCCACCAAGGAGCTCAAGGTGGTCCCTGTCCTCGTTCAATCCCCGCAACCCTGTGAGATGGGTTAGGGACTGAGAGGCGGTGGCTGACCTGAGGTCACCCAGTGAGCAGCGTGGCTGAGTGGGGATTGAACCCTGGTCACACAGGTCCAACATTCTAGCCACTGCATCTCACTGGCTCTTGCGTAGGTAGCAGTATTTGATGCAAGAATAGCATATTAATGACGGATTTATTCTGGATTGTCCACACACTTTATCAGCTGCTCAGCAAAGCTTTCCCATTGTTATTACACACACTATGCCTTCGAGGCGCATTCTTTCCTTCAAAGAATTCTGGGCACTATGGTTTGTTAACAGTTGTTGCTGGGATTTATAGCTCTGTGAGGGGTAAACTACACTGCCCAGAATTATTTGAAGGACAAAATATGCTTTGAATGTGGTTTAAAGGTCTAGTGTGCACCTAGCCACGTTATTGCCATCTGGAGGCAAGCTGTTGTGCAGCAAAAGCTGTGATTTAGCTGTGATTCCCCTATTGCAGGGGGTTGGACTAGATGACCCTTGGGTACCTTCCAGCTCTACATTTCTATGATTCTAAAAGTAGGACAAAAACAACAACCCTTAGAATATTTATGGTATAAAAAGTGGGATTGTGTCTAACTGCTCTGAGATCATGTGGGCACAAGCCATCCTGAATGCACAATGAAAATGATGTCTTTACATTATTTTCTCTTTACCTACTGTTCTCTAGGTCAGTTCTAAGAAATCATTGGATGAAAATAGCCCTGCGATCAAAAGCAATTTCAGCTATCAAAAGTGACAGTTTGGAAGCAATGCATTAATTAGGAAATGATTAGTTCCCAGCATGATGCTAAGAATCTAAGTCTGGAAATATATGCTATGCTGTTAGCAGTAGGACTTAAATCAAATTTATTCTGTGGTGATTGAGTTGGTTCCCCAGCTATGACTCAGAACTTTTCAGGTAATGCTGGTTCTATCCACTTTAATATGACTATTCCAGAAAAAGAAATCAGTTTGGCATTGCAATATTTTGGCTCTGGTTCAGCAACGCAGCTGCACCATCTCAGGTGTATGAATGTTTCTTGCTCTCTTTTTCTTCTAGGAGTGGTGTTTAAAAAAATAAAAATCAACAGATCAAACTAGCAGGCAAAAACCTGCCACCTAAAGGGACAACTGTGATTTATTTATTCATTTCCAAATTTCACTGAAAATTTTAAAAACAATTTCCAAACACAAAGTGTTGTATTCCAAGACAAATACATGTACAGTTGTTAAGTCTTGTATGCAGTCATCCAGAGGGTGGATCTAAAATGTTAAGATAATTTATCTGTAGTGGCTGCTGTAACTGAGATGGAAGGGGGATTAATGTACAATTATTAATAAATGATATATATCAAGGCCATTTGGAGTCAAACCCATCTTTCTTTGTTAATACTCTTATCGCCCTCCAATGGTGACCTAAGCATTCCATAAGTGCTACATGTTCTGCACATATTATTGGGTCCAGGTTTCTGAGGTGGGAGGGTTTTCCTCCTCCAACTGGAAGCAACTATTTGTCTTGCTGCTGTCATAAGAAAGAAGACCAACTCTTTATGCTGAACACTTGATTGATATCATTTTGCATTGACAGTAGGGCTAACCTGGGATCGGGTACAAGATGCTGCCCTGTAATGATGGATGGCAATGGAAAAATTTGGGTCCAGAAATCTTTAAGAAGCAGACACTCCCATCACATGTGGAGGAATGTGCCTTTAAAGATACATCCTCTCCAGCGTAAGAGCGAGAGAGTAGTTAACTCTTGAAAGGCATAGGGACATCTAGTGCCCTCATTTGATCTTTAAAGAGGCTTCCTGCAATTTAGCCAAAATGGTAAGCAGTGAGTGTTTAGACCATAAAGAGCTCCATTTCTGTTCATCAATTTGTTGGCCTAAGTTGGCTTCAGCACTTCTCTAAGACTCTGCCCAGTGTCCATTTGTAGGTCCAATAATGTTTTATAAAGTAGAGAAGCTTCATCTTGAAACTCTGTATTAGATCTAATTCTTAATGCTTCAGACTTCATCGGGGATCGAAGCCCTTGGATTTAACAAATGAGTGAACGTATTGTATACAAATTTGTTGCATTTGGAACCAATTAGTTGAAATATGAAGAATTGATGCTTTTGAATTATGGTGCTGGAGGAGACTCTTGAGAGTCCCATGGACTGCAAGAAGATCAAACCTCTCCATTCTGAAGGAAATCAGCCCTGAGTGCTCACTGGAAGGACAGATCGTGAAGCCGAGGCTCCAATACTTTGGCCACCTCATGAGAAGAGAAGACTCCCTGGAAAAGACCCTGATGTTGGGAAAGATGGAGGGCACAAGGAGAAGGGGACGACAGAGGACGAGATGGTTGGACAGTGTCCTCGAAGCTACAAACATGAGTCTGACCAAACTGTGGGAGGCAGTGGAAGACAGGAGTGCCTGGCGTGCTCTGGTCCATGGGGTCACGAAGAGTCGGACATGACTAAACGACTAAACAACAACAGTTGAAATATTCCTAAGCTGTTTCTTTAAATTTTCCATGGTAATTGAGCATCCTCTTGGGAGAGTGTCCTATATCCTGAATACTCCTGCTCTTGCCCATTGTTTATAATGCCTAAACTTGTCTATATAGCGGAACCTTAGGTCGTCTAAAATAGGTATACGAGGGGACACTGCAGGTGCCAACTGCACTTCCCATAGTTTTCAGACTTGAAAGGGAACCTGCAAGAATGGGTTGTCCAGTTCTTTAATTGCTGCTCTGGAGGGATGCAGAAACGCGAGCGCACAAATTGAAGGTTCCATGGGAATGTTCTCCAATTGCATCCAAGGTATCTCAGTTGAATTCTGGGCTAGCTTTAAGAGCTGTTTCAAGTGGAATGCCTTGAAAGAATATTTTTAATGTGGTATCCACAGTCCACTCTTTTTGCATTGTTTGTGAAGTATTTGCTACCTAAATGGGTAATTGTACATTGAGGCTCCACTGAACTTTACACCGCAGTACCACTTTAATCAGCCATGTCTCCTCCCAAAGAATCCTGGGAGCTGTACCCCAAAGAATTAAGGGTGCTGAAAGTTGTTAGGAGGCCCCTTCTTCCCCTGAAAGAGCTACAATTCCCAGAGTTCCCTGGGAAGAGGAACTGATTGTTAAATCATTCTGGGAATTGTAGCTCTGTGAGGGGAACAGGGGTTCATGAGTTTCCGGCACAATGGCCTCCCTAGCTGATGCCCCTGCAGCCTCTGACTGTCCAGGTTGTTGCTAGAGTCAGGGGTCATGACACCATCCTGCTCATCTGGATTTTGGCCTGAAAGATCACGGAAAAGCGTAAGTTGTGACACTGCACATCACTGCTGATCCCAGGCACATCTGTTAGCTTCTCATTTCCTGGCTTTGTAGAGTTTGGGCCTACATTAGGTAGTCTTAACTCTGGTCATAAACCAGCAGGGTTTTTTTATTTTTAAAATAATCATCGAACTGCTTTCCTACTGAGAATATCACCTCCCACTTGGCACTTTGTGGTGGTTAAAGGGAAGATGGGACTCTGAATTTCACACTGCTGGAGGCCATCCTTGCCTCTTGTTAAGTGCATGCAACTCATGACACATTTTAAGCAGGGAGCACATTAGCATCTCTGGGACTTGAGAAAGGGAACATTTTCAGAAGAGGTGGAAGAAAAAGAATTCTGAAGGAGATCATTTCAAAGCTAACCAGTTTATCCTCAGGTATGAAACTCTGAGAACCCCCCAAAAAGAAATGGCCTGTCAAGTTACTCAACTTTGTAGCCCTTTGTATTCTCCTGGATTGTTCTCTGTTATGAACTGAAATAGAGAATTCAGTTTCACAGCTTTGGCTATGAAGTGTCCATAGTTCCCTTATGAGAATGTGACACACATTTCTCCTCTGACAGTATGTGTTTTAAATAAGCTTGACCTGTAAAAAAGAGGTGGTAAGATGATCAGCCAGGAGTTCTTTATATTTTGGAGGAAAAAGGAAGGGCAAAAAGGCCAAAGTCCTAGGTACACGAGAGAATAGCATCCTTAAAGGGCTGCCAGTAGATTGAGACGATGGACAATCCATTTGCAGAGGGATGTGAGAGAGGTTTAGAAGACCAAAAGGAAAGGATGCACACAAAGAGGCTCATTGAGGGTCATGGCATACAAAATCCTGCTAGAAGAAAGAGTCAAGGTTTAGTGATGGATGAAGGAAAGGGGGGAAATCATTGTTTCTGAGAACTCTTTATGCTGCCTAAAGAAAGAGAGAGCAGAGAGCAAAGCATATGTCAAGAGCTACTGGATATAAGACACTTAAAATGCATCCTTTGCACTTTCTGAAAGGGCTGTTGGTAAACAAGGCCATGCTTGAAAGGCTGAATGCATTAAGACTGACCTTCATGGAGAACAAAAAATATATCTATGGGGGGCAAAAAAATATCCAAGGGTGGCTCAAAACTGATATGATATTTTACAAATGAAGTGGGAAAAGGAAGAGAAGGAGATTGGGTGCTGGAAGTATGGTAGGATACAAGTGATCCCCCCCCCAATTTTATCTTGCCTCACCTCCAAATATGCTGCCCTGCTATGAGTTTAGGGTGGGGGTAGGGTGCATGCAAAGTCCCTTTTAATTCCTGGATCCAGCATGGATTCATTTCCTGGAATAACTAGGCTAGCTTCCTGGTGAGGTAATGGCCTAAGTATGAGTCGTTAAGATAACAAAGGAAGTCAACGTACAGTTCTACAGTTCTGTGATTCGATGACCCTGTGCCTGAGTGCTCTGCTGAAATTTCCTAACCGCTGCTAAAAAGAAGGAAGTATTCTCCAAAGGGGAAGCT